TTATCCGGCAAAGCACTTTTATCCTGATGTACAGCGTCATCCACCATGTACGGTCCGATTGTAGGAGCTAAGTTGTTGACGGTTTGCAGTAAAAGCTCGGCATTCTTATAGTTTCCGGGAGGAACCGTCAAAATTTCTTGGTGCACAACGTAATTGACGCTATCAATAAAGTCTTCTTCTTTTTTAACCCGAAATTCGCGGACAATATCCAGCTGAATTTTTTGCTCGGTAGGTAGAGCATAGAAAGAATTTAAATACTGCAGTTCCACCAGGGCCATTTCCCATTTGCCCTTCAGGGTAATGGGTTGTTTCAGTTTGGTAGTCCAGTTGGAGGGCGTGTTGGCCGCCTCTGTGGCGACATCACTGGGTAAGGTTATGTAGAAAGGCGCTCCTTCAAACATGATAGTGGTTCCCAAGAATCGTGTTCGGGTCCGTAACCTAACCAGCGGACTAATGCTTTCTTTCCGCGCCGCTTAACAATAAAATCAATTGCGTGTTCTTTATGCTGTGGATTCGAGACTGGTGACAGTTCATGCTCATAAAACGTTCCTTTAATAACTTCGTCTTGGTAATCCTTCAAACGATAGACCGGAATACGATGCGGGATCACCTGATGGATGTAGAAGATTTCTTCTTTGAAACGGTAGGTATACCCTTTTTCCACCTTTGTTTTATGCACCGCAATCCGCACGGCATCACCGACTTTGTACCGTGGCTTCTGGACGTCTTAGGGCTTGTACAAAGCCTCGTACACTGCCAACGAGTTGTCTTGCCGTACATCAATGGGTCGCATACCATGAGCACGGTGTTTGGAATGGTTGTACGAGTACACCAGATCTTGCAATTTGTCAATATAGCGCATCGATAAGCGGGACCGAAACAATCGAAATATCCGCGTTTTGATGGTTCGAATAACGCGCTCCGCCATGGAACACCTGATGTCTTCGTTCTCGGAAGTGAAGAACTGAATTTGTTTGTCTTTCAGGTACTTGGCCACCGTTCTATTCAACATCTCTGTACCTTTATCATATTGCAGTTTTTCCGGCTCTCCCAAATCATTGAACGCTTTGGTTAGCGCTTTCTTGGTATCAGCACCCGTTTTGGTTTTCAGAGGTTGAATACTGAGTTTCTTGGAGAAACAGTCAATAACAAATAGCAAATATTTGTATCCATCGTTTTCCTTCGAGTACTTGGCTAGGTCGGCCAGATCCGCTTGATACTGTTGGCGGAGGTTAGTTGTTACGACGCGGTTGCGCGGGAAGCGTTTGCGTGATTCCTTGTTGACAGTGTAGGCATCGATCTCCTGCAAGATCGCCTGTGCTTTCCGTTTGTTGGCTCTGGTCATTAAACTTTTTCGGAACCTGTCGACGCCGCCAAGACCGCCGGGATCGCGAGGGTTCAGATATTTTTTCATGAGTTTCTCCATTATTGCAACAATTGGATACGCAGTTGATCTTAAATACCCGACACAGTCGCAAAACAGTAGGAAGAAAGCTGGACATTATGGTAAGGTTATCCAATGGATCCTATGTCGACCACTACCACTTTGAACAGTTCGGGAACGCAATTTCCGACCGGTATCTTCGTTGGCACTTTCCGTTTTCCTTTTTCTTATGGACAATGGAAACAATGGTACACGGCGTTGTTTACGGCTATTCGCATGATCGTCCGCGGTTTTGCGCTTTTGTCTTTTGGTTGGAAGTGTTGATGGAAACAAGGCGACACGACCATGTTTTATTGGACCATCGCGATCGTCTTCCAGATATCTTTTTTGCCCTTTGATTGGCAACGTCGATGGAAATAATTGTGGGCGCGGTTTCTTTGGCCCTTGTTCTATTTCATCTTCGTCAGTTCTTTTGCGTTTGCGATACCTTTCCAGCTCTTGTTGTACTCCTAATGGTGCCGGTTGTAACACGGTTTCATCCGAGAATTGCACAGGGTTTTCGTCAGGTAAGACTTTTTGTTTCAATGCTAAAAAACGCTCCAGAATGCTTGTTAGCAGGTCGGCTTTCTCATACTCGTTTATATCGCTTCGTCGTAAGGTTTTGGCAACAAGTTCGTCCAAAGAAGCAACAGCTCTGGCTTCTGGTGGTTCTTTGTTAACTTGTATTTTCTCATGCAGGCGCTCTTCCATAATGCGTCTAGGAACAATATAGTACTCATCCATTTCCAATCAACGATGTTAGGACCCCAGCAATAACCGGCAAGATAGCCCCAATAAATCCTCCTTGTTGTAAGATTATTCGTTTTTGTTTGAGAGGATAGCGTCGCAATGCAATGAGCTTTAATGCTTTGCGATGGCGTTTACATTTATCCATTTGGGATGGTGTCAGTGCGACAGTATTTTTACAATGTTGACGGCGATTTCTTCCAAAGCTTTCATCTGCGGTTTACTCATGTAACTCATCAGAACGCGTCGTTGTCGCGGTTTTAAATTCTGTAGGGTAATGATAAAGGGTGCTAATGATTTTACGCATTCCGACAGTTTGGCAGTTGTGACGAATTTCGATCCAAATAAATTCTCATGTGCTCGTTTGGAAAGATATGGGAGCGGATACGTAAGTATTCTGGGCACGTTGGTCGCAAGTCCAAAATTAAAGGTTGGTACGGTAGTGTTGTGACCTTATTATAAGCACTAACCAGTTGCTTCAGTCCGGTCTGTCTGGCCAATAACGCTATTTGATTTACATCTCTCACGTTTTTGAAAAGGACTAGATACTGTAGATTGAGGGTAATGTCCCGCATGACCTTGCCTTGCTTAAATAGATTTTGTAGAAGCACGATAACTGAAACATTTTTGTGATGGATTCCGCGTGTAAAAAGATTGGCACACCGCACGTCTTTGCAGAGATCAGTCGCCAAGTCGTCAATAACAACTAATGTAGGCACCTTTTCATCTAGTGACTCAAAACAGGCAAAGAATTCGTCCAATCCTTTAATAAATTCTATAAAAGGGTTTGCAGATTGCAGCTTTTCGAATCCACTTTGCCAAGCACCGTAATAATAGATAATTTTTGTTGGTGGTTTATCAATCATGCGGTTCCGTTGCTCAATTAGTGAGAAAACAAACTCTGATTTACCGGACATGGTCGGTCCACAAATACACATCCCAAAGGGCGCACTGAGGCGCGAATATTCTTTAACAGTACTATACATTTTTGAAAATAATTTTTTCAGTGTCGTTCTACGTGCTTAAATGACGTCTTCGACAAAATAAGTAATCTGATGTTGAAATTAGGAGCTATCCACGGCTCCGCACATAGTTTTCTCGATCGGTAATCCTTGCTTCCGCCAGCACAAAAGGTCACACCCTTGAACGCTCTTCTGTGCATGCTCATGTCTGCACAAAAACAATAACGAGTCTATTTAAGCACTGCAAACACAACACAAGGTGCATGACATGGCTGGGTTACAGCATATGCTTCCGGACGCCGTTGGCGTCCAGAAGAAATGCGAAAAAGTTTTGTTAGTGATTCTGTACGTGGTATTTTTTATAGTGTTTGCTGCTATAGTTATTATGGAAGGAATAGGCAAAGTTCTACAAAGTGATTCCTGGAATCATACAACACAAAATATGACGCTGTAACTCACATCCTGCGTTCCGTCTCTTCAAAAAGGTGAGGCAGCAAGAGATGGCCAGCAGGCGGTAAACGAGATGCCCAGACAAAGAACGTAACTCATAGTCCTTTGTTCAGACCGCAGATCCCGGAATACCATGTGGAGGCTACCCGATGTCCGCAATAACGACCATTCCGTATTTCGGGAGCTCTTCGACACCAAAAAGGGCGGATCTACGGTGCTTAAATACTTGCAAACAGTGGGAAGCACTGCTGGACTTTGATATCAATGACACCCTGGGTGCTTGGAATTCAAACTTTACAGAGTCTGGTTTTTCACACATAAAAGCGTTTTGTATCCAAAAACTGGAATTGTGGTGTTTCCAATTGTTTTTGTCACGTATGTGGACGAAAGAATGTTTGATATTGTGGTTTATTGATTTTCAAAATGATGCGATGATAAACAGAGTTGTCTAAGACGACATATAATACGTAAAGCTGGTACATCAAATGCAATAAAGCTTGAAAGAATGCAATTAAATATAAACACAAAGAGAACGCAAGATAGGAATGCAGGGTGAAACGAAAGTAAACCAAACAAAAAACATTTGCCTGTTTCCCCTTACCGGTTATTCCGTCAGAGCTTGAAAGTAATTGGTTATCAATTCTGGTTAATCCCTAGAGTAGTACAGCAATATCATATCAACACCCATAAACAAATCAGTACCAGTTGCAATGGTTCAAAAAAGATTGGATAGTATACAAAGGCTGAAAACATTTTTCTTCCGTACCTTTCAGATAGAATGCACACACGTTTGTAATTTCCAACTAGATTTTCATAGTCGAATGCATATCTGTTAATATGCGACTGGTACTGGGCACCAGGTACGTGTTACCATGGTAACGGTACCTGTACCATGTACTATCGTACATGGCCATGTACCATGGTACATGGCCATTCAACCAAAGCGAACCTTGTTGTGCAGTCAGTATACAAATAAATTTTACTGATGCACACATATGTGCGTGCAAATATTACGCGCATGCGCATATACTTGTGCGCATCAGTGCAAATACAAATGTGCGCAATTGCACAGATGCGCATCCGTGCATTTGCAAATGCACGGATGCGCACAATTGGCACTTAACGGGTCTATGTACTACTGCTTTTCCATTTGTTCGTGCGGGTATGTTTATTATGATTATAATCATTTTCCAGTTTGTTGTTGATTACGCTTACTGCAAGATGTCCACAGTCGTCTTTTGCCAAAGGTCGATCGATCTCACACTGCCGTGTGAGACTGACCTTTGGCAGTGGCGTGAGCTGGATGACTGCGTCTTTTACTAGCCACGCTTCCACGTAATGCTATGCTGTCATGGGAGTACAGCAGTATTAAATTTTCGCCCCAGATTATTATGACGCTGCACTAATCATTTTTTCAGGGCCCATCTGGTTCCAACGTTTGCTTTTGGAGAGAATGATATTTACCGTTTGGTGTTTAACAGCCAGCCCGGGTCCTGGGCTCGCAGAATACAACGATTGTTCCAGGTCAAATCCGGATATGCTCCCGTATTGTTTACCGGTAGAGGCGTTTTCAATTACACTTTCGGAATCTTACCGCACCGGAGGCCCATCACCGTCGTAGTGGGGTCACCGATTCCGACGGTTCAAAATGATCACCCAAGTCAGGTACTTGTGGTTAGTTCGCCGTTACTGAATTCGAAGTAACTAGGAATGTACAAATTTACAAGGATTCATGTTATCGAAAAAACAGAATGTGAATAACTACGGCGTTGCACTCTGGCAAGTTCAAGAAATGAAGCGGCGAAGCCTTCAAAATAAAACTTGAACGTTCAAGCTGTTTTTACTCTGCTTTCAGACATAAACAAAAACTTTGTTCAAATTGACTGTATATGTACTTTAGTCATAAATTAAGATTACGGACATCGTTATGTACCCTTTTTATCAATACCTTACCATTTTTTTGGGGTGGTTTGAACCCCGAACCGATTCGAATAAATTATCAAGTGGCTTCAGCCTGCAGGCAGCACACTGTACATAGTTCTTTATAAAATTTAACAGAAATAATATTACAATCAAATTTATGTAAATATTTTACGATTAGTACTTATCGTTAGTGCAATGGTACTCGTACGATACTTCAAACTGCATAAAGCATTGTACCGTTATCTGCATGTACTGACTTGCATACAAGCATACCTGTTAAGGATTTTTAACTTTTTCAATCAGGAGGAGATTGATATTACTCATCGACGATATTTGGATGAACTGCGAATGCTCTTCGATACCCATAAGCACCTTTACGGACACGTGGAAGACAAGTTGGAGTTCATTGAATAACAAAAAGATGTTGCTTTGGCGCTTGGATTAAGGCCTTGTGTTGTATGTATTTGTACATAATTTCACAACATGAACATGTCCCTGCATGCTCTTGCGCTCTCTTTTGTTTTTTGAATACTAGGGTAGAATTTGGAAGTTGTGTAACTAAATTTCTAATTATGTGCATTTGTAAATAGACTACTATACTACGTACAAATAGTTCCAGTCAAGGACTGTTTCAGTATTTTTCGCCTTGTTGGTTTGTGGTGTGAGCTGGGAAACGATATCTATTTGCTGTATTAAAATCAGAAAACAATACAGTTTATTAAGTTCTGCTCTGCTCTATGGTAGGCGTCAGGCACCATGAAATATTACCAATTTACTGGAAACATTTATTCAACCGTTTTTAATTTTTTTTTCAGTAGAAAGCTGACAATCTTTTCGATTTCATTACCGTATGATCGACTTATGAAAGGATCGAGTACAAAAAGCAAGCAAATGCCATGCCGGATATACGGTACAGAAAAAATCCTTTCTCAAGGCAAACGAAGGCATCAGTGCTTCCAAGTTCGCACTGTAGTTAAAATCCAGGTGAAGTCGCTCCCGGAAATAATCCAAATCCCCCCAGGCGATTTCCTGCAGACGAAGTAGAGCTGCTTTGAATGGTGGACTTCGCGGGGGTGCTCATACTGTCCATTCGATTCAAAGCGCGCATCGCCGGATTAAAAATCGTAAACTGTTGGTCTAATCGATGGAGAAAAAGCACGATGAGCAGATGCTGAGAACAACCGAGAGAAATTTTATTAATTCTACCTGCGTTCACTTGTTGCAACAAAGGTGACTTGGACAACGCTGATAAATGTTTTGGAGTAGCAGAGGCAGCGATGGTCGGTGCACTGAACAACGATCGGGCAGCGGACAATTGCGCAACATCCTGTGCCATAAACGCCTGCTGTGGGACGGCAACTGGTCCACCACCTCCTTTCATAATCTGGATTTCTTTTCGTAAATCCTGTAAACCAAAGCCTCGGTACATCAATTCTGGACCATTTAACGATGTATGCATAATCTAGCATCTATTACCTGACCAATTTTCAACATTTCATCGACAGCTACGGCAATCCCACCGACAATTTTGGACAAATACGCGTAGGTCGCTTGCAAATCTGAAGCAAGCAAAACCATAAAAAAAGTACAGAGTTTGTAAGAGGCTCCGCGCAGCATACCCCGCGGATTATAACGTTCATTTCCCGATCGCAAAAGATCTTCGTGGAGATTCTCCAAGTGATTCAGCTCATCTTCCAGAATTTCCATTTCCGTGCGCAAACCCGACATCACTTCCATGAAATATCTGAAGGCAACCTCGTCATTTTTCGACTAAAAGCAAATGTTATAGTCTCCATGATTTTACTTACGATTCAATGGCAGACGCAATACTGTAATACGCAGAAGGACTGCTACTCAGGCGCGTGGAGAGAAGCGTGTTGGAATACAAACGCGCTGCATTTTTCCGCAACACATCGATCACACTGAAAGTCTCCTGAAGTTTCTTCTGGATTTTCGAGGCCGTGCGATCGTAGTCTTTAATTTCCACTTCCCATTCGGTGGCGTCCTGCAGAGTGTAAGCATCGGCCCCCTTCTGGGTGTCACGAAATTTCCTAATTCGCTTTTCCAATTCGAGTACTTCAGATTTGAGGGGATCGTCAATTATGTGATCCCTCGGCTTCATTCCTGAGAATCCCCTGCAAAAAATCAAAATAGTCACAATAGTAACAACACAGTGAGCATGATAACCGCTCCGTTGCAACGACAAGACAGTAAGCTTCACTTGACTTCAAAAACTTCACTGCTATACTGTTTCTAACAGCGCACAGACGCTGATCGCGGAAAACGGAAGATAATCATAGCAGTTCAAGCAGTTTTTGTTATCATCCGCACGCAACGTACACTTTAACATTTGTCGTCGTTGACTGCGATTGTGATGGCCCTGCCGTGCTGGTACTTTGGTCTTGAGTTTTTTTGGGAAACTGATATATGTTGGCTGTGGCGGTAGCTCCGAATGCGGATCCCGGTTGAGCAGCGAGATTGGAAGCCGAAGACGTGGCCGCGCTAGGGAAACCAAAGGTTGTGGACGCTGTTGTGGCGGGAGTGCCAAAAAACGATGAGCCACTGGGTTTGCTAGCCGTGGAAGCGGCGCCAAAGCCAAATCCAGTTGAGGGTTGTGCGCCGAATGATAAAGTTGGGGCCGTTGTTGCTGGGGCTCCGAAGTTAAATGCGGACGTCGCCGGCTGTGATCCAAAGGAGCCAAAAGTTGCCATGGTCAATCTTGCACCACGAGAGACTCTCAGCAGTCACAACCAGCCACAAGCTAAATACTCACTAAAAATAACAACTGCGATTCTGCGAACCACTGACTACCCGAGTCAACGGTTCGTATGATAGGTAGTAGGTACGTTGTGTAGGTGTCTGGACTTTATTGGTCAAATCAATGCGACAATACACAAATTTGAAGAGAAATAAAGAAACATGTGTAGGTTGTAATGGCCAAGGTCTAGGGAACAAGATAAAATCATTAAATCTGCGTCAACTCCTTTCACTACGGCACACTGAATATTTCAGCTCGTGAAAACGGCAAACCCGTTAAAAAATGAATTCTTTTCTAGAAATATAAGAACAATAAAACTGAGAATTCCAGTGAATTTACTGATTTACAAAGTTGTGTAAACGATAAATCAGTAAAATTAACAAATCGGTAAAATTAGCAGTGTTGGCTCGCCTGACACCGCCCAGGGTGACAACTATCGTCGCGGCCTGTGAACTGAAATTTTTTGTCTCTCCGTCATTTTTAAAAACGTTGTTGATTGTTGAATCATAAATTGTGGCAGTACGTAGTTTTTATGGTGGAACCCAATAATAGTTAATAACAGACAACAGTTGGTATGTACTTGACACTCTGCTGTTATTTGCAGTTAATTTTATCTTTGCGATTTGAGATTTTTAAATGTTTTGACAAATCTGCAGGATGTTGGTTTGACTAGATATTTCTACTTTCTACTACGCGTTCGCACCCCAGAACGGACCAACCGAAGTGTATGCACCGTGCAGTATTAGCGTGCTGTTTTTTTGTGATATAACATATTACTGCCAAAACTACCAAGTTACCAAACTTGAATATGGAACAGTGGAATTCGTTACTTTTCATTGGTATTCGTTGCAGGTTTTTTTAGAAGAGTGTTATTCCGGCTACGTGGCGATTATGGAAAGTGGCTCGAATAAACGCAGGGTAACTTTTGTGTACTCTCACGAATTCACGACAACAAGGTTAAGGCAGGCTCACGCGTTTACATGTTTCAGCGCGAAGCTGAAGGCTTTTTGCCAGACGAGGTATCCCTTTCCTCGGAAATTCAAAAAGGATGTTTGGACGCGATGAAGGGTACATCCGGTACAATGTGTGGTGAGTCTGGCCAGGAAGCGACTTGTAATGGAGAACGCACGAAAAACCTTCCTCCAACGAAAATGGACACAAGCGAGGATAAAGAGCCTGCCATTATAACCGAAAGTGTAGACGATGCATCTTGCGAAAGAGCCCTTGCAGATGGAACCGAATGCTCACAGTCTTTTCAGTTTAGCAACCAACCGACGCTGGAGAACATGTGAGTTGATAACTCAAACAAGAATTAATACTTTTTAATTAACGATTCTTCAAATCACAATAAGTTTGGAATAATCAATAACGAAACTTTCTACCCAACTCGGGCTTGACAAAAAAAATCACGATTGCAGTCGGTTTCAACACGACGCGTTTGTGGCGGAACGCGGATGGAATCAGTTCCATACGGTAAGATTGTAAGAAATTGTTTTACCTTGACCTTGTTAAACTGCTCAGCGTGCATAGGTAGGCTTTAATTGTTGCTCGTTTTCAGCCACGCAATCTCTTGCTGGCCTTGGTGGGTGAAGTGGGCGAGGTAGCTGAACTGTTCCAGTGGAAAGGTGAATGTCAGGCTGGTCTTCCGGATTGGGATGCTAAGGAAAAAGAGCGTTTGGGTGAAGAATTGGCAGACGTGATGATTTATCTCGTGCGACTGGCTGATAAGTGTAATATAGATCTGCCAAAGGTTACGGAACGGAAAATGGAGCTGAATGCCAAAAAATATCCGGCTGATTTGGTTTATGGATCTAGCAAGAAATATACGGAGTATCAGTCAAAAAACCAATATTGACCCAATGGTTTTTTTCTTGTCAAAATCATTACTGGACGACTGTTCATTAAAATGCCAGGCTTCTCTGGGTTACTTTTTAGTCGATATGTACATACGTTCACTACTTCTGAACACAAAATTGTCACAAATGAGACACCTTAGTAATAAGTTAGTATAAACTGCGTTTCTTTGTTGTGTTTACCAATTTTATCGATTTCTGGGATTTATTGCCTTGATAAATTGTTATTCCGGCGAGCTGTTTCTGAGTTTTCGGAATATCTATATTTAAGATAAAACCTGTATAAATAGTGTATATCACAAACTGTAGTTTTAACATACTGTACAGTAGTTTGCTATTTTAACTTTCAAGTAAGTTGTCGTTGAAGTGCTGTTTAGTGTTACAATGGAGAAGTGCATTGCACACTTAAAGTACTTAGGAAGCAGCGTGGACTATTACAGAAAGGACCTCTTAGTCTAGAATGGAATCATTTTTTGTAGGAAGTCTAGAACCGTTTTTTGTGGGAAGCTAGTAGTAGGTAGTACTAGCTACTCAAGCCACCACAATTTAACACCTGCTGCATAATGCGTGCAAATACCGTATACGGTAGCCGGCGGCGTTAGCCGCACAATGACAAACGGCACTGGTGAAGAACGCGTCTGCTACAATTCATAATCCACCATTGGGAGGCAGTCAGCTAATCGAGCTGTGAGCAGTTTTGGTCGTACCGTTTTTTTGGGACTGCTTGCTCATCGTCGCACATAGGTAGATCTGCAATAGGAGTGGCGAGTGATTACAAAGTTCCTTTAATTTTTTTAGAATAATAGAAATATTAACGGAATTGTTTTATTGGAGAACATTTCCCAGTTAGTGCTTCTCATATAATCTCGTATTTGGTTCCTGTGTTTTCATTGAGGAGCTCTTTGAATTCAAAAATCGTGTCAGAATGGCGATGCACGTACCTTCAGCGCCGGGTTTCGCGCAGATGCTCACAGAAGGAACCCGATTTTACTCCGGTGTGGATGAAACAGTGCAGCGGAGTATTGAAGCATGTCGCTTATTGACGCGTATTATCAGTACTTCGTATGGACCTAAAGGTAAGTTGGTCTAATGTGGCGAACCCGCCGTTAACAATAGTATGCCAGTGGCGCAATAAAATTTTGTATAATAATTAGAATCCATTGTAATCGAAATGACAGTATTTGAATCGCACTTCGTAAATTACTGCCTTACACTGCTGTTGCTGCTGTTATATGACGCTAGATACTTACAAGTCTTTCGCGTGGGATATGTTGTAGGGTTGAACAAAATGGTGGTGACACATCTGGGAAAAATGTTCATTACGAACGACGCAGCGACAATTGTCAAAGAACTCGAGGTTCGCTGTTCATGGCTTGGTTTGTTCATGGCTTCTTTTGTTGCATTGCCGTTGTCATGTAGAATGAGCACCCCGGTGTGAAGTTGGTGATTATGGCCTCTGAAATGCAAGAAAAGGAAATCGGCGATGCCACCAACTTTACTCTGATATTTGCGGGAGCGCTGTTGGATCAAGCGGAAGAGCTTCTTCGTATGGTAGGTTCTTTTAACCAAGTGTTAATGCAGATTTGAAAACAGCATACAAATAAAACAATACATACAAGTAAAAACTGGGTCCTCATCTTCAGCTTCCGTTACGTATGTAAGTTGTTGTGTGACTTTATTTTTCATACTATCAGACTAAACAGTTTCACTGGCCTACCCATATGTCTCCGATAATAATAAGTGTGGCTACTGTAGTTGAATAGTAATATGCAGTGATGATTTCGAGATTTATTTTTTAGGGAATTTCGGTCGCAGATATTACGGATGGGTACGAGCTAGCTTTAAAGAAAGCCTTGGAATTGTTAGAGAGTACGACTTGCGTTTGCCTTATTATCGACTCACCACTTGTTAGCTTGCGTTTGGTTGTAGCGATCGTTTGCGGAACTGTAACGGATTTCCGCGATCAAAACCAAATAAGTCGCGCCATTAAAGCTTCCATCACCAGCAAGCAGTATGGAAACGAAGATTTTTTGACCAAATTGATCAGCACTGCCTGCAGTACGTTGATAGTTTTTTGCGCTGTATTCCAGTCCCAATTGATGATGGTACATATGTGAAACTCTGCTCTAGTTTCCTTAATGCCGGAAAAAGGCAAATCATTCAATGTGGATCGTGTCCGCACCATTAAACTCTTGGGTTCTGGTTTGCTCTCCTCATCAGTGATGAATGGAATGGTTTTTAAACGTGAAACCGAAGGCGACATCAACAAAGCAGAGAACGCCAAGGTCGTGGTTTATGCTTGTGCCGTCGACATCAATCAGACGGAGACCAAGGGAACGGTTCTTATTAAAACAGCCAATGAATTATTGAACTACACTAAAGACGAGGAAGACTTGCTCGAAAAGGTATTACAAATTGCCGCTCGGTTGTAGGAATTATTTTGTGATACAATTGGATTGGTGCTCATGGTCAGTTATTTTGGCTTGATTTGCAGCAAATCAAAGCGATTGCTGATACGGGAGCAAAAGTTGTCGTTTCCGGAGGGAAAGTGGGTGATTTGGCGCTGCACTTCTTGAACAAGTACAAACTCATGGCTGTCCGCCTCACGTCCAAGTTCGACATCCGGCGTGTGGCTAATTCTGTTGGTGCGATCGCCCTCACGAACCTGATCCCTCCGACAGCCGATGACATGGGACATTGCGATAAAGTGTATCTGGACGAGATCGGTGATACATCGGTGGTAGTGTTCCAGCAGGAAAAAAAAGAGGGCTCTATTTCCACCATCATATTGCGCGGAGCCACGGATAACTCAATGGACGATGTGGAGCGAGCGATTGATGATGGAGTTAATAACTTTAAAGTCTTAACTAAGGTAGGCAGAACTTATTGGCAGTTATTTTTAGCTCTAAATATACGTTGAATGACTGATTTTGTGTAAACCTCAGAATGTTAATTTTGGTACGTTTCGTATCTTTAAAGGATGAGCGTCTTCTTCCTGGCGCCGGAGCTACCGAAGTGGAGCTTTCTCGGCTTTTGACGCAGTTTGCGGATGTAAGGAAAGTTGTCGGTATGGTCTGAAGTTTATCTCATTTTTTGGCCGATTCTTGTAGACGCGTTCCGGTTTGGAGCAGTACGCTGTGAAGAAATTCGCCCAGGCCTTAGAAGTGTTTCCCAAAATTTTGGCGGAAAATGCTGGCGTGAAAGCCATGGAAATTTTAGCGAAACTCCATGCCGCCCATCAAGAAGGTCTGAAGAATGTTGGATTTAATATTGAGGTACATTTTCTGTCTATCGGGTCTATACTGTTAAACGTCAAATTAAATTCAAACTGATTTCCATATATTTCCAGTACGCAGATACAAAGTAAGTAATCTAACATCCACAAAAGAAACATTACATTACGAATTTTTCTGTCTGGATTCTGGATACACTAAGTTACCTACATGTATTGGACTGACTCTGTTATATAACCACTGCATGTGATTCATACGGTCGGGTTGGCTTGAAAAGGGTGCGAATACTCGTGCCAAAGTAGTAGCTCTTGCTGGCCTGAGTATTACGCCATTTGGGTGTAGTGTTTAGTTTCACTTGCATTTTTTGCTTCCTAGGAGGATGGTGAAGCCATAATTGACGCCGAAAAAGCTGGAATATTTGATCTGTTTCTTACTAAGAGTTCAGCAATGAGGCTAGCGGTGGGAGCAACTAATACCCTGCTGAAAGTGAACAAGATTGTTATGGCGAAACCAGCCGGGGGACCCAAGCCACCCAAGACCGGTCCTCAAGATGCTGATGATGAATAAATGACAATATGTTCGTTACAGCAAGGTAGTTCTCGTTCGTGTAATCTTTTTTTACCTTTAACTAGTTCCGGCTTTAGTGTTTTATTGTTGTTTGCGTTAAGTGCAGCAATGATTTGTTTTCCACTTACGGGTTTTGTATACGTGAACTTTATTACAATATATGTTTCCTCTTCGTTAATATAAGAAAAGAATTTACCGCTACCAGTACATGCAGTTGTTATCAGTTTTGTTCAACGGCAGAGAAAGCCCTTCCGGCAGGACGCAGGGCTTACTGCTGTAGGCAATTCGCCGTTGTTTAATATCGTTTATGTGCAGTATCTTTGGTTTTCGATTATGTGAGTCGTTTATACCCGCGGCTACTTACTGCTTTGCTCTTTTTGACGGGAGACCCATAGATTGGTATAGTACCTCCATCATTGCGAATTGGGAGGTTAATCCTGAGAGATTTAATTGTTGTTGACAATAATCAGGATGGCACTTCTTCGACAAATTGCTAGACACGAAGAAAAGAAACACTTGAAGCAGTTTTACGCTTCCACTTTGTCACCGCCATTTATGCGCGAATATTTGGCGAAATGCGATGCCGTGTACGAAAGGAACGGTACTGGAACTTATCTACGGCCACCATCAACGCTAACTGACCACAAAATATGGCTAAATTTGACTATCTGCGGAATTTTACTGGCGGTCAGTATTGAATTATTGAATAGAATGTTCTTTCCTCTCGCATCTTCTGCGGCGCGATTTCGCGATCGACTGTTTTGTTTTAGATCGCCATTGCGTTGTTTGCAATACTGCGAAAGAAAATGTTCAATCAAGGTGTTGACAGGCCGCTGTCCGCTGCTTATAAAACGGTGAATCCAACAAGAAATCAGTAAGAGCAGGTCTTCGCAACTGACCTTAGCAGCCGCCTGGTTTGTGAATTTTGTTGTCTACAGCTGGAAAACTGTTATCTATGGGGAGAGAACGTTCGAGTCGATAGCTGAAGAAGCGACGAACTGGCATTGGTACACAGGGTTAAGAAACGGCTTGTCCGAATCGTAAGCTCAAAAGAAGAACAGTCAGACGTGAAACAATTCTGTTTCTGTGGTCAGTTAACGTATCTCAAGAGTTGCTACTTGTAGAGATTACGAACTGTTGACCAGAGGTGGACCGGCTGCATTAGCTTATGTGCGCTTCCAGCGCGTCTTGCTGTGGTATGCGGTTGTGATCTGCCTCATAGCGTTAATAATTATTCTGCCGGTCAATCTTGCCGGCGATTTATTTCTGGATATTCTGGGGCGGACTTCTTTGGTCAATTTACCTCCATCGTAAGTCAAGTAATTCTGCTTATGATAGTTGTTGCGGAAGCTAAGTTCATGTCAAATGTATACTTCTATGGACGCTGCTTTCAGCTTACGCTTTCGGAATGTGATGGAAGAGCATAAAATCACGTGGTTGACCACAAATTTTGTATTCTTCTTTTCATTTTTCTAGGTCCAGTTCCTTGTGGATTCACGTGTTGTTTTCCTTGGCCCTTATTCCCATTGGGCTGCTGGCGATGTATGATTATGGATCAGAATCACAAAGAAATCCCAGCCGAAATACGGTAAATCTGTCAACAGCTAACATATATACGAGTACTCATAACAACAATATCGGATATCCGGCAACTTGCCGGCGGCAGTTAATGGAAGCTGGACGATAATTATTAGTACTGGTATCATACTACGCTAGTAGCGTTCGCCCTTGCAAAAACGACCACTGGGTACTGTAGTTGCAGTTTTTTTCTCTAATCGCAGTTCAGTTAAATTTTACGCAGTCATTTTTAAGCGGATCCAGCTTTGGTTAGGTAGATCATTCGTTTCGGTGCAGATATTGAACTTGACCAATTATAATACTTTGCACCGGATTGCAACTTTTGCAGTCACTGTTTTTTCTTTCTTACAATTAGTATTCCAATACTCTGATGTTTGGTGGACTTCCTGCTGATCGAGCGAATAAGCAGATCCTACGGGAGTATTTCCGGTAATGCGTATATATTTGTAATATAGAAGCCATTTTTAAAAAAAAACGTTTATGAAAGTTATTATCTCCATCCTTGAGCAATATAAGTACTAACTGTTGTATTATAACATAGTTCGTCTGATATATATAGCAGAGAAATCCTCACTTCTCCATTGGTGTTTAGCTCTTCTTAGAATTAATCAGTGACTTATAAACATCGCTTCGTACATTTCAGAGAGGCTCATCCTGATGCTGATGTTGCTAACATAGAACTAACCTACGATGTTGGCTATTTGGTTTATCTGGACAAGAAGCTGTAAGAAACGTTTTAGCGCAAGTCCTTCGCACCTAATTTGATTTGCTTATTTGTTTTCGGTTTAGAAAAGAGACGAACGATGCCTTGGAATATTGTGCATCTTTACCGGATCACTCTCGTCGTGTTATTGTCGAAGCCGGAGCATGCAGTTGTTGTGGCTGCTGTCTTTGTTGTTCTGATAAAGTACGTGCGTCCATACCTACCAAGTTTGCGGGAAAAAGGTCACCTGCTTAGATAGGTAGAAAATTACTATAATCATGGCGAAACTGTTGATTATTGCTGCAGACTGATGGGATCGATTACTACACTACGCGGCGCATGCAGTTAGCCAAGGAGCTGCACGGAGAATTAGAGCGATGGAAAAAGGTCAATCCAGTTTTCTTCGTTACGTTCGCCAATGAACACCAGGCAAAACAGTAACTACAAAATGGTTGATATTGTTTTGCCGTAGCATTTATTATAAATTGGTGTGTGTTTGGAGGGTGAAACGTGATTATTCAAGCCGCTGTTGCGATTGCCATCAGCGTCCAAAAACAAGGCATTCGCGTGAACTGAAGACAAGTAGCTGGACTGCGTATGCCGCACCTCATCCAGCGAGCGTGTACTGGTAAATATCGTGCATCCTCGGATCACCTCTAATCATCTCTGCATCTCGGTCTTGATCACAAATATTTTCAGGGAAAATCTTAGTTCTGATGGTTGTGGATGGTATGCACGAGCAATCGCAGTCAATTTGATTTTAATTGGATTAATTGTGGCGTTGGCATTTTTCATCGTTATGCTGGCATCCAAGGCATTGCCGGCTGTCAATAATCTGATCGAAAAAGTAAGTGAAACATTTGATAAACACAAGTCAAAAACCATTTTGCTATAATTTCAGAGCCCAAAAGGGCTTTGTGAAATATTACCGGCGCTTATTTTGTGGCTGATTTTGGAAACTGGACCTTGGTTGGTGTCCCGGAGTGTCAAAGTTATTGGTTATTGGTCTAGGTGCGTTAACAGTTATGGCCTGTCTAATATTTACAGGTCGCATTTAAGGCGTGTGCTTTACCAAAATTTAGGGTTTAATGACTTTTCTGCTTTCCCAGATCAAATGAAATCGTGGCGGAAATTCGCTATGTGTTCGCAGCATTAGTGCTAGCTGTGCTCCTCATGCCTTCTTTCGGGTTGCTGATGTATGCCCACTTGGGCTAGCTTTATCTTTATACTTAGAAGGTATTCTGAATTCAAAAATGTTTCTGGATTTTAGCCTCTCAAATGATCACCACCTCAAACCGGAAGCCACAGCTCCGCGACTTGAGTACGTTGAGACAGTATCGCGAATTGTGTTTTCGTCTATATCAAGGAATTTCGGTTGCGTACAATGTCAGTTATTGCTACAGCAATAACTGTCGTTAACGTGCGATCGGAAGTTTACCGTGTTGCTATGCAGAACTTCCGATGGACGTGGCATATTAAGCTTAATTATATAAGTTGATATGTATTTTATTTAATTTCGGAATAGTTTGAAAAGAATTTGCCGTCGAAAGCGAAAAAACCCGCCCTCCACACCCTTCTATTTCTATCACACTGTTTATCGTTTATCATCATATTGTCTATGGTTTATCATTTATCCGGTTTGTCAATAAAGGGGTCTGGTCACGGACGGTTACACAAGCGGTAGACTGACCAGCTTGGCCCTTCAGTTGCCAAGTTCGGACATCGGTCTGCACTTTACCACCTCTGCTGAGCAACCCCATTTACGGCAAACTGTTCTGGTCTGAAGATCGCGAAACGTTAATTCTTTATAAAGTATGCAGTAATTTTGCAAAAGATACGATGATTAAATTGCAGATGCACGTATCTTCCGGATAACGGCGCTGTGTACATTCATTTCCTGATATTCTTCGCCTTCCTGTCAACTGCTTTTTCCTTATTTCGGCCACGCGTTGTGTTAAGCTTCCTTTGGCGTATCTGGAAAGCACGTTCAGATGCGGAGGCAGCTATGGCAGGAAAGGTCACCTACATTCTTTTGGCTGGAGATTTTTGCAGTTCGTGTCTGAGTTACAGTAATTGTTTCGCAGGTGGATACGTATTTTCCCTATGGAGAAGAATATCCACAGTACCTCGCAGTGTTCGCAGTGACAGTGGCGTATTCCTTTTTAAGCCCTCTTATTACAGTGTTTGGTAATGTAATTGTATTTCTGGGTGTACTTCTAGTTGATGAATTTGTTTCGAAAATTTGTATTTGCAGGTGTAGGCGCTTTGTTGCTGAAATACATGCTAGATCAGTATATGCTTTGCCATATTTACAAACGCTCACCGGCACCGACAGCGGCTCATTCCGTCGCGGTAATTCAGTTTTTTGGAATTCTTTTGCTGCAGCTTCTTCTTATCTCCGCTGTATTTATTCTCCGAAATGGTACGCACTGACTTAACGTTTTGGAATCAGCGCTGATGTTGTAATTTTTGACTGCCCATTACCTAGGTCTCGATGCCTGCGCCGTAGTATTGCTGGCAGCCTTTGTCTTGTACTCCATCTTTTGTGTCTGCATGTCTGTGCTTGGCGGATGGAAACATCATTCTTTTCTGGAGGTAATTGTTCAGTTTAGGCTTAATCGTTTCAGTAGCCCTCCCGTTAATGTGATGCTATTTTCTTGACAGTTCGATGATATCGACGGGAACGATGCAACAGATCACTCTCTCAATGAAGCTGCCCTCAAGAACGACTTCGTCCAGCCCATTCTACGCCACCATCAGTATTACCGAACACTTTTACAACGTACTGCTAGAGACACATAATTATCCCATCTTATAAATTGTTGAATTCTGCTTTACACTTTGTTTAAAGGAGCGATAGACAATAAATTTAGGAAAAAATGTTTCTGTAGTTATTGCAAAATATTGATGTTGCTCCATAATTTGTATTAGTACTTTGTACTTAAGAAACTGTTGTCGTTTTGTTCCGAATAGCCAGCTAATTAATGGTGCCTTTATTGTATGATTGTCCTTTGGTGGAAAAATGCTTATTATAAGGATAATGTGATAATGGAATGGCCTAAAAGTTTGTTAAAAATAATGCAAAATTTTTAAAATTAATTATCGGTATGTGGTCAACCAGGAAAAGGGGAATCGTGCACGGCGGTACGTATGAAATTTTTTGCGCACGATTGCCGGTCGATGGATTAGTTACTTGATGCATTTGCAGATTGTGATGTTTATCTCGCTTTTCTTCATCTGCGATTAAGAGATGCTACCATCTGCCGCCGCTTTACGATGTCGTTATTCTAATTCTAAAAATACTATAACTTTTAAGTTTGCGTCTTCTGATGCCGCTTGCCAATATATGGAATATACAGAATTGTCTGCACCGAAAGCTTATTGAAACTGATTTTAATTATAATTTATACGCATGAACTTTGCTTTGTGCATCGTTCGAGAAATTCTGACTCAGATAACGATGAAATACCCTGGCAAAAATAAGTAAGTTGGATCTTTCCGGCTTTTCATGCCGACGCGTTCAGTCTGTAAAGGTGAAATGTCTGATTAAAGAAAGCCCAAACCCGTAGGGGTTGCCCACTGCGCACTTCGTTTATAAGTTCTTACTTTCTACAAGGTATCTTCACTTAACAAAAAGCAAGCAAGGTAAGTGAAGATACCTTGCTTTTTAGTTCCTACTTTTTGCTACTCAAGTTGCTAGTTGCTACTATAGAGCGATAAAATTTTGATTAAGATTAAGCAAGTTAAAAGTGTATACGAATTCTATATGATTGTGCCGGATCTCTGGATTTCTGCAACTTCTGACAACGCACTCACGGTCCAGGTGTACGGCATGGTTTCTTGATTCAGATTAATGATCACTTTGATCAGTGATCACTTGAGAACCACGATGTTGACGCAGTGGTTGAACGAAGCCAAGTTGGATCTGTTTGGTTCTGCGATGGTGCGGAATGCAACAACAGAGCTTAATGCTGTATTATGTTATCAGGTTGATTCGTCGGATCTCTTCATTTGGCTAATTGATAGCAACCACATTTCCCACGTCCGTTTCTCAGAACAGAGTCTGAAGGAAGAATGCAGAAATTTGAAGGTTACTCCCGTGGAACTCCTCAAAGCGCTTCGGTAAGAATTGTAAAGCGGTGAGTAATAAGCCATCGCCGCGTCTTTACTACAAAAATTACCAAACTAAGGCAAACTTACATATATTATGAATTTATGGATAAGCGGTAATTATCGTATAAGACGGGAAAAGCCATCTGGAATAGTTTTCTATTTAAAAATCGAATCTTTTGAAAACCACTTGACATAGTTATTGACTGTACTTTTTCATTCATGAGTAATAACAGTTCTTGCTTTGATTTTCCACTGTGTCGTTCGCCTAGATATCTGAATTTGACTTCCTGTTTTAAATAACTTTTAATCATGAACCATGGTCAGGAAACTTCCGTTGTGAAATTGGCAGCAACAACCATGACCAAGCTTATAAGCAGTTTAATATCAGCTGGTTTCAGTTACAGTAGAAATAATTTTTTTAACGCTCAGATTTTTATTATTTTAATTCTATCATTTCATTTTATATAATTATTTTTTAATTATTTCTGTCATTTTTATTGTTGTTGTGTTTACCTGCGCATAATATCGGAGCGTGAACTGGCTATTGCCGACTAAAGGAACTTCTTGAAAACTAAAATATTAATTTGGATTTCTAGTGGTGACTTACGTAATTAAAATTAAAAATAGTGACTCTGCACCTCTTTTTTTTGGGCATTATCGCTTGTTATACGTACATCGTTACATGTACTGTACTATAACTATAAGTAGCTACTAGGAAGTGTGAGTACTCAGTAGCAGTCCGTACTCCCAGTCAGCCTATCCCTAGAACGTATTGTTAGTGATACGATGTAGAAACTGGAACTACTAATGGTAAGCTCCTTTACCGTTGCCCTTTGCAGTTTTGTAATCGTGACACCATCGTTTTGTAATCGTTTCTTGTGGCTTCAAACACCAAACATTCAATGTCAAGCCTTTTTTGCACATCATTAAAGGCTGTGTTTTTTTCTCAAAGGGAAAGTGTTTCGTCCAAATCAGCCACTTTCACCAAATCCCCCACCAGTGTGGTTGTATCTTTCTCCAGTAGCCAAACGGGTAGGATTCCGCTGGAGTTATCGCCCAAAGAACCGAAAGCCGATTTGGTGCGGGATTTGTTGCTTGCGTTCGGGCGGTCATATTCCGATGTCAAACAGGAACTGGATTCTGCCAAGAGCACAATGGAGGAATCAGCTGCACGGGTGTTTACCCAGTCCGCGATGTTGGATACTGAACACCGCGCTCCCAAGAAGAAAGCAAAGACCGAGCCGGGAATGAGTGTGGTGAACCCGCGGTCTAGAATTGTCAAACCTGCCCGTGGTGTTGTTTATAGTGATGAGGAGGAGGAAGATTAATGGTTCGCTAGGGGCAAGCGGATGGTATAGCCTGGTTTTTTACCTTTTGGGAAGTTTACAATTTTGCATCTACGGCGCTTTTTCGTCCAGCATGCACTACCAGGCGATTGACCTTAAAATTCGCACATTTTGCACCATACAGCACTTATACTCTACACCATAATATATATCGATATTAGTTCATAGTAACTTGTTAGTTAACTTGTGACACAAATTCTTGGTTCTGAGAAATATTTCAAAGCCGATATTAAACTTTGTAATTTTTTATGAAGAAACAATGGCCTATGAATCATAGCCTATGATCGGAATTTGCAGGATTAAATAATTGGATTAGATGGAAACTGGAAAATCTTTCATATTGTTTTTAGAGCTGTTTGGACTGATGTTTGGGTTTGCTAGATATGTAGATATATTGCTAGATGTAATTGATCGTTTCGATGTACTGTATTACTACGGTATTACAATTACTCTGTTAATTAAAATTATTTTAGAGCGAGAATTAAGAGCTAAACGGACAGAGTGCATTGCGGTTTTCAGAATTCAGATGCGCATGAACTTGTGAAAGCACTTACCAAGACATTGCGAATAGCCAAAAGAATCACTAAAGGCAGTCTAAACTCTAAAGCACTGCTACAGCGATATTGCAATACAGAAATTTCCGTGTGGTATTTTTCCTGTTCAGACAAAGAATTACGGCATGCATGTCATTGTAAACGTACTGTACGGTACCTTTTGATTTTATTGTTACCAACTACCAGTTTATACCGTGCGTGCGGAAGTTTGGTACGAGGAGTACATACGACACAGCACGCGTTATCGTTTCTGGTTGAACATACAGCCCGATTTCCAAAAGTACAGAGTATGCTGCGACAACAAAACGGTTTCTTAATGTTTTCAATAAGAAAGCTTGCCGGTTTGTTAGAACTGTTAAACCATGAAACTGACTATGATAAAACTGCATTATCCATGATGAGTAGGAGCGATGAGATGGCCCTTATGTCACATAGCGCAGAATGCTTAATTTTACTAAATAAATAAAAAATAGTTCATGTACTACAGTAGCGTATCCGCAAAAGTGTTAATGGAAGTGGCATGGAGTTTTTGAATTTAAGTTACTTTTAGTAGGCATGCAGCAATAACTCACGGTAATAATTTACGGTAGCAATTTATGGTTAGGGTAATAATTTAGGGTTCTTATTAGGCATGCAATAATAACTTGCGGCAGCAATACTTAATTTTATGAAATGCGGAAAATTAGTTTGACATCTATTTTATTCAGCAATATTCTATGTAACACGTAACTTATGTGTATTCGTTAATTTTTAATACAGTAATTAGCTCTAATTAGCGTAAAGTAAAATTATGATGTGATGGGCTAATTTAAAATCGCTACTAGCAGGCCGCGCGAACTTTATAAATGAAGGTTAGTGTAAGGGTAGAAAGAAGCATAATATGAAAGTACAAATACTGTACTCTATTATTATTATTATTATTATTATATTATTATTATTACGGCACAAGGGCAGACAACCCCAAAGTCTGCTCGAACAAAAACCATTTGAGCGCTAATAAATACTTAAGACAGATATAAAAAATTTAACCGGGAAACGGAAATTTAGGAAGCCTACTGGGTGTCACATTCACGGGATAAACGGTTCCACGAGTTTGTGTGAAACCGAAACGTTGTCCCTTATGGTTAGTGTGGCAGTGTCTAGCGAACTAAAACCAAACTAGCCAGTATGGCCTCAGTAACCGTTCCAAGAACCGTTTGCCCGGAAAATCTCGCGTGGGATTTTCCTTGTGAAATTACGCGTATATCTGGGCGCGGATGCGACAGACTGTATCTGTACGATATGCAGGTTGTCTGACGTAAGAATTGCACTGTGTACAGTAAGTACTTTATTTTGAAGGTGCAGCGGCACTGCAGTCGCATGTAAGTACTATTGAAATAATTAATACAGTACGTACTGTACATACATACTGTACTTTGTTTTGAAACACCGCTGTATGTAAACTGTAAACTGTCTATTATAAAGTACGGTGCTATGTAGTACAGTATAACCACGATACTTAATGGTAAGATTCAGCCGTCAAAACATAAACGATGTGCCTCTATGAAATTTTCGTTTTTAAGTAAGTAAGTTCGCAACAACATTTCGCAAATTTTTTCACCATTTTTGCTGTTTTTGCATAAATCTTCCGGTGCGCTTTGCTTTCTTACGAACTGATGTTTTCTACTCTTATACGAGCACTGAAACTCAAACTTCCTATCCTAATTCGAGCCGAAGTTGGAAAATGTCTTCGTATCTGCAGTCACTATATTTTATTTCATTTTTGTACTTTTGGCTTTCTCGAATTTAATTATTTGCTCCATTACAATTTTTATTTTATTTTTGTGTTATCGAGCAAATATTAAGAACACAGAATTTCCAAGTTCGCCTCCCGCGGACATTCCTAGTAGGGATATAGGTTGATCCGAAATCACCGTTTTACGACTTAAACCAGAGCGAAGCTGAATTCGGATAGTTATACGCTGCGTGTTCACGAAAAATCTACTGGATGAATCATTCATACCTTTCAGTGTTAAATAATAATGGGATTATCTGTTGTGAACGGCCAAACCGGGTGAGGAAACGAAAGCGCTGATTTATTATTTTTGATCACATTATGTGTTAATATACTTTATCCTTTTTTATGGATAATGTTATTACGCATAACACGGAAACTAGGGAGCAGTGCGGATGTTTTGAAATTTCAAAAAAATAGTTGTACAGTACATTAATACATAAGTAAGTTTTCAGTATTTCACCCTAATTAGGGTGAAGGATAAGAATAGTATAGTATTCTTGCCCTTAGTCGTTGTTATAAATATTAGGAACGCGCTCCGTTGTTGTAAAATATTTTTGCTGACACGGGGAAGCTTCATTTTAACCCCAAAGAAATAATTTATAAATTATGATACCTACGGTCTGTGGAACAATCTAACAATAACTAATAAGTGAAATTGTTATTTAATATATTGAAGATATTCGCATTTAGTTTCTGACAACATCGTAAACTAATCATGTTTCATAGGTACTGTGTTATATCTGTAGGAGCAAATTTGCGACATTGCTCGTATCGAGTCGTATGTAAAACCGCACTATAACAAGTCATATCTATATACAGTAATATAGATATACAGAGTTTATAAATATAGTATATAGATATGTAGTTCTGTGTATTATCTATATAAATATAAATGTTAAGTATTTATATTATGGATGTGGTAAAGATATATTGTACCTTTGTTACTATGTATCTATATATAGATGTTCCATCTGAATCTCGTTTTCAACATAGCTCTGTGATTGCATTTATTGGAAATACCGTACTGGTGCTGAATTATTAACTTCATCCTTCCCGATATCAAACAATCGCTTTTTTTCTTAATCAAGTTCTAGTATGAATTATACTTGTTTACATACACTGTCATACAGTAATATTTACTGTACATGTAATCACTGTCATAATTCTGATTCTGCTTCCACGTACTGTAGTACAAGAACTGTGGTATTGTGCATGCACTTTGAGACAGTTTTCGTTGTAGGTAAATATAAAAATATGCAGATGCTGGCTCATTATAGTTCTTGTCAATTTTGCAAATAAGGCCTTCAGGTTATTATAAATGCTGCCATGTTGTAGTAATTATAAATAATAATTATAAGATTTTACCGCCTCACAAAAGCAATGTCAGCTACACCGGCTTAAAATTAGCAATCATTTTCATGGCTTAAAATTAGCAATCCCGTGAGCAAATTACAGGGAGTATGGTCAGTATTCACGAATCACGAAACATGACTATAATATTGCTTAAAGTTAAAAGTTCTATGAGACAATTTCGTGCAAACTGATACAATCAATACAAGTTTCTTCAAAATCCTTTGTGTTGCGATACGCGTCCCCCCTACCGTCAGAATTGTGGATCGAATTCTTATTTGCAATTATAGTCCCCTATATTATTATAGTCATATGTGCACGCTTTCGAACTATTGGTAATTTTGGCAGAATACTTTGTTCCTCGTGATTTTTCATTTGGTAAAATTCGTGTGCTGTCCCATTTCAGAGCTCGTCTTTTTTCCAGGGCTAATAACGCCGTCAGCGAAAACCGCAACCAGCAGCCGGGAGCGAGTTGCCTGCGAAGCGTCGGTACAAGCCATACGATATCACTTAGACGGCCCACCAGTGCCGTATTTGATTGGGTGCGTAAGCGGTGTTGTACTAGCGTAGTAGGCGTAGCGCGCTACGTCATACGTGGGCATTTTCCGTCTGTCTAAGCGGTAACTGCCGATTGTTGCCATTCTTAACTAGAAAGCAGACAACGAGTGTGAGAAAATGGGAAGCTTCGGCCGAGCGTAGCCCTAGCTGTACTGTGTGCGGTGGCTCATTATCAATCAATATTATAAAAAAGATGTAATTTAATTACTATTACATGATTTTTTCATAAAAATGAGGAAAATTTATGATTTTGGGGGATTTGGATTTGTGACCTTGAAATCCATGTACAGCTAGCGCTGATGTGTGAACGTTGCCGTATTCTGCCGTACTTATTCATCGGTTTACCACTGAATCGAAACTCCTTGTAGTGTAGTTACCGCTAAGTGGCTCGTAGCGCCGAACGGAGAATCTTACGAGATGCTGCTATTGGGTGATCCATTTATGCTGTCATGACGGTATAATATTATTATGATATGATCTATATGATTTGCTTTCATTTTCGGGATTCTGCTTATGTGGAGTGGTTGCGCTAAAATCAAGCGTAATCGAAATGTATCCTTATCGAATAAGTTCACAGTATTATTGCTATGGTACGAGTCCGTACGACTTTGTTTCATGGTGGATTTCTATTGTGTGTCGTTCTTGTTCCACGAAAGAAATGCGTACTGTTCCAGAACGATCGGGCCCAACATTTCACGGACTACCGAGAGCCTCCAAGAGAAGAACGAACCAGACGCAAACCAGCTGTGCCTGGACTACAAGACAGTCCACCGGATGTTATGGATCTTGGAGAACATCGTGAGCGTAGGGCTTGGGTCGTTAATGAGTTGTAAGTTATGACTTTTGCGGACGTTCGCAGCTTCACAGCAGTCATTACTCAGTCCCTGAGGCCTGAATATCAGTTTGTGAGCCTGTGTGCTAAGTTATTATTATCGCTTTTTTAGAGTTTAATCTTAATACGTAATAACGATGCCCATCTTTGCACTTTTCGGACTTTTGTTGAGTTTTCGTGGCGCTACAGCCTACAGCTGCACAACTGACAACTTCCCCAACTGACAGCTTCCCCATTTTGGCGTTATAAACTTATAATGCCGTTATTAATAAAATTAATTGAAATATCACGGCACTTTTATTGCTGTCGATTGCTTGTTGTTGATGTTATGAAAGTCTCAGTCAATGACTAAATTTCAGAAATTAATATTATGGTTGTGTCGGTGGGGAGCATTTAAATACTTCCTTTAATAGTAAGTTTTTGCATTAAGTACAATAAAATAATTTAACTTAACATAATTGTAGATATTGGGCCTACATTAGTAACATTGCTTTACTGGTTCAATACTCGTACTGTACTTCTGTCTCTGAGTCTCTGTGGCTGGTTATAGTGACGTCACTTCGTTCTACAAATCGTGATTCGTGAGTGGTCCTTATGTAGGGTAAAATGTTCCGCTTGTGCCAGCGATGTAACAAAAAGTTTATCCTTTTTCAGAGAGAAAATTTTTCGAACATACGGAAATCCACTGCGTAAAGGAAGCCAAGAAATTGAAAGCCGATTGTACGACAAGTCTCGCAATCAGGTACGTAGACACTAGGCCCGGAGAGATCTAAATACCGTTCTCTCAGTTGGCATTTCGCTGCCCTCTTCTGCAGGATGAATATTTGGCCTTGGCTGATAAATTGCTTCACCATATGCGAGACTTAGCAAGTAAGTGATTTCTAGTTTTCCCAAATTCATTAATTAGGAGCATTTCTTGTTGGGTGCAGAACTTGTTTATCAGTTTATTAGAAACGTTACAGAAAAGCTTTACCCTTCGTCACTTACGCGAAAGGGGTTTGACTCCTCAGTTATTCCTTCGAATTTTAATCGTATGTTAAATTGTTCTGTGTAGATCAAAGGGGAACGCAGCCTCAAAGCCGCAGCGAATCCCTGGAGGATCTCCGCTCTATAACGAGTCCAAGCGGAAGTAGTCCAACGAGCCCTTCTCATCGCTCTTCACCCGGTTTCACCCCGAATCCGCATCGAAACAGAAGGGACAGTGGATCGCAGCCCATGCGATCAGAAGACAGTGATTTGCCCACCCATCCAGTTGCAATGGGTTGGTCCTCCCTCTCATCCGAACCACCATTCCCACCTTCTGTGGGAATGGGCAGTGCTAGCGAATTGATACAACGCTATGATATCAATTATGGATCCATTCGTCTCCCAGCGCCAAATAAGCGCGCTTTTATGATGGGGCCGCAAAGGACGACCTACCAGGCGCGTTTTGGCCCGCCACATTCGCGCGCTTCCGCGTCTGCTCCAGCACTCGGTAGTCGTCACGGATCGTATGCACATAGTGATGATCTGCCAGAGATCTTGACGCGGTTGATCCGCAGTGACGATGAAGGCGACGGCGAAAGTGGGGGACTGAGCTCGGATACGTACGAGACATCATTCAAGTTCTTAGTGCCCCGAAATGCTGTGATAAAGCAGATTACCATCCATTTAAAGTGTGTCAGATGAGACCCTGTTGGAGGATTAAGAAGCGGCACAGATGGTATTGTCGCCTTGTGCCTGATGTTCTTTTCTCGTGTTGACTGGGATGGTAACTAAATTGTACGGTTTTCCTGCTGCGTTTTTTAATTATGTACATAGGGTTGTAAAAACTAGGCTGGGAAACAGAAATTCTATGTTTGAGGATCTTCCGTCGACAAAATGTTTTGTTTGTGATTTGTTTTCTTCGGGATTTGTTTCTCTGTCGTTTAGTTGGTTGCGTGCAGCAGATCTTATCGAAGTACAGTATTAATTTCTTGTTTGGGACTGCTGTAGGTGTCCTGATACTGTAACATAACAATTAATAGTGACTTCGATACATTAATGCCTTACGGTTCGAATCTTCGATACTACAGAGTACAGATTATTATCGCCGTACTACAGTGCTAAGCACTGTAACAGAATTCAAGAAGCTTTTCCGTCGTTTTTTTACCGATTTATTTGAAGGGTTACTGAAGCTCTGTAAAACCGATGGTGCGGGCGCCGGCCGAAGGGGCCTCCGATCCCGGTGCACTGTTCGATATTGCGGGATTTCTAAGCAGCCGCGATCGATCGTATGCGAAGTTTAACGACCACATAATTGATTCATAATTGCATACACAACAATTTATACGCTCTGTTGAGGAACGCAGTATTGTCTCGGATCGTGAAGCCAGCTATATAATAGTATGGCGTTTTTGGATACAATCATGTGTTCAGCGTGTGGAAAACGGAAATATTAGAGGCAAAGATAAATTGAAAATGAAAGTACGGTAAATTGAAACTGTCGAATTTTCCTTCTGACGTGCTGGCATTGTATTGATAATCTTTAATAGAATATCAGACTCAATATTACTAGCAATTTAATGATACTTCTTATGTATCACCCTATCAGGTCATTTCAAATGTATTAATACCGTAGCGGCCCGTACTTACTGACTACGGGTAGTTATATGAATACTGATTATCTGTGCCAGGACTTCGGCCCCTGTCCTTTGAGGCAAAGGATCTCGGCTTCTACTTCACCAATTTTGTTGCTTTAAAGTACATCAAAATTCTCTAGGCGTAGCGGTGGATCCAAGATTGTTGGCTTTTTGCCAAAATCGTTTGTCCAGGTCCAGTGGTCAATCACCAACTTGTTACCATGGACGCGATAAGATATGCACACTGTTTTAACACAACTTGATCCAGAACGGTAGAAATATCTGACCTGCTACTTAACAATAAGTACGAGTACAGTACAAAGTAAAAATTCATGTAACTTAACACGTTAGTCATCATCACGTTAGTGATCATTGCAAGTTATGTACGACTCGTACTGTATGTACAAGCAAACAGTCCGTGTTTCGATTAACTTATGTAAAGTGTCAATAGATTCATATATCCTTACGTCCTTATTTTTTGGAAATTATCTCCTAAATCAAGATTGATTTTTTCAGTAAGTTGATAATTTTATAAAATAAGGCATCGCACAAACGTTCCTACCTTTATCTTTTAAAAAATCTTAAGTTTTGGAGAAGGTTTAAAAACATTTTTAAAAGCTGTAGTACTTAAGGATTGTTAGTACTTAAAGGTTGTTAGTTTTGGAAATTATCTCCTAAATCAGCATTGATTTTTTCAGTAAGTTGTTAATTTTATAAAATAGAGCATCCCATAAACGTTCCTACCTTCATCTTTAAAAAAATTTCAAGTTTTGGAGAAGGTTCAAATTTTTTTTGAAAGTTGTAGTACTTAAGGGTTGTCAGTACAGACAGTACTTAATGTTGTTGTACTTAAATGTGGCAGTGTAGTAGTGAGTACTTAAAATTAATGTTGTTAGTACTTTAATGTAATACTACGTAAGTTGTAGTACTTAAATGCTGTTAGCTTTTAGAGAACTCGCAACTTAGCAACCTAAACAATTGCTAAAATTGCCAATTACATCAAACATAATTTTATTTTTTTAATTCTTGAAATCTTTAATACGTACGTTCTTAAATCCGTTCGATTACCTCAAAATAAATACAAATTCTTCAAAGTCGGCTTTAAAGCGTTTTCAATTCAAGAATTTCTAAATATTTCGACTCGGCCCCGCGCAGCGGGGCCGTTACCTCTACATATTTTTAGCCTCCAGAGTTTCTAAATTTTAAAATATCTAGAAATCTGAATATCTCACGGTCTAAGTGTCTAATTTATAGGAGTATCTAATTCCTTAATATCTAAGAGCCGGCCCGCGGCCCGTTTACTGTATTCACCAACGTAGCGGCTCTGTGGTACTGGTGGTAGCTTGGGCATTCACAAACCTACGTTACTTTGTAATACTGGTAGCAGCTTTGGTAGTCATTAACCTAAAATAAATATGTATTTAATTTATCGACCGAAGCGAAGCGAAGGTCCTCTGTGTGCAAGAAAACGGGACTTTCTGTAACGTCGGTCACGCACACAGAAATTATTGCGCAATCGTGGCTACCCAGAATAACTTAAGGTGACCACTCCCTTAACTACCTTCACCTACCTTTCACTCCGTACATTGCCTTTCGCCCGGTACGTTGAAAAGACAAGCGGCAACCTTCACCTACCTTTCACTCCGTACATTGCCTTTCGCCCGGTACGTTGAAAAGACAAGCGGCAACTTCTAGTACAGGAGAAACCTGCGAAACTGGTCGAAACTTCGTTCAAAAATGAAAACGGCAATGCCAACTTTTCAAGCCCTGTGCGAAGAAAAACCGGCATCCGGGAGCCGAGAGTTACTTACGTACAACTGGTGATAATGCGTGAACTTACGCGGCAATGGCAGCTGTTAACGAAAACGGCAGGTCCGGAAATATCGTTAACGTGAAGAAATTTAAAACAATAAAAGGTCGCGAACGCAGACAAAGGTAGTGCCGAATGGTAGTGTACGAAGTAGAAGATAAGGAAAGGTAGTGTACGGAGTGGTTACCATAGTTCATATACGTTAAAAACTTATTACGTATGCACTGTAATATAAGTATTTTCTCTAACGTTCTTCTATCCAGAAATTTATAACACAAAGTAACATAGAAGTGCAGTACTTTACGCATATATAATACATCCCGTCTCGCCGCGCACTTTAACCTATTAACCCCGGGGACAAGAAGGAGTGGGAATAGCCACCTGAAAATTATGTCTGTAATAGTGATGTCTGAATAGTGATCAAAATCACCCCCCACGGCATCTTCGTCTATCGCTGAAACCAACGTTTTATTAACATTCGCAAAATTCTAAGACTTTTGAGGGTATGTTGTAAATATATGTTTTGAGGAAATTCTCGAGATTCATAAAGGTTACTCTGACACAAGGATTTTGGTGAACGCAGTGAACCAACAACCGAACCACCTGAACCAGTAAACCACTTTGAAGGACAGATCGAGTTGACTTAGATCATCGAGGTTTAAGGTCATCGAAAGGTCACTGGACATAGTTATAAGCAGAAAACGGTCACGTGACGACCGAAACCATGGTACAGAAAGGTCACATGACCAAAATTCTTCGTTTTTCAGAATCAGCTAGAAAAACTGAATAAAACTGTCTATAAACAATTTGGTAACATAGTTTTTTCATCAGGTTCACTTCGAGGCCACGCCCACAATCCGTTGAACTTCAATACCGTTACCGTAATGTGTTATCACAGTGAAACTGGATACAACTGGAAAAAGTATCGAAAAGTCAGAAATAGCAACCACCGTTACCGTTACCACTAATACCAGTCCTACCGAGCGTTACCACTGTTACCTAGCGTTACCTAACCGTAAACACCATGGGCGCCACCGCTACCGTTACCCACGCTACCAGCGTTATAGTGGTAGCGTGGACTAAAGTAGTAACGTACCACTGCGGGCACCGTAGTGGGTTACCATTACGTTTTAATTAGATTGTCCGTTGTCTTAGCGAGCGGAGCAGCTAGCTAAACGAAATGGCTTTTATCAATATGAATTTCATTTTTACTTTTGCCATTTTCACTGCTAGCATAATGTTCACTGTTACCGGTTACTGTATTATGTTCCAATTCGTAATGGGCTACGTAATGGGTTACGTTACCGTAATGGGTTAACATTACGGGTTACCGTAATGGGTTAAAATTACGGGTTACCGTAATGGGTTAACATTACGGGTTACCGTAATAGTTTACCATTACCTACTACGCAAACGGTACCAAAGCAACTGACCTTATCGAAATCGAAGGCGGAGCCGAAGGCGACGCCAAGCTGCGGCGCGAGCGAGCGCAACGAAACGAGCGTAACAGCAAGTAAAACGAAAGGACTTTTTGGTTTTTTTCTTCTTTTTTCAGTTTTTGTGTCGTTTTCTTTAACCTAAAAATTAAAAGGTGAAACTCTAAGAAAAAGTTAAGAATTGAGCTTTAGTTTTAAATCGGAAACAAACTATTGCATTCGACCAGTTTTTCTGATTGTATCCGAAAACGTCAGATATCGACAGCTCATTCGAAAAAATGAGGATAGAAGTTTTATGAACACGGATTTGAAAACTTCAATTATTAGTGATCAACAAAAATAATGAAGCAACAGTAGATAAAAGCTCTTCTGGAGATCAATGCGAACGATCTTTACTATTACAGACGCCGGTATTCACCGAAGGTGAATTACGGGGCCTCGCTCTCACGAGGCTTGCATGTTAATATTCATCGACCAAAAATGTCAATTACGAAAGTCACTTTTTGTATAATTTTTCTGACAATAGGTCAAGCCGGACAGTGGACACCATGATGCCTAAATGACACGCATCGGAACTGAGCCATTTGGCACTGTACGAGTAAAGTTTTTTTCAAATAGTAATTCATAAAAAATAGCATAGATTCATAAAAAAATATACTGGAATTGGACACTGGATACATCATTTTAAGTTTCTGTGTCGTTGTTCTGTAGCGCTTTGTAAGATTCAGCACTACAACATTGTTTGGTTCACTTTTACAGAAGTTACAGAATGTATGTAAAGTCTGCGGCGAGAGGGGCTAATGTCGGCATTTCCATGTCGGCTTTTCCCGCATAAGAACTAAGGTAGATTGGCGATTGATCGAGTTTTCCTTTGAATCTTCTGCAGTTCATTAACGCAGCAAAATGCTACCGCTCAAAAGTAAAGATAACTGGACAGTTAAAACAGAACGCCTGCGCCAGCTTTTTTAACTAAGTATACATAATATATCATTCGCAGATGTTAGGTATAAATGAATCCAATAAAGTGTCTGATATTATGCAGTCTTCTGATAGTCACTATTATGGATATTAGAGTCAGTAAAGGAAAAACTGCGCAGTGCATCGACATCCCTGCGTGTAATTCACTTTCCCAGTTCTAAATACTTTTCGAAATATTTCTAGCCTGGCTTCGGTCTTTTAGTGCCAGCAAGGAGCGGTGCACTTCCCTATTTTTTTTAAATACTGAACAGCTGGCTGAATGGCTGAAAATCTTGCAGTTAGTAGCTAAAGATGCAGTCTGCTAGGTCACTTTAGGCAACTATTAACTGTTTTCCACAAGTTTCCATTAATTCTGCGCTGAAATATCGGCTGAATGGTGTTTTATCATTTATGGGCATCGTTTAAGTGATCCCACGCCATCCATTTTATCACCGTTTAAATACTACCTGTCGTACCAAAAAATTCAAGTTTTCAGTTGGCTAGATCGGCAATATAAAGTTACGACTGTTACGTTAAAAACATGAAAAAGACAAACAAAAAAAATTACAGAGATTATCATAATTTTTGTAAACTGATCGATTTAACCGGAAAGCATGAAAGCTGTCCGCATTTTTACGTGTTTAATATATTTTTGTTATAGCTGGCCTCGGTGGGGTTTTATATTTGAAATATTTTTTTGCTGCACGAAGTATATTTTCTAATTTCTTTCATTCTTCCATACCTTGAACACAACTGGTCGCGCGCTAGCGCGGCCGATACTTGTATCATAATATTACTAAACATACGTACGGGTTTTTTAATATTATGACAGTCTGTAAGCGATCTCAACACATCCTTGGAATTACTTAGTTTTTAATAGTCATCGGGCAATATTCATCCGTGCTGGGCTTGTTAGTTTAATAGCTTTTACTTGTTGTACGAGTCAGTACTACCTAGCAAAGCAGTAGGAGATACTGTGAAACACCTATGGGTAAGGACGGGTACTGTATTAGTAATCAGAGTAATAAATTAAGTACTGTATTGTTTTCTTGAATTAGCAAGTCGCTCTCTATTTTACGGAATTAGCAAGTCGTATAACCTGTTGCTTTGTTTTTTACAAATTACCAGTAACCGATTTCAAGTTTCAACAGCTTACATCAAATAAAAATGAATTGTATTTTATAAATATTGCAATTTCTGTAAAAAATGGCATTCATATGGATACCCCTTTTCGCACCTTTTTTATTTTAAGATAATATTATGTATATTACAGTATGTACACAACAATGTAATGGTGCAGTATACTCAATAAAGCGTCAAGTATTAAGATAATTGGAAGTACTTCGTAGTTACTAGTTAGTAATACTAACAATCGCCATTAACTGGGTGGTTTTGCGTGTCAGCTAATCCAGAGTAAGCAATTTTACTGGGTTATTCAAAGTTAACAACAGTCAAACAAAAAATCCAGAGTAAATTATCAATCGTCTTCCGAAGTGCCTAACTGTAACTGTCTGTAAGTAAGTAAAACCTGGACAGCATTCGTCAGCCCATTTGCCGGCTTTCTTCCTTGTCGCCTTTTAATTGACACAATTCCTCTCCACCCCCTGTGACGTAGCTCACACGTGCTGGCGTGTAGACCATGTTAACTACCATAGGAAATCTACACGCCAAGCCAAACCACGTGTTACCCGACCAATCAGGATTGTTGGTCCAGCCTTTGGAATAGTGTCAATTGGCATCGCGTAATTCGTTCGACATGCACGTATCACTTCGGTCGTTCGCCAACCATCTCCTCTCCGAAGCTTTAGTGCTGCTATGACGATAGAAGTAGTCACGGTACCATGTATTTTATCTTGCGTATGTTTGATGATTGTATTATTATAGAATCAATAGCCATGGTTTCGGCCTTTATTGCATCACAAAAAATAATTGTATTGTAATCGTACTAGTGGTGGTTGTTAACCACATCATTGCACCGAGCGCGAGCGCCGGTCCGCTGTGAAACTATGAATCGACATGGCGCACCGCGAACCCAGTTCTGGTGGCGCTCTTCGGGGATGGTGTAACCAGCCGCTGGTTACCAGCGTATATGTAATAATTTTAAGCTCGCTGGTGCAAGTTTTGCGCTGGCGTGTTCCAGTCTACGGTATTGTTACGATCCCGTGATCTACTGTCAATCAGGGAAACTACATTCAGTAAAACACTACAGAACACTACAGTACATTTAGGAAAACATTCAAAAATCTTTCGCTGTGGATAAAAACAAATGGTTTTTATCGAAATTCTGACCAGAAAATTTCGTGCTAAAGTATTGACGACACCAAGTATTTATTGCGCGCTTCCAGTACCATTAGAAAACGATCTTAATGACATCCTTGAAACAGCGCGTACGCTATGAAACACCACTGCCAATGGAAATGAAAATTTGTGGAACTGGAAAAGCGTGACTGACACTTTTCGTGGGCGACAGACAAACTCTGCTACGGGAAGCGTATACTCTGCTATGGAATGCTATGAATGCGTGCATCGCTTGACGAAGGCCTAGAGTAGCACCTCGCGCTTCGCGCTCGGTGCAGATTATATTTATAGCATACTGTAACTGTAACTATAGTATACTGTAACTGACCATGAGTATACAGTATACTACTGTAAACCAATAGCCACCACAAAACACTTGGGAGTCTTGGACAAAATAATCCCTTAAATAATAATACGTCTTCATATTTCAAAGTCGAATTTCCCTAGGGGCGATATGCAAATGGAGCCTGCACGCGCATAACGTTCCCGCACCTTTCGTGGTTTCGCCAAGGTGTATCATAATCCTTAATCATACAGGGTATGGCATGCGTTTGCTTGCTGAAACAGTACTGTATGTTTGGATTTGAATGAGTCATCTTTTTATTCATACTACAACGGTACAACCAAAACGTATCATAATTTACAGGCTTACAGCCTAGTTTAACTAGCAAGTGCTACTGCACATCGGTATTCGACGCAATTGATTGTGAGACTTTGGATGGCTATGCTTTTGAATTCAACAAAATGTTGACTATCCAGTTTGTGAGATTGCGCTACGGGGCGCTGTGCGAAGTGCGCGAGGACCATTGCTGAAAACGCTACTCCACGGTTACGAAGCGAAAACCTGCCTTATCCACTTAATATGTGCTATACGAGCTGTTTTTCTCGTATCTTTGTTTTTCCAATTTGACATATTAAATCTCCATAAATCTTTTGTAGATTGTGTCATTGTGATTTTTACAATGAATTCCGATCATAAAATACTGACCAGTGGAGAGGAAACAATCACCGGGAATATCGAAGAAATGACCATAGCCGAACCCATATCGATTGATCCCGAGCCCAGTGAGCATTTGGATTTATCCCACAAGGCGGAGGCTAATTACAATCACCTTCTGCGGATTCTAGCGTCACCCGGGCGTTATCAGATGTGGCTCATCTTTTTACTCTCGCTGGGCATAATTACTACAACCACCCATGATTTTGCTGCCATCTTCTACAGCACACCACCCAAAGCGACATACTGCGTGATTCCCGAACATCAAACGAAAAACGGGAAGTGGGAAGTGGATCCTTGTCAGAAGAGTTATTCTGTCAATGCGACCCTGGGACATCGAGATGGCGATCCGGTTTTGCTTGCCTTGATGGATCCCGATTACTGCTTTATTGTGCCTCGCATGGAGAACGGGAATACAAGTGCGACGGAGAAAGGAGCGTGTGCGTTGTGGGCCTGTCAGTATGAAGTGCAGCGGCAGTGGTCGTATACGAGGGAGTGGACGGTCGTGGCGCAGGTGAGATTTGTGCTTCAATTTGGTTTGCTGTCTGACTCATTGCAGTCAATATGCCGATGTGAAAGGATCTATATTTTGATTTTGATTGTACACTTTGATTCAGCGGTCAAATTCCGCTCTGTTTTTTTTGCTTCCTTTTATTTTGCATTGACAGTTTCTGGTATGGTCGGACAAGGAACTCTGCATTGTACCTTATTATCGATGAGGAAATCACCGCTTTACCTTTAGGTTAAATCTTTATTAAAAATGTGAATTCTTTAAGTACAGTATTTGATAAAGAATTTTAATGAATTTTGATGCAGTATCGGAATTTATAACTGAATCTGCGATCTTTCGATCTGATTTAACTTCTGGTGATTTTCCGGAAATATATGCGCAACGTATCACTTTTTTGAACGTTTTCAGACAAAATTTCAGTGTCTGGCGTCGGTTAGCTGTTCAGTGCAATACCGTATTTATCGAATTAGAAGCCCAGGGTTACAAATATTACAAATGACCCACGGGGTGGGCTCCAATTACGGGCATGGGCTTGTATTTAGGGGGGGGCTTCAATTTTTCAAACCAGCTTTTTGGCATTTTTTAATATGGGGTTTACGGTATTTAATTAAGCCCATGGGCCTCTATTTCGGGGGGGGGGGGCTTATAACTTTCAAACAACCTTAGGGGTGGGCTCTAATTACGGGGGGGGGGCTTGTATTTTGGGGGGGGCTTCAAATTCGATAATTACGGTATATCAGTTTAAGAAAGAATTAAGCAATCATTTTTTTAGGTGCAGGTATTTTCAGAATGACTAATTACAGTACGGTATCTGCGAGGCATAGAGTACTGTTAGTCATGTTGCAGTCAAATTTCGCGTACGATTACCCTAAAACTTTTATTAATCGGGAACGATTTACTTTCGCTGTTTGGTCAGGGTCCATTGAGTTTTAAGAAGGCCCTACTACTTACACTAGCAATTGTGAAGTATTTCCAATGATAAGAGGCTAGGTACGACATTATGAATTATGACTGCCATAATCGATTGCTGTTGACTTTGAAGATCATGAGCAATGAAAATATGGGGATTGCCTGGATCCCTGCTCTAGTAGTACGTAAAAATAAGTGAGATGCTGAATTTTGTGGCACTGATCGTCTTTTGGATGCAGGCCGTTATGTGCTCTGAGTCTGGATCTGAGTTTTTAGAAAATATTTCCGAGAGTTTTGTTATGATTTTTATGGCGATAATGGATGTTTGTCATTCGGCTTTTCTGTTTCTCACAATTCACAACTGACAGTGTACGTACAATGCATTGCATGCGTGCCATATGTACGTGGTAATTTCGTTAATTGCGAAGTATAGACACAGTCAGTTAGGTCGTTATGTCGTAAAATGGTTCGTTTCTTTTTCAGTGGGATTTGTCATGCGATGCATTCTGGCTGTATTCGTTTTCCCTTTTCCTGTATTTCGCAGGTGCGTGTTTTGAATTTTGAGTAGGATTATATATGTATATTGTCATCAGAAGTTGTGTAATGTGTTATTATTTATTGCAGGGGCGTTGGCAGGGGTATTTTTATTCGACATGCTATGCAAACGGTTTGGTTATAAAATGAACTTTCTGGCTCGTTTCGGCATAACCATACTGCTGTGCATCGGTCTGGGTTTCGAAAGAATGTTTTGGCTGTTCGTTCTAATAAGGTTCCTTTTGGGAGCAGTTAGTCATGTAAGCACACAAATTTGCCTCTTTTTTATATCTCTTTATAATAATTATTATTGTTGTTCTCTTTAGAGTATTCGCTACTCTTGTGTCCGGCTAATTTTGGATTTGTTACCGTCAGAGCAGCGTCTGGGTTCTATCGCGGTCATTTCCGCTGGATCTGGATTTGGTTTAATAGTATTAGCGGGTGTTGCATTTGCTGTTCGCGATTGGCGATATATTCTAATTGCAACATCCGTCCTGAGTATTGTGGGCATGATGTACCGCTGGATGGTGCCACAATCCTTGCACTGGTTGATGAGCCATAATCAGGCTATGTCGGCGCAACAAGTTTTCTACAAAATTTTAGCCAACAACCGCCAGTTTGTCCCGGCGGGAATTGACGGAATAATTAGTGGCGCCACAGTCACCATGACTAAGGCTCAGGAGAACAGCAGATCATGGACGAGTTTGATGTCATCGTCGTCGATATCAAAACCATTTGCAAGTATTGTTACGCTCTGGTAAGCATTAAATTCTCCCATTGGTTAATTGTTTTTGATTTTCTATCCAGGAGTTCTAAGAATTTTTGGTAAAACATTGCTCTGGTATCATGCTATGGCCATAGTTTATCTGTTTAAATTCGATAGTTATTGTATTGCAACAATTTACCGTTTGGAGGTGCTACGATAATTTCGCCTGGGAGAGTAACGGGATGGTTCGAATTAATAATAAGTGCGTATTTGCAATTTTTAGCACTGCACGATTTCATTTCGGTGCAAAGCGAACGGGCAAAAGTCGATATTCCTGCTAGCATAGATTGTTTGATACAGTTTTGCATAGTAATGTACAGTCTGCACGAAAAGATTAGAATTTACATAATACATGTGCAGAATACGTATATTTATAGTTATTTTATACGGTGGTACAGTAAGTACTTGTACCACAAAGGACAAAGGCAGTTGGTGATGCCAAAAAAAACTAAGAAGAGAAAGAAAGCTACAACCTAAATCTCTATCAGCGTTAGTATTTCATAAAGTGAAGATTACCTGTCGTAACATATCCGTATCAAATTCTGACTTAACGTTATTACCATCGGGAAATTATGCGGTTATTTATGAGTACCACTTGAAAGCCTCGCCACATTTTTCCGGTTTATGCTTTTCTGCTAGCACTCATGCGGTCAAGTAAAAAAGGCTTACCTTACCAGTCATCCCGTTTTTGTGTGTCAAAACAGTAAATTACGCGGTTATATAACTAAAAATCTCATTCATTTTTTTTGCTTTGCAGTTTTGTCGCAAATATGGTGCATTATGGAATTTTACTTTCCGTCCCGTTGTTGGGAGGCGGAGTATACATTAATGTTTTCGTTAGCGGTGTTCTGGACGTGCTGGCCATCGTCGGCACTATGCTGGCTGTACGACGTATGAACATTGTTCGAATTTTGTTTGTCAGCGTTTTCATGAGTGGACTGCTTATATTGGCTGGTGGACTAATACCTGGTGGTTTTGGTATGGTAAACACGCTGTTTAACTTAATTCATAGAAAAACCAATGAAAACTTAATTGGTTATTCAGATAAATACGGTACAGTGGAAATCACCCGGTCCGCTCTAGTGTTGTTGGGGCGGGTGGGCATGGGAACCACGATGGCGTTATTATTGGAATTGCTGTTCCGAACCGTGCCAGCGGATGTGAGGAGCAGCGCAGTGGGGATGTTTTGCGGGCTGAGCGTGGCAGGAGCAGCAGTCGGTTCCATGTTTGTGCATTTGGTGAGTGGGATCTTTTGGATATGCGAGATTTAGCTACTACTTACTGTAACATTTTCCTCGTAAGGTTATTCATAGATTTAACTTTTTGTCGACGAATAGAAATTTAGAGCAAACGACTACCTTTTTTGCTTACGTTTTCCTACCTTTTACCGATGTTTATTTTTTAGGGTCGATTTAATTATGAAGTGGAGTTTACCTTGTTCGGCATTATTTGCGTTTGTGTCTCCTTCTTGACTTTTGCGTTACCTTATGATCCGCCTTTTCACGTGGCTGACCACCTGCATGCTCCAGTGGCACAACACGATTTCGGACAGTTGGAAGACGAAGTTGTTTTTGAACACTTACCGGAAATGGACCCAAAAAGTCCTTATGTTCTGTAACTAAAAACAGACGACCTATGTTGAAACGTAGAAGTGTAGTGTTCTTCTCCTGTAAAGTTTAAAGTTTTGTTAAAAATCTCTCCATTGGCCAAATTGTTTGGATGGCAGCTTTTACGATTGTTGAATTTTGCAAGTGGTTTTATCCGTTCCCTTTTTGCCAAGTGATTAGATTTGTTTTCTGTTTGGATCTAGTCAGGTTTAATGGTTTTGAAAATTTAACATTTGTTTGAATAAAATTACTGATAAATGCGCTGAACCAGTTCCTCACAAGTGACTGCAATTAGTAACCACTTCTCAACCAGGCAAAAATGCGGAACCATGCAGTCATTTGATCTGCTCTGTTCAGTCATTTTGTCGACGTAATAATAATGTATCACCCATTTTCCTTATGTGTCAGCGTATTCTAATAAAGACCGCATCAATTCGATGGATGCTAATGCCGCTGGCAGGGATAATGTTACGCAATTCACGCTCCACAGAATGCGTGCGTTTATTTGCTGCAAATGAGCGGGCATTTTCGCATATGGTGCCCAGTAGTGGGGGAAAAGCGGGTCAATTAGGTTCTTTAGCGACGCAACTGCAACTTGATCCCTTCCAACATGTGCAGTAGCCGGTGGCTTTAATGAATAATCTGTACCAACTTGTATGCGCTGTACTAGGCCAGCTGATTTGTTAAAAATGTGAAGAATGTTTAGAAACAAATCGCTTCGAAATTTCACGAGACTGTGCCGGGTACTATCTGACTGTTAACAGGATGGAATAGATGCTTAAAAGGATCAAATGTCGCATGATATTATTGCTTATAGCAGGACGCCAGCAGTTGTTGTTGGCCGCGACTATTTTCGATCTGTCCAAATGATCTTTAGATCCCTTGGATGTGACGCGTGTATTGGTCGGGTTAGGCGTTGGACTGACCGGCTCGATGGAGGTGACGGCCAGCCGGTCACGTGCGGCCGTGGCATTCTTGCGTTGACCTTTAATGCGTCTGGTTACCGGGGCCGGTGTGAACATATCGTCTGAGGGAAAGAAAGCATTCTGCAGCTGCACGGCAATTAGACGCACAGGCGCTCCACTGCCGCCATCGATTTTCATTGGAAGACCGATGACGATCGCGCCGATTGGCGGCATCCGGTCCAGGTTGGCGACGAACTCAATCACGATAACGTTGGCACGACCGAGAAGATGCTGCACCGGGAAGAGTCGTTGCTCACTACCGGGATCGATTGACGGTGCTGAAAGTACAAACCTCGGTTTTTATCAGCATTTTACTGTGGCGCGGCCTACGGTGACCTTACCGTCTGTGCCAATGGCTTTGGGCGTGCGATGTCGGAGCACCCAGTTGGCTGCCCGTATACTCACACCGGGAAACCGGAAGACGGTGTCTTCGGGAAAATGTTTGGTCCCGTACAATGCGTTTCGATTAGGCCATCGACGGGCCCAGCCAAAGTTGAGCAAAAGTATAGAATTGGACGGGATGCGACCATTCTGCGCCTCCCAGCTCTCGAAATCCTCCACGGACACCTTGTAGTCTGGATTCCGGCGGGCTTCTCGAGAGAGATCGATGACCACTGCGGCGCCTATGAGCTGTGTTACAGGGATCCCTTCTACGCTACTCCTGCACAAAATAAATGGATATATATAGTTTAATATTTAGAAAAATTATGTGCAATAATTAATTAGATACTCTTCGACGTCTTGTGCAATTACTTAACAATAAGTAACTGGGCGTAGAGATAGCAGATGCTTTTCATAATAATGACAATACATAATAATGATATAATGATAATGGCATAATAATAATAATACGTAATAATACATAATAATAATACTTTTCATAATAATGACAATACAGATAAAAATTCGGTAAAGCACTGAAATTGGATAAGTTAAGAAGAAAAAATTAAACGACAAAATCAACTTTAGAGAAAGCTGTTTCGGCATTCACTTGTGAAAACAAAGTATGTTTTTATTTGTATCATTCCCGTATTGTACTATTTCTACTAATATATTGTAACACCATCACACAGGTTATAATTTAAGCTACATAAAAAAAACAGTGTCATAACATTAAGATGATGGACCGTCAGTTCGGCAGATCATTTTACGTTCCCTGTCAGTTCAAAAATTTGGCCACTAATATGCATGTACTCATGAAGCGATGACCTCGCCTGCGCTGCTATTCCAAATTATCGTGGATCGTTGCTGATAGATCCGAATGCGTGGTCGTGCCCGCATTGAAACAAAATTGCGCAAACAGAAAATGCAAATGCTAAGCCAAATAATGTGCACGAGGTCTCGTTCAATTTTTGAAGTACTGAACTCGTTCATGTATAGTACGTCGTATTTACGCATTCAGCCATTCACATTATATAGATATAATTTTGTAGTGGTTTCGACACAGAAAGTTGCCCTACGGCGGGGAGCTACGCTCTACGAGTTCTTAGTTATTTCTTTTTGAAATTTCTATAAAAATAATGAATGAATATGTTTTAAAAATGAATCATTATATTAATTATTCATTCATTCATTATTATTATTCCATTCGTGTTTAGAAAATTTTCATTAATTATACAAGTACTAAATGAATGTGTTATGAGTGCGCTTTTTTTAAATTAAGCAAAGCGCAAATTGCGCAGTCCAAATAATTTATTTGATAATTAAAATTGTCAGTTATGAAATTAATCGAGCAGTTACGCAAGACGTTTTCGACAACGCCACTGTAGAACATCGCAGCTGTAGTAAAATAATTTCAAAGCGCTCCTTAGAATGCGGGCAGGACCCGCATTACGTCATCGTATTTTTTGGATACTTCCTGGCGGAAACACTGACACGTCCGCTCTCTAAATTGCTCAGACGTGATGTAAGACGGCAGTAAATCGACAGCTGGTTAATAGCGCCTGGTCACAGTCATGTACTTGTACAGACCAAAATAATTAAAATATAGGCCATCGAAACTGATATTCGGCATATCGGAAAGGTTGCTACAGAATTAGTGCCTCACTTCATTTGCGCGCAACAGTTCGCAAATTTGAGTCAAAGAAATATTGTATCTGTAGGAGACTATATAAATGGTCAATCCATATACCGGAAAGAGTATGCACAGTAAATGCGAGCTATTGTTTTTAGAAATTAACGTAAATCAATAGCTTGTAGTTGTAGGTGTCGGATTTTTGTTGATTGCCTATCGTTGATTGTTGAATGAGAGGCAACCAACAAAAATCCGAATGACATTCGCACCTGTTAACGTTAAACAGGCTATCAACAGGTGCGAATATGCGAATTACAATTTAAATTTTCCCGGCTCTCCTTTTTTCCCGGATTCTTTTCATCACGAAAAATTTCCTTTTAAAGCTTTTTGTGAACATAGCTATTATGTAATTAACATTGGACAGATAGCCGGTTCTTGGTTTGTCGGGGAGACTTGAGTAATTCATAAAAAAGCCATGCATAGAAATACATAGACCAAAAATTGGTTTTCTCAAAATCGGCCTGTCCACTCCTGCAGATGTAGAAGCCCAACCGAGTTCGATGTGTTATAAGAATAGGGACGAAATCGCAATAAAGGTCGTATCTTTTTACGTAGGTGACGGAAAGATATCGACACGCTGTTTTACGATAAGTTAAGATATACGGCTGTATCTAGGCAGAGCTTGCCATCTAAAATTCGGCTCTAGATGATAATCTAAAAATTTTTTTAACGACATGGAATTTGTACACTTCATTATAACGCTACACAATTGACTTAAATTGCTACTACTCAATATATCTTTAGAAGGTACATATTAAATTTCGTTAGCGTCATCAAGACCACGCATTAAGCAATACAGATTGAAAGGATATTCCTTGTGTACATTACGCAAAAGCCTGACCGTGGATCTGTGGATCTATGCTTACATAAATTGTACGAGCATGTTGCAAGGTCATTCATTTCAAATAATATGATTTAACGTGGCTCCATTAACGATTAACCGGCATCAGGAATTCACTGCATTAATATAATAAGTAATTTTGGCAATACTTATTATCCATACTTCTAGTCGTAGGCTGACCATGAAATAAAGAGGCCTGTTATACTGGAAGCATTATCAGTTAATTATAATTATAACACTACTTACTCTATGCATAGAAGTATAGTATGCTCCAAGAATTAGTCTTATCAGTCATGCAATGTGCAAGTACCCGTTTTCCTGTGTATGCAGCGGAGCGTCTATATGCGTGCCGCCGTGTTCGGCAGCTTGGAACCAATATGCCGCGCTATAATGACCTCGCTTATCCACACCGCGATACACCGTTCCCAGCTGGAAGGTGAATCCCAACTGCTCCATGGTCGGATAATAGACCGTCTGGTTGTTGAAAGGATGGGTCAGATCTATGACATCGGATTCCTGCAGGTTGAGCAGATCCATTACGGAGACGGCGTGTGCGGAATGATGGCGATGCTGGGTCAGCAGTAAAAGCCAGCAACATGTGCTCAACAGGAAGATGATACGACGATGCGGCACGGCAGATAATCTCATCATACTGGCACGTGATTGACTGGATGATGTCCATTGTGATCGGGGAAGTTTGTTCCATTCCATCATTCGCACATGATCGCTGCTACACAGCGCAGTGCTTATTTTGCAGGTTTTATCGCGTTATTCCATTCGTAAGGGAGCACAGGTTTAGTTAAGGTTTTATAGTGATTTCAGTCCAGTAGAATATTGACACACACAGAAAAATCAAAACTATTTAAAATTACAGCATTAAAGCTGTTCGATTCGACAGTTTATATAATCGGTCAGTGTCCCGCTGATTCCAGCTAGAAGCTGGCTCTTGTCGCGACGAAAACTGTTCTGTGTATTATAAGAATGTTAAATGTTCCGACTGTAAGAGTTCAAGTAATGCCGAATACATTCTCGTTTAGAAACTATCCCGCTGTGTGAAATTTGCCTAACAGAACCATAAAACGATGTAACTTTCCTGATCATGAGCAACACGACAGCGTGAGATATGGTGACGCTGTTTTACGGTGTGCTTCTTCATATCTGTTCTGCTCCTTGGCCGGCGGCAGTTTAGTTTCCGGGCCCGTCCAGAACTGCTCACAACTCCACAGTGGACCATATGCATACTGTTGCGGCTGTATTTCAGTTGCGCAAGTGGACCTATTTATAAATTTCCCGCAATGTGTTGCGATCATACCGCAAAAGAGAAATAAAGGAAAAGTAAGTATTACTTGCACAACGAAAAATGCGCGTCGGCTGCCACATGAGTTTGCTCGAGAGTCGAGAATCGAGATAGACTCAGCACATCGCTGCGCGTAATGAGGTGAGCACTGCAAGCGCTATGCTTGGACAGGACTTACTTTAACATTCATCATCAATTTAAAAAATTAAAACCAACTGCAGCGTCCTCGTGCACATTGAACTCTTTTTGTTGTTTGTTTACACCGTATTATACAGAAATACATATCCAACGTTTACAACCCATCTACTCCCCACTAGCTACAAGTACAGACTGTACTAGTACTGTATAATTTAGGAAAGCATGCAATCTGCATGAACAGCGGTATGAAAAGAATAGAATTTTAACTCAACATGGCCACATATTAACTAACAATGTAAAGTATTTAATATTATACTGTACTGCATATACTCGTATTTTTATAATGGCAACGCAAAACTTATCAGTAACATCAGAAACCGTTAGGGAAATTCTGATAAAGTTGATAAACTAACAACTGTGTATTATTCATCTAGAAATGCTAAGTAATTATTGCCAAGCATTGCAAAATTACTTTGAGTAACTACCGCTATTAAATCCCGAACATTTTTCAAACCGCTGCAGCGAGCACATACAGTAATTACCTTTTATATTATTAATTTTCATTCACTCGTTCATCTTCCATCCCGGTGTTGCTTTTCCCACGGGTTCTACGGATGCCGGCCGGACGAAAGTATGTCCGACAACTGGCGACAAGTATTTAACTATATATAGGTAGATGAACCATCTACACTTGCTTGATTTTATTACTGTATATGGATTGTAACGCACTAACTATAATAAAATAAAATTTCTAAAACATTGTTGGTGTAAATTCTGGAGACGATCTTATGGACTTTAAAGCTTCTATAAAAGTGTCTGAGGTAATTATAGTTCAACTGTATTTACTGTAGATAATTTCTAATTTTCTAGTAACTTTCCACACAGTTTCTTGGTAAATTATAATAAAGCCTCAAGGTAGCTGCTTAATAATGCACATTCTACTGTACCGGTGCCGGGCGGTGCGGTAAACGCAAGAAATCGACATTTTTTAACTGCGATTCATCGCTATCAACGTCTACAGAAGTAAGTATATTAAAATATGGAAATACAATACTTCTGCATATCCTGGAAAGTCTGCAATAAAGAAGTAGCCCAACCGGCATCTAAAACTCAAAATTAATGACATGACAGTCATGACATGACTATTGTACAGTACTGGATGTATTGTACAGTACTCTAGAACAGTGCATAGAACTGATAGAAGTACTGCATAATGAAACTGACGTGAATACTGCATGTATATATCGGAAAAAGTTTCATCAGCAAATTTGTAGCGAGAGGAGACGCAGACGAAGTGTTCGTCCACAAATCTTATCTGCATTTTTTTATTAAAACTTTGTGCCAGACAGTTGGATTTTTGTTGGGTTCCGCTCGGTATTCTCTCCAGGCACAAAGTGAACTAAGTGCTAGTGAGATAAGCTGCCGTAGAGAATTTACTTTCATCCCATCATGGAGCAAAAAGGACGAACCAAAGTGAACGTGCTCTTGCAAATCGAGAAAGATGTCCAGAATGAATGGCAGAAGAAACGTGTATTCGAGGAGGACGCTCCCGAGAAATCTGGGTACAGTTGTCGCCATGAACTGACTGCAGACCTCATTTTTGGGTTTTGTATTGTTGATTTTTAATTTTTTGTACAGAAAGCCCAAGTATTTCGTAACATTTCCTTATCCATACATGAATGGCCGACTCCACCTGGGACACACATTTTCGTTATCGAAATGCGAGGTGCGCTTTACCGCATGGAAATTCTGGTCTGGTTTACATTAGTTATTGGCTGTGTTTAGTTTGCTGTGGGCTACCAACGGATGAAAGGAAAACAGTGCTTGTTTCCCTTCGGTTTTCACTGCACCGGTATGCCCATCAAGGTACCACGTCGACTGGGTTCGTTGCGGTTCTTCCGAATTTTTCTCATGCTGTGTAATGTGCACATTGTAGGCCTGTGCGGATAAGCTGAAACGGGAGATGGAGCTGTATGGAAATCCGCCGGTATTTCCCAGCGATGAAGAGAATCAGGAAAATGCAGCCGTGGAAGATAAGGGACAGGGTGATATTGTTGATAAATCCAAAGGCAAGAAGGTACATAAGTACGCGTACTGCCCCGTTTGCAGTTTGTTCTCTCTATTGCGGATTTCGATTTTGGGGGTTTTTCCGTTGCACTTTCCCGTTTATTGTTCGAACTATTTTTGCTGATGTTTAATTTGTGAATTTATTGCGGGTTTAATTTGTGAATTTGTTGCAGCCCGAAAATTCTCGATTGATTGCAGAGCAAAGCTGTCGCTAAAGCGGGTTCGGCGAAATATCAGTGGAACATCATGCAGGCTTTGGGCATCGAGGATGAAGAAATTGCAAAATTTGCCGACACCGCTTACTGGTTAACGTATTTCCCACCCTTGGCCATGGATGACTTGAAGAGCATGGGATTGAAGGTGCTTTATTCCTCTTAGCCCTTCGATGTTCGGAATGTCTATCTGTACACTTTTGAAAATCATGTCAAAGATTCTGTTGTAGGCTGACTGGCGACGTTCTTTTATTACAACGGATGCCAACCCGTTTTATGATTCCTTCGTGCGCTGGCAGTTTATTCGCCTGAAAGAGCGTGGCAGGATTCAGTTTGGCAAACGGTATGGCCGTAAAACTCTTGCATTCGATACATTTGACTTGGAATAAAAGTGAATTAAAGTTTTCGGAAAATTTTTTTTTGTCTGTTGGCGTTTTGCACTAAACAGAAAAGGTCGTAGTGGAAACGATTTACTGGTACTCGTAATTTTTGGTGGCACGGTCACATGCAACTGAAGTATTGCAACATCCTTCTTCAAAAGTTTTTGTACGTCCTGTGATATACAGTGGCTGTCGAATACGTAGAATGTTTACAGCCGACATATTGTTGTTTCTGAAGCAGTACCAAAATCGTGCTGTTGTTGTGGTCAAAATTGGAATTTTATTATGGATCATTCTTGCAGATATACGATTTATGCTCCCTTGGACAATCAGCCATGCATGGATCATGATCGAGCATCCGGCGAGGTCCGTGTGCTTGTAACTGCAATAGTATACGAAATCGGAAAACAGGATTTGGTGTGTTTTAGGGAGCTGGACCACAGGAATACACCTTAATTAAAATGCAGGTTCTGGAACCGTATCCTGAGACGTGGAAGTAATATTTCTGACCCGTGAATACGAACGATGACAATCCCGACTTAGACTATAAATAGGGTATTTTCTAGGAACATGAACGACAGAAAAGTTTTCCTAGTTGCCGGTACGATGCGACCGGAAACCATGTACGGACAAACAAATTGTTGGGTGCAGCCCGAGGACAAAGTCAAATACATTGCATATGAAATGAAGAACGGAGATGTTTTTATTTCCACTGAGAGAGCCGCGCGGAATGCGTCTTATCAGGATTTAACGGAGGATTTTGGCAGATTCAAAAAAGTGAACCTTAAAGGAGACGGAAATGTTTTAACTGGACAGGTACGTTTTGTCCCTGAAATGCCACGATAAAGAACTCTACAATTTGGAATTGTTTTAGGATCTTCTGGGTTTGAAACTGAAAGCACCATTAACTTCCTATCCACACATTTATGTCCTGCCTATGTTTGACGTGCAGGGAAACAAAGGTATTGGTAGCAATTTTTATGAACTCCGGTTGAATGATCCTGAATGGCACGCATAACGAGTTCGATTCCATCATGGAATTCGATACCTGGTAGCGCGTGCGATATTATCATCCAGTTTGTCACAGCGTTTCTTCGTTATTAGTTTGGGCGCTTTGTTTAAAGTGGATGACATTAAAAAGGCAACATTCGTCTTTAAGAAACATAATGCAGTATTTGTCAACAAGTCATTTGAAACCCTGATATTTTAATTTCTTGCCGTAGGAACCGGTATTGTTACCAGCGTTCCGTCCGATGCTCCTCATGATTATGCTGCTCTGCGAGATTTGAAAAACAAGCCGGTAAGATATTGTCGACGGGACGACAGCTCCCTTACGCTCACTTGATAAACTGTGATATAATGATGTGTATACCAATAAGACTCATATTAGACGAGAGATATGAAACAGTGTTTTTATCTTTACAGGCGATGCGGTCGAAGTATAAAATAACGGATGAAATGGTTCTCCCGTACGAACCGGTAAGGATTCTTGCCTACGAAAGGTCAAGAATAAAACGGACTGGGGACGAATACAAATCTTTAAATTTTTCTAGATACCGATTATCGAAGTGCCGGAGTATGGGAATCTATCCGCTGTTACTGCCTGTGAACTTTTAAAGATTCAAAGTCAGAATGATAAAGATAAGCTGGCCGAAGCGAAGGAGCGTGTATATCTTAAAGGATTTTACGAAGGGGTGCGTGACGTGATGCATTGGGATTCCCAAAAATACGATTAGTCTCCTGTTATTTGTAGACCTTGATCGTTGGTCCGCACGCTGGCAGGAAAGTCCAAGAGGTTAAAAAATTAATTCAACAAGAGCTGGTTCAGCACGGTGAAGCCGTTGTGTACATGGAGCCGGAAAAAGAAGTTATTTCCCGTTCAGGAGACGAATGCGTCGTTGCGCTGTGTGATCAGTGGTATGGCTTAGTTTCATTGCATTTGTGCAGCTTCTAATATGATTGCTACAATTTCTGAATTGTGTGTTTTATCGCTCTTGGTAGGTATTTGGATTATGGGGACGAGGATTGGAAGAACCAAGCACGCCAGTGCCTGGAGCAGTTGGATACATACTCCGAAGATGCCCGGCGAAATTTTTTGGCCACTTTGGATTGGTTACATGACCATGCCTGCTCACGGTCGTATGGGCTTGGTAAGTTAAACCTGGCGACAGAATTTGCTTGATTGAGAAGTTGTTTCATATCGCGTGATGATATAGGCACAAAACTGCCATGGGACCCTCAGTACTTGATCGAATCTCTGTCAGATTCCACTATCTATATGGCTTTTTACGCCGTGGCACACTTATTGATGAAGTCATTGGATGGATCACAACTGGGACCGTTTGGCATTAAGTATGTTCGCCGACTTTATGTGCCGGACGCAGGCTTCTGGGCAGTCAGCGGGGTACTTTTCTTTTGTTGTCGACTATGTAGCGCTGTCTGGTGTTAAAACGTTGCAATGTCCGGCATTTGTGTTTATTTTTTAGTACATACTGTTTTCTCCATAAATACGCTGACTGTTGTAATCAGTGCTGCAACTCTTAACAGGCCAGAACAGATGACACCGGAAGTGTGGGACTATATCTTCTTCGACAACGTTGCATACCCGGACCACACCGGTATTTCCAAGGAACACTTGGATAAAATGCGCCATGAATTCCGACATTGGTATGGTGTGGATATGCGAGTGTCGGGCAAGGATCTCATTCCTAACCATTTAACATATTTTCTGTATAACCATGTGGCTATGTGGCCCACGGATCAGACCAAATGGCCGAAGAGTATCCGAGCCAATGGACATGTGCTCTTAAATTCGGAAAAAATGTCCAAGTCTACCGGAAACTTTTTAACACTCCAGGAAGCAGTAGAGAAGTTTTCTGCTGATGGAATGCGTCTGGCGTTGGCCGATGCCGGTGATGGGTTGGAAGATGCCAATTTCGCTGAGTCAACGGCTGATGCGGGTATTTTACGTTTGTTTACCTGGTTGGAATATGTGAAGGACAGTGCACAGTTACCGCTGATCGACCGGGCGGAACTGACATTTAATGATCGAGCATTTAAGAACGAAATGAATTTTAGAATTCAGGAAACGGAAGCTAATTACGAGAAGACATTGTTTAAAGAAGCTTTGAAAAGCGGATTCTATGAAATGCAGATGTGTTTGAGTCGGTATCGGGAATTCTGTGGTCAGCAAAAAATGCATCGGGAATTGTTGGGGAAATTTTTGGAAGTGCAGACTTTATTATTAACACCTATTTGTCCGCATGTTTGTGAGCACATTTGGAAGATTCTCGGGAAGGAAGGAAGTATTATGAACGCACAATTTCCAGTGGCAGAACCGGTGGACGCAATCTTATTGCAGGCGTCGCAGTATGTCGTGGACATGTTGCACCAGTTCCGTATCCGTTTGAAGACGTATCTGACGCCGCTGAAAGGGAAACCATCACCTGGTAAACCGACGCATGCCATTGTGTGGGTGGCAAAGACTTATCCCAGCTGGCAGAATGCGGTGTTGAAGACTCTCCAGGGGTACGCAGAGAAGAATGGACAGCTACCGGACAATAAAGAGATTCTGAAGGATCTCAAGGGGAATGCAGAGGTGGCTAAGTTTATGAAAAAGGTGATGCCGTTTGTGCAGATGATGAAAACGAAATTCGAAACGGATGGCTTGAAGAGCTTGGCTACCGAATTGCCGTTTGATGAGCGGGAAACTTTATTGGCCAATATGGACTATTTGAAACAGACCTTGGAGGTGAGCGATTTGGAGGTGAAATATGCCGGGGAATCTGGTGATGCTAATTTGGTGGAGGAACTGTGCCCGGGTGAGCCGCGGATTGTATTTCGGTCGGAAGTCGTTGCTAACGGAATTTAAGTCAGCTGGTTGGCAGCTTTGGTACAAGTTCTTGTCATATTTTCTTGATTTAAGGGTATGTCTATATAAATATACGAGTATTTGTTTTTTATTATTAGTACTCGTAGTAACGTGCACTCTAACGGTGTGTATGATGACGTTGGGAACGTTGTTACGTTATTGGTTTTACAATTTATCTGCTGCTTAGCATTGTATTTTAATAATATAAAGAATTAGGAAGGATTCAAACAAATATTCCTCACAACATTTTTACAAAGTACTCTGTATCATCACAAATCTTAATTCGTGCACAAACTGAAAGCACCATCATGGTTACATTTATTTCGCAGTTCAATTTATTATTATACATAATAATACCGTTGTTGATATCCACATATAACATTAAAAAATTTAAATCACAAAAACATTAGCACAAAGACCGTTCGTCGGAAACAGGGCAAAAACATTACTGTTAGCTTTCAATTTCCTGTCAGATTCGCCTAAAGAAGATTCCTTTGCTTTCTCATCTTCTCTGATAATGTCGACCATCTGTAATAGTTTCCAAATGCAACGCCTCCGAACTGCAGCAGTAAACAGTAAAACCAGTCAAAACCACTTACCTCCTCACAGTCTAATTCCAGATACCCATTAATATCAAATTCCGTTTCTGGCAACGGATGATCCAAATGCTCGGCTAGTTTTCTGACTTGCATGTTATAATGCTCTTTTAAGGTCTACAATCACAAAATCAACATCAGATGATAACAGCTGTAACAAAAGTAGCATCAATGGCCGACACAATCCGACGCTTACTTTTAGCTCCCATAGCGAACTTTGCAGTGCCCGGCACTTTTGCATATCGGTTTCGTTCATCACATATGGATCAGAGCGGATATCTAAACAAATCAAACTGAAAATCAACAATGGGTACTCTCTTGCACTGCCAGAGTGCCAGTTACTGTATTATAAATTCAATTACTGCTTTACAGTGCGCGATCGTAAAGAACTTCAGTAACTTACCATTTGCATCGTCCGGATTATGTAACATAATAATCAAGCTGGAATGTCGTATTAATAAATTCATTGTAAAGATGAGCAGTAAAGGTAAGCTTTCTGTTGGGGCAGTTAAACTCAACCGCGATAATCGTTTAGCCACAGCGGCTACCGTGTATGCCGGAATATGTCTAGAATCATAATATTCATAAACATAGCAAAACGGTTATTCAAGCAGTGTGCATTAATTAAAGCGCTAAAATTTTTTCAGATTCGTATTATCCATACGACTTACGAGGATCCCATGAACAAATCGGCCAAATGAAAAAATCGCGCGCGGTACTTGGATTCCAAAATTTGACTCGTCAGAAGCATGTAGAAGCGCTCATAAAACTGAGGGAAATCCAAATGATGTGTTTGAATTAAAGTAAATAGACCATTCAGCGCGAGGACGCTAAGCAGACCGCCTGCAAGAAGAACCAAGATTCCTTGTTCGTACCACACAAACAACAATTTATTCTGGCATTTACCTTTGGAAAATATTGTAACCAGATAGTCGGCCAAAAACAATGGCCGGGAAAGGTTTGGTATAATGCGGTCATGGATGTGGAGCAAGATCTTAACATGCACCGCGCGAGAGAGCTAAAACAGAAACATATACACCGAATAAACTCTTCAAAATAATTACAGAAAAGTCAGTTACAATGAACAAGTACTGTAACTCAAAAGGGATCGTTGAAGCGTTTAACGTACACCACCATGGTTACATGGAACCTAAGAGCATTCCCCGCAGAATGCCCCTACACTACGAAAATTTGCGATTTATGGTCACTGTCTTCCAAAGACGAGTGGTTTATGAACTCACGCCGACTGTAACCGGCGTGAGTTCACAGGAAATATGTTCAGAAACGAGAGCGTCATAGCGCTAACCTTCAACTTAAGAAGCTCCATAAAAACATGTGCAAAACGCTCACGAAGGATGTTCTCTTGGGCACTTGAGTGCGTCGATCCATCAGCTGCTCCGTCCTGCTCTTTCCGACCATTGGCATTGCGTTTCATTTCTGTTTTTCGCCTCGATTTCCCACCCAGTTTCACAGTATGCAACAGTTTAATAATCTGCATCTGGTAATTCTCATTCTAAAAAGGATGCAGGGGGTTTTTCTGAAAACTTAGCGACAGATCTTGAAACGGTAAGAAAGGCGTATGTGGGCTGAACAAACTACAGGCATGAAACACCAACCAAAACTCAGTTTCAAAGCACCTGTTCAACGAAACCCGCGTTCTTCGGAATGAAATCCTGCAGCAATCTAAACAGCGATATCAGCGACCCCTTGTAAGGAACCGGCGGATTCCGCAAAATTTCTTCTGGGACGATGTCCGGCATTCTGGAAATCTCTGTCGATGGGAGGCAAGCTGCACGTACTGTACAAGTTGCAGATACGGGTACCGAACCTTGGAAAAATTAGCAATGAAAGTAGCAAAATTTTCAAAGCGGTAACATAGAGACTCAACAACAGCGTAGGTATACTATATACACCACACTGTGCACTATTTCGGCTCGAATCCCGTGCTTCGTACCGAGAAAATGCATGCCTCGGCTTGTCGTAGCCCTGCCCCACGCCTTTCTCATTGGTCTCATTTTAAAATGCCCCAATCAGAAAAAGAATTTAATTCTCTATCGAATGGTGTATGGCTTATCCAGAGTACCACTACATTGAGCCACTATAAACGTTGTAGACCCAGTCGCACTATACAGAAGTTGCTGTTCTGTTGCATTTATCTTTTGAACTAGGACGATTTACCACAACTTTACCAAATCCACAAATTTGTAAACTCTATCATCTTTCGATTTCATTCAGTTTTGGGATGAAAATCTCCCCGGGAAACTCCGGGTGTTGGAATAAGTGCGAACTGTGAAATCTGGTGTTTTGTACGTTAGGTTCCCTGGCAAACGGCATACTGATAAACTTGCATTCAGCATGTCTGCTTTGCTGAAACTGATAAAACTTGATACATACATTCAAAAATTTTGAGTTGTCTAGCTTGTTACATCTTTTTAGAATTTTGGGAAGCCACAGAACATGAGCTAAAATCGTCTCTCACGATGATTAAGACATTAGGGCTACCGCACACGAGTTTCTGTGGCTGGCCCCATGCTTTAAGTATGCAGTGGAGATCGGCTCATATTCGGGCTGGCACGGCTAAAAATGCGGTTCCTCGTAGACGCTATTGTGGGACGTATATTCCCATCATTCCTGCTTTTTGGAAAAGAAATCTTTTTCTTTCAATTTATTCAAAAACACTAAAAAGTTTTAGATTTTTTTCTCTACAAAACAAGCCTATGTGAAATACGACTAAGGCCATACAGGAAAAGTGGTTTTTCGCTGATAGAGTCTCTACGGTAACATCGTAACAATGGCCAATGGATCCAAGTCATCCAACTGCCGTCTGCCGATACAAAAATTCAGATACCACCCAGTTTCCGAATGCACATTCCGCGTTCCAATAATTAACAATTAACTGAATTAAGGTCGCAAAAGAACTCACGCTTTCAGAATACTGAAAATGGTATTATGGTAGTAATCGCCAATCGGCCCGATTATTAGCATACAAAATTAACGATAAATATTACGATTAATTTTCAGGGTAAATCTGATATATCTATATACAGTACCATAATATTACTAAACTAGAAGGTATCTAATCGACTACGATGACGTCATGATGGAGGAGACGCACTGTGCGACGCATGGGCAACCCCTGCGGGTTTTGTGTTTATCAAAACTTTCAAATTCATTTAATTCGTTTGTACTATGGCTCAAAAAATGCAGCAAAAAATTCTGAGTGGGAAAAATAAAAGTTCGTAAGGGAAACGATGTCAGAGAAGCGAAACTTTTATGGTTTGCTTTATTCCCGTTAGCATACAGGTCTATGGCATCTTTGCCGTAGACCTCCATGCTAAACAAAATCTACGAAAATCTTTGATTTTTGGTTTTCGATGAAACGAAACGCCCAAAACCTGATCAGTCAATCGAAACAGAACAGACAAAATTTTATCTATCGACCAAAGGCATTAAAACTGGCAACTTTTGATTCTGAGTCTCTGACTCAAAACAAGTGATTTTTGCTTAACATAGAGGTCTATGGCAAGCTGCCTCGAAGACCTCCATGGCAATCAAGAATTGCGTAAATCGATAAAGTTTCCTTTTCCTGACAACGTTTTACTTACCAACTTTCACTTTACAAACTCAAAATTTTTTCCCGCATTTTTTAAGCCATACTACGAGCGGATTGCACAAATCTGAAAGTTTTGATAAACACAAAACCCGCACGGGTTGCCCACGCGTCACACAGTGCGTCTCCTCCACCGTGACGTCATCGTACAAAGTGCAAGCTCGATTAATTACCTCAGTATATAGTAATATTATGACAGTACGTATACGAAAGACAAAGTATGTTTCGAGTCTCGAGACTCTCGACGTCTGCTTGTGCAGGATTCTGGTTCGTTTGGTTCGCTATACTTTTTGGTTCTTGCCAAGAACGGCCTGCCAAAGCAGTTGGTGCTTTATATGACTCGTAAACGATAACGCAGAAACATTTTCCAAGCTGGTTTGTTGTGTTATTTTTCGCGTTAGGATTGTACTTACGCGAACGTTCATTCTTGATTTTTCGGTTGTTCTAGAGGTTGCGAAATGAAATACTTATGATTATTCGCTATTGTCTATTGTGTTGACGGGTGGTATGCTATACACACTGACTGTTGCAGCTTGTAGGTAGCCGTGTCGAGAGGAAATACGGATGTCATTACAGATATTTATTTATTCTCCGATCTGTGCCAGTTATAAAGCCATAAAATACAGTAGATTGATCCATCCATATAACCGTTCGACATTTTACTGGAAGGGCAGGCTCCGCCACAAAATATCGAGCGCATCTTATGGGAAGGGTACGTGACGCTTCCTGACTCATCGTTTACCAACTGCTTTTGCTAATGCTCTCCAGAACAGCAACGCAGCATTAATCAGGCAGGTTTCTTTTGACGACTTGAACAGTTTATTCCTAATAAATGGATTACGCTTGGTTATCAGTTATACGCATGCATTTGGATACTTTTTAGTGCATCTGGAATCTGGATAGTTTTCAGTAATACTTTAGTAAGCTGTAAATATGCCACCGAATTGCCGAAGCCTAAAATGTTGTGCTGAGCATAATGTTAAAAAGTAAGGCGAAATCGTCTTCCGTTAAAAAAACTGTGATTCCATTAGCTATTAGGAAAAGCTATTTCTGAATTTTCTGACTCTCATGTGACAAGGTGTGATGATTTTTGTTTTCCATTTAGCGGATTAATCAGCGGATAATATTTCTCGGAGAACATCATGTCGAGCTTGAGTAATTTGCCGAGGGCGATTACGCAGAAGATCATTCGGCCCAATCCACTTCAAGCCGAACGGGAAGAATATGAGCGGATTCAGGTACACTGTACAGATTTTGTTTCTCAGCACTATGCGACTTGAATCATTAAGAATGATCAAGAACGAAAAAGTCGATGGTATGCATTTTTCAGTTTTTTTTTTGTTTCCACATCAGTTTTTTTGGTAGTTCAGTGCGCAGTGGCAGAATTGATTCACGATGGTAAAACGTGAAGCTTTTAAAATCAGCTCTCAGTTTTCGATTTTTCTCGACCTTCACTTTTTCGTGTTTTTTGTTTGCGTATCTAAACTGTCCTTCCACTTTGCGTAAAAGTTTGCCGGTTAAACATTGCAGTTTTTGAAGTAAAATGTTAATCCTCGAAGCGCAGAGCTTTTCAGTTTCGTTTAATTTACTTCTGTCGGGTCATTCAAATGATTAATAAAACTTTGTGGAGTACGGGCGCATTCTTTGTTTGGAGCTTTACGAGCGCTAAAATTTATCTTAGAACGATAAGGACCACAATAATAGACACTGAGTAGATTTGCATATTTATCTTCCAGTGTCCATAATCATATCTTGGGCAAACTGGCTCGCGGCGTAAAGTTGTGTGTTTGTTGCATTCCATTAAAGAGATTAAAACATTACCTTATGAACGGCCGTCATTCTTTCTAGGCTTGGCTGTGCTAAAAGATATTAGTCTTATTTCGTTTACATTCTTTTTATGCTTCAGTAAACAGTTCCGTCCGTTTGTTGCGGAGAGTGCTCCATTGTTTACTTACTGGAACGGCTCGTGGTCAAATCTTAAAGCGGCTGACTTATATCGTTTTCGAGATTCCAGACTTGGCAAAACTTTTGGCGTGCTGTACATTTGAATAATTTATAAATAAACTATCCGCGATAGAAATTGAGGTATTAACCAAAGAAACCAGCGGAAGATTAACACACGGTAAAGAACAAGCGTTGTTATAATGTAGCTTATAAATACTTTTGTAATTTGCTCTCGAGCAATGCTTACAGTTGGATTTGTGAGATATATGAAAGCCATTAATTTTAGAGGATTTTGCAGTAGGTGAACCTGTGTATAGCTTGTTCTGATTAGACGATACAGTTTTTCGGTGCCTTTATTAAAAAAAACAGACGTAATAAATCTTGAAGACAGGACATGGCAAACTGTTTTGCACAGTCCATGCATGCTTAACGGTTTTTAAGTGTTTATTAGTCGGCATTTCGGAATTTGGAATAGTGAAGGATTAATCGGTTCAATCCGAATTTAATCGTTATCGGTTTATATTGATACAGTTGTGGCGATTCTTTTTCTTTTGAACGGCGTGAGCGATTAGATTGGAAAGCGCATGGTTTTTCGTGGCGGTTGTGACTTTTATGAGCGGCTTAAACATATGGATCGCGCGCATACGAAGATTAAAATATGAAAGCTATGGAATTTGTGTATCTAAAGGCTCTGCAGTATGCGCCAGTACATGTTTTGAGGAATCATTGAAATATTTACCGTTACAATTGGAGGCGGTGTGTTTTGATAAGTGGTTATTGCATAAGACCAGCTGTTTCGCTTGCGGATTATGCCAGGTTGAATAAACTTTGTGCAACGTGCCGGCCGGATTTGGTTTGATAATTTGGTATTCCGATTGACCAGACCCCGCTTGAATTGTCCATAAACACTTGAAAGGTCTACGTCAACTGTAACACTAAAATCATGGCGACTGCAGTGAAAAAAGCGGAGGTAGGGACCTTCGTCGGTGCGGTTTTGCCCACAAACACTTATGAATGCTGACATAATAAGTACATGAACGAATACAAGTCTAACGAGATATAAAATTTCAGCTTGAAACCGAATTTTTAGAAGTGTTTGCCTGACATAAGAACAGTATATAATTATTTCTGTGATATTCGTAAGATAACAGGATGGCCATCCTCCCTGGAGGCAATATTCAAGATTACTCCTTTCGGTATACATATCTGTAAGCTAAAGTGAACGAGCTGAATCAGCTGTTAATTGCTATGGTGTTGTTTTTATACTTAAGTTTATGTCTGCGAATCTGCGGCACCTTACTTTTTGTGCGTTGATTAAAAAGATTTTTGTTAAGCGTTCTGAGGCGTTCCGCTGTGACCAATTTCCAGTTTTGTTAATTGCGTTTTTTCAGCCGAATAAGTCGTTAGGAAACTATCTGTTTCTGTTTGAATCAGAACACACTTTCTGAAGTTAATTAGAACAATTTCTGAAGTTAATTAACTAGGTGTTATGGGGCTGCTGGACACAGGCTAACATGCGTTATGCAGTGAGAACGCTGCAAGTGATATGTTTAAAAACTAACCAGCTGAGCTTTTAATGTGTTAACGATTGCAGTAAAAGATTATGCCGCCACTGTTCCTGAAAAGTCGTACTTATAGTTTGTTTGTGTTTGCTGTCAGCAGTGAGAAATTTGAAATTGTACGTTTTCGCAAGAAAATGTTGACTGTAACCGACTGTTTTTCCTTGTATGGGTGTTTGCCACCCATTGAATCACGAAAGAAATAAGCTTAAGTCCTTATGTATTAAGAGTGTTTCGTGTTTCTATGAAAACAACAATGCAAATTTTCAATGCAATGCAACAACAATGCAACAATGCAACACGTTTTTCGTGTTTGTATGAAAACAACAATGCAAATTTTTCAGCCGTTTGTGTTGTGTATTGTATAGTATTTTCTTATTTTTATCAACGTGAACATCTTTTGCGATGCTAAGGTAGTTGCGTATAATATAAATTAGTAGGCTCCGCATACCACCTTTATACCACCGTTGGCTCCTAGTACCACCTTTCATACCACCTTTGGCTCCTAATACCACCTTTTGCACACCACTTTTGACTCCGCATACCACCATTTAATTTTTTAAAGTTAAATTTTTAATTTATGTAGTTTAATTTATTAACATCAAGAAACGAAATCCAAATCTTTCTGTGTACCGGCTGGAAAAAGGTATGTACCAACTAGCAAGTTGAAGGCATTCAGTATCGCAACCGACGCTATGGAAAAACAGTACGAACACACATCGGAAATTTGTTTTCGTACTGTTTGTATGGAAGCGTGTGTCCGTAAAGTTCGTACATAACGCTACGTTGCGAACATTGTACACCGAACACGGTATCCGAAAATGGCTGGTAGTAGTGGAGTAATTTGAAAAGACCAGGATTTAATTTTATAACCTCCATGCAACATATATGTACATGAAGCGCAGCGCGTCGATTTGGACGCGGCTGCATTCGGTTTTCCCAGATATCCTTATTAATTCATAACACTACAGCTGCAAAAAAAATTAAATGGTGGTATGCGGAGTCAAAAGTGGTGTGCAAAAGGTGGTATTAGGAGCCAAAGGTGGTATGAAAGGTGGTACTAGGAGCCAAAGGTGGTAAAAGGTGGTATGCGGAGCCTTCACCTAAATTTAATTAGAAACTTGCGTTATATTAGCAGGTGCTATGGTATTTCGTTTCCTTAACTCTCGGGATTATGTGTAAAGCAGAGGCGTTCTGTTTTGAAATAAAAATGGCGGGTGACGCAAATTGAGGAACCATACTCGTTTGTTGATAATAATTCATGATTGGGTGCTGAGTCGCTGACCGCTCTGCTAACATCACGTCAACGGTTATTTACGGACATGTCGAACCAGAAACGTATATTTATGCTGTTTGACGGACTTTTCAGATGACTGCCCTGCAAAAGGCCGTCAATCCAGAGGAAGTACCGGCCAAAGAAAAGCACATTCGCACATTGATTATCGGCACTTTTCAAGAAAAGGGTGCGCATACGTTCTGGACCTTCATTAATTCGCGTATCCCCGTGCAAGGGAATCCCGTAGTGGCGTGGAAATTTTGTTATGTCCTGCATAGAATCCTGCGTGACGCTCATCCAAGTTCTCTGAAAGAAGCCTATGTGCACCGGCAGTTTGTAGGAGACGTGGGTCGATTATGGGTCAGTCGGTTGCTGAATGGGCACTTGTTCGTTGCATTGTGGCGAAACAAATATCCATTGTGCGGTGACGTTTCAGGGCCATCTCAAGCTTGGATATGGTCCGCTGATCACTAAGTATTGCGAACTACTAACGGTCAAACTGGATTTCCACAATAAGGTGGGGCTTAAGAGACATCGGCGTTTTTTTATAAAAGCTCATTATAATGTTGAAGCTTTGGTCCAGAATAATGGTCGTTCGAATTCAGCTTATCTGCAGTTTTGCACCGCGGCGTTTTAGGAGATCACGTCATGCTAACTGGAATATATTCATGTTTTCTCCTTGCAGAATCCCAGATTCCCAGGAAATTTACAGATCAGCAACGATGAACTGGGCAGAGTGGCCGAGAATGACGTGAATAACTAGTGAGTCTCTGTTTGTCTTGTCGTGCAGAAGTTTTTATTCGAATCGAAGGAGGTTACAGTCAGTAAAAGGTTTAGGGTGTTTAGGCCATTTAACGTTTCACTGGCGGTAGCAATTTATTTGCTGTCAGAATAAAGTCTCTGCTTTTCTGCTCTTCTTTACTACGACTGCTATATGTTAAGAATTTATGATCTTTTTCTAGTTTCCAGTTATCAGTGGAAATGTTTGACTACATGGAGCAAATTCTCGATTTGGCCAATGTCATGTTTGGGCAGTTCGATATGAGCCGGGCTAATTCCATGACAAATGCCGGACAATGCCGGTTGATTGTTCTCATTCCTTGCATCATGGATTCCTGTCAGCTTTATGACTTCATCGTCAAGATGATGTTTCGACTACATTCCTGTAAGTGTTGTGAGGTTCCTGCCTTCAGTGTACGCATATTGCATGGTGTGAATGGTTTGTAACTTTGTATTGTAGCACTGCCTCAGGACGTCTTGTCGGGACACAGGGAACGATTCAACAAACAATTCAAGCTGTTGCAGCAGCTGTACTACTCCTCCAGCAATTTACAGTTTTTCAAAAATCTGCTGCAAATTCCATCGCTACCGGAAGTATGGATTTGTCTCTCTTCGCAATCTGTTGATGTTTGCATTCTTCAAGTTTAGTTAACAGCTTCTTCCATTTGTTGCAGAAACCACCTAATTTTTTTTCGGCAAGTGCCATTAATCAGCACGTCACACCTGTAGCTAAGGTACAGGAAACCAAAGAAGCTGAAGGTGATCAAAGCGGAGGATTCCTTGTGGATACTGCAAGCTCTGTGGTAAAGCTAACAAATTTCTATGACCGCTCTGAAAATTTTGTCTCCGACAAGAAGAACTACGTGGCATGACATTTTTGTATTTTATCCAGGTTTCGTTTGACGATCGGGACAATGATTTTCGTACAGAACCTCTAGCCATGGTGACCACTACGAAAACCAATGGTCATCACAACCACAATGGCTTCGGCGATAATTTCGGTGTTCCCCAAGCAGAAATTGTGGAACGGTATATGAGAGTAGTGATATTCCGTTCAGTGTTAACTGCACGCTTGCATTTACCAAAATTTCATTTGTTAAATGTGAACAGAGACCGCATGATCGATGAGTTACTGCAGCGGATTGAAAGTTTAGAAAAGGCAACTGATCGGATTAAATCCGATGATCTGATTGTCATCGATGATCTCCGCAATCGGATTGTCGAACTGGAACGTGATTTTGAAGAACTGAGAGCGCAGCACGAAACTGTAAGGTGTTTTCGGTTTAATTTTCTTGCGATAGTTTTGTTCATAGCCATCTTTTCTATTCTGTGTTTTAATTGTATTTTAGTCAAATTTATCTAAATTTGAAAAGTGTTGTTTTTTTATTTCACACTTTTTTCGTTATGGTTTTGTCACATATCATGATGTCCTTACAGTCTCCCGAAGCAATTGTATTGCACCGGATCGCTTTAACTTTGTCTCAGAGTTTTTTATCCTCTTCTGTAATTTTCAAAAATTTAGTTATAGTGATTACGCCTTCACGGATAATGTTGCTCTTATTGTTGACGGGCGACCAGTGCTCGCCTTCGAGTACTCATGTTTTATTTTTATATAGGAAAAGGCACAACTGCTTCTACAAATCGAAGAGTCAACGAGAAATCCACAAGTCATGGCAAATTATGCAGAAATGGACAGTAAGCAATGAATTTTTTTGAATTATTTTCTGCCAATTGGTTAGTTTTGCACAAATTAAGAATTATTTTGCGTTCTAGGACGATCCAAAGTTGCTGACGAAAAATTCAAGAAAATGCGTGATATTTACAATGAATTACGAGAGAAGCATTTGGTTTTGCTGCGAGCAGTAAGAGCCTTGATAGTATCAGTGTCAGGTTTCTTTATTTTTTGCAAATTTTTATCGATTTTCAGAATGGCGAGACGGAGAAGCAATGTAAGAACCTGAAAAAGAATTTGGAGGATACCGAAAAACAGAAAAACGTGAGTGTGAAATTTGCTTACAATATAACGCATCTAATAATTAATGTTGTGATGCTACTTCCCTTACAGGAACTGAATATTCAAGTGATGAATTTTAATATGGAGAAAGAGCAGTTAACGAAAAGTTTGAATTCCACTTCCAGCGACGCGCAACGGGAAATCAGTGAAAAAACATCGGCGGTTCAGAATCTGGAGAGGCGGCTTGCGGTTAGTGCTGTTTTGCATCACAATGACATTGTGAAACAGATTTCGGTAACTTCCTTGGTTCGAAAGAAACTCCGTTGTATTTAGAAAACTTCACCACAAAGTCCTTAGAAATTTCAAAAAATGTATTACACATAAGTTGCACACTGCGAAATTTTTCTTTTCGCTCTGGTTTCACTGGTGTTTTGATGTGGTGCTGTCAATGGCAGGATTTGGATGCGGAATTGAGTTCACTGCGAGATTCACGAGAAAGCCTCCACCGGGAAAATCAGGCCGCTCTGCAGCGTTATACCGAACTGCAAGAGCAGCTCAAGCTCTCTGAAGCGGATCTGGAGGATTTAAATTTCCAACACAATCTGCAGAAAAAAGCTTTGCGGCAAAGTTTACTTAGTAAGCGATCCACTACTCTAATTCTGTCCGTAATATTTTTGAAATTCTTCTTGCTGTGTGGTCGCCGTTGCTCTCAGCGTATTTGGAAAGATGCAGTTTTATTCAGAATTTAGTCAAACCTAACGCTATCTTCAGATGTGATATCTGCGTCGGCTGTAGAAGAAATTCAACATGCTGTGCACACATGGGAACAGCCCGCTTTCACTACATTAACCGCCACACCTGGTAAAACCGGATAACAACCAACATTTTGTGAATCATTAGTTAGCGTTTTGTCATGAATTAACAGCTGGTGCTTGCAGAGTTTTTGCTGGTCTGTATTGATCCTGCAATTGAGCATATTCAGCAGCTGAAGAAAGCTGTTGAGAAGGATGATGAGAGTAAGTGCTGCTGTCTTGATTGGATGATTCCTTTATCGTGATTTGAATTAAGCTTTAAATAATGTAAATTTTGAATTTACAAAAGGAATGCTGGAATTAGCCAAAGAGTTACAGTTAACATTCCATTTTCTATCTCACTGTCTTATCCAATGCATGGCCACATCCCACATGGCTCCCATTGACCTCACCGATGGTAAGTGACTCATTTTAGAAATTCCTGTTGAGAATCACACTGTACAGAGGCATAACAAAGTAGTCCTCAGTTTACCGGGTGTTGATTGCGAACAACTCAGTTGCGATGCGAGACTTGAAGATATTATTTTGATGAAATGGTATGAGTTTCGTTAAATGTGTCTCGTACAGATATGTTGGGACATGCACCTTGCAACGAAAGCCCTCACTCGTGAGCAGCTTGAACAAACAGTTTGTCGCTGAGTTGTATGTTTTGCAGAGTTTTCGGCACTGGCCAAAGAAATAAGCGAGCATTCCGTAGATTATCTTGACCGCTTCCGTGATAGTCCACAGGATGCCGATCCTATTTTGGCCACTCTGGAACAGAACCTAGAGGTTCTGCAGCAGCTGTCCACTGTTCTCATTCCTAAAGTAGAGGACATCAAAGTGGACGAAGTGGCCGACATGGTAGAGAAAGAGCTGCACGATATGGATAAAGCCATTGAGGAGGCGGCCTTGAAGATCGAAGAGATGCTGGTTAATTCTCGCTCGCAGGATTCTGGCATCAAGCTGCAAGTGAACGCCAAAATCCTTGATTCATGCACTACGCTGATGGCGGCCATACGGGTCCTGGTTAGGAAATCACGAACTTTACAGCAGGAGATTGTAGCTGCCGGGAAAGGTTTCTCATCTCCGAAGGAATTCTACAAGAAGAATCATCGGTGGACGGAGGGACTATTGTCGGCCGCGAAAACTGTTGGACTTGGCGCGAATGTTTTGCTGTAAGGATTAAGCGTGAAGTGTGTAGTACTATGCCACTAGTGGTGCGAGTTTTGAACGGTGCGGTAATAAATTATAGTGAAGGCTCCGCATACCACCTTTGACTCCTAGTACCACCTTTCATACCACCTTTGGCTCCTGATACCACCTTTTGTACACCACTTTTGACTCCGCATACCACCATTTAAGTTTTTTCCAGTTGGTTTGTTATGAAATAATAATGGTACCTGGGACATCCGATTGGTTTGCCCGTGCAGCCAAGTTTAAGATCGGCTCTTCATATAATGCTTCATCGGAGGTTTTAAAATTAAATCATGATTTTTATTTTTACCGGCTCGCCATGTAGTTTTAAGGGTTAGAAGTTCTTTCTTTTCACAACACTCCACTATCCATTTTCGGATACCTCTTTCAGTGTGCGATGTTTGCAACGTTGACAGTATAGACTGCATCCAGAAAAAGAACTTCCGGTGTGTGTTGATACTGTTTTTCCATAGCGTCGATTGCGGTCCTGAACGCCTTCGAACTGCCGTCTTTTTGCAGCTGGTATACCGAAAGATTTGGATCTCGATTCTTGATACCACAAAATTCACTTAGTAGCAGTTTAACTTCTGCTTAAAATTTTAAAATTAAGTGGTGGTATGCGGAGTCAAAAGTGGTGTGCAAAAGGTGGTATTAAAAGCCAAAGGTGGTGTGAAAGGTGGTACTAGGAGTCAACGATGGTATAAAGGTGGTATGCCGAGCCTTCACCATAAATGATTGCGATACTGAAGCTCACCTGCCTGGTTCGTTCTGTAATTTTTGTTCACATTCAAAGAATTTCACCTTAGCGGTTTGCACCCTCCAACACTTATAAGGATGTTTTCATACTTAAATTTTTGTTCAGTACTGATGGTTCCAGTGCAACGCCTGTGTATTAAGAACCATTGTATTTTCAGGGAAGCCGCTGACAAAGTGGTGAGTGGGAAAGGCAAGTTCGAAGAACTTGTGGTGGCGTCTCAAGAAATATCAGCAGGGACCGTGCAGTTAGTGGTGTCGTCAAAAGTCAAAGCGGATAAGAACAGCCAAACATTGGCAGAATTATCCATGGCCAGCAAATCTGTTACTCAGGCTACGGCAACTGTCGTGGCATCGGCTAAGGACTGCGCACAACTCATTGAAGAAAAGAGTACGATTTCAACAAAATTCCGATGTTGTACTTATTTCATTAATGGCTGATTTGTTTTTAGGCGATTTAGATTTTTCCGCATTATCTATCCATAAAATTAAGAAAATTGAAATGGAATCCCAGGTATGAAAGCCTTTTTGTTATGCATGAAGCTTGTACTTGTATGTGGAATTTTTAACAGGTGCGAGTACTGGAACTGGAAACGGAATTAACGCGTGAACGTGAAAAACTGAGCGCTATTCGGCGCCAACATTACTCCATGGCCGGTCAAGAAGGACAAGTGTCATAGACGGCCGCTTTATCTTGTTCGCACTCCTGCTTCTTTTGAAGTTTTTTTCCGGTGTACACTGAAGGATAAACGCAAAGTCTGTTGAGCATACTTTTATGTGATTATACATTGGTTGGCTGTTGCTGTGTGGTTGTTCGGGATTTGACAATTCTTTTATTTTGTTCTGTTTTAAAATTTTACAAATGGGGGTGTACTCATATACCAGTGTGCGTGCAGGTAGCGCTGACTATGACAAACCAAATTCGGCAAGTAATGCTTTGCAATATTTGTTCCAGGTTTAATCAATTATGGGACAGTTGACAGTGGCAGATATAAAGGCTGTATTATGTGCGTTCACATCCTCGAAAAATAATAATAATTTGTATTATAGACTGCCACTTTATAGGCACTGCTGAAAATGTAAAATATAGATATAACAAGTTACGGAATTGTGCTCTGTACAAGCATTAACCACGTAGTATCTGGTGTTTCTGGTAAACCCCAAAAGGGCGCACTTATTGTTAAATTGATAAAACAAACAGGCAAATAGAAGCAATGGGTTGGTTCCCTTCGTTATTGCATTTAAACATGTCAAGCTACTTTATCATTTCATGCACATTGCACTTATAATAGTTACGGGTAAGTACGGTACGTACGTGCAGTATGGTTGCGATATGTTATAATAATACAGATATTTATTATAGCAGTAAGAAATTCAGTATACATTTATTATTGCACTATCTTATCGTGTTAGTTGTCGCTTGCGCGTATTTGGTGGGAAACCCAATCAATTTCCTTCTGAAATCTCGTTATTATCTTTACTGAAGTGCAGTACTAGTACTAAGCCAATTAGGTTTTATTTTATTAATTAACTACGTAGTAACTATATCGGTAACAAATAATATTCCTACGGTACCTGACTACGAGCCTGCTGCTGATTGACCGCGGCTTATTGTTAGAAGTGCACTGTACAATACAGCGTACACAATATGTACAGGTACCGTATCATGCGAGAGCAGGCTCATCATGCTCGTATACCGCGAATGGTCGCTACTCACCACACACACAAAACTGATTGTTTTCGTTTGCTCGCAAGTAAACATAATACATCTTCGCCAGCTGTTTTCGTTTTTCCCACGGTTATTTTCAAAATCCTGACTTTCAAATACTCATGTCTAGCTTTTAGCGTTGATATTAAGTGAATTATATTTACTGATGTTCGCTAAAGAGGTTCTGGTACTTATTTGATTTATGCAATCGATCCATATCCTTGATGGTTGTTAGATTGTCATTGTCACAAGAAATTTGTGGACAAACTTCGGTTCATGGAACATTTCAGTCTCATGGAAATCGGAATTCTTGCACTCTTCTGGTTATTATTAAGGACATTTGCTTTGATAGCTGCGGTAGTATAATATAAAGTCTACCTCCAGATTAAAATGTTATAAACCTGTGAAATACAATTCGGGAGAAATGGTAAGTGTCAATTACGTACAGTACATTCGCTTTTGCAGCACGAGTAGTGTAATTATTATTTGTTAGTTAGTATGCTTCGAAGCAGCAAGTCACTTGTTGCAAGTTGCAACTGTGCTCAACATTGATAAGAACTTCTTGTTGTGGGTAACAATAATTATTAGATTCTTTAGTTGGGTAGGAGTTTACTGTATGACGAATGTGACGATAGTTAAGTAGTACTTTTAGTTTCTTTCGAACTGCCCATTCGACATAATTCGCGCCATATATGATATTATTGGAAAAAAATAAGTATTCGAATATAAAACTGTGGTGAGTGTAATTAATTAATAAGTATTCGATACGTACAGACAAGAGAAAGTGTTTCCTTGAGGTTGGCGGAAAATGCATATTACGTAGTAACACTTTCTCCCATTTACTGGCGTCTGGCATTAACAAAAATTAAATTACTGTACCATCCAGTTTTTCGGATGGCTGCAGGTTGCGGGTTGGAAACTTGCAGCCATCGATATCTCTTACAACTTCTCTTTATGTATATAGGTATTACATTATCGTTAGTTGCATACTTGCGTGCATGTGGATTTTCTTTGTTGCTTTGCTGTGGTAAATCGTATGTGCGTTACTAATAATTATTAGTATTATGCTTTTACTAACGTAAAATTTAGTGGCTTCAGAGGCTTCTGGTACATAACCTGGAAGAAAAAAGCAGAGTAATAAGAAATTAAGAATCATCATTCTAGTGTAGAACAGAAGAAGGAACATTTAAGCATACTACTGGTACGAGCGTATAGTATAAGAGTATATCTAAATATAAATTTAAATAATCTAGATATTTGAATCTATAGGTGTCTACGTTTGTTACATGTTTGTACTGTATTATTAATGTCATAATGCTTCAGTCTGAAACACAAAGCAAAATGAATAATACAGATTCAGTGACGCATTTGTACCACAACTTGTGGTCCACCATTAAATTTGAAAACATTTTATGTATTTCCGTGACATTTCGGGTATTAAATATTAGTTTTTAGAAATTATAAAAAAACATTTAACTGCTCTTTAAGGGGAATTGGTTTTTTTATATAGTTTCTTCGGTTTTCGAAAAACCGTGCTTCAATATCTGTTGTCTGTTTTTGCATTTTAATCAAGATTTCATATATAAATATGCAGAAATTCTTTATCATCTCTCTAACCAATAACCAACATTATCGCTTATCAGTTATCTAACTACCAAATATTATTGTCGTTTGAAAACTGAATAAGGTTTTCGTTACATGCTGTAAAATGATAGGAACATAAAGTATGTTGTACGCCAACAAGGTAACTGTACTTTTTTGTTTATTATACTTGTTAAATTGTTTCGTGTGCTGAAGACACTAGACACTACATTATTAGCGTGATAAAGCAACAATATCGAGCCGCTGTCACTTTTTTAGCCTTGTGCCTTATGGCGTGATCCGGCACAAAGGCATGTCATGGTCACAAATAACACGTAATATCCATCTCGGCGACGCCGAAGACATCCCCGCTATTACCGCTAACGCTCGCAGATTGCGCCACTCACACGCAGTGGCGGCTCGGAGCGGCGGAAGTCCGCCTACTTTTTTAGTCCAGCCGCAAGCCTCTCTCCGTGGTTGCGCCAAACGTTCTCACACACGAGTGTGGCAGTTCTTCTCCTCCGCTTCAAGTGTGTATGTTGTATATGTGCGTGTGTTTATTTGTAGTGCGCCATGAGAATTGACAAGAAAACCTTTACGTCATTGTACAAGAGCTGCTGATGAGCGCAGTGGGCATGTGAGCGTTTTCTGGGCCTGCGCAAGCGGCGTTTGTTCCCAAGATTACAGGCACCTTATCGATCTGCTGCGCGTGGATCCCGCGATCGGCTGCTTTATTTCGGCGAGGAACAGCGAAACGCAGCCGAGAGACAGAGAGGGAGAGACAGAGCGAGCGAGCAGAGGAGTGTGAGAATCTGGCGTTATATTGGCATCTGGGATTGTCCATCTCTTCCCCGTGTGTTTTTTCGGCTCGGGATCGTTGTGGTGTTCTGCTGCAGCCTCGATCGCCTGGTGTTGGTGATTATGTTTGACTAATGTCACACAGTATGCACACAGCGTATCCGACCAGGATTGCTGGTGGTTATTATTGTTGCGGAGTTTATGCTTTTCTTGCGGATATTATGTGAAGCAGCGGAAGACGACTGCGAGGATGCTGATTAAGGAGTACAGGATTCCGCTCCCCATGAGCGTGGATGAGTACAGGATAGCGCAGCTGTACATGATACAGGTACCTCTACAAAGTGTAACATGGTCTCCTTTTTTTCCATTCCGTTGGTCCGATTGTGGCGTATAATGGGAAAGTGGTGTTAAAATTAATGCGAAAAGTGTTAGTAGCCGAAAAAAAAGAAGCGAATGTATTTGTTTATCGAGATGCAGGAAAAATTGCCTGCGTGAATTGCAGGAATGTGCTTCCTGGTTTATAGTGAATTGATTTTTAAAACTCCTACTTTACAGTGCTTATTTGTTCGTGGTCAATGATTAATCACTTGCAGAATATTTTGCCAAGTTTCTTTTTGAACAGACTTCGTTTTGACTCAGCCTGACTTGCATTGCTCGAAGTTCATATTATTATTGCACGCTTGTACTGTAATAAATAATTATACATAGATGTCACATGGTGCACCACATTTTGCGTTTGTTTTTGTATTGGAAAATGCCGGTTTATTGGTTGTGTGTATTTGCACCAACATTTCTGTTACCAACAGTGTTTCAAGAAAAAATGTGACGTTAATATGACAGATGCGGATCTAATGAGTCAAATGTTTTTGGGATTACTTATTGCAGCGCATAACAAATAACAACCGCTGCCCAAGTTAACATTACTACTGTACATTCTGCAGAAAATTCTTAAGTTCGTGTCACATGTTTGTGACGAACACATGTGGGACAGTTAAAAATTGAAACACTATTTTCAGGATGATGGTGTTGTCGTTCTGACGATTTGGGCTTCTGTATCTTCTTTTCCCGTGGTGTTTTGACTTCAGAAAGTAGCTCACCTGAGTCTGTACGTCTATACAGGGTGATTCAGTGGAATTATGTAGCGCCTCTTTGTGTTGGCTTGCGCTATGCAGTATTAACGAGCATGTTTTCTGCCGTTGAAGTAAAATCAGTTGGGTAATATGAAGCTCAATTTTTTTTCGTGTACCAAACGATGTCATCGATTTAAGCGACGACGATAATAACGATGTTTGCACGGAGCTTTATGGTTTCTGAGAAAATATTGATATGTCGTTATCGTCAAGAAGTGCGCTATACCCTACCGGCTGCTTGTTACCTTATTGATTGAACCTTGAAAGCATTATTTTAATGCATGCTTCTCGTGTGGAAAGCATTTTTTCCAGGGTTTTTTATATTTCATGGTTTCTTCTTGTAATCTCGATTGTGTGGTTGTTTCCTATGTTTCCACTTTCCTGTATGGTATCTTGCTTCTGCGTGCACAGTTACGCGCTAATTAGATCGGTGGTTATAGACGAAGCGTAGCTGCAGAACTTGACGCATAAGAAATACAAGTACAGATAATACGTGTACAACACTCGGTCGGATATCGTGATCATTAATACGAGTATTGGTGATAAAAATTAGAAATTCATTATAATATTGTACTGTAGTTGGATACATGCTGTCTGTACTTTCGGTTGTTGTTATTTCGGCAGCCAAGTGTTCAAAATATGGCGCAAATAAGATGCTTTTCATATACATCGTACAGATTCAGACAATTCAAGCTCCCAGTAATTTGTTATCTAACACCGATAGCGCCCAGTGATACAGAAAAAAGAAGATAAAAAGCTAGACTATTTCGTGTTTGGCCACTAGGAGTATATTATAGACTAGAAGTAGGCAATTAGATTCGCAGTCTCTGCAACTTACATTAAATAATATAGCCCACGGAACATGATTTTGCATGTATTGTAATAAATAAGTTGTTGGCAGAAAAAATCTCGGTTGGAATCGGAAGGACGCGACTGCGGCGTGGAGATCATTGAAAACCATCCGTACGAAGGTGGCCCGGGCGGCAGTGGTCAGTTCACTCGCAAAGTCTACCACATTAACCGCATCCTGCCGGCCTTCCTGCGCAGTATCCTGCCCAAGCAGTTTTCTCCCCAGGCGCATGAAGAAGCCTGGAATGCCTATCCCTACACGAAGACGCGCTACACGGCGCCCTTTATGGAGAAATTCTACATTGACATTGAGACCGTCTACCATCCTGATCCCGGCACCCAGGATAATGTCTTTAATTTGTCGGAGGATGAACTGCGTCAGCGCACGGTCGACCTGGTGGATGTGGTAAAAGATCCGATGCCGGCACACGAATACCTGAAGGAGGAGGATCCCAAGGTATTCGTCTCGGAGAAGACCAAGCGCGGGCCACTGAGTGTGCAGTGGCTGGAGGAGTATGTCAGCAATCCCAGGAAAGGCCCGATTATGTGTGCCTATAAACTCTGTCGGGTGGAATTCAAATACTGGGGAGTGCAAAGCAAAACGGAAAAGTTCATCTATGATGTCGGTAAGCCGTGCTTTCGCTTCATATTTTTCTAGAAGATTACTTTCGGATAGAAAAACGGTTTTCATAAAGTTTGAGTAGCGCATTCATATTATACTTAATACCAGAAAGACGAAGGACAATTGCATTTTATTTGGTAAAAACGAGCACTGCTTAGAAAAAAATATGTATGGGAAATTTTGGTAACACCAGCGGTAACATGTGGCACTACCTGGCACGTGTGACACGACTCACCACAGGACTAACTAAATCTAATCTTTCCTACATAGATCAGGTTTTCCACCGAAATTGTTACGATTGTGTTAGTTTTTATTTATATAATATTCCTGATCACCAGTTCGTAATTATTATGTTACAAAAGTGCTGCAAAAGTTGCTGCGAAAACGGATACCAGACCGATTGAATGGCCGTGTAATGCAATGCATTATGCATACATGGTTTTGACTACACGTTCCAGTTCTGTGAACAGGGCAGGACATTCGTGATAGTGCCGTCAGTTAAAAAAATGAATTCACAAATATCATTTTCCACCTGCTAAAAATAGTATCATGTGCGTAAACGCTCGAGCGGGCTTACTCCAGTGTGTTGTGGACTCGTTAAAGATTTGTTTGCCGTAATATTTTAACGATTATTGAAAGACTGATTGCCTTCGGTCTGGCATGTGCAACGATTAACCGTGATGGAAATTGGGCAATTTGTTTGTTCGTAATGGTGTACTTTGGTGTATCCGATTAGCGATGAGGAAGACAATGCTCCGAGCTCATCGACAAGCCTGGTGTTGGCAAGACGAATACCATGGCCTGACCATCGCCGACATTCGCCGTCTGGAACGGGAAACACAGCTGGCGCTGGCTGCCAAAATGGGCTCACAAGGCAAGACTAGTTGTAATCGTTTCTTCGTTAACAGTGGTTTGTGAATTTTGCCGTACTTTTCGGTTCAATTTTGGTGGTTATTCCGCAGTTTTTAGTGCGACGTAAGTTAACTATTGGAAACTGACAAACTGCCACAATGGGACGTTAAATATTTGTGACCTTAGAAACTTGTTTTAGATGAATTTTTTGAATTTTGCAAATATTTCATTGGTGATTTGGCACGTATTGGCAGATGAGAATGCTCCTCCGTCAGGTCCGTTGTTAAGTGTATCCACCCCTTCCGTCACCGTGAACAGCCGCCGCAACAGCACTGTTTTATCAGCTGAATCAGCGCCAGCAGGTAACATCAATAACGGTCCGGTGTTGGAGCGATCACGTAGCGGATCCAAGCAGTCTTTCCATTCACCAAGTAATTTGACCTTTTTGTACACATTACTTTCGTAGCATATGTAACAGCCTGCTAATCTTTAGCCGGCTCATTCGCCCAGGATAATTGGGTATTAGAGGGTCTCCGAACTGATCTCGATGACGGATCGGATGATGAATTTTTCGATGCCGCAGGTATTGCTGGAAAATGATCTAGTTATCGTAATTGAATACCTGAAATATTTCTAGTGTCTGAGCGCTGTTATGTTATGTATTTGCTGTTTGAGAAAGGTTGTGCATGTTTTTCTAGAAACTTTTAATTCGAAGTAAATAACTGAAAAAGAAACACTAACGATAATTGTAGAAACTTTCAATGAGCCAGAAGAAACCAAAGCCAAGCCACTAGTCAGATGGAGCTCGATGGAGCTAACCGAAGACGATGAACCAGTCAGTGCTCAACACAGACAAATTGCCAAAGAAGGTACGGTATTTCGTGATATTGCCAATTTTGAATTGTTCCTGATTATCTGTTCGTATTGGGAAGAAAATCGAGATGCAAATTATGGAATAGAGGTTTTTGTTTCATATTCAGGGAGTCTCAAACAAACAGTCTCACCGTTCGTTTGCTGTTTCGCACTTTAAGTGTTAGTATCATTATTATCACATTTTAAAGGTAGAAGTATACATCGATGCAGTTCACATTATTCTGATTGCTCGAATACTCTTATGAGGCACAGAAATTTACCTGAAACTTACCAATCAAAATATATAAGTAACTATTAAATCAGCGACAAGCCTGTATGCAAAGTGTACTATCAGCTTTCAAAGTGTGTTAATGTTTTTGGAATGCCAGCTGTCAACATTTACCCACCGTTGCTTACAGACAGTATTTTCTCGGCCAGCTTCAAATCAGATTCCAATCGATTGCGTCTAGTATTGACACAGCCGCCCCGCTCCCTGCCCGGTGCAGCTGACGCTCAGCCGGCTAGCGGGGAAGCGGAAGTTGTGGAGGAAGTGTGCCGGACGTCGGTTTTGCTGATAGTCTTCCATGGCGGAAGTATCCTCGACAACGGCAGCACCATTGATCTCACCGGTAATCGGGCCGACATCTCCACCTTCACCTCCTGCATCGACACTGTCATTAACGCCCACTACCCGGCACTGCACGGACACGTGCAGGTGAAGAATGTCAGGTGTCCGCCCATCTGCGGCGAAGCCTTGACCGTCTTATCCAGGTGTGTTTCCATTCGTTGAACGTTCACGTGATGCAGCAGATTCTAGATGCTGTTTTTTCGCAGTCTGACGCCATATAGTCTGGACTTGCCCTCGTCCACTTCGGACCCCAGCACCCCCACTGCGGCACAGGATTTTACGCATCTCAGCGCGTTGCCGCTTTTTGCCACATCCAACCCCGCTTACCGGGACATCATTACCAAAGTGGTTAAGAAAGCTAATCAGACATATGAGGATTTCCTGAAAACCCCCGAGGGAAAGCATTACAAGGGTCCGGTGTATATCGCTGCGGATGGTACGGCGGGGTTGCTGGTGTACGATGCCCTGTGTCGGTATGGTACCAATGAAGGCTCACTGTCCAGTCTGTCTTCGGAACGGAACGAGACGACAACCGTGCCACCGGATACAGCAAAAACAACCGCAACATCGGCTCGACCTTCCCTGCGACCTACCATGCACCCCGCATCACGGAGTTTGTCGAATCCAGGAACGGGAGTCAGCAGTACCCCTATGGCGATTAACGCCGGCACTGTACCGACCTTTGCACCTTTGAACGATGCGGGACGGTATTTGTCGGCACCGGTGGTGGATAAGATTGGAGGGAGGAGAGCCAGTGACAACAGTGACACCAGTATTCGCTTTGAATTTGACGTGGGAGATGTCTTTTTATTCGGATGTCCGTTGGGGTTGGTGCTGGCGTATCGGAAATGTATGGAAAACGTCGACGATAAATTCGGTACGCTTGGTGTCAAAAACAGGCGCTGTGGTATAAATTGATTACTGTACGAGAGAAACAATACCAGTAAATTTGTATTAGCCAGTTTGTAAGTGAAGCGCAACGAGGCACATGCAATATATCTTTGTGTGATGGCAGATTATTTCCTAGTTTAAAAATTTCTTTCTAGTCGTAGTGCTTTGATATTGGGTTTTAATCAGAACCTGATTTCAGTTGCTGTTTATTTTTTCTGAAGGTCCTCCATTGCGTCCATGGTGTGCTCAGCTGTTTAACCTGTTCCATCCAACCGATCCATCGGCGCTGCGAATCGAGCCGCTTCTCAGCGCTAAATTCTCCTTTATCAAGCCGGTTTCGGTGCCTCGTTATCAGAAATTCCCCCTGGGTGATGGACGATCGTATTATCTGTATGAACACATCCAGAATAGTCGGCATTTATTTGAGGACACACCGCGGCCGGCTTATGATCTCAATGAGACGATTAACGATGCCGTTTTCCATCATGATCACTCCCCGTTCTCCCTCAACACCGTCAGCCACAGTAAGTCCCATCCAGTGCAATCGCTTCCATCTATGGTAATCTCTTAATGGATTTTTTGTACCCATATTAAACCGAGCAGGAAAACCACTTTACGTTTGAGAAGATCAGATGATTTGACCTAATGAAACTGTAAAAGGGGATTATTTGAATGGTGTGGATTGCTTTCCTTGAGTTGGTTGTGTTGTACTGAAATTTATAATTATTTAGATATCTGCTAAAAAAGTAACATATATGGGAGTTCAAACACAAGCTTCATGCTGACGTTTATAATTTTTAGTGAACACCAAAAGCGATGAAAATCAGTTTTAATCGTAGTGTAGTGGATCGCAACTAGCTATTCTCTGTGATGAATATTAGATTGTACCGATACTTGATAACTATATTAAAAAAGGGACTATGTTTGCTTCTCCTTAAAACTAGCGGCTTGTTGAGCGTTAGGAAGGTAATGATACAGTGTATGCAAGCATGCCGCGTGATATGATGGCCTGCGTGCGTGGCATTGAAGAAAAATGTACATTTGGTTGTGTTTTTTTAGTCACGCGAAACTGGTGGGGTTCAAAGCGTATCGATTACGCTTTATATTGTCCCGAGGGAACCAGCCAATTTCCAGTCTGCGCTCTCCCGCATCTCTTTCACGCCAGTTTCTGGGAATCCCTGGATGTGGTGGCTTTTATCATCCGCCAAGTATGCACTAGTCATGACGTCACGCTTGCCATTTTATCTCTGCTTCCGCTTGTGCTTTATCAGCAGCGACAGTTTAGCATTTCTTTTTGCTCGCGAAAAATTGTTTATCATAAATTCGGCTTTACTCATGCCTGTAAGCGTAAGGGTTCCGTTAGCGAAGTTGATAATAATTTTGGAATAAGCACTCTGTAGCATTTATTACCTTGTGCATCATGAGAAAAAAATTCTTAATTTGTTTCATAGATTTTCCAACCGGATAACATATTCCATTCCGAAGACGATAACGCATTCCGCTTGGGCTTTTCCTCACAACGTCCCACTGAGAAATGGCTCCGTCGGCGGACCTCGATAAAGCTAAAGGTTAGTTTAATTTTGAATGCATTCCGCGATGGCACGGTGTGTAGAGTATCGTTGGCGGTCATGTTGGTGAGTATCTGGCATGCTGTTGAAGCGTTTTTGTCAGCTGTGTCTGACGCGAATGCGTGTCGCTGACATTCTCCTTGGCGTAAATAATACACGCGTTAAAGGTCAAACGCCGGGCTTTCGTGCCTGGTCGGATTACGGTGGTTAAATAAAGTCAGACAGTGTGATCTTCCCACTCAGTGCATATTTATACACAAACTTACTTTTTTTCTAACGCTTTTTGTACTAAGAACGTATTCACTGAGGATATTGTAAATAATATTTTGGTCATACATCTTGTAACAACTTGTTTTGCAAGGAATTGTGCTTGAAACTCTGTAGAATTCCGATTTGCTGGTAATTGTTATCGTTTGACATAATGTGGTTAGTTTTGTTTGATGGCTGGCACGTGACGCACTCTGTCATGTATTTGCGTCATCATTAATGCAAAAAAAAACGTTAACAGTGTGCTATTTTTGGCGGAAATGTGGCTGGCGGAAGTGCAGTATGGTGACGCTGTCCCTCTAACGTTTCATAAAATTTCCAGTTTAATGCGGATGATTGCTCCTTAAAGGGGAGCATCCTCTTTGACGTTTGAATCGTCATGACAATCTTACCCACTAACTAAAGCAGCGGTCCGGCTTTGACACCGTTTATCTGCTTGAGAATCAACTCGTTAAATAAAGATGCGGGTAGTGAGTGTTAAACGCACAGTGAGTTAGATTGTTGGCCTTTTCGGAAGTTATCTGAATTCTGAGCAAATGTATAATATGTACGTATTTTTATTGTACGCTTTGGCTATAAGGACGCTTTGATTATAACACGGAAAACGGAAACTGAATAACCGCGTTGGGATAATGCGGTTGATCGAGATGCATTGAAAAATGCGGTCACAGACTTAATAATGAATGGTGGAATGGACTAAATTTGACATTTTTTTAAAGCAGAAATCAAATAAAAGCTAATCGATAATACTGCGTTTGTTATGCAGAATATGCATCCAAATCACCGGGGAAATGATGTGGTCGTGGGTGAGAACTGCGAGCAGGCGTTGAGTGCGCGCTTCATGTACGGACCATTCGATATGTTGACATTGACCGGTGAAAAGGTGGATGTGTACATCATGACCCAGCCGCCATCCGGCGAGTGGGTCTTATTTGGCACGGAAATCACATCCAGCCAGGGTCGCGTCACCTTCACTGTGCCGCATGACAAGAAACTCGGACTGGGATTGTATCCTGTCAAAATGATTGTCAGGTGGGTTTCTGTGTACTTAACCGAAAATCGATGTTTCATTCAAATGGCACTGATGTGGGAACTCTTGTCAGTATCCAAGTACCGAAGTTGAAGTACCGTATGGTTGTCAAAAATTATCATAACTTATCACTTCATAGTTCATTCCGTTCAGCAATTTATCTGTTGAAAAATGAATTACAACCTAGTTGCAAAAAGCTGCATTTATCGTTCGGAACTTTTAAGTCTTAACCCATGTTCTAATGGGTCGTTAATTTCCTTAATTACCGGTGATGCCGGTCCTGTTCCTATTTCCTCACCGTCGTTGATCGCAACCTTAAGCTTTCTTAATTCTGCATAGGAGTTTCAGACGGTGTGATGAAGTGTTCATTGTATATTTCGTTTTTCTGTGTGAAAGTAAGGTTAGGAAGATAGTGTACATACCTAATTATAATTTGGTTATCTTAGCGTTTCGAGCAGAAGATAAATGCATCAGAGCAGTGAGAGCAGTAGCAGCAGTACTCTGTATGTGAATATTTTGTGTGTTGGGTGCATATCACGGTTCTATTCATCTGCTTTGCAGAGGTGACCACACATCGGTAGACTTCTATTTAGCCATAGTTCCGGCCAAGACCGAATGCATGGTGTTCAGTATCGACGGCTCCTTCACCGCCTCCGTGTCCGTGACCGGGCGCGATCCTAAAGTCCGTCCGGGCGCAGTGGATATTGTGCGTCACTGGCAGGAATTAGGTATGCATCGTTGGTTTGACTAGGGCGGCAAATAGCCTTAACTAGGATGATCAAGTCGAATCCCCTTCTTATCGGGACTGACATGACGTGGGGATGTGGGTTGCTTACACAATGTCACTGGCTAGGTTATCTGATTATTTACATCACCGGCCGGCCGGATATGCAGCATCAGGCGGTGGTTAATTGGCTGGCACATCACAATTTCCCCCATGGAATGGTACAGTTCTGCGACGGTCTGGTGGCCGATCCGCTTAGACAGAAAACCAACTACCTGCGGGCGCTTATTGAAGAGGTGAGGGTTTTCTGTCATTGTGGTGGTCTGCACTCTTTGGTAATGTCGTCCTGTACAGCTTGCATGTATCAGTGCGGCGGTAGATTGATGCCAGATGGCTTCGATTACAACGCGATAATCAGTTTGTTTGCTCAGTTATAAAGTTTCTAAAGATTACAAATTTCTGTATGAATTACGTTCTTCGCTTATGTTTGTTCAGGTTGTAAATAAGAAGTTTATTAATGCCTTTTTATTGTACGGAATGGCGGCCTCTAGACTCTAGAATAGGCCCCCGTTATTATTAAATTGATATGGAACGGGTAGACGGAAATTCCTAGGCTACTGTACATGCATATGCTGCTGCACGGCGGTGTGCACGCATGCTTTTTCTTTAATACAGACTAACCTACCGAGTAGGAATTTTTCTGATATAAAAATTAAATTGGTCCGGGTGCTATATTCTGAAGTAATTAATACTGTATGTGATTCTTTTTATTAAATTTTAAAGGTTGTGCTTTGTTTCTGCGTATTTTATTAACATTTGTCAAGTTTCTTCTGATATACTGTACGAGAAACTAAACTATGTAAGCTAAAAAAAGCTAAACTAAACTAACTGACTAAACTGACTAACTAATGGTAAGCTACGTACGGTATTGTACTATCTCGTATTGAGACTACTGATTGCTACTACAACTGTTTCAAGATGTGTTTGAACTTTGAAGGCTGGTGTCATCATCCACGCGGCGTACGGATCAAGCAAAGACATCCAGGTGTACGGTGCTGTTGGACTAAAACCCGATCAAATTTACTGCATTGGAAAGGCATCAAAAAAGCTTCAAGACAGAGCAACGGTATGTTAAGCGTTCACTTGAGTTTCCGACAATAACGAAGGATATGTTGACCTTACCGGTGCCGGTACTTATGATTGTTGTCCTTTGAATATTCTGAGAAAACGAAAGGAACTGTGATGAACGCACGTATTTTTTTCGGAACCTGGAATGATTGTATAAGCTGAGTAATAAGTACAGTTAATATAATGATGTGCCTAAGCAGTGCCTGTATCAGTATGAGTTGCTGCAACGACGCTTTGTCAAGGTTGCAAAGCTCTGCATATGCACATGAAGGAGAATCGTGAATTATTATTGAGGTTTTATAGTCAGCAACTTCTTAAGTTCATTTTCTAAAACTTTGTTTCAAATATTATACAGCGCGTTCAGACGACACGTAAAAAGAAATTTTGTTTTGCATGTGATTAACTTTATCAAATTCCTATATCTGAACAATGACTGCAGATGCTGACGGAGGGGTATGCCGCACATCTCAACGCCCTAAGTGTGCCGGGAGGATCCCGACCAGCGCAGGGTAATGGCCGGATGATCATCCGTCGTGGCAACTTCAGTTTACCGACTCCGTCCAGTGCACCGGAAGTGCGCCGCCATAAGTCCATGCAGAAATCGTTTCGCGGTACTGCCACGGTTGCTAGCCACCTTCCGCCGGAATCCCCGCCCCCCAGTTCCGGTGGCTCCACTTCTTCCCCCTACACTCCGCGCTTCTCCTTCAAAACCCCGGAAACCTCCCCAAAAGATGACAGTGTCTCATTGAAAGGCAGCTTAGGTGGTACGACAAAGAGGAAAGGCTTTTTTTCCAGATTTTGATGTTATAATTTTTGTTCTCCCATGACGGTGTGGCCCGGTGATGCTTGTACACTTTGAGATTAGTTCAAATGTAGCGATTTCGTGACATTCCTCAGAGCCCTTTTAATTATCCTATTATGACGTATTCTGTCACAAATTTTTTATACGGTTGTGCTACCGTAAAAGCTTTTTTGTGTTTTGAAGCCAAAAGAAGTAAAATCAAATTGATGTCGGTTGACACACTTTTGTTGTTCGTTGCACACTTTCGGTTGACACACTTTTGGGTTTTAAATTTTTAATAGGCTTTTATTCTGCGTGCTTGTAAAAGCACTTGAATTTATTCCTTATTAATCAAGGAAGAGCTAGAGTGAGCGAAATCATTCAGTCAAATGAAAAAACTGATGTGGAATGTGAAATGGAAGCGATTTGTGAAATGGATACGGTTTGAGATTTCCATCAGTTCAAGCAACTGCATGATAATTATGATTTATGATGATATTCATGTATGCCCCACAAATTACAGTTCGTAAAGCAAGGAAGTAGTGCATTTCGCAAGGTAAACGGACACTCTTGGCAAAGGAAGCATTCGTGGACAGCAAGAATCGTGAGAGTGCAACTTCCGTGGCCCTGAATGACGTTTAAAACGGTATGTTGCGAAATCACAATCCATCGCCTCGAGTAAGGAGTTCTCCAACACCAAGCTGTTGTTTGGGTTGTAAGTAAAGCGTATGAAAGTTTCATGATAAAAGCTGAGCACGACCGACCAAAGTGATGACTTTTAATCAGTTAGCTCGTCTCCGTTGCACAATTCGACAAATATCCATGACCCGTAAAGAAAACAGTAAAAACACGGTATTAAACTTTGAATCCACAAGTCTTGCGACGACCACGAGCCCGTTCGAATTTTCGCCCTTTGCTGATGGTATAGGGCCTGAAAGACAATGCACCAATGAAAAAATGAAAACAAAAAAACAGAATCAGCGTTGAGTCTTACTTTGCATGGGATTTCGGGACACCAGGTGCCAGACCGAAATGCTTGTACGCTTCACGGGAGTGACGCGCGCCTACAACACAACGATGTTATTCTAGACATCAGTAGCTTCTAAACTCAAGACTTCCAACAGTTTTTTTTGTGAACGGATTATAATGGTGCTTTTAAATCAATACAACGGACAACTCGTAACATTAACTATGCATTATTACTATTATTATTCAAAGAAAATTATTTTGAGAAGCCGAGTAGCGAAGGCAGAACTGCCATAAAACCAGTAGAAACTAGGTAAAAGCACTAAATGCCTCACCTTGCAGAAGCTGTGTGTTTTCTCCTCGGGGAGACTTCGTGGCCAGCTGATCGAAGGTGATGATCTCGCCGCCCGCTTTGAGGATGCGGGCGCGTGCTCGCTCCGTGACTTTGAGAGCGCAGACGCGCAGTTTAGGGATCTCGTGGATCCTCACGTCGTCCGTGATGGTCCCCACCACAACCGCGATCTTTTCTTGACGACCGATTCGTTTCATGGAAGAAACCTGTTCGCCATTCGCAATCAGTCTGCTGAACGCACCAACAGAGGAAAGAACGCGTAGCATACCAGTTTCGACAGCGAGAGCGGCGGTCGGTTCGTGCGCGACATACACAGCCGCTTCAGGATGATCTGATTGAATTTGGCTTCTGTGCGGCGGGCCAAGAAACGGTACAGCTAAAATGCGAAAAATCACGCTGTTGTTAGTGGATACGGGATAGGCAATCGTGGCAACAGTCCGGCGAACCTTAACGAGGAGACGAATGTAGACATCATCGGTCCGCGGGGCTTTACGCACAGCCTTCCGGTCGTTCTTATGGACAATGTCGATACCCTGTTTCCCAAAGAAAAATTTGTGATAAATGGATTACATATATGCCGACAAACTTACCATTTTCGATGGTAAAAACGCAGATAAAATAAATTTTCGATAAAAATCCTAAGAACTGACAAAACCCCGAATGTGGCTGCTGAGGCTGAATGAGGTCCCGACTAGCAAATCGGACTCGAAGTAGCAGTTCTACTTCATGTCAGTCTGCAGTGACTCTGCCTGTTTCGGTAGAAGCAGTGTGTTGATGACGTCACCAATCGCAGCACTGTTCTCAAGACTGCTCGAGTCAGATCTGTTTTTACTGTTTATGAAGCTGGTTGAATCGTTTGATTAAATACGATTTAAGTCCAGTAAAAATATGAAATCAAAATTTTGTCTATGTAATTGCCATAACCAATACATAAAACATTATTTTTTGTAAAATTTAATTGATGACTGTTAAGTAATTGACGTAATATTACTAAGGATTAAAGCGTTTTTGAAGAACCGCTGTGGCTTTAAGTTGCGCAGAGGTAGAAGTTTTCTCATTTCTAAGATTTTATGAGAAACACTGAAACAGTGATTCACCTGCACAATGAAAATGTCAAATTCAGATTCGGCTCATAAAACGAGAGTTGGCTGGATGCTTGCACGATTTTGATTTTTTAGGTTAATCAATTTGGTTTTTGTGCTGAATCAGCCTGGGCCTCAAAAAGGGAAAATGGATAGCTTTCTCAAGGATCAGCTGCAACGATTTTCGGCTGCACCAGCTGTGCCCACGAAGACTGGAGAAGCGCCTAAAAAAAGCTCCACTCCACCGAATGCCCGACCTCCCATTCAAAATGGTAAGAACGTTTCCGTATTTCGAAGGAATCCTCGCGGGCTGCAACTTATCCCATTTACGATTTTGGTGCAGCCACCAAGCAGCAGTCAGCGGCGCAATGGCCCATCAACCAGGCGTACGAGTTCAGTCCGATGACGATGCATGCGAGTGCACCGCGCATGACCAATTCGGGATACATGGGACAGTCCTCGTTCGGAATGACAGGCGAAACGCCGCTGGCTTTTCCCACGGTGGAATTTCGGGGTGTGCCTGGTGGGGGCTTTCAAGCTCCCGCCCAGATGCCTGCGTTGTCCACTATTCCGGTGCAGGATACCAGCACAGCGTATTACAGCGGGAATATCAATTCCCAGGGCTTTGCACTTCCGGTCAGTGTCTTTATAAGCGTTTTGCAGAAGAATTGCACTACATGTATTATATTACTCATTTTAATGACATTCGGTAGTCCGGAGTGTGCCTGTGTGGCTTGCACCGGCCTTCGGCTTCAGAGTTATGGAGAGAAAAGATCGGATAGATGCTGGTGACAGTACAGACACGTTTCAAATTTCTCAAATTTCTTCGCAGTATGTACATAAGTTAGCACTACTCAGCGAATACTGTACAATCAAATGAAGGCACGTTTTATTCTCTTTTTAAATATTTTTCATTATTTGCTTGCTTACCACTTTATGGTCAGTATGCGAGTACCCATGGACAAATTTCATTTTCCAGGTATCCTCTTATTATCCTTCTTCCAGCTTGATGCCCGGCGCCGGCGGTCCTGCACGCAAATCGTCCATTGGAATGGAAAGAGATTCCTCGCCACAACCGCTTTCTGCGGCTGTAAGTTTGTTTTATCTTTGTCGATGCGAAATTGCTTTGATTTAATTATGGCACACTAAGTAGTAACACTTTAAAATGACCTGTGTGTAGACTCTGGATTCAAATGACGAACGAAAGCGTCTCGAAGCGCAACGACAACAGCAGAAAATCAAACAGTCCTTCCATACATCACGCAGCAAAACTGTTGACGCTAATGCTTTGATGAACAGAATAGCCGCTGATTTCCAGACTGTGAACACCGGCCCAGTCCCTAAACGACCAGAATCTACTTCGCGACCAACAAGTATGCAAGATACTTTCTGTTTTTGGGGTGTTTCTGTTCGTAATCGTAAGTGACTTAGTGTACGGACGGACGGACACCGAAATGCATACCCTATTATGATAGGGTTTCATTCTGATCCTCTCATTAACGCGCTCAGCATGTGCGTTTTGCATGCTTCAGCTCCCTCCAGCCCAACGATGATTTCACCCCAAAGTGCATCCGTATTAAAGGATTCAAGCCCAGAGATAAAACCAGAAGAAATCTTGCGATCGAATGAAACTCACGCTATCCCGTCTCGCCCCGTTGTTCCAGGTGTGCCTACACAGTAAAATACCTATCCTAGTGGATGATAAATTGACTATATCATGGTTTTTGGCGTCGCTTGATGAATTTCAATGTGGGGGTGAAGTTTGTAGCTTAGAAACTTTCTGCGAAATATAGTATAGATATAAAGTGCTGTTTTAGACTTGAACGACATGATGATGAAATTTTCTGATCTCTCAAACGTTTCCGGGACCAACAAGAACTTCCAGCCGCCCAAGCAACCGAAAGCCACATTCGCCGCTCGAGCAGCCAGCTTCAGTGTTAGTCAAGCAGCTCGGGACTGGAAAAACCTTCCGGAAGATATTTCTTCCGCTTTCACAACTGTGATACCCGGTAAGACTGAGATATATAATTTTGACATGGGATTTGCGGTAGCTAAATAGCTCGCTTAGCTTATGGTTAGGATTTTGATGCATCCATAGTTACTTTACCTTAAACTTGTGACTGACATGCATGATGTTTGTAGTAACTTTGTACAGTTTATTATAAACCTTTTGGTCGGATGCTTGAATATTAGGCAGTTCCGGGAATTCTCCTGTTAGTCCTCAAGATGATCTTCCGCCCTGGTGCAATGCCGATGCCAGCACGTTGCCTCCTGTGTACCATACTATTTTGACACATTTTCGTAAAGGAACATTGATAAGCAAGGATAAGGTCTTGGCGCTGCTGGGTCAGTCTGGACTGAGCCGCAGTACGTTATCCAGAATCTGGGAAACCGCTAGTCGCACTAGGCCCGATCAGTTGACAAGAGATGAGTTGTGTGCTGCATTAGCTCTTACTGGATTGGCACAGGTGAGACTAAATGAGTCTTCCGAATTTCAAATTAATGAAGTGCCGCAATGGAGACACTGTGTTAGTTGTTACGACGGTGACAAATGCGTATGGCGTGGGATAGTTTTCATTGTGTTTTTTTCGTTTGCGGTTTTGTTTAGCAGCTTTTCCACGACCGTTGTTTGTTTAGCTGTAGTGCGGCAGCAGGTAATTCGTCGAGTTGTGATGTGTAGTAAGATTTTTTCAGAGTAATTTCGATGTCCAGCATTTAACGATTGACGTATTACGACGCATTCCTTCACCGCCGATTCCACAGTTTATCGCTTCTCCGCCTCAACAACAAGTGCCGACAACAATTGCACCACTTCAACCTGTGCATGTGCCTCTTGCGCCGATATCCGCACAGAAGTTTGAGGATATTCCACTCTATAATTTAAGTTCGCCCAAGACAGCTGCGGTGGACGAAGACGAGTTTTCGGATTTCGTTTCGGCATCCGTTCCTGCGGAAACGATTGTCGCTCCTCAGCCGGTTTTATCGAAACCGTGGATAATGAGAGAAAGTTCCCCTAAAGTTTTAGAAAAAGGAGGCGACAGTGTTCCACCATCTGGAGACTTCAGCAAAAGTACCACTAACGCAAAAAATGGTGAAAAAGCTATTTTCCCATCGATTCAGCCACCACTCAGACACAGCCCCAGTGTTAGTGTTGCTAAAACGAGCAACAAGGATGTCATTGCATCAGGTCAGACAGCTTTGATTGCCGATAGCTTAAGCAATCCTTCCACCAAAGAAACAAATGCAGTTCCTTCGACACAATCCGAAGACGATGGCGGCTGGGCGAGTTGGACGCAAATTTCTGTTACCAATTCGCCAAAATTGCCCTCCCTGAGTCTCAATATTTTTCCTGCTCTTGTGAAGGAAGAGCCCGCACAAAAAGCGCATGCGAAAGAAGCCATGACAGAGGATCCTTATTCCGCGTTTCGCGAATTGATAATCGATAGCGATGCTTCTGTTTTTTCATCGCTGGACACCACACAGCTGGAGAAGTCAGAAGAAAGTAGTGATGCAAAATTAGGAGCGGGGATGGAAAGTCCCTCGGGTGATAATCAGTCTGTGAACTCTCTGGATATCTCTACTCTGAGTTTGCAGTTGACCTTTGACGATGAAGACCGGCAGCCTTCCCCATTGCCGAAATCCCTTACAAGTGACTCACTCAACGAGATGGCAATGGAAGATCACGTGGAAATATGGAAGAGAGCATTAAAAGTCTGCGCCGATGCTATTCAGGAGGGATGCACGATATTGAATTCGGTCAGCAACAGCAAAGTCCTTGTGGCAGTAATGGAACGCGCATCCAGCGCTATAGCGAGTAAGCGGAAGCAGACTTTTAAACCCAGTTTTTCGTACTGTCTTTGAACTTCACAGTATTTAATAGTACTTTTAAGAAAAAGTCAGTGGTCTTATTGCAGTTGTTCAGTTATTTTTGAAAACACGATTAATGGCGAATACATTCTTCGCAGATATTATCGAAATATACCGGGTGGCTCGTCGAATTTATTTAGCAGCTAAAATTTGTAATCTTATGGACAACAAGGACATCATTGACGGAATAAAGGAAACGGAAGAGGCGTGGGCGGATTTCGCAGCTTTCCTGAGCATAGGTTCGCTGGAGGTGCGATATGCTTGAATTTTGATAGACAATCTAAAGCGAAATTCGTCAAGAGATGTTAAAGCTGATAAGTGTGTAAAACTGATATCAAGTGTCTGCTTGCTTTTCAGCCACAACGCGGTTCGATGGATTTCTCAGGTTGTGAATTTGGCGAGCAACTTCCCCCCGCATCAGCCATTTGCGGTGTTTGTTTGCTAAATGTGGATGGAAAAAGTAAAAGTCGGAAAAATGCATTAGATGGGATGAAAGTTGAGTGGAATGGTCGATTTTACCATTCGCCTTGCGCTAATTTTTGGGCTAATTGTGTTACCACAAATTTACCACGGCTAAACTATCTCTGAAAACCTTGATATTGTCGTAATGTATTTTTCCTTTCGTGTGTATCAACAATGCAACCGATAAAACCGAAGTAAAATCCCACTGAAAAATTAAGAGTGAAACTTAAAATCAGGTGTTGGTGCACTTATACGCTGTGCAAGTACAGTAGCGTCAAATTTCTACTATTCTGCATAGAATTTTTTAGACCACCAGCCACGGCCAGTGAATCAGGAACAACATGTATTTGGATACAGTAAATAATGCACCATCATAAGTATAGCAATAACAAGTAATGTGCCAAACTTTTAAAATTTCCAATCTTGTGTAACAAAAAACACAGAACTTCAAAGAAACTTAAAGGGCTAAAAAATCACCGAGATGCAGGTGCGGACAATGTCCACTATCAGACAAATCAAATTAGCGATAGGTAACCTCGGAAAATATCGTTTTCACCTTCATCTTTCCTAAATCTGCCGACATCACATCCAAAACTTTGGTCCCATCATTCTTATTTAAATCACCTAAATCAATCTTCAAATCTCCGCGCACATCCAGTAAACGTGCTAGCTGCTGCGCGGTCACATCGGGGAATTTCTGCACAAACGTGCTCAGCTCTAGCTGTATCATGTCCTCTGAGCACTTGAGCAACTCGGCAAAATTCTCGAAAATATCATAGCTCAGCATCAAATCCACCTGATCTGGCCCTGAACGTCTATCGTCCGTCTGACCGCCGACTTCGCTGACAAACCGCAAGTCCAAATTTAAATTGGTCAGAATATCCATGTCCGCTTTGATGCGTTTGGCCGCATCCTGGCGTTCGTCATTACTCCGAAAACGCAGTTTCCGATCCAGGATGGCCTGCAGGTAGTACTTCAGAATTTTTAACTGCACCACCTCCATGGTCTCGACATAGTTGGGCAGCATGAGATGGCGTTTGTAGTCGTTGGAGTAATCCATCAGCGTCATGTGGACGGTCTGCATGGCCTGGGACTGCGAGCGCAGCCATTTGACGGTGAAAAATTCTGAAATGTAATTCGGAAGCAAATCTTGTATGACTTCTTCTAAAAGACAACTGATAGCTTCCGTTTTGACATGCTCGAAACATTTGCAACATTCCATCACTTTGTCACTGTGGCCCAGATTGCTCTTCTTCTGTGCCCACACTTGGATGAATTCCACGTAGCGACTGCAGTCATTCACAAGCGCCATCATGACGTCTGTGTAATTCATAAACTGGGTGCGATCTTTGAACTTTTCCACCTTGAACTCAGTCACTGCTTTCTTCAATGCGTCGCTGCAGACGAAACAACAGTCAACCATTAGCGGATTACGCCCTACCGCAAATACTACACAACAATCACCCTGTGCACTAAAAAAACGGTTTACACAATGCGTTGCAGGCATGCATACCGGTATTTGAGATTCTACAAGATATGTACTGGCAACAGCCAGGCTCTGACAAAAACGAAAAAAGCCCTTTTCTGATGGCTCGAACGTGCATTACATCAGCAACAGCGGAAATGAGATCTCTTATCAAAAGTCACGACTTTTTATAACTTGGATTCCCCATCTGGCCCACTAAGAACCCCGATTCGCGTACCTGAAATCGGCCAATTTCCTCAGACACAGCACGTACATCCTCTTGGAAATCTCATCTCCCATTCTCGCCGCGATATTAATATTTTGATCGAAAATCTGGAAAACATCGGTAGGCGTTTGTGTCTGATAGAAGGGTGAACTTTCGTCCGGCTTCTGACCGCTTGACCATCCCGCTTTCTCCACGTTTAGTGCACGGTACAGATAGTTGTCCACATTCAACGACGTCGCTTGCACGTACAACTCCACCAGTTCCTGCGTCTTTTTCGGTGCCAACAGCGGTGCACCCAGACTGCGCACGTCCAGCTGCACGTTAGGATGCGAGAGACAGTTCTCGCCTTCGTACTCTTCCAACCATGTCAGCAGCGTCACGATATCTTCCGCCTGCATCTTCTCGTGCTCTATCAATTCCGCAATCTGCTTCGCAATGGCTTTATGGTACATTTTGGCGTACACGTTCATGATATCGTATTCTGGTGGGAAGCAGGGAATCGCGACGCTTCGGACAACCGAGAGATCTTTCAACACTTCTTGACGGATAATTTCCAAGTGTTTCACCAACCACGTCTTATCTGCTCTAGCATCGGTTAACTGCGATCCTTCAATTTTTTCTGTCACCGATTGTTCCAAAACCTAAAAACTCTTGCAAATGACAATCACCATGACACTACCTAAAAATTACAAACTGTATACAGTATTCGACTTTATTAACACATCGTACAATAATTTTTACTGAACATAAACACTTCCCAACGGAAGTTACTACTCGTACATATTTTAATACAACTCACACGCCAAAAGGAACACGAAAATCACTCAAAAGTGTTAGGTAGGCAACCGGCCACCGCCTGCAAATATGCAAGTACTGAACTGGGGGTAGCAAATCGCCCCGCACCAGACTACCGAACCAGCAGATAGAGCTGCGGCAACAGCTGTTTGAGTTAAAAGTTAAAACCAGGACGTCTTGTAACCATAACAAAATTATTATCGAACCACAACTACATTGACGTTACCTTTTGAAGTACATAATCCGCTTGTTATTTTAGCCGCACTATATAAACTGCTTACCTGAAAACACTTGGCCTTCCACTGTTTTGGTCGGTTATGCGGGAGAAATCCGCTTGCCGCCTTCCGTTCCAAAGCTTTGGCATCCAGCCTTTCCTCGCGTTCAATGATCCTCAGACACGACACAATCAAGGCAGGTTCTTTGCGGATAATATTGATCGCCCGGCCCATGTGCACCCAGATCTGCTTGCCCAACTGCACCGACAATGACTCTACAGGCTGGAAATACTTCTCCAACTGCACCTGATCCAGATGCGACGTGGTCGGCTGCTTGAAGAATTCAAACATGAGATCATCGCGCGATCGCTCCAGATCACTGATCGACTGGTGCGCCAACAGCAGTTTTCCCTCGTCGATCAGCTTCCGGGTACGGTCGGCAATTTCTCCCACGTTGAATATCTGCTTGGCGTTCTCCACGGCCGCCGCCAGTTGGCTGTGGCGACTGTGTTCTTCGCGGATCTCCTTGAACTGGCTGTTGAGGGTTTTCATCTCTTTCAGATCCTTCAGGATGCCTTGGAAGTTGGTCTTCAGGGACCGGGTGTTGGCCACGACATGGTCCATGTTGCCGATGGACAGCTGGACGCCTTCCACGTGCGACTGCAACATGGTCTTCATCATGACGTCGATGGTGGATTTCTCGCTGGTGATCTGCTCGTTGCGAGCGCGGAGAATCTCGTCCAGATCTTTAGGCTGATGCAAAAGCGCGGCCACATTCTTCGAAGCCCCATCCGCAATGGATTCTTCAATCACTTTCCACTTCGCCTGGTCCATTTTAGAATTAGGAAAACATGGTTTCACAGTAAAAAAAAACAGTTTACAGTTTACTAACAAACTTAACCCGAAAACGTACAGCAAAATGCAGGGTAGGTTGCCGTTTCCACAAATGAAACCTGACCACGGCCACCAACGGGAAGCGGCAGTCTGTGCCCGTGGCATATAGTATGAACGAGTTTTTGTTTCCAGAGGTTTTTTTTACCGTTTCTAAACATTTCGAGCACACCACTTCGTCACCGGAAATTTCCGCAGAGGTTTACAAAAGTTACAGACAACTGAGACTAGTTAAATGGATTCTAACGTGTATAATTCTATTGCGCGTAATAAATTATCTGTAAATAATTTATAGCACCCTTTGTCTGTAAATTTGTTATTAAAAATTTGACTTCTGCCGGTAAGAAGCGCACTGCATAGTGATGGACATCATGGACTGACGGTGACGCTTCGGACTGCAGGATGATAACTATGTACTGTCTAGTAGACAGTACATAGTGTCTACTATATAGTTTCGTTGTGCTTGTATTGCATTACATTGCATGTGGTTATTTTACTTAAAAATTAGAAAATTCTCTTAAACGTGGTTCCGAAGATGTGTCCTCTCAAATTCGGAAACGCTACTTTATGCACTTTGCCAACTTGAAGTTCATTAAATTCAGTTCAATATCGGGTAACCTCACTGCAACGACCGCCATCTTGGGCGAATGGTGAGCCGAATGCATCAGAATTTCTGCGACTTTTTTTCTCTAGCGGCAGTGACCCAGCCGCAAAAGTGCAGTTAGTCAATTACGTACGTAACACAAGTACCGTCGTCGTACTTGTACGTAATAACAACTCAAAAATTTCATAGGATTACAAATGCTAGAGAATTTAAGCAGAAGATTCTTATTACTTATAAAAGTGGCTAAACTAGAAACTTAATTTGTCCCAGCGCTTGGATGTAATAACTGCATTACAATCCCTCGAAATGGATTAACTTTAAAAAGCATAATACTACACACTAGGGTAGGTCGTAGGTGTCGAATTCAGTAATTTAACAATGGTGAAGAACTGAAAATAATGTTAAATATGATCTATAAAATACCATAATTAATGAAATTTAACTTGAAAAATTATAGCTGTGTCTTTTTTCCTTAACATGTTTCAGGTTTCAGCAATAAATAATGTTATAAACCGCATTCTAAAAAGGTGAAGTGTCACTTCAAGTCTTTCTCCCATGTAAAGCTTCACAGCCCGGCACTGTAATTCTTGGCAAACGGCTCACCAAATCAGACAAGTCAGCTCATGCAGAGCTCGTAGTTTCATGGAAATTTGACGTGATGAACGTTATTCCACATTGAGGTTGCAAGGTTTTCGTACAGCACCCATCTTGAAGAGATCCTGTGGTATTTGGAATATCTACCCCACATTTGCTGTATTTTATGATTTTTTAAGAGGTAGTTTGACAACAATTTTTTGATTGTTCACTAAAAATTAGAACATTGTTGAAAAGTAGTGAAACTGAATCAACTGGCTGTTGTTACCTCAACCCGTTTCGATTTTGGCAATCCTCCGAGTTCGCTGATACAGTTATGGGCAATTTTACCGAGTATGCTTGAATTTGCAGGGCAAACCCAGTAAATTAGCACCAGGTACGTTGGCCCGGGTTGGGTCTTCGTATTTCACACATGGCCCATATGCGGGAATTCCCTGTTATACAGTGCAGATGTGATAAATAACAAATGCGGGAAACTAAAACGTCAAGCTGGTAAAACAGAATCTTAGCGTTCAAGTTTTTATGGGGATTTTTACTTTTCATTTTAGACGACCGGGAATGATTGCAACAGCACCGCTGGTACAAGTTACGTGATTATGGACACCACTCGGCATTCAGACCCCGAGGAGGATGTGGAGCGGCGGCAGGGGGGCCAGATTGAACTGGTCCCCCCTGATCCGACCGGGCAGCCCCTGGCCAGTCAGGGGGGCACCCTAACGGATCCCGATGGTCCATCCAAGCGTGTAAAATGGGTGACATGGAGCAAAAAAGATGCCATCAATTTCAGCTCCTTCCCCTCCGCCTTCGACCATAATTTTCCAGGAACCGATGCAACGGTTTCATCCTTCGACCCGGTGACCAGCTCAGTTCTCCGGCATTCTCTGGAGATCTCGTTAAGAACGAAGGATGAGGAAGATGCGCAACTGATGCAAATAGATCCTCCTGCTGCAGACACCGTTAAAGGTAGCATCGATGGTCCGAAGCACACGTAGCCGTGCGATCGATACGTCACAGACTGAGCTGGGCTTTTGCAGGTGTGACTGCCGTTGTTGATAATGATGCTTTCACGCCTGTTTGTCCCGCATCCCAAAGTCCCCTAAAAAATACTGTGATACCAAATAGTGATATTGATGTGAGGATCTCGCCTCATCTCTATGGACCAAATAGGCCAGAAGCTCTGAAAACTCCACGACAAGGGTCGGTCGTGGATGCCGTCAAGAAGGCGCCATCGCCGATCACTTCCGTTGAACAGGTATATCGTGCACTCGCTTTCCGTCTCGGCATGAACCATCCGAAGTTTCATGCTTTACGGTTTAAAATGTTTGATGCTGACTGCTTTATCAATATAAGCTTGGTCGCATAGGAGGCAAAAATTCTTGCCAGGATAAATGAGTTGCGCAAAATGGGAAAATGGGAGGATTCGCGCATTCCCCGCTGTGTTGTCCCGGAACCGTTCAGCCGGGGAGTGAAGAACTTCACGAAGGAAGTGTGCTGGGTGGCTACCCTGATCGAGAAAGAACGGAAAGCAAAGATTGCCATGGCCAAAAAGGTTTGCCATTCTTTAAGCATTGTGTGCTGGACGATGCTATATCGATCGATCGATATGTAGCTGGCATACGCTGCCAAACGGTGGCATGAGAAAAAGGAAGAGCAGAAGGAGCGGCAGCAGCGAGAAGAACTACAACGGCTACGGAAAATAGCCAAGCAGGTGTCATCGGCTGTAATGGTGTGGTGGACGGAAGTGCGGAAAGTGAGTGCACTGTCTCTGCTTGTGTCAGCAGTAATTACTGTGCTCGTGCTGAGGGTAGCAGTTTTTCTCCAGCATAAACCTCGGCGTAAAAATCGACAGACAGCTGAACTGACAGTTTCACAAAAGCTGAGTGCCTAAATGCATCCATCTTTTGTTCTTGAAGGTCGCGCAGCTAAAGCAGAAGGAGGAAATCGAAATCCAAAAGAAGCGGATTCGTGATCTGCATTTACAGCACCTAATGGATCAAACGGAGGATTATTCTAGTCGAATGGCACAAGTGTTGTCCAAAAGTGCCAGCCAAACTGCCATTGCCGAAAATCATAAGGCAGAGGAAGATTTGGGTAAGACGATTCTGTTTTAAAATGCCGGTGACTCAAATGATGGCTGTTAATTTTTAGACATAACAGATCTGGAATTCCGCTTGGATGATGATGAATCTGTTGCGGACGAGGAGGATACAATCTCGGATGAAGAAAGTCAGTCTACGATGGAAGAGCAGTCACGCGATGAGGGCGCCGCATTGGCCGAAGAGGCCAATGTCCCCCTTGATGATTTCTTGAGCACCTTGCCCCCCGATTATCGGGAATACTTGCTATCGCAGCAAGCCAACACATCACCAGATGACGAACCTCCTTCGAAGCGGCTGCGGACGAGGTCCCGGCTTCTCTCGGCTAGCTCGGTGAAGCAGGAGGAGCCTATGGACGATGATCGTAAATATTTTTCCACCTTTTCTTGGTTGGCATAATCTGTTACGGATGTTGTATTTAGTGCGGCTTCTGGTCAACGATTCCCATGAACCGCTTCCGGGAGGTTCGCAAGGGGTGAGTAGCCCTGAAGGGCATACATAATGTGCGAATGCAGTTTCTGAAATGATTTTTGTAAGCCAGTTCGTTATTACTGTGCAGTATGTACAGTCCCAAATTGCTGGTGAATTAAAATGTACTTAGGCATTTGTTTTGCTAGTGAAACGAGGCTTTTTTAATTTGAGCAGATAAGGGTAAACTTTTTTATTTGGTGGATAAGGATTGCTTCTACAAATTTTTGCACCTCTGTCCTGCCACCTCGAAGAAATAACTTCGAAGCGGATTCACGAAGAGGTTATAGTGCTTCCATGAGGATAACTGTTTTTAAATCTCGCAACGAGATTTTATGAACAAGTCTGAATGGTACATTATGTTTGTTTCCCTATTTGCAGGATAGCTCTGTTCTTGACGAAAAAATCCGAAGTCACGAAGCGGCTCTGGAAAAGCTCCGTCCAAAGGGAAATTCGCTGTCCAGTACTCAGGTGAGCATTGATTACAAAGCATCGAACTACTAAAAAACTTAAAACGAGCCAAGAGTCACCGTTGAGATGTACTTGTATCGAGATGGTGCTACTGAGTTCGGACATCAGTGTTGCCTCTAGATTATGCTCTTAGCCCTTGTTTGTCAACGACTAGGACACCTTCTTTTGGTACATTAATTAGTTCTAACTGTGATATCATAGCAGCTTTAATGGTTTTGTTTAATCAGAATTATGTTAGACGTTAGTGGAGTCGGCTCAGTTGACATGGTTATCTCTAATAGGTCGTTACCAAAATACCATTTCTGCTCCGTGGACAATTGCGCGAATATCAGCATGTAGGATTGGATTGGCTAGTGTCGTTATATAAGAATAAGATGAACGGGATTCTTGCGGACGAAATGGGTTTGGGCAAAACGATTCAGACCATTGCTTTCCTGGCACATTTGGCATGTGAAGAGCAAAATTGGGGTCCCCATCTGATTATTGTGCCCACATCCGTGCTACTCAACTGGGAGCTGGAATTCAAACGGTGGTGTCCGGGTTTTATTATTAAAACCTACTACGGCAATAAGAAGCAGCGAGCCGAGCTGAGAACGGTAGGATTTGTAATGGTTACTGAATTGTTTTTTCGTTGTAATTTGAAATTATGTCTTCTTTGTAGGGCTGGACGAAACCAGATTCTTTTCACATTTGCATCACATCTTACAAGATAGCCACACAGGATTCTTCAGTATTTCGCCGGATGCGTTGGCACTATTTAATCTTAGACGAAGCGCAGGCTATTAAAAACTGCAAATCTCAGCGTTGGATGAAAATTGCGGATTTTCCGAGTCAACGACGACTGCTGTTGACTGGTACGCCGATGCAGAACAGTTTAGAGGAAGTTTGGGCTTTGCTGCATTTTCTGGCACCGGAATTGTTCGAGTCATTAACCATGTTCCAGCAGTTGTTCGCTAATCCTATGACCGCTATGTCCGAAGGACGAAAGCCTCAAGATACGGCGATCGTGAAACAGCTTCATACTGTGTTACGCCCATTTATTTTGCGCCGCATGAAGACCGAAGTGGAAACACAGCTGCCGAAAAAGTATGAACACGTACTGAATTGTCGTCTTTCCAAGCGACAACGCTACTTGTATGAGGATTACATGTCGCGCACGAAGACTCAGGAAACATTGAAATTGGGAAACTATTTAAGTGTCATCAATATTCTGATGCAGCTGAGAAAAGTGTGCAATCATCCAAATTTGTTTGAAGAACGGCCGGTGTTGTCGCCATTAGTGTTGCACCCGTTATCAGTGGAGTTGCCGTCCCTGGTTTTTGATGCGATCTGTAAGAAGCCGATCGAAGAATTGTCACAACTGATAACTGCTCCTTTTTGGTCAGTTGGGTCAGAATTCCCATCGAATCTTTCATCGCGTATGCGACATTTGATGCCGAAGAAACCGTTGATCGAAGAGATTCCGGACGTTCCGGATTCGGGACGAAGAGATTCGGCGTTGTCTTATCCGAAAAATCTCTCTGTTTCGCTAGACATGCTAGAGTTTGATATGGTTGATCTGACGAATGGGCCACCGTTTGTTCCAGCAAATGATCGCAAGATCGAGAAGATTGTCACGATCCATTACGGAAAAACCAAGCGCTCTCGACCAGTACGGAAGAATGACGCGAAAAGGAATGGCATGCCGGACGATGCGGGGGAAAATACCGCAAAACGCCGGAAATTTGTCCAAACTGGGGGGCGCCTTGCCACGAAACAGCTCGCCGAGTTCGTTATTCCACAGAAAAAAATCACCCAGCGCGAGGAACATCTGGATGTGCTGGACAAGGTGAATCGTGGACGATGTCGAGTGCGTGCTATTTTTCCACCGGATCTGGTTCGGCTGTTAACGGTTATTCAAGAGGAAGAGGAGGAGAGCTCGGGATTCGCAAGCGGTTATCTGTATTGTCGATCAGCACAGAAAGATGTACTAGCGATAGGTCATCGTGGTCTTGGTTTGGCTGGATTAGTGGAGATGGGTAGCTCGACTTCAGCGGTTTTAGATGATCCGGTCATGAGATTCTGGATTGATCGGTAAGCCGCACACCTGTAAAACGTGTGATACTGAAAACCTTTTGAGCTGTTTTTTATTCAGGGCATCGGTGGCTTTTGCGCCCGTTTTGACGAATACTCCTGTGTTGTCCGTGTCCAGTCTGAACCAAAGATCAAGTGGCTCAGTATGCAGAAATCAAGCAATTCTCGAACCAGCTTTAATAACTGCATTGGAACCGTTGCACCCTGTGGAACGCTTGCGTATATTGAAATTTCCGGAAACACGGTTAATTCAGTATGATTGTGGCAAGTTGCAGACTCTGGATGTGTTGCTTCAGCAGTTGTACGAGGAGAAACATCGCGCACTGATCTTTACCCAGATGACCCGAGTGCTGGATATCCTGGAGGTGTTCTTGACGTACCACGGGTATAAATATTTACGGCTGGATGGTTCGACCGGTGTGGAAATGCGGCAGATATTGATGGAACGATTTAATCGTGATACGAGATATTTTTGTTTCATCTTGTCCACGCGATCGGGTGGAATCGGAGTGAATTTGACCGGAGCGGACACAGTGATTTTTTATGATAGCGACTGGAATCCAACCATGGATGCCCAAGCTCAGGATCGTTGTCATCGGATCGGTCAGACACGCGATGTGCACATATACCGGTAAAAAATCCATTTTTGCGTGATTGGTTGATCCATTTCAGCGATAACAAATGCAAAATATCCGATGCGACGAAATTTAATATGTGCTATGTTCATTGGTAATATTTAGTTTACAGTTTCCCATGTTGACGGTAACGTAATTTCTGTCCGTCGGCGTCGCTAATATTACGGATATGCGTGTATAATGGCTTACATGCTGTAGGAAATATGTTATTACTTCTAATTAATATACTTATGTGTAACAGTTGAGCAGACGCATATTTTTTGTTGTTAATTACTCTTGAAACGCTTGGATATTTGTGTTGTTTTTTAATTATAGGCTAATATCTCAGTCCACGGTGGAGGAGAACATTTTTAACAAGGCTAATCAGAAACGGTTGTTAGGCCATATGGCTATAGAATCAGGAGAATTCACGACGGCTGTCCTGAAAAAGGTAATCAAATTCGAACATGTCAGCTTTCTGCACTGTTGTTGCTGATTGACCGATTTTTGCACAGGAAAATTTCAAGGACATATTTGGACTGAAAGATGACGAAACATTCGCAGAAATGGATGAAGACATCAACGAACTCGCTTATGAGAATGCTATTTCGAAAGCCGAAGACAGCGCGGATGTGGAGGCAGCTAAAAAAGCCAAAGCGGAAGCCAAGGCGGTGGATGAAAATGAGGAGAACGATGACGATGATGACGACGATGAGATCAAATTTAAAGCTATATCCAAGCTGCTTACGCCTGTTCAGTGTTATGGCGTACGTTTTGCTGAGGCTCACGTGCTGGATCAGGATGTGATGGATGAGCTGGCTCAGCACCGGGTATGTTAATGCTAACTTTCGTTGTTTATGTTTGTCGCTGCGGTGGCGTACGTTTTTTTAGCGATTACTTATGGTACGTGGCACTACGTGCTTATGTGGCTTCTTAACGAAAAGCATCACACTTGCAGGAAGAAGTAGAGCGTCGTAAAAAAGAATGGGAACTGATGCGTTTAGAATCCGCCAAAGCCGAAAAAGCCAAAGCTGCAGAGGAAGCCGCTGCCCCATACGTTGTGGATCGCACATTAATGGACGCAAAGGTTCGCAGCGCAGCAACACCACCTGCGCCTAAAGTTGTACATAAGATTATTACTACGAGATCATCTGCTAAAGCCCCTGCGGTCGTTAACACGCCCCCTAACCATCAGAAGAACCAGCCAGTGTCAGCGCCCATTAAAAAAACGCCCGTAATGGTTAAGGTTCAGCCACGAAGGCCAAGGCCGGTAGTGGTCGCCCCTTTCACCCCGCAGGTGCCGGCTCCCGTTGAGCCGGAACTACGGGAAGTGGCGGTGACGCGGTCGGCACGGGGCCGATTGAGAATACCAAAAACACCTTTTGAGCCTGGCGCACCGTCCGTGAAATTCGTTTTTAGCGCCGCTGACTCTCCGCAACCGTCGACATCCTCGTCTGAGAGCGACGGGTGCGGGCGGAAGGGAAAAGGTTATACTCGTGATCCAGATTTCACGGTGACACCTTCCCGACCGGCAAAGGCACCTCCGACACCCAACGGCCAAATACCAATAGGTCGGGGTGCCCTGCGATCGGCCAAAACAACCGCTCCCAGTCCGTCTGCGACGGTGGGAAGGAATGGGGGCCCGGAACGTATGCGAACGCGGAGTCGTGGCCGTGTTGACGAGTAGTTTCACGAGGGCGCGTTTTCGTTTTTTTATTAAGTTGTTAGAGCAAAATGACATGTTTGTAGCCGGATATTGCTTTTTTTGTTGCTCAGTGGGGTTTTTCTCTGCTTTTTTATCACGACGATAGTTCTTTCACTTTTCTTTTGATGGGGGCATACCTAAATTAGTGTGCTAAAAGGTTTTTTGGAAGCTAGATTTTCTTGCAGTGTGATTCGATTTTTTGTTGTTCCTGACCACAGAAAAGACAATCTGGAAATAAAAGATAACGGTTGATGATTGGTGGGTTTGAGTTGTGGTTGTATTTTCGGACGTGGTTTGTTTTGGTTTTTCTCGGAAGCGTCTGGACAATGAGCTTGGCAAAACGTTTTGGTGGGGTTTTTGACGTGGTTTTTTGGGGTGGTTTTATCTCGTTCTCCCTTTTGGACAAGCGGAATATAAGTGTAATAGTGGAAAAATGGTTTTGAGTTGCGATTCGGGTTGCCAAGCCTTGTCCAGAAGGGTCAAAACGAGAAACTCTTTGAAAACCACGTCAGAAAATTGCCATTGCCTTACCACTTTTCGTCACCGGATGTCTTTTTACCAGAGAAAGCTTTCCTGGGTCCAGGAAGAGGAAATTATTAGCGAGGTTTTAGGATAAGGAAAATATTAAGACCTTATTTTTGTAGTTGTACCACAGCCTGGACACCGGAGAAACAATTCAGGTAAGACGCGCAGGGTAGTTCTTGTCAGACATCCGAGTAAGGCGATAACTGGAGGAGTAGCTGCTACATTCATACTCTCCTATATCTACATGCATACATCTAATATAGTGGAAATGCTACATAATTTATCGTGCAAGAAGACAAAGTAAACTCATAACGTCTACTGCAACCTAATCGTACCTAATGGTAGTAACATAACAGAGATATAAACCAGATACATGTAAAGAGATATAAACCTCATTCATGTGCTTACTTTAATTTCTAGGCTCAAACTTAATGACTGGTGATTTTTTTGCTTTTGAAAAATTTCAAAAATTAAATATTACGCAAAGTTATTTACATTTTTTATTCCTGGAATTAAAAGGTTGTAAGCTTTATTGTGCAGGTTTTATTAATTTGCCAGATGTATGAGTGCTGACAGTGCATCTATGACGTAGCATAATAGAATTTACAAACTTATTAACAGTCTTTTTCGCACAATTGGTGAAACTCAAAATGTCCCGTTAACATTTTCTCATGGAATGTTTTTTAATTGTAGAACAAGGAATCGAAGAATAAATAATGATGTTGTTTTGTGTCTGTAAAGCAGTTTTCAGTGCAGTAGTAGTTTCTGCATTAGATTCCTGACTTACCTAATTATTATAACATAGAAATTAGGAACAAGAGGTGCAGTTGGTTCTAGAAAGTTTTGAGAGACACATGTAAAGAGGGCCGCAGTTTGATTATTGAATAAAGGTTTGGTGACTGGTGGCTGTTTAGGAACACCAGGATCCTGACATGCCCATGTTTGACCTACGAGAGGGTTACATGGCTGACAAAGAGAACTATCTGGACATTTTCGATGCCCGAGATGATATTGTGCGAGACTTTCAGAAATGGGGCACATTGTACAGAAATCCAGCGCCCGAGCCATTTATCCCTCAGTTGTCGAAGCGGGCGAACAATCGCTGTAAGTTAATGTTTGTGGTTTAAATAGAGAACCTGGTACTTGGTAACTGTTAGGTTTGTGACTTGTTGACCCAGTATCTAAAATGGAAAGGCAAATACGCAGTTTGCAGTACAACTTATGCACGGTACGAATACTTTCGAATAGTAACGACGACACCAGAGGTGTCCCGCATGTATTTCGATAGATTAGACGGTCAGTACTTATACTTAGAGTGAGACAATCCATGAGTGTTTGCTTTAAAACCATTATATGAATATGCACAGATATGAAGAATAAAGCAAAGAAGGAAGGAAAGCAGAACCAGGACATGAGTTTATCCGCCGCTGCCAAAGGCGTCAAGCGGAAAGCGGGCAATCCCTTCCAGTTCAGTTTTGATTTGGCCAACGGGAGAGGCACGCGGTTACCACCGCATATGAGCGGTGGTCGGGAAAACCTCATGGGCGCCGACTTTCCAGAGAGTTTGCCGCAACTAGAAGCAGCTACAGCTGACTTCCGTACCTTTGAGGATTGGCAGATTGTCATGGTGAGAGTGTACTGTTGCACGAGATCTGCTCAGTTTCACTGGTTCATACCGTACGACGTATGTTGATTATTTGTATGGAACAGACATCGACGCTAGTGCAAGGAACACCGCCGACGCCTACCGCGCCGGCTCCGTCGGCCACCAGCTGTGAGTTAGTCTCGTACGTATCCGCCGCATTCAATCCACGCTTTCGTCCGGTGCGGGATTGCCAGTTCCGTTTGAAAGCGATCCGGATGCGTGAGGACAAACTGGCAAATGAGGAGATTGTTCCGGTACCCAAGAAGAAGAAACGGAATAAGGACGATCCGAATCCGGCTCTGGATAAAGTATGTTGTGATGAGGTTTAGTTTCATGTCGATGGCAGCGTGATATCTAACATGTTTCCCTTCTAGTTGCCTATGTCGGTACCAAAAAAAGTGGCTCTTGCGGTGCAGGATGATAATAACAAGACTCGAACCCAACTGTACCGGGATGTGTGCAGTTCCTTCCGAAATTTCGCTTTCAACGTTCCGAAACCGATTCGGGAACCCGGCACATTATCCCGAAATTTCTCTACAGCCAGTACGGTGTCGGGTGACGGAGCCGTTGGCGAAGACGGCGCATTGGATCCTCTGATGATCCTGAAACGACGGCAGGATCGTTCCAATATGAGCAAAAATTTCATAAATGAAAGCACCACACGACTGGCCGCGTCCCTCGGTAAGGGGAGCGTATATACCTAGCATATAGCTTGTTTGCTGAGTTGTGGAGATAATTATTTTACCTACTTAATCACGGATACTATGTAGGACTTCGTTTTTTAAAAATTTTATGTAGATACGAAACTTTTTTAGGTTTAACGGTGGATGCACATGGGCAGCCGACGCAGCAGAACGCTCTCTGTTCACCTACGCGGCCCGCACCGTCTATACTGCAGCAGACTCTGCAGGCCACGACACCGACCACGCCGGGCCCGCTTCTCAGTTCCGTGATGGGCGTCCCACCCCGGACACCCTTGCCTTCACCGCAGGTCTTCGCGCTGGGAGGTCCGGCCAGACGACCCGTGTTCAATGCAGGAAGTGCGGTGAGTTTCAATAGGAATTCAAAGATGTGGTAAAGCCGTCATGCAAGATTGTATGTCCTTATTTGGTTTATGGTGTGCTGTTTGATTGGATCATTTCGTCTTTTGTCATTTTAGCGTCTCGTGAGCTTGCTTTTGTTTTTGTTTCTTCAATTGTTGACGGCTAATCTTAAGTTTTAAGTTTTGATTTCGTTTGCAACTGACAACCTCTGCCATGCTGTATTTCTTTCTGGTGGATAAATCGAATTCTGCTTGCTCTTGGGTGCTCGACTAGGCTTGCTGGGCATAAATCAGTTGCCTAGTTTTATATCGGTTGTGTATGATCTTATACGTATGGTTTGAGGTCTTCATCGCTAGCTTTTTTCTGCAAATTTGGCTAGTAGCTTCTCGTACAGACTGACATTATCTTATTCGTTTTAGCCCGTATTTTACTGTTTTGTTCGACCTTACGTGGTATCTGCATTTCGTTTTTGGAACTCATTACACGGCGACGTCGACATATCGGCTCTGAAGACACTTGACTTCCTGGGGTTTTGTGACAATTTTTGACTTCAGAACCTTTCAGAAATATTACTGATTTGCATTAGTGTTTTGTAGTAAGCATTGATATTTTTTAAGTCGACCTGGCTTGAATTCTGCACCGATGGTTGTTCTTAAACTGCCATGATGAAGCCCGTGCGCGACGAATATAGTTTATTATTATTATTATATTTTGTCGAGGAAAACATAGTTTTTTAGTTAGTTTTATGTAGTAATATTGTGACAAAAACTGTACTAATTTTAATACACCAAGATTTTTGAAGCGTTTACGGATCAGCGGGTGCAGTTCCATAGGAGCCGCTGTAGCTGCGAGTAAACATGAAAAGTCACAACTTGTGTATGTGTATGTATTTTATAGTCACCAGCACCCGGAAGTCCATTACCATCAATTGGATCGACCGCCATTAACCAACTGATTAGCAGTGTTCCTTCACTGGTAAATTCCAGTACAGTAAATCCGGCGGCCACGACGACAGTGGCACCCACCGCAACCAGTCCCGCCATCCGTCCGGCCGTTTCTGTATCTAGTAACGCTAATAAAATCGCTCAGTTGCGCGAACTGTTTCGTCGTCTGGAGAGCCAAAGTGGAACGGCCATCGATGCCAACCGAGTGAAGGATTTTCTGACGTCCCGCGGAATAGTCTTCTCGGCAGAGCAGATCAACGATCTGGTCAAAGCCTACGGGTCGGGATCGTTATCGAGAGGGGCCGACGGCCAGGCAGCCGCAACTCCCACGACCGTCGCCGCAACAGCAACTACGCCTACAGCTGTATGTTAGCAGCGAGACAAGTGTGGGGAAATGTATTTAATTTATTTCAATGTATTTCGTAGGTCCCGGTGGCAGCGGCGGCAACCGTTCCGAAAGCAATCGCTATTAACGTTCCTTCGTCGCCCGCCATGGTAAGGCTCCCTGCCGCGGCAGGGATTCGGCAGGGTGCAACAGGCCCCACCATCAGCCTCAGTCTGCACCCCGCGCCACCAGGAACGGCGACGCAAGTAACGCAGATCGTTGGACGCAGTCCGGGGCCGGCCGTGCGGAGAAACGCCTCGGCTCCGGCGGTGACCGTTTTGAAAAATGGGCCAGTAATTAGTGGCGCACCACCGGTAAGAGGGATGTCGATTGTGTTAACACGTGTTGGTGAGACTTCGGGACTGATTGCAGAACGTCACCATCACATCGAAACCCATCCAGTCGGCGGCCGGCACCGTCCCGGTGCAGATCATCCCGGCCAGCGGGGGCGGTGGAACGACAGACCTGCGTCTAGCGACACCGGCCGGCGGGGCTATCCACGTTAATAGTGAGCAGCTGAACCGCATCATGAGCCTGTATCCCGGACGGCACAGCATCCAGCGCGCCGGCAACACCATGTCGGTGCAGCGGGTAGTGGCGCCGGCCACCCCGGGAAGTGCGCCGCAAGCGCAGCACATCACCTTCGTGCCCAACCAGAGCGGGCAGTCCAATGTGCTGGTCATCCAGCAGGCCAACAACAGCAGCCAGCCCAGTCTCATCCTGCAGCCGCCGCTGCATCTGCAGAGTGCCCAACCGACGGTCGCCGCCGCTGCCGAACGCGGCACCGCCTCGCCGGTGGTCCAGCAGCAGCTGCCGCCACCGTCACAACCGCCGCCGCAACCAGGCGTTGCTACGCCGCCAGTCATCCAGACACTACCGGCACCGTGAGAGGGAAATGGGGGAAAGGGGGTTTTAGTGGGAGATGGTTGTTTTCGCTTTTACTGATTGTTCATTTTTTGAGGAATAGTGTTATGTTAGGCTGTTATCTTTTTTTACTTTGCGGGATTTTTGATTGTGGTAGCCGGAAGCGACAGGATAGTTGGGTGTCGCACTGCACCACGGGAAGTGATTAGGGGGGTTCGTGTTGTTTTTGTTTATCATATGTTTCCGTCTGTACTTTTGTTGCTTATGTTGTGTACCAAAGGATTTTCTGGACAGGTTGATCAGTGATGGGTGAATCTTCTTGTTAAGTATGCAAATTGTGAATAAAAATTATCAGTTTCAACGGTGTGGTTTGTGAGCCTCGAGCGGGGTACATCGTTGTCATGAGTTTTGACAAACAAGTTAGAACAATCGTATTTTGTGGGATCCACTGTCGAAGTGTAACCGTACGAGCAGATGCAATGGTGCACTGGCGATGTTGATGTTACTGTAGTTGCGAAACCGGTGTGGCAAGTTTGTGTACCGGTTGACGTTGCTGAGGGCATCGCGGTGCATTCGTCTGGTCTCTGCATTATTGTACATATGGATGATTTAACGGCACAGGTTGTTGAATAGACGTGGATACGTAAGTCCACTTAAAATGAGAATGATATGAATTTTTATTCGTACTAAATTTTTGGGTTCTTATTTCGAGTTTGCCGCACGTGCCACTAGTACGTACGGTTGCGCTGGAAAATTACAGTAGTAGTACAGAACTAACAGAAATTGCTTCTAGTCTGTATAATTATAACAGTTATTGTGTTCACAAATAAACAGTCAACTTACCTGACTGTTTTAAAGACAACATTATGAACAAAGTCATCTGTTTAACTAGGACGGGCATGTTTGTGCTCGTATATTACACATAAAGCTGAGCATGCCACGTTATGACAATGATCAGGTAAGGATCCGGAGGATGCTGCACGTATCATGCGTGATTTGGGTGGCTGACGTTGTAATGTCGTTGAGCAGATTCGCCGGGAGATTCATTAGCATCCGTGTGTGCAGTCTGCTATTCGGCGTGTACTATTTCCTCCTGGGCGGTTTCGGGCTGTTCTCCGCTCTGAACGGCCTGCTCATCTACTGGTCCGACCGCGATGTCATCGCCGACAGTCTGAAAGGCGTCACCGGCGACATCTCCGCTTCCGTGTACTGGGCGGCGCTGCTGTGGATGCTCTTCGGCGGCGTCATGATGCTCATTGGGATCCTGCAGATTGTGTCCATCGACCGGCGCTCGGAGGCCATGTTCCGCGTGGCGACGGGGTTGCTGGTGGCGGCCGTGGTGGCGCTCACGTGGGTGACGATGGTCTCAGCGTCCAATATCCGGCAGATGTACCGAGAGCCCAGTGTGCCGGATGAGCGGAAGGAAACAGCCGTTCACCTCACACAGCGATTGGTTTTTGTTACCGGTATGATACCGTATTCGTAAATGGTGCCGCTCACCGGATTCATACATTTGCCATTTTAAATTGACTTGAACCAAAATTGTTTTATGAGGAACATACCACGGGCCTGTGCTAGGTTCGGCAGAATGGGACGCTAACCTGAACATCTGTTAAATTGTTTGCAAGAGGCTTATTATTTCTGTAACGCTTATTATTTTTTCTTTCTAGGCTTATTATTTCGATTATTATTACCCGGTGTCATCTCTTGATTTACAACTGAAATAGTAGAGGTCATATGGCCACGATTTAATTTGTATTTAATTTGTATTGCGATTGCAGGAGCAATAACGGGGTCGATCGCAGTCGGCTTACTGCTCAATTTGTGCATCATGCTGGAGTCACGGCACAGATACTTCGAAAGTTTACTATTTCCAACCCACCATCCCGTGGCATACAACAGTTTTCGCTCCAAAGAAGTCTTAAGTGAGGACATTATTTAAACTAAGTGTAATTTACATTGCATTCAGTTAACTGGTGTGCTTTGTGATCTGTTGGTACACTTTTTAGAACTTTGTTATTCACGGTTGTTTTATTGCTGATTGTAATTTATTGACAATTTTGATCTCACAGTGTCAGTCATTGACATTCGCAGCTAATTTTGGAGTTACAAAAATCGTTCATCATGCACTATGATCAGCGCTGACATCCCTATCGTGGTCGCCTTATAGAAGTATTGAAGAAAGCGTTGACTGCGGAATAACCTCAAGTTTATTTAAAAAAAAAATAGATACACTGCAAAACGAAAACAGCTGATTACAGCAACAAAATTTCATTTTTTTCATATGCGTACTGCAGAATTTCTTGATAAACTAAAAGCCTTAACGTCAAAAACTACTTAATAAACTAGCGGTTATTCGAAGCAAGAAACCTGATTTTATAGCAAATACTGCCAAATTGGTCCTGAGTACTTTTACAACACCAAACATGCAGTCACAGCGTAAAATTTTTTTTAATCATTAGAAGCGGTCGCATTGATATTGACCAAAGTTTCAAGCACTGCACAGAACGCGATACAGTAGCTATTGTACTATGTATATTAACAATAAGCGCTAAATATGTAAATCTGCATAATTATTATACTGCGTACGCATTCTCTGGGTCAAAATATGTAATTAAGCTGCACTGAGTACTTAAATCGCCATCAAAATACCATTCGGTTTAGGTTGCATTTAATACTACTGTTTTCTATCGAAATTTCAAAAAAGGAACCGTTGATAATTATAATTAATTGTGACATATTACGGCCCACCTGTACGAGTATTGTACATCTACTCTGTATGTGTACATATTAATAAGAAATGCCGCGCTCTACCCTTGAGTATGAGCAAAGATTGCAATTTCATTAATTTTAGTAATGATAATTCATTCTTTACTAGTGTAGTAAAATAAATAAACATAAGGTAATAAATAAAACATATTAACTGTGTGATTGGTACTGCGACGATGCGATTTGCTTTTCTCCAATTTTGAAGGTCATGGCTTATATAAGTAAGTAATCATTTAAATATGGATACTGATACCCATTCATAAATCGCAAAGATAAGATTTTGATTGTTTTATTGGCTTAACGGTTAACCACGCCTACAATCAGTCCTAATCACTTTCAGAAGATCCACCTACGTACCATAATCACAAGCTGGAAGGATCGATGGATTTTGATCCTTATTATTAATCGTAAGGTTTTTCAGGTTACCGTACTTATTACTTTACTGATTGCGGTATTCCCTTTGATTTCGCTTTCACCTTTATGCATTCGTTTGCGTGGGATTTCTCATTTCAGGCATATGGTTCTCAAAGGAATTCAACTTTTAAGCGCTGACATAGTGTAGAACATTACGTTTTAGTTAAATTTTTGCGATTTAGCGTATTTTTCTGGTAAGTGCTTGTGTACAAGACTGCTGTCTATCCATATGACTTTAAAACGCACTGTACCAGTATGTACGCACTTCTAGTCTTCTACTAGTGATTGTGGTCTCACCTTCTACGCCGCAGTATGTACCGCATTGTCTTAGATCTCGGTCGCAAACAAAACGTGCAATATCGTGTTAATATGATTAGAGCAACCTTTGTCGCTTGATTCTTTGTTTACAATAGTAACAGAAACATTTTTTTGTACCGATCGCGCTACTGAGTAGATTTCTCTCTACAGACTGTAGGAAACAGGAAGTGATATTTTTCATTGACGCATCGATTTTATTGCTGGGCACGTTTGCTAATGCGGACCGGAACGAAGCAGGCTTTTTAGGGGGGCAGAAAGTAATTGAGCGGGGGAACTGGACAAAAAACAGTATTCGCCGCGCTCCACCACGTCGAAGCAAATCGTTGGTAATTTTGACTGCGTGTGTAATCGCGTTAGTTGATTCAAATGTTTTTAAAATTTTGAAAGACTTTGCGAAATACAAAAGTGACCAGGTTTCATGGAGTGTTTTTATGTGACAGAGCAGCATATGTAGGATCGTTTTAATAGCTCGACGAAAGATTTCAGGAAGTTCTAGTTCGTTATTGGGCCATGGACCTCTGGCTGGTACGATGAGAGATCTATTGTATGTAAACGCGGGATATGCATTTCCTTACACACCGATTTCTGTTCAAAATCGGTAGTATTTCTATGCGATGAATAATCAGAATCGCAGAAATTGCTGTGTTGGTCTTGTATATGCGTTTGGAGGCAAAGTAAGACGCTGTAGAACGCGAACGACCATAATTTTGGGACTTTAGTCTTGGTGGCGGTTCTTCGTTGACTGGACAGCTGAAAATCTGGGCCAGTTTGAGTTGCTCGTTCTTGGATGCTTCATACTTACGGTTATCTTTAAGCTACGATAGTTATTACATTCTGTGGCATTGTAAGGCAACAGCTTCGATGATATAGCAGCAGCAGAACGATTTTACTTGCTAGTTACTGTTTTTGGATGACTGCATTACTTAGTCTAATTTCGAAATACCGTGTTTATTTCGAGACGCACCATGCGCAGTACGCTATTGTTATCAAGCTGCATCATGTTGCATTCGCTGTCGTAGGAAAGTTACTGGTAGGTGGTGGAGATTTGACTGCCGTTGATTACTCAGATCGGCTGACGATGGACTCATCTTCGACGCATCCTGCCCGCATCGTCATAGCGTCGGGCAATCATTCCCGCGTGCAGACGATGAGCATGGCCCAGTCGTTCCCCAGCAGTTCGACGCTTCTCAGCGGCTTTCCCGTGACCATCGCTGCTCCCTCCACCAGCTCCGGCAGCAACGCTCCCGTCCAGATGATCTTGCTGGACACATCCAGTCATTCGTCCACGTCCGGGACGTCGGGAAGGGCCAATTTCGTCAAGATGGTGTCCAGTGGATCGAAGCATTCGTCTGCGTCGGGGAGCAGTGTCATTACACTGACCCCCGTCAGTAAATCCCCGGCCGTCGTCTACAGCAACCAAAATGGAATCCGTCAGGTTAGTGTCCCGATACTTTGCCGAAGTGTTCTCGTAAGTTGTAAATGCTTGCGAATATTTGTATTTTGGGGTTTTCTGCTCACTATTCTCGTTTCATTAATCGTTAGGCTGGACCAAGTGCAAATCGAGCGTACACTTCGTCTAATCTCCCCAAAACCATCAAAGTGGTGGCCTCTACAAGCGGGAGTGGACAGCCAAGATCACGTAATGGTGTTTAATATTTCGTACCCATGAAGTTTGATGTGTAATCCCATAATTTCCGCTTAACTGTAAATGGCTGCTTCATTTAGGTCCAGTTTATGGGTCAGCAGCAAATAATCCGAAACCGATTCCCCTAAAACTCATGAAACCTCGCGCTCCCAATCCCAAAGTACCCAAACCCAGCACGTCGCAGGCCAAAAAAGCCCCCCCTCCAAAGTCTCGTCAACCCATTGCGAAGCCTGTAGCGAAGAAGAAGCCGGTGAAGAGGAAACGGGCCAAAAAGCGTGACAACACAAGGCAGGACACGTATACTGCCGAGATGAACGATCTGCGCTCCAAGATCCAGAGTCGATTTGATGCCAAGCGCAAAGTGCAGATTAAAAAGGAGGATGTTGGTTACGACGGTCCCTATATTAAATCCTATCATCTGCCCGAAACTCAGGGCCAAATGCCGGTTCGCAATTTTATCGTGGACGATCTGGAAGCTCATGTGGTGCCGACGGGCACCAATCGGCATCGTCTAAAGCTGGAGAAACCGACCGGGATGTCGGGTACGGATACGGTACTGACGTGTGCGTTCTGCCATTTGGATCCCGCAGCCGAGCGTGAGACGGGGATGGGCGATCTGATTGGACCGATTCTCGTGCCGGCGGAGGTGCGCTGGAATCGGAAGCCTGGTGAAGATAAGGCATACGTTTATGTGCATTCCAGATGTCTCGAGTGGTCGTCCAATTTCCGTATGATTGGTTTCGAACTTGCGGAGCCGCGGGCATTGTTTGAAGATTGTAAAAATGTACGTATATAATGTTTCCCTTGTCCGCTAATATTAGTTTGGTCAGTTGTCCACGAGTTAAAATTTGGGAATTTCAGTTTGCTAGATTCTTACCGATTGATTATGGAATATGAATGAAAGTTTTATTTTGTTTTTAGACGTGCGATATTTGTGCACGTCGCGGTGCCACTATCGGGTGTTCGGGGCCTCGGTGTGTGAAAGCGTTTCATTATCCCTGCGCTCAGTTACAAGGTAAACCTGCGCGACCGTACTGAAATGTTACTTGCTTTCAAGTTTCAACCATCCATCTCTCTCCTTTTAGGACTTAAAATGATTCGTGATTCTCATCAGATTTACTGCGAAACACACCAGGTACGGTTGGTTTCGAAGATGCTTCGAGTGGACTCATGACAAAGTGGAATTATGATCATTCATAACCTTAATCGTTTTTGTAGAATGCGTTGATGCGTAAGCGAAAGAGAAGTGAAAAGGCATGAAAAGATGTTCAAGATGCATTTCTGTGAATTAGATGGTGTTGGTACTTCATGGTTGATATGATTTGCTGATTTTGCAGCACTGATTATGTTTGTTGACGTTGCACACTGCTCTTTATTTGGAACATGGTGATACTTCTTGTTTCCTTTTGAAAAATCTGGTTGGTGCTATACTGTTATTACGTGAACGTATGAGTCTGGATCATTGTTTAGCTCTTGTTTATTTGCTGAAGTTAAACTTTATGCCATCTTTGAGTGCGTGTAAGCAAATAAATGACGAGTCTACAAATTTGCGAAAAGTAAATAATTAAGTAAAAGATTTTTTTGGTAGCGAACGTACGCTCTCCGGCTCTTTTAGTAGTAGTAACTTTCTTACAATGATAAATTTTCTGTCTACAGTGGCTCTCCACTTTTCCACCAAAACTTAAATTTAATGACCTACAATTGGTGAAGTCATATTCCGTATCAGCGATATAAAATTACTTAATCTAACATGGAACTACCAAACAGAAATCTGCGAAACGTGTGTATAAATTATACGTTTCTAAATTAACCGGTAAAAATTTTTTTTTGTTAGTGAAAGTACGCTCTTTGTAGCAGTCTCTCTCATTCCCTCTCTTTGGTACCGCCATAACTCTGCGAATGATTAATGAACAGCAGTCTTCTCCGGATGTTCACAAACTACTCCCGGTGGTGAATTTTAATAGCACTTCTGCTTAAAATTAATTCACAGTGCAAAATTCAAAATCGCTACAAATAAGACTGCCCAATTGAAACCAAGCCAGCAAAAATCAAAAGATCACCACCACAAACTCGAACCCCACAAAAGAAAGCACACGATATCCATAGAAAAGCCAGCTGTACTACAGCGTGGTTATTTAAGTATAATATCAGTCCACTACATAACTGAGATCTAACACAACTGCAAGGAGAAACACGATTCATAATGCCCCGATCACGGAGCCGGTTTCAGTTCCGGTGAAGACACTGTGGAGGAAGAATCGGGCTCTAATCCTGGAGTGTCGCCTGCACGCACAGCCTGCTTGTTACCATCGTCCGCAACAAGTGCCGGCTTGAGAAATCGCTGCACTGCTGGAATATCCAGGCGAGAGCTGGGACCGCTCTCCGTTCGCGCGAACAGGCTCGCATGCGGTTCCAAATCAGTAAATTTCCTGGCATAACGCTCCAGCAATTCCTGGAATAACCGGTAATATACAGTAATGTCATCTGACATGAGGTCAAGCAACCTGAGGAACTGTTCCAAAATACCTTTCTTTTATTAATGCCCTCCTTTTCCAAATCCAGTCCATTTAACCGGCAGTACACTAGAAGCCAGATATCTATAGTATTCGTGACATGATACAAAATACCCATGCATTCGTTTCAGTAACACAGAATCTGATACCGATTTTCAAATTATACAATAAGGACGAATTAGCTCTACATATATATGACAATAAATCAGCCAATAAAGTCAAGTATGGGTGCATGTAATGCACATGTCACGGGAATAACCGATGCTGAAATTTGTAGCTGTCTGGAGCGAAGTACTGATCGAATAAATATCATAAAATTGTTCAAAACATCGATTTCAAAAGAAAAAATGTAACCTACATGGCATATAAACAAGACATGGAAAAAATCTCTAAGATCTTCAATTCGAAAGAGTATCGTAAAATCAAGAAATACATAGTTTCGTGTTTAAAATATTTGAACAGTGGCATTTAAGTACTACACTAAAAGTCTAAAATTAAGCAAAGACGTACCTTCGCCCAGAGACACCACGGCATTAAACATCCACAAGGTCATATTTTCTTCTTCCAGTGGGGTGGAAAACTAAAAAAATTTGGTCTTAAGCCCACACAATGATCAGAACAAAATCCAGAAAGTACAACAGTCCAGTTAAATACGTACTGCATCGCAGTTTCTGACTGGGCATACTGACTTACATGTTTCGCTTTCTCCGCTGCATTGATCTTTACCCAGTTCTCCACAAACTGGTTCAGATCGTCGAGCCGTTTAAGCAAGATATCCAGGTTGGTTAGAACTTCCTTTGGCAGCTCACTGGAGAAATCCAATAACTCATGGCCTCGATTCCCTGGCCAAGCAACAGTTTCGGCAACCACCAGCTTCTCCTCGCCTGCATCTGTAGTGCTCGGCTGATCCACCGCCGGCCTAGAGGATGCTGTGCCATCTTCTTTTGGCGACGCAGATGGGATCTCGGCACCCGATCTTTCTTGTGGGCTATGAGGACTGCGAACCTTGATGGTTTTTCTGGTTCGTCCACTTGCTGGCGATGCAGCTACGGATACCGACGCTTCGTTGCTGGCGGATTTTCTTTTAGGAGGCATCACAGCGCATACGAGTACAGAGTAGAGTCTGACTGCACCGCAAAAAAAACGAAAAATCCTCTTCGGGACGGAAAATCAAACTATCTGCAAAATACTAGAGGCGAATAGTCAACTGACAGACTACGTAAATAAATCCATATTAGACCCTTTTCTAAAAATTTCTAAAATAAATCCATATTAGACCCTTTTCTAAAAATTTCTACTAAATACCAAAAATTATAATTTTTATAAAATCAAAAAACTGCAAACGATTCAAACTTCAGAACGACGGAAAACGGCCCGTTGTCGATATGGCAACCGCCCAAGTAAACTTTCGTACGTACCTTTCGTAAACTTCCGTACGTCATCTCGCCGCTCACAGCAGTGAAGTTTTATAAATGTACAGTAAATTTTTCAAGCGACAAAGTCACCAAGAATAAAGCCCGTTTAAAGGATTATGGAACTTAAGGTTTTTTAGTAAATTCAACTTTATTCTGGAGTTCTCAGAGAACAGCTGTCAGCTGAATATCAGCTATCTCATGTTGGTTTAACTATTCAGGCAGTGTGTTCACCATTCCGAAAACAAGTAGAAGTGTAGATATGTCATTGAATGAAGGTTTACAAATTCCTCCGCTGCAACATCTTTCTTCGGAATCTGCTGCTCACATGACTTCCGCTCCCGCAGGAATGGAGACGACGCAAACAGATCAGGCGTTCTCAAGAAAGAGCGATTTCGTCAAACGCCTTCACCAAGTGTCTGAGGTTATTATGATGATAATAATTCCTATTAATAGTATACCTAGTAATTAACATGAAATGCGCTGGTCTACTCAGTCCATTGTGCTCTTCGCACTGCATGGTGCAAAGTTAGACACCTTCTATTTGTCGTTTTATGCCATGATCAGCAGCTTTCTTCTTTCTTTGCAGCGCATCTTCGCGAACGTGCTGGGAGACATTAGCGAATCTCCTAGTTTTGCTCCCTCTGAATCGCTGGAGGGTGTCCGCCACAATGCCGACCAAGACATTCGAGATCTCATCGATGCGCATGCTCATCTAGACCAGTTCTTTGCGCGCAAACGCCTCATCTACACTCAGCAACATCCCGAAAAAGTGTTACAATCGGTATAAATTCTGCGATTCACGTTTGGGCAGACGGTAACTGATACTTAAGTCTCTTCATTGCAGTACATCGCAGAAATGAAAAAAGCCGTGGCGCGCAAAGAACACCTGATCCGGCGTCACCATACGAATCTGTCCCGCTGGACAACCGTCTTGAAAAACGAGCCCCCTCCCTCCACATCGGTCGAAGAGCGTCCCGTCTCCACACCGCAACCACCGGATTCCCCGGCTAAACGGCAAGAAATTCCCCGACCAGCGCCGCCCCTTTCCGCGGCCCCCCAGCCGTCCCCCGCTGCTCCCACTTTCCCCTCGCAACCGACGGGGGCGGCTGGCTTATACGGCAGCAGCGCCCCCAGTCCGCAGCCGTACGTGCAGCCCGCCCCGCCTCCCATGTACCACCGGCCGCAGCACCGCCAGCCCGGTGCGGGGTACATGAACCGAGGACAAATACCGCCGGGGGGCTTCTCCCAGGGGTTCAGCGGTCAGCCTTCCTCCTTGTCGGCCATTCTGCAGTCCGCTCCCAGTCCCGGTCCGCTGATGGGGCAGACGCGACCGATGCGTTCGCAGTCTCCTAGTGTCCCGAGTCCGGCGTCGTACGGAGCCGTTCCGTCACCGCGCGTTCCGTGGCGAGCCTCCGCACCGCCCGGCGCAGTTGCTGCTCCGTCCATGGGATACGGCGCAGAGGATCCGGGAGCCGCCGGAGATATGGGATATTATCAACAACATTCCCAAGGGATGCCGGGTAGTGGTGGGGGATCGCATAATATGCCACAGTAGACACGGCAGCACAAAGTTACGTCGAATCTTCTTTGACGGGTACATGGCGCTACACGCCCTTTAAGATACTGTTTAATAAATGCAATTCATGTTGTTTTGTTTTTACGTGAGTCGTGTTGTATTAATGGAACCAGGGCATATCCAGTTTAATAAACAGATGCTTTCCTTTCGTAACTAAGTCTGATACTGAAGAACTTTTTTACTGTATTTTCATGGATTTCATTAAACTAATGATCCAACACCTCTAAACGTTCGTTTAGCGCTCGCCCTTCTTTGGATTATTCACTGATGACGGCTACAATAAACTTTCTAACCGTAACCCAGTCAAAAATACCAAAATTGGTCGCCTTTGCCGTCTGCGCCTCTACACAGCATTAGGAAAAACGCATTCCAGTAAACCATAAAACCAGGTGGTAAATCTTTGCCACGAACGAATTAAAATTCTGGTTAGCGCACAAAAATAAACAAAATTTGTTTCTTTCAACACGTGAAACCTATCACGTTCCCATGAGTTTTTGCTGCAGGATCTCCCAACATATACGCCGACGAAAGTACGGCATATTGGTCTGAAATCAATAGTATCAATGTTAATTAAAACAATGAAAAGACGACAGTCTATAGAAAATAAGACCAACCGACTTACATGATCAAAATTAATTTCGCGTCTCCGAGAAATGTAATCCGCAAACTTCAGCATAAAAACACCACAATCACTGCCATTGTTCTGCAGTGGAATCTTTTTTGCCTGTAACAACGAGAACGCTGCGATCATATACCATGGCAAATACGTAGATTCAGAAATGAGTTTACCCGCTCTTCCGCAGACATCCATATCGTCCAGTCTTGTCTATCAAACGACTGCTTCAACTTATCACTTTTCTCTTTCTGGAGATACTCTCTGCCAAGAAACCAAACGCAAGTTGCATACATTTTAATTTCTAATCGCAAGACACAAACAAAAAACCTTCTGTAATAAGAGCGCAAGAAAACGATAAAGACAACTGGTAACTTACAACAACTTTTCAGCACAAGCATGATTTGCTTTTCCAAGAGAGTCATAGTAGTTAATCCGTCGTTCTCGCATGTCCATAACCTACGATTCGATATAGCAAAATCTTAATAAACGTAATGTACATATATACTTATCTATATCTCTCTTTTATTACAATAATAACAAAATCACAGCAAAGCTGCCAAGAGAAACAACAGCGGGCTTACAGTATCTATATGTTAAACAACACAAGAGAGACCGCCAACGCCATACCGCCAAGCACCAATGACTGCCTAAATGCACCGGCACAAGCAGGAGATCGTAGGAGAATATGTCCACTTTCTTCGTCCACCGTTTCACACCATCGAATGCCTTATTGACAAGGGTTGTGTAGAAAAACGTATTATATGTGTAAACTTTTGGATATTTTTCAGGATGGCGCAGTGCTCGATCAACAATCATTTCCAGATAGAAGTTGGCTACCTATAAAAAGAACAAAAACTTGGTCAATTTGAACTGAAATTTCAAAGAGTTTTTCAACAAAACTGTCAAGAAAGCATAAGCTCTTAGGGTGCTTTTATTACTGCTTTACCTCATCGTTCAACCACGAAAGACCCTTCAATGTGGCGATATCTTTGCGCGTCACCTGCAGACGGAATTTATCCGACAACACATCGGTCGGCGAACCGGAACCGAAAGCTTTCTTCACCACCTCTTCCTCTTCATATGATAATTCTAATTAAAGCAAAACCGAAAAATTGTATAATTATGGTATAAAGGCACACAGCTGAAGAAGCTTAACGATAAAATGCAACTTACCAATAAAATCGATATCATGACTAGGAGTGGAAGTTTCTATTTGCTGCACACGCTCCGTTAATTGTTCTAATCTCCGAGTGAACACCTAAAAATTAAGTAATTAACGGATTCGTAGATCTACTTCTAGAATACCGTAACCGGGCAGCAACAGAAAGACAAATCCACTCTTTTATGACGTAATTCCATAATACTGTAATAACAATGTCTTTCATAATTTCGCGTTGTCGTCATTAACGCTATGTAAAAGTTCATTATCCAGGAATTTACCTCAGTAGACAGACGTGATCGGGATAGCACCATGTCTTCATATTCCTGGTAGTTTTTAACATCACGACTGTAAACAATCACGCCCAAGATGGAAAATCACTTCACAAAACTGAAAGCACGCCGGGTGGGTTTACCGGATCGAGGGGGTGTTTTTCTGGTAGTTCTCTGCCAGATGACGAAGTTCTGCATCCCGCTTCTTACGAATTTTACTGATCTGGTCCAAAAAAGGCTTTAACTGAGCTTTCGGTAAAACTGAAAGTAAAGAATTAAAACCTGTTCACACTTTTTTCAATTTTGTTCCCACCGACAGCATCTATTGCGTAAACACGGTACCTTGCACAGACTGCTCGTCACTTATTGTTATAACAACCGGACTTTGATCCCTTCCTGAAAATTCCAAGGTATATATTATCATAAAATATTTTTTATATCTCTTAAACCAAACATTCGACAAATGCCAAAAAAATACTGCTGAAAACTGAGACAAGGTACGATTAATTGGCCCGTATTGCTCAATATTCACACAGAATTTCAGTGACGTACTGCGCTGAGAGAGAGGAGCCCCGGAAATGTCTTGAATAGACTTCGATTTGGCAAGACGCTTCTTCATATCGCAGAGAAAATCGGTTGTTGACTCCTGGGATCTGGAGTACTTTTGAACAGTAGAGCTTCCGGCACTGTTTAAGGATGCATCGCTGCCATATGCGGACGAAAGCCGGGTTCCTGGAAAAAGAACAGTGGAAGATAGATACTGTACCTATTAGTAGTATCTTAAAAATTACAAACTGAATTTTTATCAGCCACTGACATCAGAGAAAAAACATTAGCGAAAAAGGGGTCAGCATTTACCATTTAACGATGTCGAATTCGGTGCAGACTTCGGTTCCAAAGGCTTTTTGAACGTTGTGGAACAGCTACCACTTTGCTGCTTCTGTTTGTGCAACCCGGCAATCGTCTTTGGCTGATTAGCAGTTACATCACGGAAGTTGGGCATTTTGAAAGAAGACTAAAAAAGATAACTGGAAATTACGTACACATTAACCAACTGATGGCAGCTCAAAATCTACCGTGAATGTCAGAGAAAGCCTTAATTAAACCAAATTTACTCACCTGGCTGGAATCTGAGCAAGCCTGTGAATTATTACGACTGTACAACGGAGGACTCGTTCGCGGAGCCGTAAACAAAGGCTTTTTGTTTCCCGTTCTTGGTGGATACAACCCAACGCATTCCAAATCCGAGGTGCTAAAACCGGAAATGACGTATTATCGGCATTTATCCACACAACTGGAGAAAGCCAGCATACTTTTCATTCCTTGGAGTTAATGAAGGCGTGGACGTGCTAATAGATCGAGATTCCGGAGCGCCAAAGGCCATTCGTCGGCTGGGATCAGGATTCAAACGCGAATCCTGCAACAATAAATCCACAGCTAAACTTGTGTGCATCCGATTTCTGCGGATACAATTCGACTGCACTAAATGGCGCCAAACAAACCTAGAAAGGTAAAAATCCCATCAGCCATTACGAAGTAAAAGGGTTTGGACATCGCTTTAACAGTTTTCGGAGGGAAAACTACGCATATCTGCATCACCTACCGTACGTACCTTTGCGTTGGAAGTGTGGCGACGAGAGCCAGCAGAAGCTGGCTCACGACTTCCCATGGACGAAATCGGCTTTCTTCCGGACAGCACAACACCATTGCGCGCCGAAGTGGCCGCGGAATGATCAGACTTCCCATTCCTATCGTTCATTCTGTTGGCAGGCGTCAGGATTCCTAAATTCGCTGATTTAAATTTCTTCGCGGGAATTTCTAAAAACCGAAGAATTTTTACGCGGGCAGAGGCTGCATCGTGTGCAGTGATTTCCCTGTATCACAAGCAATGAACCGCAACCACAGAACAAAGAAAGTTTAGGAACAACCAAAATCGACATTTTCGTTAGCAGCTACTCCGTACCTCTTATAGTGTCCTCCTCATCCGGAAAATCGTAAGGATTCAGAGCATCTGCTTTATATGGATAATGATACGAACTCCTGCATTAAGGAAGGAATGCTCAACGAAGACTTCATCGTCGAGTCAAGAACTTGTTCTTACCCGTTAGCTTGCGGTTCCTTCCTGTCTTCTCGCGACCGTTTTCTACTGTTAAACAGACTCTCACAAATATATGTCCCTATTCTGCTAAAAAATGACGACGCCATAACAAACAGATTCAAAAAACCATTGACTATTTCAGCTATTTCCACAAGTCATGGTGTTCTGGGGAACCACGCAAATGCATCACAGATCAATGAGGAACGCAATCGTTTGCATCATATCCGCAGTGGCAAAACTTCCAAATAACGAAGACAGTCTTTAACATTTTAGTATCATAATACCAAGGAAAACTAATCAGATGAAGGCATCACAATCAACAATGTACAGCGCGGGATTGCCGAGGCGGAAAAGTGTGTATACTTCCCTACGTTCCCGTAGGAAAGCGAACCAAGGTTGGTATCTTCCAAACTGTTTGCAGCCGTCATCAAGTCAAACGGGTAAACCCAATTAGTTCCCGACAATACTCGACAACCATCTTCCTCCCTTCTCAGGTTAACTCTTTTCAACTTTTTTTAACCAGTGGACCATTTTCCTACCACACAAAAATGCAATCAACTCTACAATTAGGCCAAATACCACAAAAATGGCAAAAATAAATTACTCGAGGAATCGTCAGGCTCTATCTAAACTTCTATACATGCTTTATAGCAGCAGTCAACCGCCTGCTGCTTGTCGTCACTGTTGTGCAAGGAAAACAAAAAGTTATTAACAAAAAGTTTATAATATAAGTGCCAGCGGGCAGTACAGACTGTAGAGTGTGGCACCTGTGGATTTTGGCTGCTTGCTTCTGTAGTCTTTTTGTCGGTTTCTGTGTTTGCTAGGTTCGCGAAATGTCGTAAATGCATCTTAATTGTCAGTTGTTTTTACTTATATTGGTTTGAATGTCTGTCGACTGTGTAGGGTGAAACACTTTGTTTATACTACAAAGTAGTATTGACTATTACTAGTTTACTACTTCTATCAGGACTATGTACGATTTTACTTTTACACGGGAATGTCCAGTTGTCCGCTAGAATTCAAAAATTACCAATTAATCCAGTAATTAATTTAGTAAATAATAATGAAACCACCCATTCACTATTGTAGTCATAGAGTACTTCCTCTGACCAATAGCCAAACGATGACAAAATAAATATTCCGTAAAATTAATGAAATTCCGTAAAATTAATGAAATCGCAACATATGCTGCTACGCCCTGTATGAAGTAGAAGTACGAGTACAATAGTTATTACTCGCATCATGGTTGAAATTACACTGACCGTAAGAACTTCAATAATAAAATATATTTTATAGTTCAAACTTCAAAGTAAGTATTACATGTACGTACTTAGTACTATTTACAGTTACAGTTTACAGTTTATTCAAGAGCAGACAAACCCTGAGGCACTCGCTAGTCTGGTCAGGTAGTTAAACAATAAGAAGAAACAAAACACAACACAAACAAAACACTCCGATAACGGAAGGGTCGAGATACTGAACACCTAAAGAAGATTATTTGACTGCAACATAGCCAAGTACAGATCCACAGAACCACAGTTGAACACTTCTTCCCCACGTAGTTTTTCAACAACACCATTAGTAGTTTTAGTGAATACTTTTCCCGTTATTTTATCAAACAGTTTCTTCAGCCTCATCTTTAGGGTTGTCTTTCCGATGCACAGCCGCGCGGTGGCATCGATCCGCTCTGTCCGGCGAAGTTCGTATCTGGCATTCGTTTCCCTGAATGTCAACAGGTTGCACATATATGACGGCACGTTGAAACTGCTCCGGTTACGAATCTTAAACAGCCAAACCGTCTTAAACAGCCAAACCAATATTTAGTTTGTACTAAGTACTTACACGTGAACAAAAGTCTATCGCAGTATAATTCAATTCAATATACTTGCTTCTTCGATTCAATATAATTTTTATCTCTAGCCGCATAATTAGTTTTCGAAGTTTGCGTTCGTAGACGAGAGTAAACAATTCCAAACACCACATTATTAGCTCCTGCTGACCAAGTCAAAATGATGCACTTACGACTGTTCAGGCACTTCGATCATGTGCTGCTTCTATACTTCATATATAAGAGATATCCATATGTTCCACCGCAAAAAAATTACTACCATGGATGTGTGATCATCATACACTTTTCGTACTCGTATCCAGTACATTGAAACTTTATCTATAGATATTCGTAGTACTTACTATAGATATTTACTAACGACAATGAATCCGTAAACGCCGAAAACCAAAAAACTGTCTGCGGTCCTGTTCTTCTTCTTGGATACTAACAGCTGTATAACGAACCTGACGATAATTAAACATATGCATTCGTATGCTTGTGCGGCAAACGCACCGAAAACAGCAAAAAAATTTAAACACTATTTCCAACTCAAATACAAAATAAATATGTGGCACCCTCTCTCTGCTGCCATCAGCTGTACAGCAACAGAAACGTATACCAGCGTGTATATCACAAAGTTTCCTTTTCTAACTGTTGCACGAACTGCACCAAGGTCCGCAGCGGTCGACCTGCAACCAAAGAAATCGTGTTGACAAATCACGATCCACATGCTAATACGTATATCTCAAAGCATGAAATCTATTCCACGAACCTGTGAACCCTTTCCGCAAATACGGCACTTCCTCTTTGTTTTCGCTGACTCCAGCGATATCCATGTGCATCCATTTGGTGTCTTTCTTTATAAACTCCGACAAAAATCCCGCAGCCGTACATGAGCCACCCAATCCGGCGCCTCCGATGTTGTTAATATCCGCCAAGTGACAGTCAGTCATCTTATCAGCATACGTTTTAAATAGTGGCATACGCCACACCCGATCACCTGTGCGAATCGAAGACTGCAAAAACCAGGCATGTAATCTTAATCCCATTCATAAGTCACTACACGGAATGCACACTAACCTGCAGCATCAGCTGCCAGGCTTTGGTATTATTCGTGAAAACGCCTGCAGCCGCTCCTCCAAGAGCAATGCGGATGGCGCCAGTCAAGGTGGCCAAATCAACGATAAACTTGCTCTTAAATTCTTGGGCGTAACACAGCGCGTCTGCTAATATCAAACGTCCTTCTGCATCCGTGTTATCAATTTGAATCGTTTTCCCATTCATTGCGCGGACAACATCGCCGGGACGCGTTGCCGTTGAGCCGGGCATGTTCTCCGCGATAGGTAGCAGCCCTATTATTCAGAAAATTTAACAATCGAATTGGCTTTATTGCTCATTTGTCTCAAAGCATGAAATCACGGCGTACCCAATAAGTTAATGGGAAGCTTCAGCTTGGCAACCGTCAGCAAGGCACCGGCAGTACAAGCCGCACCACCCATATCGCCTCGCATCAAATCCATATTAGCCGCCGGCTTCAAGGAAATCCCACCACTAGGACCCAAACCATAAATATCACATCCTATCTGAAAAGTAAATTCAAAAATATCGTCTTACGTGTCAAACGTAATTCCCTTCCCCACTACAATGGCATGGTAATCATCCCCGCCGCATCCTTTATAGGAAATCTCCAACAACCGTGCCGGCACGCTGGATCCGTGCGACACCGAAAGCAATGCGCCCATACCCTTCTGCTCGGCCCACTGTTCGTCGCGAATAGTCACCGTGAGGTTAGGAACAGATGAAAGGTCCTTAGCGATTCGTTCGGCCAGCACAGGAGGCAGTTTCAGGTTGGAAGGCGTCTCCATCAGAGTGCGAACATAGTTCTGGCCTTCGGCCAGCAACACGCCGGAATCCCATTCACCATTGCGGCTTTTTTCCAGCGGTCGCAGGCTTATGGCCTGCTTTCTTTTGTCTGGATGCTTTAGTTCATCGAAAGAATACATTTGGAGAAAGCTTCCTTCCGCGGCAGCTACGAACACTAACTTGGTTAGAATTGTTATTAGAAATTCTGCTTTGACATTCCAGGAATGGCTGCCATGCAAAACGCACCTTCATCATCGCCGAAGGTGTCAAGTTCAGCTTCCGTACAACTAATTTCCTGGAGCTGCCGGATGGCGGCTACACAGTAAAACTTTATTGTTTCTATTAAAACTGATAGCAAAATTGCTTGCAGCTTGAAAGCACACTATTTTCTGTAAAAGAAATACCTGCAGCAGCCACACGCACGTTTTCCCGCCCTTCGTCCCACTGTTCCAGCTCATTGACACCCGCTTGTTTCGACCCCAGACCGACCACCACGATTGTCGTGTACGCCTTAAGTTGAAACCAACAAAAATGTAAAAATGTTCTTTTTCAAGCAAGAGATTAAACAAATCAATCACAACTCACGTCATCCACACCGTGGAAAATCCGGACTTTCCCGCGCTTCATTTTTCCGTTGAAATACCCGGTGCTGAAATGATGAAAAGAAACGCACAAATTAAAAATTTCCTTCTAAAACTCTTCGTATAACTTTGAGAAACTACGCGCAATATTGCAGCAAGTATTACCTTATGACTATTTAACATTATTTTACTGATGTGGGATTACGAGTCGGACTGTCGGAGTAAAGATCAGCATATCAACGCTACGACTACGACTAACGAGACACGATCCCATTGAACGTCAATCCATTAACACGAAGTGATGTTTTACAGGTCCTAGAAATGTTGAAAGCAAACTTACTTGATGAGGGTTTTGCCTAGTGCGCCCTTAAATTTAGTGTTGAAGTCTTGAAACGCTGGCGTCCCGACGATGTCTGCTTCTCCGCATTTACTGACATCCTCTTTGATGGGATCATACACGCCCAAAACCAGGCCGCGATGTGTAGTCATTTTCTGCAATTCAGCAATTGCAACCTTCTTTGAAAGAACAAACGACTTGCACTATTGTCAACGTACCTGGGTTTTATAAGAAACAAAATTAACAGTAGTTCGAGAAAACAGACGTATACTCGTAATGAAAAAGCTGCTCTCTAGGTGTAGCGGCTGTAGCCAAGGCTTTGGTTGCCGCGGTGAAACCAAATCAGTTAGCAGTTTCTGTTGCCTGATCGCAAAGCGGCCAGTTCGCAAAATTATCATGGTTCACCATACAGCAATCTGTAATGCCGCACGGTTTTGTAATGTGATAAGACTTTTACGCGCTAAAACAATGGCAAAAGAAATTAACGGCCGAGCGATAACTGAAGCACAGATAAAAAATTACTGTACAACAAACGATAATTTTGCGAATTATCGCTAAATTTTGTAAAGATCATTAAAATGAATTTTGAAAGAGGTGTCGTCATAGACCTGTTTGATGTGTTTCGACTACAGGCGCCGTCGGGCGGTAGCATGCGGTGGTGGATTAGAGTTTTTCGAATCTCACGATGTACCGATGCTACAACATCTTGCAGCCTCCGTGCATCAATGGTTGCACATGTGTTGTTATTTGACACGAGAGACGTGAAGTCGCAAAACAGAACAGAACACTCGACAATCGACATCACTTTGTGACTTTCAGATTGTTCGTTTTTACGAAGCTTTTGCACTTTTGGATTTAATTAATTTCGCTACGCTGCTTGCAGATTTGCCCCAGTTTAATTGTAAACTCTACTCTATTTATTTTGCGGAAGAATAGTAAATCTTTGAAAGATCAAGTTTGAGCTGCCATAAAGTTTTTTGGCTGCCGTTTCATCTTGTTCGCCTATCAGGTTATTCAGGTATGATGGCAAAATCGGTTGCTAATCCGAAGCCATTCGTGTGCCATGATTGTGGCAAGGATTTTGTTTCTCGCGACAAGCTAAATCATCATCAACACAAACTTCACGGGCATCCTCGCCAGTTAACCGTGTCAATAAGTAATCCCTCGTTAAATAACGCGCAGGCTGCTGCAGAATTCAACGATGAAACTCCGACACCAAGCCGTTTTCAAGATGGAGAACTGCTGCAGGACATTGGCAAGGACACCACCATGGACACTCCAGCGCGTTTGTTGCAGGAATATCAGATCACTCCTTCCGTCTTCGATAAGGATTTTCGCGAGAGTTTCGCGAAATTAGCGGGAAAGACATCCCCTGCTCTGGCCGGTCGAGACATGGTTAAACGTGCACTATTGCGACAGAATTCACAGGATGCATCCATCAAGGAGGAAAGCATGGATTTGGGGTCGATTGGCGCAGTGTCCCCGCGAACTTACCTCATAAATCATCTCAATTCCGTCGGACCGATTGTGGTGTCAAGCGGTGGAGCCCTGAATCCTCCTGTTCCGACGATAGTCGCCAATCCCTCGATGTCCCTTATGCAAATGGTAAGTTGTTCATTTCACTGATTGGAGAAGAATACTGCAGAAAACGAGAAATTTGTTCTTACTGAAAGCGCACAAAGATTTCTCGTTCCCTGCTTTTAACTTTTGCTTTTAAGCTTTTTACTGCATTTAAGTTTGGTTTTCCATGACCGTCAGGTTTATAGGGTCGTGTTCCGTTAATTGCAGTTGCAGAAAGATATAAGATATAGTGAGTTCAGTCTTCTGTTTCTACAGTACGTGTGCCGATTGTTATACACAGTGGTTATACTTTTTGTCATGCTGTATTCCGTGATTTATAAATTTTGGGCTACATAAATATAAAAATTTATCGGCATGGAGGAACTTGCGTCTGCGTGAATATTTCCTTCTTTTGAATGGCGAATGCTACTAAAACTGTCCCAAACTAATTACTTACATATATCACGGTGCAGAATCACTGCAGATACTTACTAATTGCCCGTACATGCCAAATTGCAAATTCAGGCTGCAGAGCAAACTTTAAAGTTATGGCACATACGCGTACGCAAGTATCTGCACCCTGAATTACTCTTTTAAGTTCTGGTAGCATTCAGTCGAAGGAAGCATCTATCTATATTTTATCGTGATCTTGTGATTTCACTGTTTCACTGGTACAGTAGCATCTTTTAAATTTCAGTCATTTTAATTAGTGTACACTTGCGCAAGCATATCTATGTATGTATGTGTATTGGCTTTTGCTGAATAAATCATAGAAGGAACTATTCACGTTTCAAATCAGTAACAGCTGCTAGATACACCGAAGCTGTCCACTGGATTGTTGAATAATTTTTAATAAAGAATTTGTAATAACTAATAATTATACTTCTATTCAAACACTACGAGTACAGTACAGTTTGTTTTTATTATTACAGCCACCACTTTAATTCCGCTCAGATTTGCTCTGGTGTAGCTGGTATTGCTTTTTACCTATCTTTAGTACGCTTCTAAAAATTATGTACCAGTGAATTTTTATGCTTTGCAGTTTTATGCTTGTACATGTATCGTTCGACTGTTAGAAGGGTTTTGCAAAAATATGAATATTATTTATTGCATGCCAAATTTTCCGCCGATAAGGACATACTGCTTTCCGAATTCCAGTTATCGTCACAACTATATTGCAGTCTCTCTTGATACACATACTATTATTTTATGCTTTGAATTACAATCTGTGATTCTGCGATTCACCTGACTGACCGATGGTTTTAGCATTTCTTGATAATTCTCACTTTTGGTGCTATAACAACGTGATTTTTCTGTTGTTGTAAAACAGATCATTAATGTATTGATTATTACTGACGCACGAATGTATCTATATATCTATATACGTATTACGTACAGTACAAAGATTTTTTTACATATGAGCTGGATTCTATCGATCTTTTGTTGTGCCGTACGCGGCATTTTAAGCGTGCGTGAACCTAAATATGGTAGCATAGTGCTTATAAAAACCGCAGATTGGCATTTTCGAAGTTATTTTTAGTAAGTATTCTTCCTGAGGGATTGATATGAACCGTGCGATTGTTTCTGGTTCTGTCCTACCTACTCTGTTTGCTCATTTTACTCATGACTCATCGAGCGATTACATCATTTATGCCCTATGGTCTCTAATCGGAAACTAGTGACGTCTTTAGTGCCGCTGTGCCGCTAACCATAAGCTCGGCTTGTCTGAAACGTTTAATCGAGTTCTGTGTTCTTTTTCTAGATGGGCATTATTTTTAGTTTTTTTACGATTACTTGGGTTAGACGATACTGTAGTGTGCTGCCCGCTCGGTGCGCTACATACAGTAAATAGTCTATACCGTACTCGAATAACACCAAGATTAATTATAGATATTGCACGTAGTACCTTGCAATATTGGGATCATAAAACAAAATGGTTGGTAACCATTTTAATTTCCTCACTCTGGCTTGTAAATTGTCTTATTAGAACGAAGAAATAGTTGTAGATACTTGTATACATATAGATATGCACCAGTAATTCTGCATCGACATCTCGTAACAATAATGATAATTATTAAGTATTGTGACTACGCGGCATAAATTAAACTTCACAGCGTGGAATGAATATTTTATCCTTACGTGGGTGTGCCTTTTGTTGTAATTTTATGTATTGTTCATAATCTGTGACAATCCGAGAGGATTTGATAGATAACAAATTTTATTACGAATGTTAACCTAGAATATCTTTCACTGATACTATGCTACAGTCAGTAATAATTTCCACTGATAAATAGTTGACAAAATTTTTTAATGCAAAAGAAAAACGTGAATCGCCGAATTCGGTCTGGAAGATTGCGACCTCATAGCAAAATTGATTCCGTGGTCTGTACGAGTACGAGTATACTTCAGAAATTTTTCATTGTTTAGTATTATGTATCGAAACCGCTCGGTTGGTTCATGCAGAGTTTCTGCTGATTTGCACAAAAAATTATCATCTGTCTGCTGAGGAAGAAGTACCATTGTTTGCAAGCTCTGAGAAACCATCCACGGTTTTCAAGATACAAATAAAACCGGTTCTGTTTGCAGGGTGGGCTGTTGCTTGGCCAGGCTATGCATGGTGCCTCCAATTCAGACGAACTCCAGACTCAGCTCCAAGAACTGTGGGCTTTGTCTTCTCAGGGTTTGGACAGTCTCCTTCCCCATTCTGGATCACCCAGTGAGCGCGAGACCAGTACTCCTCGTTCTGAAGGCTTCACTAATGGCCGTGAGGGTTCGGTTAAGCGGAAAGCGGACGACATGTCCGACTCAATGAGCGTAGCCTCCTCATCTGAACGCTCCGCGACGCCGGCGCGCAAAACCAAAGCCATTCTTCCTACCGATGATCCTCAGTTAGCGGATAAGCGGCGGCGTAACCGTTTGGCTGCAGAGAAGTGCCGTGAGAAGCGGAAGGCTCGACAACGAAAGCTCGAAGAGGAAAATGAGGAGCTACAGGAGAAACTGAAAGTGCTAAAGGGCAAGTACGATGAACTGACCCAGTGTACTCAGAAAGTGATTGGAAACCTGCAAACGGAAAATGGTCTGTTGCGAGCGGAAAACCAGCAATTACAGGTGGCGCTGAAAGGCGGCGTGCTGCCCTCTATGGATGGACGGGCAGTGTCTCCAGCACATGGACTGCCTATAATTCTGCAGAGTGGTGATGGAGGAATGTAATAAACTTCAAAGGATTTGGACACTAGCCGCATAAGGGTAAAGATTTCTTATGGTTAGTTTGATAACTTCGCGGTGCAGATTTGGTGGCTCTTGGTTGGACTGGTTGGTTTGTTCGGCTTCTTTCGCCGCACAGCTGTTGGTACAACTTGGTAGATACATCCGGGAACACTATTTTCGGCGTTCCGCTTGGCAGCAAGCTTGGTTAATACCTATTTACTGAATCTGACGTGTGTTCTGACAGGGTGCGATCAGCGATGCCAGTGTGCGAGACACGCAACAAGTGGATACCGTTGAGCATAGCAAATCGGTTCGGAAATTGATCTGAAATGTGGCGCGGAGTGAGTTATTTTTTGTACAATGGGTTCGTTTCTGGTTGGTTTCGACGATGGTATATTATTGTATTCTGTGTACGAAAGTAATATTGGGTTTGTGGTTTTTGTTATTACAATACAATATAACTTCCGGTACTGTACTTGTGACGGAATGCCTTTACACAGTGCATATGCACATGACGATGTATTACGATGTTTTTAATTGTTTTAGGGTAAATTTTTGTTGCTAAAACAAAAAAAAAGTTTATAACGTGTTAAAACTACAAAAAAAGAATAAATGACTTGTGGGAATAGCGTGCGTGGCGGTTTGTAGACTTTGCGCTGGGAGAATCATTTATCAGTTTGGATTGGCTTTGTAATATTTCGATTCAGCTTCGATAGCGGTTACTAAGACGGCTTTTAACTGTTTATGTTGTTTATTATTGCCTTCTTTCTCGGTGTGTGTTGTGGCCCGGATGGGTGTGTTGGACTGTGAGGTTCCATAATGCGCCAAAGGGATAGTTTGTTTTTATCGGACAGGATTATCGTGCACACGAGTCGTGTCGTCCTTTTATCGACAAAATTGCGGCATCAGAATATACCACGACAACAGAAACACGGTCGCAGAGATGATGGTGAAAACAATGGTTTTACAAGTTAATAATTACTAGTATCGTTATGTACAATACGTTGACGTCTTTGGCTTTTGCCAAAATATGTTAATTACTGTAAAAAAAATTGTGATAAGTGTTCTACAATATAGAAATATGTGATGGGTTCTGTGTTGTTAGCATGAAGTGAAACTTACCGTAAAACAGCATGCACAGTATGAAAAAAACAACATCGAAGACGTAATCGGAATTGGTCTGGCGCGAAGTATGAGTCAAGCTCTCGTATTTTAAGTAGCTCTCGTATTTTAAGTTATTGTTATTTAGTTTATGTTCAAGCGGGACAAATTTCGCCTACCTTAAAACCGCGAGACATTTATAATTTACCATTAGGTATTTAGCCGACCGCAGGTGATCGCTTTGCACGTCGTTCGTTAGCAATCTGCAGCACCCAGTGATCGCATTTTCTGCGCCGCAGTAAAGGGATTTCCGCGTGAAATCCCGCAGCGCCGTTCATACACTGGACGATAGGACAAAATACGATTAAAATCTTAAAGCAGATGATTATGTTCATCAGAGCATTTCTTCAGTATTTCGCTTAAAGGCTCTTTCCTTGACCTAAGAGTCATATACACGTATATTAATAGTGGTTGTGCTCTGCATCTTCCGACATCGTCAAGGTAGTAAACATCGGTCGGTTAGACGCGCTGGTAATCAGCATCTGAATGGCAGCAGATGTTCCATGGTTCCTACTGAGTAACGGCGCGCGACCTCTTTGACAATTCCTCTTCTGAATAATATATATGTCAGAAAAGCGGCAAAGTCATTTTGTACTGCACTTAATCATCGGCCAAGAGAGATCTTAATTCGCATGTTGCCGAAACTGACCACTGCTTTACAAATGCCGTAGTGGACAGTACACCACCTGGCTGTAATACACTGCACCACTACGCGTATATGCGCCACAATTCTATTTTACAAAGTGGATACTCTCTTCATGATAGAAGTTTGAATGAGTTTTATAAGAAGGAATTGTATGCTCCGCATTGTCGTTCTATAAGTCTTTTATAAATCGTCTTTAATACGTATGGGCTGTGCTTTTATTGCAGCTTACGACATTGTAAGTTGCTTTCCTCTCCCTTCGAATCCACTTGGATAATCTTTTATCCAGGCATTTCAATCGTCCTGCAATATACGGAAAGCTGATTGTTAAAACTTTCTTCAGTTTGAATCGTCAGAATGTATGCATAACAGCATATAACTACGGTCCATGACAGAACGAGGAGTTTTGCGGACGCGTATCATCGGCGTATGCAGTACGCTGTGGCTGTCTTAAACTTACGATTAATAAAATGTTACTAGTAACAGGCAAAATTAAACATTTACATAATTTGTACAGGCGTCATTCCTAAATTAGCGCTAGAAATACCGCAGCATTTTTCAAAAGTTTTAGGTAAAACTTTTTAACACATTAACTACTGTAGTGAATTTACTGTATATAGTAAGCTTCGATAGAATACAAGTTTCATTTATGCACACTGCAAAGCTGCATGGTGGTCTCGCTAGTGCGTGAAATTTGAAAGCACAATCATGCAGTCGAATGTCAAATAATTTTAGAAAGTGAGTTTGGTAGCACAAACAAAGTAGCCCTGCAAAGGTCACATCACCAGCTTTCTCCGGTATGCATCCGGAGATACATTACAAATTGGCCTAATTGCCTTTCATTAGTCGCAGCGATCCAGTTAATTACATGCACATCAGACATAAACGGATACATATGTGCATGCTCTTCATTTTCCATTCATAAATGATACACAGCGGAACTGGCCAGGTGTTGTTCATGACATCTCTTAACCCGGTCATCGGCATTGAATTTTTTCGTGACCCCGCAGTGGCTCAAATTTATTTTGTTATTTGTACAAAAGAACTGTGTTTAAAAAACCGTTCTAAACACTGCTTTCAGGTAGCATTTTCAGTGTATTTTTCCATCTCTACATTATTTTTTGGAAAAAAACACGCAGCCGAAAATTGAACCTTATGTAAAAAGTGGCGAGATTTCAAGAAACCGTTCTTTACTGGCCATTCATTTATGCCCGCAGTTCAGACTCACCGGTAGGAAAAAGAATAAAAACGTCCATTTTTAGCACTGGCTACTTGCCTGCTTCTCCCCACCCCCATTTTTCTGATTAAGCCCACCCAAAACGAATATTGGCACCGAAACTCTCTCTGCTCTACGGCTCGTTCAGGCAGGGCTTATTGCACAAGTCAATCAACACACTCTGCTTCTGGCTGCCGTTCTGCCAGTGAAATAAGCCACTAGTTGCTCGGTCGATTCAGTTGCTGTCTGGACGCTGTGGCAGAGAGTCAGCAGCATTCTCATTCAAACAGTTTTCTCTCCGGTTTTATTCGCAATCTCACCGTTTATCGCCTTTGTATATATCCTGTACATATTTTTTACTGAAAGAAACGATAGAGTAGATTCTGGTTTCGCCAGATCAGGAAATCGTCCAGGCGCTTTGGGCGTGAGAAGATATGGGGCATTTGCACGATGATCTGCTGTGTCTGGAGAGTCTGGAGACCTGTCAGACTCTGCCGTCGTTGCCGACGCGCGATCCCCTCATCCAGATTCACATGTTGCTGTCCCTTGAAACGCCTTATCAGTGTGCCTTTACAGAAACTTCCGTAGTAACGCGGAGGAAGCACGAGATGGTGGCCCAGTGGATGTGTCAGGTATGTGTACACTGTCCACACTGTCTCCCTTTACACAGTGTACATTTGCCTTGATTCTCACCATTGACGCATGCTTAAGCACCTCTCCTCAGTGTACGGTAAGTTTTTTTGTTGGATTTTCCAGTGTCCGGTTGCATGGTTGCAAAAGCCACTGGCTACTTGTCATTGTTTTCTTATGAATCATTTATATTTCGGGAATCTTGTGTGGAAATGGGTTGTTTGAGAGAAAGTGCATGCGCTGCCGGTAGTACGAAGCCCGAGTTCTCGCTTTCGCTGCAGGTATCCGTTCTCCGCGAAGAGGACGTCTTTCCTACAGCGTTGAATATCTATACCCGCTTCATAGTGGCCCATCAGTCCAAGATGGACTCCGATAGTCAGCTGCAATTGACGGCGGCCTGCGCCCTTCATTTGGCATCCAAACTCCTGGAGTCCAGTCCGATGTTGGCCGATGAACTGGCTTACTTGACCGATGACGCCTACGCGCCGGAGGATATTCGGGTGAGTGTTTTCTGGGCTTATTTTTGCTGTAAAAAGTAAAACAATAAATTCCGACCTCTTCTGTTTCGGGCGTTCGGGGCCGGCGAGAACTGTTTCGCTGGGTCAGTTCTACGGTGCCCGACACTGACGTCATCAAAGCACGCCGTTCTGTACGGAATTTTGGTTGGGTGGGGTCGGTGGTGCAGGGCGTTCCGCGGCCGGTTTCGTAATTAGGGGAAGCCGAAAAGCGAAAGGTATCGGACTGGCCGTGTTCAGTGTGATTTCGTCAACGGAAACAATGTATTGTGAACTTGCGATGGCAGTGTGGCTTATCGTCGCCAAACAAAATACGAGATGAGATGCCTATCCAATGTTAAACACAAACTTTGTAGTTTGTACTCCAAACGTTATAAGCAAATTGCCGACGTTCGCTCTTTCGTAATCGAATTTTCAAAAATAACGCATTTTCGAAAAAATTCCGGTATTATAAAGTTCAAGTACAGATAGAGTTTGCTTTAAATGTTTACGATTTTTCAGTCGTACAACTTTACCTCGTAAATAATTTCCGGTAATTGTTGCGGCAGAGAAACTATTACTGCATTAATTATGGTTTTTCTTTTTCATGATACTGCACCATTTAGGAATTCCTTTGTAAGCGTTGGCGCGTCTTGTCACGGTCAGCTGGTCTACTCTTTGAATCCGCCATAAAAGTGTCAGACTGTAGTCCGACTTGAGCGCAACTGCATCCGTGATTTGAATACCGCGTCGATGCTTGGTTTCTTTATTTGAGATTTTTTGGAATGTTCCGGACATTTTACTCTTTCATTTTCACTCTTTTTTTGTTTTTGATAAACTTTTTCGAGGAAAACCGGGATCGCCGCAATCATCGGGTTGCCGGGATCATCGCAATTTAACTGACCTTTTCGAAGGGCACCGTGTTGATGTTTCGTAGGATTCGTTGCCGGGAACTTTAAAGATAAGGTGCCGAAACGCGAACTTCATGTAATCGGAAGCTAAACCCCGCCGAAAGTGCCGTGTTAACGTTCTGCGTCTTTGATGGGCCTTTGCGCGAAAGTCTCCGATTATGTTTAACGATAATAAAAGCGAGCAAATTTCCGCCTTCGACCTAGTTACCTTTCTCACTTGAGGATCGCCTGCGCTGCTAGCTTGTAATGAAGTTCGCGTATCTGCCGTATCACATGAGGAAAATGAAAGAGAAGGAGAGGAAGCGAAATTCCGATAAGAATTGCAGTTAGCGTTAATGTTAGTTACTTACTTCCGAAGAGGCCGAACAAGCCGTTAAGCTGTAAAAACTCTTGAATTCAAATACAACCTTTTCGCCTCCATCAAGGCCAAGGCTGCATTTTTCCGTGGGTTAGTTAGGGTCAGGAGATTGGTTAGCGCCTCGCGGTATGCGTTCCAGGAAGACGATTTTGAGCAGATTGATGTGCGGGGCAATGCCGATTCGAAAAGGGCGCCATGAGACTAATCAACGTCGATTTGATTTCTCATGTGTATCAAATAGTCCTATCGTTGGGTAATCTGCTGCATTCTTCTCTCTTGGGTAAATACGCACACATTTAGGTCAGAATCGGGTGAAACAAAGCCGTCATTAAGCACTCTTCCATTAAGGCCACTTGGGTGATAATTGCTCTCTGGCACAGAGCCTGGGAAGCATAGTAGCCAGTTGGAGCTTGCGTAATGGGCATTTTCAGCTACTTGTTGATTGTATGTTATCTGTGGTAACTCTGGTAACTAAGCGGCTCTCTGCTCTTACTACAGCTGATGGACATTGTCCTATTGTCGACTTTATCCTTCGATTTGCTCTGTGTGCCTCCGGGCCACTATGTGGAGGCCTATCTGACGCTACTGGGACTGACGGACTGGGAGCAGCGCCAGATCCTTAAAAATGAGACGTTGAGGCGCATTAATCTGGCTCTTATTGGTAAGTGGCCTTAGCGAAATAATAGGCTTAAGATGAAAAGACAATTGGTCAGTAATAATATTGTGTAATGTTTGCCAGTAAATTAATGTATGTTTCACTTGCTTTTGGCTTGGTAAAATTATTAAAATTACGCGGAGTTTTTCGCGAATGATGTAAAACGATTTCATTCACCTTCCACAATGGTCGTGAAATTCTTCTTATACTGGCGCAGTGTCAAGCGCTCACATGAAGCTTGCCACATAATTTCTGTTTTCTCATTAGTTGAGCACGTGTATACCGGTACGATTTACGAGTATAATACATGAGTTGTGAAATTGAAACTTATGTAATTTCTTAAAATCTTTCAACAGTTGAATTCCCGGTTTTTTCTGTTCCAGTTAATCAAGCTGAAATGATAGTGTCTTGATGAATTCTTGGTGAACTTTTGGATTTTAAATATTGTCATCAGTGCAGGTTAATAATGCAGTGAAATGCAAATGAACCGATCCACAAATCATGACATAAGTGGGCACTGGGCAACCCCAGGAACACTATTTTAAACCCAGCTAGAAGCAGTTCCTTGTTCACGAGCAAACCTTGGGAACTTCAAAGTCATTTGGAAATTTAATGACGCTGGCGTGTTAGTTGATAAATTGCCGGAGACTCCGCAGTTGATGCTGCGATAAGAGAAGCGTCCACGAAAATGCGCTTTGAAAATGTTTGTTTCCCCACAGTGAAAAGTCTGACATTATGCTCATATCAACAGATGGTGGAAGGCGGTTGTGGTGCTAAACATTTACCAGCAAATGTCAAATAATTATTTTAATAGAGTACGTAGTATGTTCTGTCCTTAGCGATAAAGAGTCTGATCAGTCTAAAATGTGCAAATATTCATAAGCGGCCTGGGGCCGGTTCATACGAACGGAGAGGAATATATGTGCCGCCGATGTGTGGTTGTTTTTGTCAACATTTGACTTTTGGATACATTTTGGCATTCCTCAACAGTAGCCGCATCGTTTGGGCGCCAGAGACCGGCGACGCGACAAAACACATGAATAGGCATTCTAACTACGGGTGTTGTTCTTTGACTAGCGTTAGTTATGGATGTTTTTGGTGATAATCAGGCCATTGTTATCCCATCAAGGCTCTTTAGCGGTTGGAAGGCGGAATACTACTGTCCGTGTGCGGCATGTGGAACTGTTTTTTCCCGATTTGGAATTTCTGTTGACCTAGGTGCTCTGCTTACCCGGCGCGAATTTGTTCTGTTGACTAATACCGGATAACGGTTTTTCCGAAAAAAATTTATGTAGTTTATGACTTTTGGCTTTACGAATTGCAAAGAAGCTAGAGAGCAGAGATATGCTACTAAGCATTTTGACTGCACTTGCCAATTTACTGGTGCATCTGAAGTGGCAGAAACGAAAAAGGCGTTGGTATTTGTTTTGGTAACCGTTCAGATTTTGGAATCCTTACCTCTGTTTTAATAGTAATCTTAAATTTTTTGTACAAAATTCCCGATTACTTGAACTTGGTTTTCCGTGTTAAGTTTTTCTAGCTTGGAACCGCTGGGCTTAGAACTTATTTTAATTAACTTATGACAAATAGGATTTGATTTTGTTTTCGATGAAAGGCTAAGTAGAATTCGCTAAATAATTAAATTAATAATAATTTCGTTGTTTAAATACGATTATCTTGTCCGAATGTGGCCTGATTCGGTTGGAGAGTTGATTTATATGGTTTGTTCTGCGGTTCGTGTTCATTTCGAGGTCTCTTGTGTTACGTGTAAGAGCTTAAGTGTATTTGTTGTTCACACTATTGATTAAACGGCACATCCCGCCTTTTTAATTGTATGTATTATGATAATCGAGAATAGCTTTATAGGGTTCAAAAAGGCAGAGGTTGTGTATGCGGCATCGTGTTCTAATATCGTAGTCTTCCGCCATTGATTAGATGTCTCTCTGCCACATTGTGAATTGAAAATTATCAAATTTAATGCATAAAGCGTTTTATCACAGTTTTAAGTGTTTATTTGGGTTGATATTTGATAACTTGATGGCTACTATAGCAATAATTACACTGCCGACACCCGAATTATTTCCTAAATAGACACTGGATTCACTGCCGTGTCTCTCTTCGGCTGGATCTGCTAACAGTTAGGTATGCAATACTAGTACCTTACTAGTAGCAAAGGGGTGTATGCAGGGTTGAAGTTAATATACAACATAGTTTCGTTTAAACACAACCTGCTTTTAATTAAATATTTCGTTTTGGAGCTTAGCGGAAGTCTAGCGAACAGATACCCCAGTTCGATAGCGGGGCGTTGTCTAGGCGCCATGAAAAATGCCGATGCTTAGCCGTGATTTTGTGTAGAGGTTTTTATAGTACTAATTGGTAGTGTGGGAAAACTGCTACTGGTGCATGTTAAAATGTTGTATGATGATGACATTGATATAAGCATAGAGCAAGGTAATCGGTAATCCAAATTAGAAACAAAACCATGTGGAGCGAAAGTCAAAGTCAAGGGGAAAAAAGTGAAACGATGAAAGTGATTAATCAAGGATGATCGAGGACCGCACCCATGGGCAACGGCAACACGTGCCAGCGAAACCGATATGATTGCTCTGCTATAAACAGGCTCTGAATGTTACAGCCGGAAATAATCGACAATTAATGAGCGGCTTTAAGCATTAGTATGGTAATTTGGAGTAATTTGGTCTTGAACATTTAAAATACATCGAAAAGCGGGTTGGACATTTATGAATGGAAATTGTAAAGTGAGCTGTGATTGCTGTGAAGCGGTTGAATGATTTAAGTGTTCCGCGCTCCCCATGCAGCTGGTGATCTTTACACTGAACTGATTTTAAGATGCTAATCAGCGCTGCCGAAACTGAGACAGTCAATGGTGGGAAATGTCGACGTCAATTGCGAACATTTCTGTTTTGTGTTGTTGCCAAATGGGGCTGTTTCGGGCATTGATCGGTGCAAATGTCTTGTTTTGCTATGGTTTTTTTTATGATGTTGCCAGGTTATGACAAGGTCTTGAGAATTATGTCCTGAACACTTTTTACAGAACACTCACGTGGAAATTTATATAATTATGGAAAATTCTGAAGGAAAATTCCCCTGTAGTGTGTTTTAAGGCCTTTATCTCACTGCGATTGTAATTTGTAACTAATTACGTACATCCTTGAATGGTGGGTGATTAAATAATCTACATTGCACAGTTTGCAGTGTTTCAGCTTTATACGCAGCCAAGCAGTTCGCATAAAGCGCTTTATTAATTTTCTAAAACGTCAGATGCAAAATTAAAAGTAATTAATATATTAGTTTCTTATATTATTGAATTCTGTGCCGGCAAAACGGGCGTTTGTATGGATAATTGAATGAATGAATTCTTTGCTCACTGGTCAGTTGCGGAGTGGGCCTAGCGGTATATTCCGAATCGACGATTAGTTTGTTACACGAAAATGAGATGTATGGTGAGATTACATCTTGTTGGTAGACGTTAAAGGAATAGTATCAAACATTTAGGATGATATAAATGAGCAGTGATCCCAGTGGCGATTACGCAAAGCCTCTTTCCGGCAGTCTCATTCGATCAGATTGGGGATCACGTTACGTACAAAAATGTGGTCAATCGTTGCGCAAAAATGGCCAGACTGAGCGTTTTGTTCGCTTCCAGAATGAATTTCCTGGTCAAAGCATAAGCCGGTGACTGGTATGTGTTCTCGGAAATGGCAGTTGATAATTAAACAGCTGACACACACAGGGCCGTTAAATGAGCGGAAACAACGTTTAATTAGGCGGCTGACAGTGAAACGGCCATTATGATAAGTACAGACTGGATGGTGTTAACAACTCAGTGATTGATTGGTATTTTGCCGGTTGCTTGTGGGTTTGTTAACGCTGGAATATGGTAACTAAATTTTCTTCGCACATTTTAGCGATCGGTTGGAAGAAAATTACATGTTGGAAAGATGTGACAATTACGTGTTATCGCTGTTATGTATGTTTTCCTGTTCATTGAGAGTATGATAGATAGAGCCTGCGCAAAATATGCGTGGGAAGCGCTAATTTGTGAGTTTTGTTAAGAATACAAGGCCGGCAATTAGTCGTTCGTGGCTTTTTTAAGGTTGGACACAATCATACAGGAAATATAGGTTTCGAAAATTAGTGAGCACTTGCTTCCGCTTGAGTGTTATGCACTCGCACCGTAAACGCATCGCTGTTGCCGTCTAATACATAAATGACAAATTAACGATGATAAATTTACGTTAGCAAATCATAAAGTTACGTTAGTAAGATGCGCTTATACATATCTGTACACTTTATTATTACAAAAGGAGAAACCATTTAGATTTCACTGACAGACGACAGCAACCGAATAACGCCTAATTCTGTATTTTGTTCGATAGATGTGGAGGTCTTATGTTGCAAACCATCGCTGGTAGCTGCGGCCTGCCTTCTCTCTTCCCTTTATGTCTACAAATACTGTGTGGGCAGCGCGGTTGGCCTTTTTGCGGAAACAATTGGAGTTACAACGGTAAACAATTTAAACGTTAAACGTATTCTTATTCTGTGCAAGTAAGTATGAGAATTTCTTAGATGTTAATTATGTTTTGCATACAAGGAAACTTTTTTGCTATTCCACAAGCCCGGCGAATGTTCAAGGCGGTGCAGATACAAATAGGATGCGATCTAAAATTTAAAATATAACCGGAAAAACGAGGCTATCTATATAGAAATGTGTGTAATACTATAACAATAAAAAATGAAAGCATAAATTATTTGAGATGAAGATGAATTGGACGATAAGTTCGTATCTTATTTGTTGATGCAGGGTGATATTCTTCGTTTGTGCCAGTTAAGTATGGCTGTCTGGGAAAGGCATCGTCCAGAGGTGTACGATGTGATTGAGGAATACCATTGTGCAATGGTAGAACGGCAGGACAGCGGTATCTCTTCAATGGCGGATGGGATGGAGGTACGGCCAAGCAGATCTGAGGAAGATTTAGGATGTGATGTCGATGAGGATTTCATGGAGGAGCTGCTGGCGGATGAAAGCCTGGGTACTTCTGAAGGAGAAGAGTCCTTCGTGCGCGGTTATCAGGAATACCTGATCGACTCGGATTCTGGAATCCAGGACGATATTCACATTGTGCCGGCGCCATTTGCTGCCATGTCGGTAGAATGTATGGAGGAGACTGAGTGAATATCGGTCTGCAGAGATGTGGTTGCTCTGAAAAGTACCAAAAAAATTCTGGGTGATAATTCATAAAGAGATTCCTAATGGGAAAACTGTTGGTGGGATTCGGAAATGTGTGGAGCAGAATAATGTTTCTCAGCAGTTGCGGAGTGCACCAGCAGTTACTGGAATTGAAACTGTCATGCCGTGCCTGTACGTCATGGAGGCGCGTGTACGCTGTACATGTTTTCCTGCATTTTTCAGTTCCATTTATTTTCTCTCCTTTCTGTTCAATTTGTGATAGGATTCAACTGTCCATTACTGACCACTGTAGAATTATTGAGAAAAATGTCTTAATTGAATGTTTTGAACGTAGTTGGATTGCTTATAATTATTTTTGATTAATATTGCTTTCTTGGTTTGAATATTTGGCAGCGACTTTTTAGTTGTCAGTTTGTATATCGGCAGAGTTTTGCTGTGCAGAATTGTACGTGCTGTATTTCAGTACGTACCAATGTTTGCAACTTTTCAGTAAAAATGCACAGAATCCCAACCGGGCAGCAGCTATACGAGTCTACAAAAATAAGTATGTACTTACTAATAACTTACTTAACCTATTATTTGCAAAATCGTACATGCGTGAACAAACCTGTCCAATGTGTGCATAGCCTTTAAGTTTTAATGGAAGCGGTTTTAGATGATGCGTGAGTTAGGTACGAGTATTGTTTCTTGTTAAAGTTAAGAGTCCATGACACTATTGTGTCGTGATTCGTAAGGGATTCGTTAGCTTTGACACCGAAAAACACAGCCATACTTTGCGATTGCTTTATTCGGCTAGTTGTTTCGAAAACGACTCGGTTTATTTGTGTTTTCTTGAATTTTACTTACCATAAATTTGGAACCGCTTACTCAGCTGTGATTCCTAATACGACATGGATACTTTCGCAAGTGTATCGTAAGCCCCTATGGCTCAGTGGTAGAGCATCAGTCTTGTAAACTGAGGGTCCGGAGTTCGATCCTCCGTGGGGGCTATTTTTTAATTCTATTCATTGCATTTTTCTTCATAAAATAATAACAGAATAAAATAAGAATAGCTTGTGAACGCGCGCAAATCATAGTTTTTTCTCAATGATAGTGGTGATTTACAATATTGTTGCCATAATTTTTTTTTAGTAAGTGCCGTGTTAGCAGGAATTTCTACCACATGTGTCTCCACCACATGAAGAAAACGATGTGAAAGTACGAGTACATAAGCATAGAAAAGGATAGATACTGTCATATTAATATCACTAAACACAGTTTAGTAATATTATGAGACTGTACTTACAGATTGTACTCGTGCAGTTGTACAGTGTGTAATTAGTCTGTGTGTTTAATAATATGGGTATGAAGCATGTACCTAAATTCTGACGTTTGAATTTAAAATATAGGAATAATTATTTGGAATTGTCGTACGGAATACCGAATATGGTATTTGATTTAAGGTGCTGCGCATGTTTGATGTTGCTGACAGAGGATAGAGTGCCACAGTACTTGCCATTTTGTCGACTATTTTTGTGAGCTGCAAACTCTAAAGCGCAACATGTCCTTCCTCGCTCCCAAACCGAAGCGCTCCATGTTCCAGTTGGAAGCATCAGACTTATTGTGTAAAAATTCATGTGGATTTTACGGCAACCCCGAATGGCACGGATTGTGTTCCAAATGTTTTCGCGAATATCAGAAGAAGGCTGAAGCCAGCGCTGCAGCCAAGAAGACACGAACGAAGGAATCCCTGGAAGAGCAATCCCATTCCACTCATCGTCCGCCTCTGGCCAAACCCGCCAACAAGCAAGTTATCACCACGTTCGATAAATTTGTGAACAAGAAGAAGCAGCAGTCCGAGAGAAAATCGCACGCGCTGAAATCTGTCTTTGTCCCTAGTACATCGGCTGCAAAAGGTTGGTCAAAACTTAAAATGCAAATGCAAAAAAACGAATGCAAATGACAAATGTCACAAATTTGAATAGATACTGTGCATATTGTGTTTTCGTGCTGTGCATTTTTTGGATTGTTGACGGTTGAGCGAATTGACTGTTGAGGTATAGTATAGGTATTGGCATTTTCGGTTGCTGTGTTTTGTAGACTTCGAAGCGGCTCGTCCGAAGACGCAGCGCCAGATTAGTTCGGATGTCCATGAAGTGGTGAAGGCTTTCAACGATTTCCTACAAACACTCCCAAAACCGATGGCGGCCGATATAGCGCGTCGTGTACAAGTCGTAGCGAACAAGGTTCTGGAATACTCACAAGTGGATTATCCCATTGAAGAGCTTTCAAAAATTGTCAATAATTTCTATGAAGAATTCACGGAGCGCTTGAATCGCCACGAATTGTATGCTGGTATGTGCGCAATTTTGTGGATAGGGACAAGTGTGCTTGCATGGCAATCCGCAGCACCAAAAATCCCAATTGAGTACGGTACATGGTCTTATCACTCTTATCACTTATGTATTAATTTTTGTACTATTAGCCTAAGTACATGCACTGTAATGAAGTGCTCAAAAATGTTTGTAAGATAACAAGTAATGTTCACTCATTGTCCGTGCTTCGCATTTTACTTTGTCTGTTGCTTCGCATTTTATTTTTACCAGAATAGAATAAATTATACATAATAACAGTTAACTTCTTTCTAGCATAATTGATAAATGGAATAAGGGTTGTCCAATTTATGCGAAACAATTTTGTGCTTGTCGGTATTGTATCTTGCATTTAATACTACTAATTACTAGTAATTTACTAGTGATTTATTACTAGTAAGTATTAATCTGAGGTAGGTATATAGAGTGATTACCGCAAGTTATACTGAAACTGCTTTGCAGAACTCAGCGAGGAAACGATAAGTAAACTCCTCGACTACTCAGAAAGTTACATCATTATCCGCAGTTACAAACACTTGTTCTGCCCACCGACCACGGATGACGAGGAAAAGGATCTCGCGATGCAGAGTCGTGTCCGGAAGCTCAACTGGGTGACGGCGTCCCGACTTGGCGCGGTGGTGGATGAGATGAACTCCGAAGTGGGAGAAGCCATGGATTCCGCAATTGCTGGTGAAAATTCCCAGGTTCCTTAATTGACTGTTGTTAGGTTGTTCATGCCGCAGTTGATTGCAGACATTCTGGAAGTGGACACACGGAAGACAGTGGACGCCAAACTGAATAGTGTCGTCTCGTGCTGTCGTCACATCGCAGCGATGCTGCAGAAATCTGGCAACGGTCCACCAAGCGCTGACCAGTTCCTTCCGGCTGTAATCTTCGTTATTCTGCGAGCCAAACCACCGCGTATGCAGTCCAATATTAAGTTTATCCTCCGCTTTGCTAATCCCAACCATCTGCGAACGGGTGAAGCCGGCTACTTCTTTACTAATTTATGCTGCGCTATGTCTTTCATTGAAACCATGGATGCCAAGTCGTTGGAGATGAGTGATGACGAATTCCAGCAGTACATGAGCGGAGATATGCCGTCATCGGCAATGCTGTATGAGCATCAGTCGTCTCTTCATGACGGACTGCGAAAGATGAACAAGAATTTACAAATTCTAAACGATATGACTGCAAGACAGGTACGTAATTTTTTTCAAATCGGTTAGAATGGGCCACTGTTTCATCATGCAAATTTCTATTTATCGTACTCAACAGTGCATGATTGAACTGCTTACGCTCTCCTTTTGTCAACAGTCAAACAGTTCACATTATGATAAAAATACTGTAATTTGTTTGAGTTTGCAACTTGTGCATTGCTTGTAAATTTCGGCGTTTCATATAAATGTTGCGATCGTAAAATAACCCCGCAGAATACATACCTAGTTATAAGTTACTAGCAGTTTAGTGTATGGATTTATGTGCAATAACAGAGCTGCCCGTGCACAGAAACATTTTATTTTGCGATTTCTTCCTTGGACTTGCTGTTCAAATTTTTTTTGATATTGCAGACCCGATTGATGGAGCGAATGGAAGCCGAAGATAGGTCGATGAAAGAATTTTGGGCATCTTGCGAGTCTCGATTGAAAGAATGCCAAGAAAAGTTTCCGTTAACGGTTAAGCCCCGAAGGAATATTTTTGATGGAAGTTTGTTAGATTTACCTGTTGTTAGTACGGAACCTCTGGTTCCACTTCTCAGTATTGAATCCAGTACTTCAGATTTATCTCTGACAAATGAACCGGTAGATTTAAAAAACGAATAATGTTTTTCTGGTCAGTTGGATAAATGTGAACATTTTCTACCGTACGAGTATGAAAGTGTGGATTCTCCCGTGATGGTTTTCGTCTTTCCGGTTGGTTGGTTTAGTACTTACTCGTAGCGATTTTAGATGGTTATTTCGTTATTTCGAAAGCAAATTGCTTATCAGAAAACATCCATACCTGCTGGATCTTATGACCCGCATTCGTGTAATCATATATAAAGATCCTTTTAACTTTAAAAGGTTTAGGAGAGAACAGTAAAATGCGACAAAAACATTTGCTTACAGTTACCGTTTGCTGACGACCTGACGCCCGCCCTGTTGGCGAAATGAAAACTACGTAGCTGAAGCCCGGGTGCGTAGTACGCCTACGGATACGTAATGCGTACCGTCCATACGCACGAGCATTTTATACACAGTTTTGTCCCGTTCGCGCAGCTGACGGCGGCTGCTGCTTTGTGCTGCGCGCCATTTAACATGATCTGATGCGAATTTTTGGTGTCGGTGCCAGACTGTCAGGTTCCGAACTCCTGCAGGTTGCACTTGTGACTTGTCTTGTCACTTGTCTTCTGAGCCTTTTGTGCTTTTCATTTGCAAATCCAGGAAGCTGCGATTTCGGATTCTTTTGTAATTTTGTTCCTGTAACAGCATGTATAATTGAGTTGTTTTAAATTAGGTTTTTCAGTGATTTTGTGCAGTTGTTTGTGGGTTTCTGGTTTGAGCAGGAGGGTTAACAGTCCGGGTTTCATGTTGGACAGACGCGAGTGATTCTGGTGCCAGCTGTTCCGTGTTCGTTGATGTTTTTGTTGACTTCTTTCGTATTCATTAACGCCTTACAACGGAATAATGCCTAGGTACTACAAAAGTAACGAAATACAGTATATGTAGATCTTATTACAGTATTCTGTTTGGAAAAGTCAATCAAAATGAGGTATATCACAGTATTTTGGATTTTTAATAATGAATGGACTAATAACTAATTCCCGACAAGTTGGCATTTTACGTTTTTCATGGTCTTTATAGGCGATATCCAACTCGTGCCATTACCCTCGCGCCAACAGTCATGCAAGAACAGGCCGTAGACCACGTTACTTTGGAAAGAGCAGCCATGCAAGAAGGGACGAAAGCCACATCGCGTCCCAAAAGCCGTAAGTACTAGGGTAGCAAGGAAAACCTCTGTTACTTGCGGAGCGCTACTTATGGAGAAGGAGAACCAGCTGCGTCATTTCTCAGTAGTGTTAGGGCTCTTCTTGTTAGGTTGTACTGGTTAATTATCGGTTGCGCTTTATAAGGACAAACAAAGTTTCAGTTTGACTGGGTTTTCGCTATCAACTGGCACGCACCAACGCACGATTTTCCATTAATTTTCAGATCTTGTACAAGTGTTAAATAATGTATTAGAAGGTCTTTCGTATTATTGCGGGCCCCATGATTTCTTGTGACTATATTGCATCTTGTATTAGTGTCGCTTGATGTGAATATAATTCACGTTTCGTTTACTTTGCATTTTGTAGAACGTTCTACGGTGTCCGATAAAAGCGGGCCCTCGGTTGGTTCATCCACGGAGAATTACCCGTTAGCAGCCACAAAGAAGCGAACGAAAGCGGTTCCTGGTAGAGCGACAACGGTCGTGGCCGCAGCGTCGTCTGCCCAACCGGGTATCACGAAGGTAGTTATTCCAGTCAAGGTTTTCCCGTCGTTAACTGTTGAGCGGAATCCGTTACACAGTGCTGCGGAGCAGCTCACCAGAGATGCGCCCGATGATTCCAGTGTGGTTGTACAGGATCCATCGCAGATACCAGTCCGCCGAGGCACGCGTATGCGTGCACAGACAGTATTTTATGGTTTCGAAGATGCCGCGATACCGCATTATGGTAGTCAGAAGAATCGGCCTAACCTCAAGCGACAACAGAACGTTGGTGCACCAGTACTATCTGCAGGAAAGCGGACCACGGCAAAAAGTCGCACTGGAGCCGTAGTGGAGTTGGATGATGCTGTCGTGCCCTCGAGTAACTTAAAATGTACTGCTCCGAGAACGACTGGGACTGTGGATGACGTTGGACTGAAATCATCAAAAGAGAAGTCAACGGCAAGAAAAGATTTTAAACGACGGATGAAGGCAGCTAAGTCCCGCGCGCACACGGTGACGGCAAGCAAAGTTGATATTGAATCGGACGACGAGATTTTGGCTCATCATGCAAGAGTTGCACCGAATGCGACAGCGTACTTACCAAATCAGCTGCAGAAGGAAATACCCGTTATAACTTTGGAAGATGAGCCGAATGAAACCACGGATGTTGCGAAAAAATTAGCGAGCGCCAGGCAAAAGCTCCCGACACAGGCGCTCCAGGTGGTAGTGCGGGATACTGCAATGTCTCGTACAAAACGACGGAAGCCGTCAGGTGATGTGACCGAAATAACTTCACCGACTTCGAAGAAGGGCAGACATTTTGTTTCTCCGGTCATCGCGGTTACGGTAAATACCCCGCGTGCCACTACCAACGCTAGAAATGCAGCAAAAGGTAGAAAAGAACGGCAGCGTGCGATTACACTTGCCTGTGTACCGGACGAGCATCTCAAATCAGGTAAACCATCACGAAAGTCAAAGAGAGGTGAACCATCGAAGAACCTCGTGGGACAGAAGCCGGATTTCCAGCAACCGATGAACAAAAAGCGGACAGAAGTCACTCGCCGGAATAAAGGTGCAGTGCAGACCGGTGTGGAAAAAGAACGGTTCGCTGAAGGAGAGAGCACTGGCATAGGTAACAACTGATTTCAAAATGTCATAGGGTAAATTCAGTTTAGTCTTAATTTTAAAGAATATGATTGTGAACTGTGATCACAAAATCAGTAGTTATAAAGCTAACTTCAATACTGTAATTAACGTAAGTCCTTGAAAAATAATAGTAATAAATAAAAATAATAATCAGATTTTGAGAATACTTATGGTTTCACTGGTGTCACGATTCAAAAATTTTATATTGCAGCTGCCAGAATTAAGCTGCGCCAGCGATATGTGCCAGATTTCGCAGCTTTTTCGAAGAACATCGGTGCGATTCCAAGGCAAGTGAAACGACCAGTGCGAAGAAAGGTGACACGGAAGCTGGATGCGGGATCGTTTGTTACTCACAAACCAACCCGAACAGCGCCCGTCATGCGTCTCACGATACAACGAAAGCCGGTGGAGATCAACAGCAGGCAAAAGAAACCTCGTAGCAGTGTGGAAATTGCACCCAAACTCATGCGGTTAAGCATGGAAGGCAGCGGGGGAATTCAACGTGACTCCTTCGGCTTTCTTAAGTGCAGTGTGAACCACGTTATCAAGAAAAAGTATCTCATTCTCGAAACTCTTGGTACGGGTACGTTTGGCAGCGTGATGAAGGTACGGGATGTTTTTTCTGGTCAGCGCGATGCATCCCCTCTGGCACTTAAGATTGTCCGCCAGGATTTCCATGAAGCTGCCATCGAAGAAGTTGAGATGCTGCAGCATGTGGGTAGCCTACAGGGAAAGGGAAAGGATTTATTTGTCCGCCTCTTCGATAACTTCGATTACCATGGCCATATATGTATGGTTTTTGAAGTTCTGGGAAAGAGTGTATATTCTGTTCTGGAGGAAAACAAATACCATCCATACAAGTTGAATCAGGTGCGGAATATCTCATACCAGCTGTGTGCAGCTGTGGCCTTTCTACACAGCAGGAAGATCGTGCATACGGACCTGAAGCCGGAAAATTTGCTGTTCTGCGATTCGACGCAAGCCCATTCTATGGAGGACTACTTTGTGGAACGTGATGGACTCACCCAGCTCAAAGTGATGCGAGATACTCGGATTAAGCTCATCGACTTTGGTGCTGCCGTTACGATCAACAACGGCAAAGAACACAGAGGAATCGTCACTACACGGCATTATCGCCCACCAGAAGTTGTTCTGGGTGAGTTGCGGATATGTCGTATTTCGGCATATAAGCTCGATTTGTTTGTGCTGGGCATGACTAGAGGTTCAGTTATTTGCATACTCGTAGGCAAAAAATGGGTGTATCCGCTGGATGTGTGGAGCACTGGTTGTATAATGTTCGAGTTATACACTGGTGCTCCGTTATGCTCCACTGAAGATGATGCAGAGCATCTGGCAATTATGGAAAGGTATGTGTAAGAGAATAATTTCTTTTGTTTGCTGAAATTAAGTATATAGAAGCCACGCAGAGGTCAGTTTCAGCGTTTATTATGAAGTGTCGTATGGCTTACTGCTTGGAGAGTAAACAAAACCTTGTAAGAAGCCCGAGTTTGTCATTTCTGTCTTGTCGCTTAAATTATTGAAGATATGCTGTTTTGCGATGTGACCATCCTCTGCATGTGTAAACAGTTTGTCGGTCTTTGCAGAGCATTGGGCCCGTTGCCTAAATCCCTGACTGCAAACTCAAAATTGTATTCGTCCGGAAAACTCAAATGGAATCCCAGTAAAGAAAGCGAGGGATACAAATACGTAAAAAACAATTGCAGGCCGTTAAATGTAAGTAAAATATTGCATATTGCTAACACATAGCGTATCCTTATCTGTAGGTCTTCAACATCTTCCACTGTGGATTTTCGAGCAGTAGTTAATTTAAAAGGTCTTTGGTGTGTGAAAATTCGCTTCAGCATTTTTAAAAGTTTGCATATGTAAGTGATATGCGTTTTCCATTAACATTTGTTAATTTTCATCTTTTTTAGGACCATGTGCGCGATGAGGACAAGAGTGATAGAGATGTGTGGAGTCTGTTTTATTTGATCGAGAGGATGCTGAAATATGTACCGTATGAACGCGTTGAGGCGTCCATTGCAGCCGGCGATAGTTTTTTCGAAGCAGTTGATCCGGATATCAGACATTGGTGCAACATTCAGCATTTTGACATTTGATTACTTAACTTTGGTATGGTTTTATTTACGGATACCAGATGTCCATAATCGGCGGTGTAAAAAGTTTTATTGATGCATTCAGATTACTCGTAATGAGGATTTCGCTTAGTTTTTCTCATAATAAGGTCTGGACAGGTGATGTTTTATCTTGTTAAAAGTCAAAGAATTGTGTTCCGCTTGGCGTTTTTGTTGACATGGATTAGTCAAATGCACAGTTTACGGATTTTTTTATGAAGAATCCTTTATGGTTGATTTTCGCAATCAATGTATGAAATCTCTGTATTGAGCGTGTGCGAATGAAATGATGACTGAATACTGAATAAAGTTACACTTGCTCGTTAAGAAACACTACGTGATTGTGCACTGTCCGTATTAAAGACTAGTAGACTTTCAAAAATCCCTTTTCGCTCCTCCAAGCCTTTTGTCCGCACTTTACAAAAGAAAGAAACCACATCTTCCACTTTCTTACTGACAAACCCCGCTGAAGGCCAATCAAAGTACTCAGCGAAGAATATGTTCTTCAATTAGAAATCCACATATCGAAAAGCAAACGTCAAACGGAAAATAAAACAGTAAAGTTAAGGCCACAATTGTAACGCAGTTACTAAAAGCTCAGGTCAAAATGTCCAAGAAAATACAACTAAAATCTCCAAAACTTTCTAAACAAAACTAATAAAAGAAAGCATAAAATAAGCGCTTTAGTCTGGTTCGCTTCTTGCCACGGTCAAGGAAAGGCGGTGAAGTCGACGCTAGTCACGGCTGATCCATTCCGCCCGGATGATGACTGTGCAAGTGCTGAGCATTTAAAAAGGAGCGGTTGCGGTGCGATGCACTGCTGGTCCAATCGGGATCTTCGTCAAAATTATCCAAAATCGAAGGAGCCACGTAAGTAAACCCCTACCAGTTACACATTATATTTCACAAAGCCATCGTTATCATGACCAACGCTTCTCTAGAAACCTATAACCGGCTATTAATCAGGAAGGTAGTAAACATATGTAGATGTTTAAAAAAACATTTTCAGCTGCTGTGATCAAAGTAGCCGTTGCCAAACGTAATTTTAAACCGCTTAATTAGTCAGAACTGCACATATGCTACTACATTAGGTCTTTTCACCAGGGCCATGTCAACGGCTCCCGCCTTCCGAAAATTTCATTTTTGCAAGAAGACAAAATAGAAATGATCCTTGGGTGCAAAAACATTTTCATCAGCCATAGTTGAGTGGGCATGGCCAAACTTAAAATCCAATCGCAAACATACAGTACTGGGACCGGGATTTGGGAACACCGTATAATTAGTGTACGTCTTCGTGAAGTTAAATTTTAAAGTTCGTCTTCGTGATTGACTTCATAGCTAATAAAATTTTTTCAAATTTTTTTGAAGAACTACTCGTAGGAAAACGGTCTGACTATTGATAGCACGTATTTGTGTCAACCTCTGACATTGCACAGTACACTAATTACATGGTATTCCTAAATCCCAAAATATAGTACTATATGTCTGCCAATTAAGTTTGGCCGCGCCCACTCAACCTTGGCTTATGGAAATATTTTTATACCCAAGGGTACTCTGTCTTCTTGCAAAAATGAAATTTTCTGGTGGCGGGAGCCGGTAACATAGCCCTGATGAAAAAACCTGATGTACTCGCATATGTGCAGTACTGACTAATTAAACGATTTTGAATTACGTTTGGCCACGCCTACTTTGATCGCAGCAGCTGAAAATATTTTTTAAAATGTCTTACATATGTTTACTACCTTCCTGCAAAAAATGAGATTTTTTTGAATGGGGAGGACCCCTATGTGCCCTGGTAAGTTATGCGGAAAACTACGTTGTTTTAACTAACCTGGAAAAGATTGTTAACGGACTGGCTAAGGACATTGTCCACTGGACTGTCAACAGGGGTCATCTTCGTAAAGCGTTTATCGAACAGGGATGTATCCTCGTCACTCATCTATCAAAACATTTTTATTTTTTACTATAAAAAGCATTTCAATTAAAATATCATTCTTTTGTGGAAATTATTTGTATCGTACGACCACATGAACCTCTTGTTCCAAAACGGTAGCATAGGAAGTCTGCTGCACTGGTTTAGACCCAGAATTTTTCAGGAATTCTCAGCGAGCTTTAAGAGTGAGCGATTTGCTTACTCCCTTCAGAACTAATTTGACAAGTGATCTTACCACAGAAGGCTTAAACGGTGGATCGACACGATGTTCTACCAAATCCCTCCAGTTAATGTTCTTGAAAAAGGGATGCTGCTTTATAGGACGCGCATCGTCCAGACCGCTGCCTAGTCGCTGCGAGGCCTGCCGCTTGAGCAACTACAATATTCAAAAGATCGTAAAGATGTACTGCTGTCAAAGAAACAGGCGGCTGCTCGCAATCGCTTATGCAAACACAATGCCACCATCAGAACTTCTAAAATACAAGAATAACAAAGAAAAAATACAGAAAAGTTAACAGGACAATGAAGGCACACATTCCTCATTAACAAGCACAAATAACAGAATAATACAGGTCGTGATACAGCGACATAACGAGTTCACGTAATACCGCACGCAATTTCGGTACCTTTTTGATTAAGTCTTTCGCATCATTGGTCAGATATCCTGGAAGGATCAGTTTTCCCTTCAGAATCTATCCAATGAAAATAATCATACAATCAATCCATCGATCGAAGCAAAAATCCCGCATATCACTTACTTTATCAATAGTTTTCTTGCGATTTTCCGCAACGAATGGAGGCTAATTGAAGAAGAAACTCAGCAGAAATTCACATGTGAAATGAGATTATTATCGGGCGTAGCTTACACTTCCAGTGAGCATGTCAAACATTAATGCGCCTAAAGACCACCAATCAACGGCTTTTCCGTGTCCAGAGCGCATTAGTACTTCCGGTGCCCTGCAGACACCAACAATAATCGATGTTAGCTCACCAAGGTTCTTTGCTTCCAACTTTTAGCCATAAAAGATAAATCTCAATTAACTAATTCAAGTAAAAAACTGCTAAAAACTTTTAAATGTTTAAAAAATAAAATAGAAACCGTTTATGATTTTCCGGGACCTGAGGCCGTTTTGTAATTTTAAAAATTTTAATCATGTCACAAATTCATTTTCTAATGCTGATTGAAAAGCGCTAATATTAAAAATTTCTTGTACATTTTCCTGTTTTAATAGCATTAACATACATATATTCAATGGTGCCGCAAAATGTGAATGTTCGCCCATCTTCAAAGACAGATTCCTTGCAGAGGCCGAAATCGGTCAAAACAACATGCCCTTCAGCATTGAGCCTGTAATAATCCGCGATGTGCGTCATTCCTAATATGATCGTTTTAGCGGCATAACTGAATCCTCAGCGTACATGATATTTTCCGGCTTTAGATCCCGATAGATGATCCCGTTCTTATGGAGATGTTCCAAGGCTAATGTGATTTGCGAGAGATAAAAACATGCGGTTTCCTCCAAGAAGATCTAGCAACAATCAATCCAAATCTTCACGTCAATTCTTCATTAATCGCACGTATGTGAAATCGTCATACCCCTTCGCGTTCCTAAAAACAGAAAAAATAAACACAAAATCTGAAGGTTTTGCTTGATCAGAGCACCAATGTACCAAATGCACGAACAATTCTCCTCCAGAAAGGTATTCCAGAATCAAATATAACTAAAACAGACATTACATATAAATTTTACAATAAAAGCCGAAGCAGCAAGTTAAAGAACGTTTTACCTTTCCACCAGTTTGAAATGCATAAACCAAATCTACGAATCAGAAAATCACTTTTGTAGTAGCAAACTTGCACCCAAGTAGGCGTATTCACTATCGCGATGAAATAAGAATGCAATAACGCACATAACGTTTATCGAGCCTTCTTTTAATTCACCAGAAGTTCCAAATATCTTAAATTTAAAAAAATTCAAGGAAAACATTAAAAAAAGTTAGAAGATTAAGTAAAAAATATCCGAAGCTGCTCAAGTAATCTCAAATTCACCCAGTGAATTCAAAAATAGCTTTCTTCACGAGTTTTTCGGTGGTCGGCACCAACCGCTTCTTTATCGACACACAAGACATTTTACTGAACATATGACACAAATCATACAGAAGCGAACATCATACCGTAAACAAAGAGAATAATGAAAATTCATTTCTTAATTTCTTCAATAATTTATTTTTAAAAACGCTAGATTGTATAATGTGTCAATCCTGATTTTAATATGCTGGACACGTATCTCATAAGCCATTACCATAAGTGTAGTAACAAATGAAAATAATATAATCATTAATATAATCAATCAAAGATATCACTATCAACTCAGACAAAAACAATTAAAATGCAACAAAATCAGTATCTTATCACGATTACCAAAGTGAAACCGATTATTCAGATAGAAGCTAAACGAATCTCCAGACGACAAAATTTCCCCCCTCGAAGAAAGAATTAAAAGTCAACAATAAAACGAGCGAAATTTTTTCAAAAAGTCCAGATTCTTTATTTGATCAACCGATCGCAAACGTTTCTCAGACAACTTGATCCGTCGGATAGATTAGCATCGTTAAGCGCAGGGTGGTGTAATACACCGCGTTATGTATACAAGCAATTGACTTACCGACGATCATCGGATGCTACAACAAACAAACACATCAGTCGTCTTCTTAATTGGTGCAATAGGTCAAGGTTCAGTGTTTTAAATGTCAAAGTGCCGAGCGTGCACGAGCGGACAACGCAGCGCCTACCTTAATGGCTTCAAGAATGTTGCGTTCGGCCTTGGTATGGTCCATATCTTTCGGACTGCGCACAATGGACGCCTATTGTGCCAAAAGTCGATGAGTATGAAAAAAACACAAGGCAAAGAACTCCTCAGCCCACCTTCCGTAAAACTTTCATAGCAAATATTTTCCCTTGATCCTGACCACGCAGCTTTCGCACTTGAAAAACCTAGTACGTTAACGCACGACATAATAAAGGTTGTAAATGATGCCATCAGTACTGTACCAACACGCCAAACATGCAATCACACACAGGAAAGTAAATTTCGATAATTTGTGAATGTTCAAAATCCTGTATTACATCACGTGCTACATTTAACGGCGAATTCGCTTTTAAGTAATGCTAATTTTGTCAATCAAAAATTTTGCGTGACTCTCGCTATCCGCAAAACGCTTTGCTCATATATTGCGTGAACACGCCTCGTACCTTCCCGTATCCTCCCTTGCCCAGGACTTTCAGCAGTTCGAATGATTCCGGGCCAATCCGCGTATTCGGATTGACGATCGTCTCGGACAGTTCAACAGTTTCTTTCTCTCTGAAACGAAAAGCTAAATAAACAAACTCTAGAAAGTCACTTCACGGTCGTCTACGGCAGGCGACAGACGGCGGAAGTATTCCTAACAACAACACTTAATTTACGTCGATTAGAGGCTATTACGCACAAAATGGGCGATGTCAGAAAGCTGTAAATGGGAAAGAAAATTCGAAAAACATGACTAAATTACAGTAGTTTCCCCGAATGCACTTAAGCTTTTACTGCGTTAACCGGAAACTGGCGGTAAATAATTACGCTCGTCATATTCGATTCCCAAACGAAAACCATAAAATGGTTATATGTATCTCAGTATCTGTATACATATTTTCCGTTACTATTATTTCAAAAACCGTCACAAATGGTAAAATGTTCCAACAACCGCAAAGAACATAGATACCAATTTATCAACTACAGTTACTACACCTCAAATTATACTATACTTTATCGAAATTAGCTTTTTCCAGAACTGCAAAAAACCGAAAGCTAAAAGTGATCTCTACTTACTCGTCATCCTGACGATCCACAGCCATCTGAAGCCCCATGCAGAAAAAACAACAATTGCGCAATCCAGCGAGAATCAATGCTGTAACTCGTAAGTATTAATGTACTTCTTGTCTACCTGGCTGGATGCACCACCGTTAGCGTTCATGCCATTGTTGATGTTGTTATAATGCTCCAGATATTCACTGGTATAGTGTTCAGGCTCGTTCAGTTCCAGATCAAACACACCAGCCATTTTTCCAAGCGATGGTTCACCAACGAGGATTTCCAGCGGGTGAGCAGACCGCGCGCGACGGTTTCGGCCGCAAAACCACACAAACGATCTATTAAATAACCTGCAAAATCACATTCTTTTGCAAATGAAAAAAGGAAAGATGCTTTGAATTTGATGTCCTGCTAGCGGGAGACCAACGATAAATTTTATTGCAAGGCAGTAAGGCACAAAACTAGCAAACGGGAAATCGGAAACCTTGTGATCAAACATTCGGAACTGCTGTACTGATTGTAAGCGAAGCAAACACTACGTACGTGCATGGCAAAATTTTTAAGGACGCTTCTTTGGCTTGCGGATGTCGCCAACCGTCTAAAAACGCGTTTTATGTACTAACTGTAGGTGTACTATAGTACCAAAAAATTATATGTAAAAGGCTCCTGCTTGTAGCGGACGTCATCACGCGTCCTAAGGCTGAGCGCACGTATCCGCGTATGCGTGCATGTTATGCATGAAGACTTAGCGACTTTTTAAAACTGAAGCAATTCCAGTCCATTCTGCTTTCACAACATAACTGGAATCTAGAATATTCCGGCACCAGAAGTGAACTTGCATAGTTATGTGCCATAAGAAAATGAAAAAGCAATTACAACTGCTATTAGCTCTTGATATAATTAACAAAAGTGAACGTTTTTTCCTAGTCTTGCAATATTATTAAAACAAACAGAAGGCCACTGAAAAGCAATTCAATTCTTTTTCTTCAGACAAATACATTCGGGTACCACAATCTCTGTTGAGCTCATCGTGGGTTTTTGCAAACTGCCTCAAGGCCACAAAATCTCAAGATAATATCATGTTCTTGGAATAATTTGAAAAAAAAAACTTTCAAGACGCAAGACCCATGGGTCGCGTCTAGTTCTAAAAAATCCAATAAGTTCTATACATGGCTGTTCTTTAACTGCAAGTCAATCTACAGACCAAAGTGTAGACATTTTAATCAAAGCGTACCCCATAGTTTATCCCATAGTGAACTACATAGTTGAGCCCGCAGTTTATCCCGCAGTAAACCACACAGTTAACCGCACAGTTTGTCCAGCAGTAAACCCCACAGTGTATTCCGGAGTTCTTTGCTTAACGTTTTCACGTGCAAGTCAATCCGGAGTCAATCCGGAGTAAACAATACAATACGTTCCACATAACATCTCAAATTTTTCATTTTATTTTGCAATATTTTTGTAGCAATATTTTTTGCAGTATTTTTTAAAACACTACTTTTTTCAAAAAAGATTTATAATAAAGTAGTTTTAAAACAATGATGATTTATTCACAATCACTTCTGCCAAGTGCCAGGTATTTGCACAACAACTGTAAGCAATTCGTAAACGCTATTATTATGAACACTGGCAGGCATTTAAAGTAAATTTCTATGTTTTAGCGAAGCTCCGGCATGTTTGTTCCGGTAGTTCCGTCAAAAAAATCGAATCTACAGCTATGTGCCTAGTCATAAAAGTACTTGATTTATGATGTTTCGTTAATGTTTTGATCCCAATAGTAATTCAAAACTGTTTGCAGATATAAGTTTTATTGAAGTTTGTGTTTATAAAAAATTATATTGAATACTAAATGCAATAATTCAACTGTTGTGAGGTCACTTATGCATTTATTTAACATTGCATATCACAGATCAAAAGTGCAAACGCGAGTCGGCAACTCCATATAAACTTTAGTAGTTGTTTTGTTTGTAAAACTGCAAAACCGAGTATCCCTCTGAGGCTGCAAAATATTGCAAAATACAATAAAAAAAATTTGAGATGTTATGGAATATATTGTATTGTTTACTACAGATTGAATTGCACGCGAAAACGATACCCGAAGAACTCCGGAATACACTGTGGGGTTAACTGTTGGAAGAACTGTGCGGTTAACTGTGTGGTTTACTGCGGGATAAACTGTGGGATCAACTAGTAGTTCACTATGGGATGAACTATGCTGTACGCTGTGACTTAAATGTACTCATACATTTTGGCCTGTAGATTGCCTTACCGTTAAAAAACAGCCATGTCTAGAATTTATTGGAATTTGTAGAATAAGCGGCCAATGGATCTTGCCTTTTGAAAGTTTTCTTAAAATTATTCCAAGAACGTGATATTATACTGAGTTTTTTGTTATCTTGAGGCAACTTGCAAAAACCCACGATGAGCTCGCAAAACTGTGGTACGCGAATGTATTCGTCTGATTAAGAAGAATTGAATTGATGTTCAGTGATATCCTGTTTGTTCTAGTAATGTTTCAGGGCGAAGAAAACATGTTCACTTTTGTTAATTATATCATGAGCTAATAGCAGTTGTAATTGCTTTTATGGCACATAGCTGTGCGAGTTCACTTCTGGTGCCAGAATATTCTAGATTCCAGTTATGTTGTTGTGAAAGCAGAATGGAATGGAATTGTTTCAGTTTTAAAAAGTCGCTAAGTCTTCATACGTGTGCATAACATGCACGCATACGCGGATACGTGCGCTCAGCCTTAGGACGCGTGATGACGTCCGCTACAAGCAGGAGCCTTTTACATATAATTTTTTGGTGTACTATAGTAGGGTAGTATAGCACAATATACAAGGAATCATGAGTCATTGCTGGTAACGAGCCGAGCGTAATGATTCAGCACTCACTGCTGTCACGCATGGAGATCCGCTGTGCGGAAATCGGGGAACGAAGCCGGTAAGCCCCTCACAACAAATAATTCTTTTAATTATTCTTAATAATTCTTAATAATTCACATTAAATAATTCTTAATTTTCTTAGGCTAAAAGATATTACTGTACTAGTAACCAAAATCTAATCCACTAAACATTCCCTCTAGGGACGGCCTCGGGAGGGTGTCTGCAATACATTTACTTAACTATTACTTTTAAAATAATGAAACCTTTTTTTGAAAGGAAGGCGCCGGGTCAACAGCAGTGCAAGCAAGGCATAACATTACTTACTAGTGTATAGGAGCGCAGTATAATCAACCGCTCGCAAATGATGACCGCACGCTTCAAAAAGGAAAGCAAACAAAGCTGTCGCCCAGCCGAACTGCACATCTGCGCGGTCGGTTACGTGCACTCTGCGCGTCTGCGCGACTGTCCGCTGCCCAGCACTGCTGTAGTGGCACCCGCACTGGGCGGCACCTTGAGCGATGCCGTCCCAGCGGCCAGCGCCCATCCGCAGTCCATATTGCACACAGCAATTTGGCTGTGCGGCAGCAATGTTTACCTACTTCGTTAAGGATTGGAGCGTACATGTGAGTGTTGTTTAAAGAGGGCAGAGAGAGCGCTGCAGTATGGCGGGCCGTTTGGGTCAGGTTGATCAAATTCTGATGCATCAAAACACGAAACATCAAATCTCTGGTGATCAATTTCTGAAACATCAATTTCATGAAACACAAACATCAAAACTTCAGTGATCAATTTCTGAAACATCAATTTCATGAACCACAAACATCAAAACTTTAGCGATCAATTTCTAAAACATCAGTTACAAAAACATCAAATCTTTGGTGATCAATTTCTAAAACATCAATAACACAAACACAAACATCAATTACACGATGATCGATTTCGCGTGCACCGAAAGAACGACTAGAGATTACGTGTCGAGTTCAATACGTTCAACTCACCATAATGCTGAGTCATTCAGATTCAGCACTCACTATAACTATGGCGTACCAAACGGGCCAGAGTTTATCCAGACAAATGCTAATGACAAATGCTTTTTCAACATTAAACAAATGCTACTGACAAATGCTTTTCACTACCAGACAAATGCTTTTAGAAAAAAACTTTAACAGACAAATGCTACTGACAAACGTTTTTTTCGCTATCAAACAAATGCTTTTAGAAAAAACTTTAACAGACAAATGCTACTGACAAATGTTTTTTTACTATCAAACAAATGCTACTGACAAATGCTTTACACTACCACCGCAAATCTGATTGCGGACTTCGAAACTATTTCACATTTGAAAATTCCAATTCCACTCTTCCAGTTACAGGGAATTTATTGGACATCACTGTAGTTTGGTGGGATTGGTCTGAAACCATTTGTTTGATAGTGAAAAAAACATTTGTTAGTAGCATTTGTCTGTTAAAGTTTTTTCTAAAAGCATTTGTCTGGTAGGGAAAAGCATTTGTCAGTAGCATTTGTTTAATGTTGAAAAAGCATTTGTCGTTAGCATTTGTCTGGATAAACTCTGGCCCACTTGGTACGCCATATATAACGCTGAGTGCTTTGCGTTTCAGTTTTTGTGAATTTTTGTAAACACGTGTTTTTTTGGGACTTTCTGGGCAAAATTTGGTTTTCTGGCATTTTTTAGGTCTGTTGGCATTTTTTTAGTTTGGTAAATGAAAAAAATGGATGGCACCAAGGAGCAGCGGCAGTATTATATTATTCGCCGAAAATCAGACCTTTAGCATATCAGCCGCAATCAGAAACATATTATGGAAACTTTTTATCAGCGCAAGCGCAAACTTGATTACCCGGATGTCCAGCGTATTGGGGAGCTTATTGGCGAAGCTGTTAGAGACGGAGAGAACAAAATCCAAATTTGGTTAAAAAATCGACGAGCGGCAGAGAAAAAAAGAACCAACGGGAGCTGTATGGCTGCTCACAAGGGAAGTTCTTTTGCATCCCACGTCTGTATTTGTCCACGATTTGTACCAACGGCCACCAGGTTTCCTCTTTCTGACCAAACACACAAACGTTAAAAAAATTAAAACTAAATCCCAGCTTAAATATGAAATTCCACGAAGATGCACTGTAACTAAAAGGGTTTAATTGGAATCCTTCAAACCCCAACAATTTTCTAAGTTCAAAAAATAGTACTAGTATTTCATGTTTTGGAAATTGATCATCGATGATTTGGTGCTTCGTGAATTTGATGTTCTTGAAATTGATCACCATTGATTTGATGTTTTTGCACTTGATGTTTTAGAAATTGATCACTTAAGTTTTGATGTTTGTGGTTCGTGCATTTGATGTTTTAATCTGACCCAAACGGCCCGCCATACTGCAGTGCTATCTTAGAGTGCAAGCGTAGTACAACGTTACAAACCAACTGTTAAAAATTACATCCCGTGTACACTGTCCATTTTCGCATGAAGGGCAAGACCAGAGAGCGTGATTACTGCGAAAACTGCTGGAATTTTTATAAAAACTAGTGAATTCTTTCAGTCTAGCGAACATTTAAGGACAAAACGCAAGATAGAACTGCGAGAAGGGTTATGCTAGGGCCACACTTCAAGTGCGAAGGCCTTCGCACAGTGCGAAGACGAAAACTGCTAATAAGTGTGAACGCAAAATGTTCTAAGGGATCCTTCGCATCGAACAAAAAGTATGAGCGCCTTTCGCACTTTTTTCTTAAAACGAGTGCGAAGAGCGTCTTCGCACCGTTTTTGGTGGGAGGGGATTTTCTTCCTCCTTCGCACAAGTGCGAAGGAATTGACCAATACCGAGCAACCGGATATGACTGTGATTATTTCTAATACAGACAAAAAGCATATTAATTGTATTTGTGCAAATGGTTATTACGTAGCATCAACAATAAAAGGTCATGCTTGCCAAAACCATAATACGGTTTCATCCGGGTGCACGAAAATGCCGCTGATTGTGAGGATCGTTTGACGCAGATCTTTCATAAATATGGCAAACTCTCCATTTATGATCCGATTAATATAAATGTCTCGCACATGAAATTTTCGTGAAGATTTTTTGGCGAAATGGCGCGAGATCAAAACGCCAGACAGCAGAATGGTCAACAACAAACGTTTCTTAGGCAGAATGTTTGGGCGCATCCTGATTATATTCAAGATTTTGGCCGGTTATAAATTGACTGTAAAATGCTGTAGTTCTCGACCTTAATCCCGTTAATTTTGCGCTCTTGGTCTTCTCAAGTGGGAGCTAATCAAAATTCTTTTAGAAGTTCGATGAAGTGTGAGTGCTCACGTTCTAAGCAAATTTTGTTCAAACTTTTTCTTCGGTTCGCACCTCTCGCACTTTTTGTTGCGAAGAAAAGCTTCGAACTGTGCGAAGGGAAAAAGTTCGATGAAATTTGCATCGCACTTGAAGTGTGGCCCTAGTATTAGACTTCGCGTATAAACGCGAAGCCGGCGCATGTTTTCCCTGTGAGATCTGCCAGAAATCCTACAAAATAAGTTTTATTTTTCAAAGGTCCCCTTCGATTTTTTAAATGGTTTTGAATGGTTTTAATGTTGCGCACTAGGACAACTCGCTCTATCTCTTGTTTTAACAGAGTACTACACAAAATGTGTGTCACTGTTCACTACACAATTTTTTGGCCGTGGTTCCATTAAAAATTTTCTATCTGCTCTTGATTCTAAAAAACTCTTGTAATTACGTACTGCATTGGTTTAATTTTGTGGTAATGACCATACTTGTGGATTGCAAGTGCCTCGAGGGTTTGTCTGCTCAAATTACAATCTCAGTGAATAAACTACAGATGCTAAACTGGGAAAAGGAAAGGCGCTGGCATGGGACTGTAACCTGCCGCAGCACCATGGCCCTGTCGCACAATGCAGCCACATCCACTCGAGCCGGAGCTGCAGCAGAAAGCTAGCCGAGCGGAGCAAGACAGAGAAGTACCGCAACATCACCCAGGAATGGCCAGGATTACTGGTTCTCGCCTCTGGCCTTCGAGACCTACGGAACATTCGGACCAGAAACCACCCAGCTGCTTAACGTGCTAGGAAAGATGATCCAGCAGCAATCAGGCGAACCGCGAGCACTCAGCACTGTAGTTTTTGCTTCAACGGATCAGCGTATAAATTCAGCGAGGAAACGCAGCATCTATAATGGGAACAGCACCACCGGCGGCGAATTTAGACGGAATCTTTTCTATTATTCGCCCGCCTGTGTTTGCAGATGTTGTGTAACTCGCTTGTGTTTTGAGTTTCTCACGATTTATGTAGAAGCGTCAAAAATTTTATTGCTCATAACGCGAATAAAAGCAGCCGTAGTTCAAAAAAGATACTAAACTAAATTACACAGTGCACAGTGCACACTACATGTACTCCACATCCACTTATGGAGTTTATAATAATATTGCTCATCCGGCAGTGATTGCACTGTACCTACTACTACCTACAGTACTTTAGTACGTACTTAAAGTACTGTACTTTAAGATTTAAACACTAACCAGTATTAAAGCTTATAGTATAATGTACGTATTCTGAAGAACTATTGTAGGTTAAGTTGTGGACTCCATTCTGAAGTTTTGAACTGTGCAAGTAAAGTAATTCATAAAATGTAGGATCGTGAATTCCGGAATGCCCCACCATCCAACAAACATTATTTAGATGCAGTGCGTCATACTCATTTAACGTGATACCATTTTTTTAAAGCTATCCTTCAGTCATTTCAGGGAGAGATAAAATCTTTCCAAAAAATATAAATGAAAATATTATTGCCGAATCGTAAAGCATAAGCACAGCCGGCTAGCTGATTTTAACCGCCTTTTTAATAAGCGCAATGAAAACGTAATGCCGCTTGGACCTGCCCCCCACCTCCCAAATGGTCCAATCATGACAGTTGCATTTTTATTTACTTAACATTTGCGATTCTAGGAAGGTGTTGAATCGGTGTAGGCAACTGACAGTCAGGTTGCAACTTACATCCACATTTTTGATGTTTTGACTTTTGCCTAGACAATTTTTACGACATTTACGCTCCAGTCGTGAGAAAAACTTACCTTAGTTAAGTTTCAGAAAGCTTCTTCATTAATTAACCAGTAAGTGCGTCACACTCTCCAGGCCTTTTGCTTTACTGGCATGTGATTTTGTTTTGGACGCAAATTGACGAACTTTACACACAACAGTATTGCATCAGCCATCGTCTTATCGACCTTTTTCCTTCTTGTGAAAACGTTTTCTACGCCAACTGCTTTTGTATGCCACTGCTTATTTGTCGGGTTTTCTACGGATATCAACCGTTTCGGTGTGGTCCATTTTCAGACATTTGCACTTAATTTGTTTCGGCATATTGACCTTGGAATTTGGAGTTCTTCGCATTCGTTTGTTTTTATGGCGAGTTTTGCAGAAGGTGTCGAGGAATTTACTGGTATGCTTTTATTTTTGTTTATGTTGCAGTTTTTCGGGTGCTTTGGTGTAATTTGCGTTCCGAACTTTGATAACGAAATGCTCTGTTCGATAACTGTGTTGATTATAAAAAAGCATTCAAGTCGATTCAAAAGATTTATGTAATGGAATTCAGTTTATCGTACAAAGATTACAGGACCACGTTTATAATATTGCAGCTTCCAAGTACAGAATGCACCAAACTCTCTAAGCTATCCGTGCGGCGTGCACTTATCAGCCATTAGCTGATTCTTGTTTTCGCTTTGAAACGACTTATGCAGATATTCGGGAATACTTGTTAACTTGCGAATTTTTCAAAAATAATTGTCAGATCTTTTTTTTAAAATCTGTGCGTAAGCTGTTACCTCGCAAGCCTGTCGTTGCAGGTGCGGAATAGAGTAGCAAAGTAGAGAGATCCTTTTGGTGTCATTACGTAATTATGCATCATTTCATCGCATTTCTGATAGTAAAGTTTTACTGTGATATTTCGGTTGTGTCGTAAAACATTTCGATGAATCCGTATTTCTGTTGTTCAAATCAGGACTGCTTCCACCAATACAACGTCTGGGAACAGATGAAGAGTTCGATTGCCCACGAAAGCATGGAGATGAGGTGAGATTTAACTCATTTGATGGGTGTTACTTTAAAATTAATTGTGTTTGTTGATTCTGCCAGTTTTCGTTTTGAAATAAGTTCAACTTTGCTGCAGCTCGTCACATGTGCACTTGCCCCGGACGGCAAATGGTTTGCGTGGTCACTCGGCACCCGAATGGTCTTCGTTGTACAAACGCAGTCGGACAAGTAAGTAAAGTGACCACTTGGCCGAAAGTAGTTGCTGAATGCTACTAGTCTCGGTAATAATATATTTCTAGAAAGTGCATCGTAATATCTGAAGGCTTGCCGTCATATAAGCTCATAGTGCATTTTAGCGTCAACTTCGATCTATCTCGTGTATTTTGCTCTTACGAAATCCGTGCGTAGTACGTGTAAATCAGTTCACTAGTGTGATTTCGCACTTTTTGATTGTGTTAGTATTACTAGTTTAGCGGAATTTTTACCTGCGAAGAAGGAAATTGCGTTGCAGGATCGCAATCAGAAATTGATGTAGGCTTCATATAAAAAATATGGGCACTTAAATCTGCTAATTTATGTAAGAGTACCTTTTATAGCGGAAAAATCTGTTATGTTTAACTTTACGGACTGACAACAGGGATATGATTGTGAGGATTGTGAGCTAACTTGTAAATAAATTAATTAAGCAGTTGTTCATATCCGTCGAAATTTCAAACCTGTGTCAGCTGGATGCGTTGGTACGATAGCTGTTGCAGCCGGTAGAGATCTACGGGTAGCAGACCAGTTTTTGGCTGTGCATAAATGCTTGAATGCTATAAAATTTTAATTATGAAAATTACTGATGGTGAGCTCATTGTTATTTGGTACGCTCCGTGGGTGTGTTGATACATGCCAGTGTATCGAATTAACAGTTTGCTTTCGTTAAAGTATAGTTGTGGTTGCATGTCTCTTGTTTTTATCTTTGTTTTATTTTGAAAAAACGGCCAAGGAGCGGTTGTTTTTGAGCTAAAGGAAATCCGAAACGCGTATTAACCTATTAGGTAATAAATAACTTGGCAAGAGTTTATCTGTTGTTTTGAATCCTGCACCCAGTTCCACTCGTGGACCGTAATCACGCACGTCAGAATGGTTGATTAATGATCAATTTTATCATATGCGTGATCATAAATTTCCTTCTTATGGATTTGTTGTTGTTTGCCTCGGCGGCGCTTGAAATCTTTCACGGAAGCGCTTCGCTGCAGACGTGTTTGAATGGATGGCACTGAAAGCTTTGCTACGTGCTTTCCTTTTTCTGTTACCCCTTCATGCCTTTCTTTACAGCCAAATGTGCATAATACGGTTCATAATTACAAAACGCGCTGGATATTCGTTAAACCTATTATTTTACGTTTGAACCATTCGTTCAGGTTTTGAAGAGTCAGTTAGCTTTTGAACGTTGCTCGTAATATCTTCCACTAATGGTTTAGTTTGTAGCGAATCGTCATGCATTAATAGAGCTTCTCTTATTTTATGTTTGAAACGCTATATTCAGTATTAAAGACGATAGACACCGCTCAGTGCATCATCCAAAATAACAATAACAGTGCGATGCATTATACTGTAAATGCATGTTGTTTAATAGGGCAGGCTGTTCATTTGATGAACTAAAGAAACGGAAAATTGGCGAGAAAGCGGAGTGGAACAAAAAGTGCCTTGATTGCACCGTTGGTGTGACTGCGCTTGAATTTGGGTGTCGATCATCTGATATCAAATGGCATTCGGATCAGGTCCATTACAAAATAGTGCATAATTTTCCCAAAGGGAAAATTGTGCTTGCCGCTGGCCTGAGCAATGGAGAAATCAAGTTGTGGGACTTGGAATGCGGTAAATTTGAATGGCTTTATACGCGCTTTTTGTTTTTCTGACGTATTAGTGTGTTATAATATCAGCTTGGTATCGGGCAATGGCTGAGCTTTAGCATTCACTTATTTGTTAGCTTACCGTTCACAACTAAAACGAGTTTTCTGCTTTGTTTAGGGCGTATTATTCTTCTCCTTCAAGATCACAAAGCGGCGATCACAGGGTTGAGTTTTTCGCCAGACGGAAGGTGGGAATTATATTGTAAAAGTGGCGGGTAATGAATGCTACAGTTTTTTTGCATTTTCAGCTTAGTGCTTGCGTCTGCCTCCAAAGACAGCAGCGTCAAATTGTGGGATTTGACAGACGACGGAAACATGTTTAAGACGCTGCACTGCGAACATTCAAAACAAGTGAACGCCATTGCCTGGTCTCCTGTTGGTCAGCGCATTGCAAGTGTGGGAGTTCTTAAAATGGTATGTGTTTTTGCTTAAGAGGTAGACATTTGGTGTGTGTCTGCTTTTTGCATGTGATTTCAGGAGGTTTTTCTGTTTTTTTATAATTAGAACTTTTTTGGGTCATTTTTAATAAATAATGCAGCTGAGAAGGTTTTAAAGATATCTTTTGTAATTCCTAAATGCAGTAAGAGGCGGATGTGTTTCAGTGCTACTTTGGAAAAACATCTTCCAATTTCCATAGGCACTGTTATGGAATGCACGAACTGGCACTTTGGAACGTCGTTTGGAAAATGGCCACCTAAACGACGTCACAGGCTGTTGCTTTTCACCGGATGGTGCGTTGTTATTTACGTCGAGTTGGGATACAACAGTCATTTGTTGGGATGTTCAGACGGGCGCCAAGCGTACGGTCTACGGGCACATGTTTCCTCCACCACGACCAATTTTCGCCGGTGGAGTAAATGGGCATGAAGTACGGGGGGTGACTGTTTGTCCAGATGGAATGCATATTGCCTCTGTCTGCCGCGACGGTTATATTCGGGTGTGGAATATTTTCCACGGCACTAATCCTATTCAAAAGGCTGCTCTGCGTGATGCGCGAGCGGTCCACTTTTCGCACAATGGATTTTTGTTAGCTGTTGGGTAAGTTAATGAAATTGCTTACTACGTAAAATATAGAAATGGATAGTGTATTAAGATAATTGTTAGAATTTTGATCAGACTTCTCGTTTCCGGTTTGTAGGTGTCAAAGCGGCGAGATGAACTTCTTCGCAGCACCCATGCAGACCGCGACATTACAACACCGATGTCGGCTGACGGTTAGGCAGTGCATAATCAGTGGTGATGGCTGCGCGGCACTGCGTGCACTTGTACCCCGGAAGGCAGCACAATATCTCAATTATGCGGATATCGTCACGTGAAGTCGTGTTTACGGAAGAGTTTGGATTTGGCAATCAGTGGTGATCATCGTTTGTATGTGTGTGCGTGTGTAGCGCAGATGTTTAGATGCTCGTGGCGCTTGTTTATAAAAATCATTTGCACTGGCTTTTTGTACCTTTTGATTACGCGTGCTTTCACATTTTTGGCGTTGAAAATCTCGCTTGTATTTATTGTGCTTCTTTTGATCTAGTTGCTCTTTAGATTGGAGGTTGCTCAATCGGTTAGAGTAGATTTCAGATCTTTGAATCGCTTATTTATTGTACAGAGCTGGTCTTCAGAGCATAACTGTTTTGTGCGCACATTAGTGTGATTGCTCGAATGTTTGGCGAGAGTTAATGTTTGTATACTTTGTACTTATTTATTTCACTCGTTAGAATATTTAAAAATAAAGTTACCGCTGACATATACGAGGGAATATTGCTCACGCGTGTTAAAACGGAAAATCTAATGTCTCTACATTTATCTTGGTTTCTCTATGCCAGTGTCAAGTGACTGCCAACAACCTCGATTTCAGATCCACCATTTTTCCGTTTTCACATTCAGATGGACCAGAAAGACTTAAGAAATTTCATTAGAAAAGCTGAACAGTTGCGCTATGTACAAATCAGATCCTAACCCACTATAAACAGAAAAGCAGATCAAAGTCAGCCAACCTTGAACCTTTTATAAGCCACACTGATGGCATCAGCGCAGGCTCCATAGTTCGGTAGACCACCAACAAACAAATTCACCGCACAGAATACAGACGACATAGCCGAGGTGATGAAGATTAACAAATGACAGTTCATCCCGACCATCTTTAATATGTAGATCTCCTCCAGTACGCCTTCCGGCCACGACAGTTCGTCCTGTCCGATGACCTTTACCATTTGCTGTTGGAGGTGTATCATCGGTAGTAGTTTATGCTGCCAGTCCCGCAGTGTGGCGTAGATGCCCACCGCGATGAGCGACAGAGCGAAGAGGCCGAAGGAACAGGCCAAGTTGAGGTTGTGCAAGGATTTGTGGAGTTTGGTTAAGGTCGGTCGGTGCTCCTGCCGGCTGACCTTCCATATCACAGCTCCTGTGGCACCGTTCAGTAGGGAGAGGCAGGCCACGAAAAGTCCCGGGGATTCGATGCTGAGCAGCGCAGCACTGGCGATGGGATGTTTCAACTTCACTACCAATATAATATAGAATACACTCAACACAGTAGACTCAGTAGGCAATTAAGTGTTTGAGTATTAATAATGTAACTGATAACAGCAACCTTTTGATTCCAGCTTGAGCTAAATTCGCTTAAATCTTGTAATGTACAGATAACTGTATTATAAAATTATTTCAACAAAGGGTTGACAGAATTTTAGGACTATCAGAAATTCCTTTATTGAAAAAATTTAATTGGCCAAAAAGTTTTCGCACTTGTTTGATGGAATGCCAATGGTAGTACCGGCGTTTCCGACAGCATTAGCATTACATTAAAGGTTAAATAGGTAGGTAAAATAAATAAAGCTTATGGTTAAAAAAATCTATTATATTAACAAAACTTACTGAACCTAGTCGAGCCGCTCGGATAAATTGTTTCAGTTTTCGTACAGACTGTTCCTCTATACGCTTGGAAGTACAGTAATTATAGTACAATTGTGCAAGTACCATTACCGCTAACTGAAGACAATTTGTTAAACGCAATTTGTTAAATTACCGTTGGTACTATCTATGAAAGTACAAGCCGAGTCTCACCAGAAAGATGGACGAGCCTGAACATGAGAAGGTCCGGTAAGTATTCCGTAAAAGCAATAAATTGCATACGGTATTACGTATTTGAACATTAAGGACATACTTATAGCTTCCGTTATCAGTGTTGCTACTCCCAGCGCACAGGAGACGATAGCCAGTCCCAGAATTCCGTCCAGACTAACTTTGAGCGAATAAGCTTTCTGGCGCTGCAATAGGCGGAACAGCCGAATGAGGCGACCCTGGTTCTCGGCGACAGAACGCAGGGATCCTCCGCCGACAGTCGACGGTCGCACAATGTGCGAGGCTTTTCGCGCGATGCCGGCACTCCCGGCACGCATGACTTGCCGACGTCTTTTGATAAATTTGTGCAATATGCGAAATGAGCCCATAGTTTCAGTTCATAACATTAATCGAACAACCAAACATCGGTGTGCTAGATTAATAATTCAAAAAGTCAAACGATAAGGGATTTTGTTGCTACTTGTAGGTACAGACGGTCGCAAATGCAAATCACGTCTGACAGCTGCAGAACTTGACAAGTTCGTGGAAAACGCACGCTGGACTGTGGCAAAGTGACGGCTTTAGACTAGCTATTATTGTGCGCACTACGCAGTCAGTATAGACGTTAATCAGATTAAATAAAAAATAATAAGCACGCCAAAACTAAATGGACGCCGATGCAAAAACGCAAAGCGGCAAATTTCCGGCGACGGAAGCGGCACAGGGCTTTGTACATAGTATGGACGTTATCGGTGCTCTTGATAGATAGAGCTGGCAGATTCAAACGATATGGTGTCCGATATCCATACGTTTCATGAACACGATTCTACGGGTAGTATTGCATTGCACATACAGAGTAGATAAGACTTTGTTTTGTCTGGAAGCTGTCAGCATAGATCTTCGGAACGTTTTTTCTATAGAACTACAATACTTTCTACTGTAAAACCGGCGTGAAGTTAGAGTCTAATAGTAGTAATGCTCGAGCGTGAACTCGAGCGTCAATAATACAGATATTATAAGTATTATTATTATTATTATATTATTATAGCAACTACAGTAGCCAAACTCCATTAAAGGAGACTTTAACCCTAAGGTGAAAACCTTTGGGTGTTTAGGCTATTGGAAAATTTTTTTGTTTAATTTTGAAAAGAAGAATTTTTTTTGTTTAATTTTTTATGAAGTAATCACTTCGAATGGCCAATTATAATCTGTACCGCTTAGTTTTATGTTTCTGGCAAGCGTGCATTAAAAACTACGAGTAACGAGAATTTCATTGGTTTATCAAAGCAGTGCTCACAGCCGAGCTTTTAAAATAAATTAATAGTCTTTGTCGTGTAACTATTTTGTAATTAACCTACATAAAAAGTAACAAATGTGTCGTAAACGACAGATGATTGCGTTAAATGCGTTTAATCGCCAAATGTTTTACTGTATGGCGCAGCGCCAGGATCGTGTTTTATTGTTTTGGAATCCCATCGGTTATTGTGATAACAGAAAACGAAGGTACTTATTACTGGCACAGCATTCGCACAAGCCTTTTTAAATGTGGTCCGCATATATATGTCGTACAGTATAATTGTCGATGCATGTACTACGCGGTATTGTTTCTGTATGTAATGAGCATTTAAAAGAAGTCATCTTTTACTTGAGTAAGAATATAGTCGGTAGTTGTGCAATTAAAAGCGAACACTAAATTCTACCACCATTTCAGCAGTAGAGTCGTGGGCGGTTATCACCTGCGGCACAGTCGGCTGATACGGAACAGAGTAGGTGAAGTCGAAGGTGCCAATGGAATCGTGGAAGTTGACATCTTCATCCGTGGCGACGATATGCACTCGTGCCAAAGATCCCTTCACTGCCAGCGCCGAATGGCCCACTTGCGGAGGAAACACAATCTGGTTTACGTCCTCACCGCCGTCGTAATAGCCTCGGCTTGACCTATACGACGTCACTGTGCGTGTTACGGGAACTACTCGTAGGTACATAATATTTGAAACTCTTTTTGAAAAAGTAACTTACGTGCATTGTGCAGTTGTAAACACCGCTACGATCAAACTCAAAGATTGCGCTAGACTTACTGCACAACTCCATTAGGATCCGTCCACGAATACGTGATATCAAAGAGAGGATCACACTTTGCATATCCAAAAGGCAATCCGGGGTCGCAGTTCTTGCTGCTGTAGAAGCGTTTAACCTGCATGCTGACCACGGGGTTGGAGGAATTGCTCTTTATTGCCGGCAGAGGCAAGGATTTTCTTCTTGCCAGGGGTGGAATTAGTCGAGGATTAACAGCAGCAGAAGTCACTTCCGCCAGTGCAGACAGAATAAATAAGACAGCTAAACATGTGCAACAAACTAAACATGTGCGTTTAAGTAGAAAACACAGGCTTCAGATGTAAATTCTCGACGTAACAAACGGTCGAACAAACTGTAGTTTAAGAGCAAATTTTTTGTCGTGGAACACCGTTTTATCGTTATTATGATAGTCGGAAAATGCAATGGAGCATGCTTGCACTGCACAGATTGACCTCTGTGGTATCAAAGCAGGCTAGTAGATTATGAATACAGTTCATATCATCTATCATTATTCATGTATTTGCCATTATTACGAATGCTTTCTGCTTTATTTACCTGCTAATTGGCGAATTTTGAAAGAACGCCCAGCCATTATGATGATCGTTGAGAAAAGGATGGTTCGCATGCGCTTAGTATTCCCTAAACCGCGAAAGGTCAGATCGCTAGCTAGCTACATGTACAGATATAAAACCAGTGCACGCTAGCTTGCTATTACGCGGATAGTAGTCGAATTAATTTTGCTATCACAAACTTGCAAACAATTAATCTAGGTAGGTTTGATGCGGGTTCATATTTTATCAGTACGATGATACGGTACTTTATTATGATGATAGTGCAGAATGTCGATTGGCATTAATATATTGCACTTCTCCGGTTTATCTTCTACGGGATTGTACACGCTTTTTGTGCCCCTTGTGTGAGTTATCTAAACATTTTGCAATATAATTGAATTTGTTTTTCTGTGTGTGTACCATTATTTTCTGTGCAAAATGCGATACTGATGTCATACTTAATATTTCAACTACGGCGTACGTGATATGAAGATTTGCTTGGAGGTCAGCAGTAAAGGTTCGACCATGTCAATACGGTAATACCATCAACAAAGTATCAATGCCGTTTATCTGGAGTGCATTCTACGTAGAATCTACTCCAGATAAACGGCATAAACGGCATTGCGCTGCGATCTGAGCAAGATCCGCTACAGAGACATTCTGTTAAAATATGTTTATCCACCCAGTTCAATACAAACACTGGGGGTTTGGAATAGCCATTACAGTCAGTAACCGACATTGTGAAATCGTATCAGTATATATACGGGTATTGTTCATAAATTATATGCAGGCAAACGAATTATTGTAACCGCCATCGCATCAATGGTATAGAAGTACTTTAAATACTGTATCATTGACAAAAGGCTTAAAAACGTTTTGGATAGAGCAGATTTACCGCATGACCGGTGGTTCAGACTCAGAAGGAAGAACAGGTTCCGCAGTGACAGTTGTTCTGATATTACTACGTACATCACCAGTATCGGTTTCGTTTGCCATCACGAACGCATAAGAATGACCATCCACAACTGCACTGGTGGCCGTCGACGATTCCAGACTCCTCTGAGCTGCATCTGCCGCAACAGTAACGTTCGTAAGTGCGGCGGAACTGTTACTCGGAGCTGTGTCAATGTCAACTGTTGCAGTATAATTAGGCGACTGCGAAACGGGATCCGGGTTTGACGTGGTACTTATATTATGAGGATCAGCGACATTACTGTCGTTGGATCTAGCGACGCTGCCAGCTGGCCCTTTGGCTGCTAATTTCGATTTCCGCTGTTCAAGTCTCAGAAGGAATTTGTGTGCGTTTTTGAAGATATTCGGGAAATGTGGCTTCTCATCCCGTTCGTCTTCAAGAAAATATCCGTATTTTTCTTTCATGCGCAAGGCCAGTTTGAAAATCGTCGCCGCATTGCAGGCGTGGTCAGTGCACAGATCGCTGCAGCCGAAAACGGTAGAGGCAACAGTATCGAGGTTAATGTCATACGGTTTCAGTTGTCCACAGACAATGTTTTTCGCCTGGAACTGGGGAGGAATTATTGCTGTACAATATCTGGAGACGATGTACGATGTGCCGGATTGATTTTCTGTAAACCAGAGCGCAACTATGAATGTTCCTTGCTAATACCGAAATTGGAGTAGAAGTACATTATATATATATATATATATATATATATATATATATATATATATATATATATATATATATATATACATAATTATACTCTGTAGTCTGCATACGTAGTATGTAGTTGCACTTGCACAATATGTATGAAATGCACAACACCTGCTTGTACGTGCTAAAATGAAATGCACAACACCAATTTAGGTGCTAAAAAACTGGTTGTGATAGTCGTAGCAGCACCTACTGAATTCTCCCAGCGATGTCACACAAGCCACGGCCATCAAGGGAAATCGGGAATCTGCTGAGCCTATCAGGGAACGACAGTTGTTTTGGACTAAAGTTGGATTGCTGGTCATATGAGGAGATTCGCATGCCGGATTGGAACCATTGATTGAATGGCAAACCAAACAGTTAATTGCCAGAGTTGCTATAAATTTCACAGAACAGCTTCATTGCTTATTTTAAATACTCCACGCAGTGAGTACATTTGAACATGTTTTATCTAGCGCAGTTAACGTTGTGCTCCAATATGTGGCTACACACTTACGCATTTTATGTAGTATTAATCCAAAAATTATTAATCTGTACCGTTCAGACACTTGTACGAGACTTGAAATCGATTAAATGGATACATCAGCACATTAGCTGGTAAGCACGTCAGTGTTGGTTATACATATGTTATAATAATGACAAGGCATTCTGCCACTACTTCATACAGACTAATTCTATTATAACTCGAACATTCTATAAATCAATTGTAAGAAAATCATTAGTGCGAAAAATGACTGGATGTAATGAGATAATTTGTTATACTTACACGGAAAAACTGCCAAACAAATCGCAAGCAATATCCTGTCTGGAAGCCGGGATAAATGAGACGCTCGTGGCATTTTTTAATTCAAGCACAGCTTCGTTAACATGTAACATTTTAATCCAGGATGCCAGACGAGAAAAATATAAGCAATCAATATTGCATAACTGTTAAAACTTGGCGTATTTGGATGTTTTACCATCACGTTTTTGCGAAAATGCTGGCTTGGATAGGGCAACTCACTGCATACGTAATCTAGACCTTGATCGCCGGCTGCACAACACAGTGCCAATGTCGGGCTGTGTTATATTAAGTGATCGTGTTATTACCGGTACGAATTTTGTTTGCGCTATTGTCAAAGTATTCTACTGTTTAGGCTTTTTCGAGTTTATTAGTAATTTTAATAAGTGCTTCAGAGTTTTTGGTAACACTTCACTAGCGTCGTCCATAAGTTTACGTGTTTTGCACGAGTTATATTTTATACTAGTCTTATATTGTTTTCTAGTACTGGTTTTGTAGTCTCAGGCGGTGTACAAGTATATGTATTTAACTTGACATCGATAGCCATCGTAGTTCTCGCACCTGCACCTTGCATACTTCCGCCGTGAACTCAAAAAAGATTGCATTGGCGATTAAATCCGTGCACCATTACTGCAACTGTAGTACAAAAGTAGCTACTAGCAACAATGCAGCACCAGTACCGCTGTGATGCGTTACTTTATAAAATTTTTCGAATACACAAAAACATTAAACTAACGGTGAAAGCCAAAACCATGCCAATGGAAAGCAATTTGTGCTGGTAGCAACTGGCATACTATAATCCTGCTGATTATTCAGTAAAAGTCAATCAAACAACCGCCTCCAACGGAGTTAATCGCGTCCTTCCTACAGATTTACAATACAATGTATGTGCAAAAGAGCCAAACAGCGAAGTACAACACATCAACCATACAAAAAACTTGTTAACTGCTTAGTTGCAATCAGACGTACTGGAAAGCAGAATTCTAACACAAGAACAATCAAAAATAAACTTCGGCGAACCGGTCATGTTGCCGGCATAGGTCCGATTTCTTCTGCATCGGTAGTTGCAACACTGTCATCGACAGGAGCAGGAAGAGATTTGGGCCGGACGGACTCTTGCGCGTTGGGCTTCTCCTGAGCTTTCTGTAACCGCTTTGCTTCGTGAAAACGCTCCCATTCAGAAATGCGTTCTTCTAGTTCCAGGCATACTTTCTCAATTTCATAATTTTTTGCTACCAAATTAACCCAGCTGGAACAAAACATGAAATGGAATCAGTACGGCTTTGTAAGTGGAACGCGAATGTCATCAGCACAATTCCTATAGGCACAAGACTCACAACAGACACCCATACCTCGTTTCCAGATAAGACAGTTTTTCGCCAGCCTGGAGTTGTTTGTTTTTTCGTTCCCAATTGATTTCCTGTATGCGGTTCCTGCATCACAAGAACGCAGTTTCAAAACTGTACATATAGCAAAACAACTGCTGTTGCTAACCTGAGGAGCGAAATTGGCGTATATGAAACTGCATCAATTTCGCCACACAAAAGAAAACTGCTGTGTGTTACCTGTGCCCGAATGTATTATTCATTTTCGTTCTGGTAATGAATCTTATTTTGTGCTGTGTAGTAATCAATCAAGAACAATACTACTGTATCATGAACAATGTCATCATAATGCTACTGAGTACTGACAATGAATATTCGCACCTCGTATCACGCAGTTCAGATTCTATTTGCTTCAGCTGTCGTTCAACTGTGGGGATGTATCGCCTCCAGATTTCGGCCCCATATTCTGCTTGCAACTGTAAGTTAGTCAACCTAAAATAACACAAACAAAATGCCCAGAATTCAGAAACAATCAATATTTTAATAAAGTATTCATGTTTTGTGTTTTGGTTTTAAGATTAAAAGTGGTTAAGTATGCGTCATAACGAAAGCCTATTATAAGTCACGCTACACCATCTCACTCAGAGATGTACCGTTTAAAAAATCACAACTGCAACCCGAATTAGACATCGTAAAAAGCTATCTGAGATTTCAACTAGCTATTTTTCAAAATACGGTTTGAATTCTTACCTGTTGACCATGTGATTGTGTAGTACCACAACGCGATCGAAGCACTCTTCCCACGCCGTCGGATCTCGCCGGCGGTTTATCGCAGGCTTTGGTTGTTGCTGATATCTACAAGCAAAACCATGCATATTCAGGTGACGGTAACTCAAAAATTTAAGGTTCCAGCTTCCAAAAGTAGTAATACAACCTTTGGGTAATCTAGCAAAATCAAGCACGATGCACTGAATTTTTGGTAACACGAAACTGAAAATTAGGAATAATCCGCATAATCAACGGAGAGCGAGCTATCCTCATGATAAGGCATAAAGCTGGTTCAAAAATACAAAACTTGTCGATAGTGGATAAGGTGAATAATAAGATTATAAGAGATAAAAAATTCGGAAAAGTATCACTGACCGTCTTACTTTTTGAAGTCCAATTTTTCCATCGGTTTATTTTCCGCCATTCGCTGAAATTCAGCTTTCATGAGATCCGTCTGCAACAAAGCTCTGATTTACTTATCAATCATGTCAGATATCTAAAACCTCGCGATTCGTAGGCACAACAGAAAGTTCGTAGCCATTACGACATCTATGTATGACGCGCCAATATGTAACGTCCAAAACGAAGCCTTATATGTACAATGCCACTCACAAATACACACAGGCGACAGATGAATTTTAATTTTCATGCAAAAACAATGACAGGAAAAGCAAGTACACTTGGGCACATGAAAATCGCCGTAAAATGTGATTAGTGACTAGTGACTACTGACTAAAGAGTTCGTTAAATATATATTACGCTGAAAGCGGACTGTGCCTACCTGGAAAACTTCGAATTTGTTGGACACCACATTCTGGAGATAGTCCTTCGTCGGACGATACCGCTTCATCTCTTCTTCCACCAGAGCCGTAACCTAGCCGACCAGATAACGGAGATTAAGCAATCCAACAATCCCACTGGGATGAGTGCTAGCAGAAACAGAACAACAACAAGGGCCGAATACCGCTTCGCGGACTCCTGGAGTGTCATATCCTGCATCAACATAAGGGAGTGCGTCCACAATCCCCGAAATATCCGCCATGTTTCCAACAAAAAATTACTGCAGTCCAACCTAAATACCGCTGAAAATGGTACAAGCCCGAAACTAAAGGTTGATTTCAATTTTACAAGGATGTCAAAAATTACGCTAAACTTCAGCTCTAACGTGCTCTTACCATTAGATGCTAGAAATAATGTCGAAAAATTTTGAAGGCATTTTTGCCTGGTAGCGTTGCGAAGCTGTGTGCGCCTAAAGTCTTAAACACACGGTTCGTCTCGTTACGCGCACAGTTTGTCACCAGCGTCCTGTGAAAAATGCAAGAATCGATCGAAAAAATCACAACATAAAGTCTAAGGATGACAGGTCCAGAATGGCATAGCAGATCTGTCAACTGTATCCCTTGGGTTTCAGTTTCCTTACTGCTTATACCAATATCGAGTAAAGTTCTGGCTCATTTGATAAGTATTGAGAACTCCCATGTGTGCTCACTTTGATGTGCGCGGTAGTTCCTTGTAAATGGTTACTAATTTACGATCGCGTTTTCCTGGATTAGAGAAATGCTTTACCAGTTGTGTCGCTTTTTTGATTATTGTGTTTTTGGACTTCGGTCATACTGTAGTGCGTGATCCAAGATGATTCATGATTGCCCCGTAATTCGAATCTGAGTGGCTACTTGCTCCTGAGTCATGGAGAAGTTATTCCTTGTTGGCAGCACTGCGCAGAAATTGCGCGAAGCGCATCTGGAAGATCTCCGACATCGAGATTCCCATCTGCCGTACGTGCTCGTGCCGTGTTTTCTTTCGCACCGTTGCAGTTTTTTTGTAATTTTTGGTGTGGACCAATTGCAGAACGGTGTCCTTTACAACGACATCCGGACGCTATGAGAACCTGGACGAAAGCAGCGAGGGTACGGGGACAGCGCGGGTGGATGTGGTCGCCGCGCGCAGTGCCAGCAGCACGGCAAGCGGGGATCCGTTGCGGAGGCCCGATGGGAGCGTCGGTGATTTTCCTGGTTAGTCATATTATGTGTATATGATTCGGGTTCACAGTTATTGTTGCATGAAAAGCAGTTGCACAGGTTCGAAACGTGTAATTTTGGCATAAGGCTAAATTCTAATTACTCATCGGCATGAAAAGATAATCATTGTATGAAATTTCATATAATTGCCCCATATATTTTAGCTGCTTATATGAGCAGTATTTTTGGCATTTTTTTAAATTTTTCATAAGAAGCCGAAATTGTGCATTTGTGGTAAAACGGCTGTCTGACGTTTATGCATTTCTTTCAGCAACCTTTACTGTTGATCAAGCCGTGGACAAAATTGGATTTGGCAAGTTCCAGTTGAAAGTATGCAAGTTGGCCGCATTGTGCAAATGTTTGTTTTGTATGACGTGATACAAATTGCTAACAGTACATTGCGCATTTTACATATTGTCAGCTTTCCTGTCTGGCTGGATTCGCATGGATGGCCGACGCTATGGAAATGATGATTTTATCCATATTGTCGCCGGCTCTGAAGTGCGAATGGGAGTTAGCCGGATGGCAGCAAGCTCTAGTCACAACGGTGAGGAAAGCAGAAAAATAAATACCCTGATTTTGCATGTTCTACAAGTATTTTCTGTAACTATGGCTGAGTAACCTCAATACTACCGGATTTTTTTCTTGTTAATGAAATTAAGTGCTAAAATATCTGTAATAGTCTATCGTTATAATACATTGTTCACATGCCGCCAAAGTTAACTTTACCTGGTGGCAGTGAATTTTACCTAACGGCTAAGTGCTAACTGTAATAATACTACACTGTGCACTTTCCGAGGTTTGATATGACATTTTGATACGGAAGCTCCGATACGAACGCTCGCGTCGCGGTATGAATTTATTCGCAGTTGGTCAAAAAATTATCGCCTTATGTTGAGATCAACGAGATAAAATTTTAGCTGATTTGGTTTCCTTCCTCGGTTTCCTGTTCTTGTTTCTTATTTCAGAGTGACTAGAAAATACTAGTGGGAGTAATGTAACAATTTGTACGTTTTTTTTGTAGGTTGTGTTTTGCGGAATGATGATGTCCAGGTATTCTGTTCTGCACTGCCTCCATATACATATGTCTAATTCGTTCTTGTTTTGGGATTCTGCAGTGCAGCTTGGGGAAAGGTCTCAGATCATTACGGTCGGCGCGTAGTAAGTCGTTTCTGCGTTTCACTTGGCCGAACGATGAATGTTTTCTGCTTGCAGGAGTTACTCCTTTGTTCTTTCATTACTTTCTTTTATGGATTAATTAGCGCTGGTGCGCCTAACTTCCTTTGGCTGCTTTTTCTCCGCTGCCTTGTCGGTATCGGAATCGGCGGAGCACCGCAATCGTAAGACGGGCGGTGCAGTTTTCTCCTGTGATAATGCTTAAATGCGATATTTTATCTTCGGCAGTGTGACACTTTATTCTGAATTCCTGCCCTCGAAACAACGAGCAAAATGTTTGGTTTTAACAGAGGTATGAATATTACTATCTTTCAAAATTACAAGGCTTGTCGTCAGAATGAGAACGTTTCCACAGAATATATATTGTTTGAACGCCTAATTTTAATGGTTGTAGATATTTTGGGCTCTGGGTTCGTGTTTTGAAGTACTGCTAGCTTTATTTATCATGCCGACGCTGGGATGGCGTTGGTTATTGGGCTTATCGTCAATTCCTCTGCTTATTTTTGACATTGCTTGTCTGTGGATGCCCGAAAGTGCTCGGTTTTACATGGCCAGTGGGCAGACTGATAAGGCGTATGCGATCCTGGTGCGCATTGCCAAGGAGAACGGGGTTGCTATGCCGCCCGGGGAACTTGTAACAGATGCCGGAAAAGCTAAGGATACAGCACCCAGGGGACGATTTCTTGATCTTATTGGACCGGATTTTCGAAGGACCACGTTATTATTGTGGACTATCTGGTAAAACCAAACGACGATAAGTTGCTTCGCCGCCCTGATTATTATGCGTTTTGTGCCAGCTGTGCTTTCAGTTAAATCCGCACTGATAGACTAACTGAAGTAAATATAGTGTTTATTTGATTTTAGTTAGAATACCGCCATTTAGTAGTCGGCAGTATTCCGTTTCTGTGAAAGCGTAGTTTATTGTTACAGGCTCGGTAACGCGTTCAGTTATTATGGCGTGGTCCTGATGACTACGGAACTACTAGGCGTGGGAGACACCTGCCATGTTGGCACGGAAGCGGCTCTCCCGCTTCCAGCTTGTGATTTGGAATGCCGAATGCTGACCACAGCTGACTACTGGGATCTTCTGTGGACAACAGTTGCAGAATTTCCTGGTAGGCTGGCTGCTTTACCACTATATGTTTCTGATTGTTTATGCTGTTTACCATTTCAGCTCTCTTCATCACTGCATTAATTATTGGTGAGTGTGCTTTAGTAACTTATCATGGCTCTAGTGCACTTCGCAGTATTATTATTTTAGATCTCCTTGGACGGAAGCGAACGATGGCATTGGAATTCGTGGTGTATGCAATTTTTGTTTTCTTGCTGTCCATTTGTACTTCCAGGTAAGCACAATGTGTATATCTATGCATTGATTTACTAAGTAGTCGTATTTTCAAACGCTAGACAGTATTGTGTAAAGGAACTGAAAGTGTTATGGACCGAACTTTCAGGATTCTGTCGCTTACGTTGAACTGTTGGTTTTTCGTCTTCCGAATTATTTGAACAGTCGTTTAGGCAAAAAATAGGTTTTTGTACGCTGGCTTTGCTTGCAGGATAATTATGACGCTCTTTTTATTCGTGGCTCGGGGATTTATATCAGGCGCCTTTCAAACGGCGTACGTGTACACACCAGAAGTGTATCCGACTTCCATGCGGTCTATCGGATTAGGAATGTGTAGTGCCATGGTTAGTCACGACTGTAGCAATTGCACTGTAACAAGCAATTGAAAAAAGGTTAACTCCTAGGCGCGCATCGGGGCCATTGTGACTCCCTTCAACTCGCAGGTGATGTTGAATTATTCTGTGTATGGTGCCATTTGCATTTATGGAAGCGTGGCGTTAGCCGCTGCTGTCGCATCGTTATTGCTCCCGATAGAAACAAAGGGACGCGAAATGAAGGTATTAATATGTTGCTCTTTATTTCTTTTTTTTAAAGTCATAATGCAGGGTTAAGCAGCAATTCCTGACTACAAATGATTGTTTAAGGATACACGAGTGGCGCATTGATTGGAATGACTGATCAGAACCTGCAGCAAAGAATCTGGATAATATGAAAATCCCGAAATTGAATCTGCTGTGCAGTGTGTACGGTGCCAATCCATTCCCAGTGAATCTCCGTTTTTGCGTTTTATTTTTTCATTTGTTTTAATTTAATTCTGGTGATCTTACTGGTATCCGAGAAGTCAGTGGAAAAACGTCGCGAATGTGATTTTGCAAACGAATAAACGTTTTTTTTTTGCTTAAACTTGTTATTTGCAAAACAACCATGGAAAAGTTTCTTAACAATTGTTAGATGTGACGATGTGACTGCCAATTCAAACAGCTGACTTCGTAGGCGTTAGGACTGCCTTTGCACTTTACGGCGCCGGAACGCTTGACAGCATGAAGCATTTGGTTAGGGATGTGTATGGTCGCGGGAAGCTAATGCGATCTGCGGGTTGACCTGGCGTATGTACGAGTAGTTTTGGATTAGCTTCGGATTCAGAGTAGAATCCTTCGGCTATTACAGCAATTTCGAAATGGTACTCGATGTATTTGTCCAGGCCGCTGATGGCTAAAGAGGGCTCCGAAGGTTCTGTTCCAGTAGAATTCCACTCGTCTCTGGATGCGTTCTTGGACTGATAACGACATACCAATGATGTGATATTTACGTCATTCAGATTGTTTGTTCAGCTGGGCGACACCTTTGCCAAAGCCATCAACTGCGGAGGACCTTGTTGACCGGCAGTTGTAGAGGTCCGGCCGGGATTGCCTTGCATGTAGTGGACAATGTCCAGCAGACCTTCGCCAGTGCAGGGCTCTTTCGACACGGCGATAGTGAATATCAAATGGGGTTTGTGCCTTTGTGGCCGTTGGTGGCAGAGACAAAATACTGCAGTGTTGAACGAGCACCGTTAGCTTTACTCTACATAATATTGCCATCAAAAACCACAGGCTGATGTTATTCACCGGAGATTTACAATGATTTATGTTTGAAATCAGACACAGAAGCATCCTTCAGACTTTCTTTGTAGAACATCAGAAAAACTACATCAGAATATCCGAGTTTATTCAACTCGGTACAAAGCCGCCCTATCCACACAGAACTGAAACGGCTTGGCTGGACTACAAAATTTTCCTAAAAACTCATCGCCTTTTTTTTACAAACCATGTCCTGCACGCAGTATTTCCGAAGGCGGATGCTTGGTATTAATGCTGAAGTCCGCTAGAACCGTTTCATCCGTGACCTTTGCTCTATACATAACTTCGGCTGCGAACTTGTGAGATTAATTCCATCAGCTTTCTCTGAACCGAGCTTTGTGAGTCGCTATGAAGCCACCGAATTCCCTTATATCGGCCTAAAGGAATTCAAGTTTGCCGCAAACTGGTATATTTTCTAACGACAGAATGTCCGATCGACAGGTATGGAACCGCTCCATAATATTATTTAGCTTTAGCGCCATCGCATCGCTAATAGGGACGAATCGCATCGCATCGCTAATAGGGACCGTTTGGTTGCTGCATGTAAGCAGAAAGTCCATCAGCTACAGTGACAACTGACAACCTGGTCGATTATTGAATTTTAACATCACAAATGCCGGCAATCCATGTCTCCCATTAAACTCGGTGTAATTCGCTCACTGGACAAGTCGTGATCAATTAACGACGGAGCACCGTCTTTTCGTGATCCGATTCTTTGGCGGTCTTGTTCAGCATCACCTGTACGTGTTGGCACCGTATAAGCGAACTGCAGTAACCATGTGGTGGAGCACTATTACTTTTAGGCTATTAATTTTATGTTTTGTGATCCACCGTACATGTACAGAATACTACAGATAGTAATGTATATTAACAACGGTGTACAAATTGTTTCGAAAACAGATGAAATCAGATATTTTTATTTTTAGACAACTCAACCAAATCAACTGTAGTCTGTAGATCAACTTTAACAGGCAATACCCACCAAAATGACATAATTAAGGTGCAAGCGCAGGCACACTACTTTTATCATTAGAACGACAGTGACTTTTAGAATAACATGCTAATACCTAACAAGGTCTTACTTTCTCATTAGTGGTTTACCGTACAATCAGCTCCTGGGAGATCTGGCGCTTGCAGATCAGGGTTCACTGGCAATAAATTGTTCCGTTTCCAGACATGTCTGTAGTGAATTTAGTAATTGCCTGTCATAATGTCACTTATACGGCCAGCTTGAAAACTTGAATGGAATCTGGCGGAATCTTATAGACTATCAGTTTGTTATGAGAGCACCTACGTCGACGTAGTTCATTAAAAGAATTGCTTTAATGATTTGTCATGTTCAGGATTGCTGGCCAACGAAAAAATAATGAACTCCTGCTCGCTAATCCATCTTGATAACAAGGATAAGATACATCTTGCTTCTGTGACAGTTGCGATCAAATTAGCCGACCACTAATGGATTAAGACACGAAATGTGATCTGCAAGGAATGCGATACTAAAATAATCACCTCCATCCATCTGAATAAACGCTGTGCATAAATCACACTGTTTAAGCAGAGACAAACTTAGCATTTCCGTCTAGATTTCTACCGATTTATTTACATGTTTATTAATCTTTGAAGAGTTGGAAAAGCAGCCGTTTTCGGCATGGTTAGAATCTTATTTGAATTGCTGAGCCAGCGCTGCGTTCAAAATAGAACGATTTGCATAAATATATTAACTGTTATAATGTACAATATAATATGTGTATGCTTACAACTATTATTTTGTACGATATTTTCGCGTGCAAGTGTCTTGCAAGTTTGACATATCTTCCTGGTAAAGGTGGGCAGAATTGTACACAATGCAAATATTGTGCTCGATCGTACGATTGCGCTGGGTATCGCAAAGGTAAATTCGCCAATGACCACTGCTTCTACGAGAAGCCTTTTACAGAACCTTACCCAATTTTGTTTAAAAAATGCTGCCCATGTTTTCTTTAGGTTTTGAATGAAGCGCGTTGGATTTTTTCGTTCTGGAACTTCTGAACAACTGCTGTCTCCAGCAAAGACATATGTGTGTGTACTTGCTAGCTGAATAAACGTTCGACTCCGTACAATCTATCCTGTTTTCTTAATGAAAGAAATTTCCGATTTCAGCACACGACGAGCTGTCTTGTTGTGTGTAAGTTGTAACTGACACGTTTCACAATATGGGAGACATCACAGTTTGGACAATTCGTATGTCAGTTCGAATGGAGAGTGCTCAGCGATGACAAACGCTCCTAGCGTCAGGTCACAAATGGAATGTCCAGAATGGATGCAATGGCCTCGGTCAAATGAGGTCTCCTTCACAAAGGAATGTATGAAACATGCTAATTTTGGGTAGTTTGTCGCCTGTGCGTTATCTAATATCAACATCTTAATGCTCTGGATGACACTCATTGATTTACCACTGCAGCACCAGTCGGCTAATTACCACAGCTGATTAATCGCCTTTGGCCTCTAGAATTGTCCTTAATTGACCGAGAATAAGCCTCCAATACGAGCACTTTCGCAAAATCAAGTTGCACATTTTGTTGCTGTCAGCATGTGCACTTTAGTTTTTCTCTTAAAATTATATTGTAGCTGTTATTAGCCGATTAGTGGGTCTATATAATACCAATACAACGAAAGTTTTGGCGTAAATTCCAAGACAAAGTTCAAGAGTCTCATACGTCCCATGGTTATGCATAAAAAACGCAACGACACGAGGTCACATGTTCTTTGATTGTCGTGATGCGTACTGGTTAGCTAATGTCAGAATCCGTTACCAGTTTAATAACAGCTAATCCTGCTGCATGCGTTCGTCGTTTTTCGAAAAGCTTCTTGTCTGTAAGATTGAATCACAGCAGGAAACTAGAGCTAGGGAATATTTTGTAGTTAAAGAAGATACACTTCCGCAAACTATTTTGTTGCACGTTTCCATCTATCGCGACCGACCGTAACTACCGACCGTAACTACCGTATGCGCGCATAGTCACACATGGTCGGGGTGGATGCTTGCAGACGGATGCTACAGTTGGTTATTAGCTGGGTCGGGCACATCCTTCAACACAAAGGACCATCGCGCACTGCGAATCAGCATCCAATCCATCAGCTGACACCATTTCATTTCATCCGTATCGCCACCTCTGCCGCTGTTTATTGAGGCCTCTTTCTTCCTGGCCGATGAAAAGCGTCTTAAGGTGGCATTTTCGTGTAGCGCACTGCGCACATATGTGCAAATCAACTGCCAACTGAATGTTTATTTCACACCCGGTTGTTAAAGTTGCTGTACCCGCGTGGACGACCAGTCGCTGCTGTCCTCTGATGCGAGAATATAAGACAACACTTCCGTTCTCAACTTGCACATTTTCAGCCGGTCTTTTACACAGGCGATTATTTTCTTCGTTAATTCACTAACAAGGTGTTATTGGCTGAATAATTCTCTCCAGAGACCACTGAGTGACAATTGTCTCCAAATGGATCCTACGGGCTTATTTAATAGTGGCACTTTGTCGGCCTTTCAACGCACCGGCCCAATTACTACCGCGGCTGATTTCCATCCTTATCTCGACTGGCTGGGATCATTTCCTGTGCCCACTATTAAAGAAATGGAAGGTACATTATTAAATTTTTGTACTTACTGTGCGATGCGGTACATTTTTAGGTCACTGCATCGTTTTCTTACAGCATGTTCGCACCCCGTTATAACTTTTGGAGAACCGCTTTAATGTGTCAGTGGGATATAGAAAAGGTCATGCGATATAATCTGTTGTTTATAAACCGTTATGTGGACATATTAAATCGTGTGTCACAATATCTTAAGTGAAAATTAATCTGTTGCCATAATATTATTTTATTTTTTACGTGTGCATTGGCTAGGCATATTCTGTAAGGAACAGTGAGTTTTGGCAGAATTCAAACTGAAATAATATCCTTTTCAGTCACATTGTTATTCTTGAAACTAAACATATCAGATTTCGCCAATATGCATTATTACAGTAAACAAAATTCGTTAGCGTGTTTTCTTTCATCGTGACCATTGCAGTTGTGAATGTGGAATACATATGTATTTATGTATCTGTTTTGTTTAATATTTCCGCAGCAAACTATTCGTGAGTTTAATTTTTAACAAGGTCAGTGTATCCAGATCAGTATCGTTCGGCCGTAACTAACTTGCTACTGCCACCGCGGGTCGTTTAGGCAGCAGTTTATCTCCGTTCCACATCTTTACATCCATAAACATGTTATGCATATTTTTATCCAGCGCATATCATAACGATCAGCGCAGCGTTATTAATAAACTGTAACGATCACCCATACTGCGATTCTCAGGCTCACACTACGCCTTTACAGCCAGAAAACTCATTCATTAGTTCTGCTCGATCTTCAAACTACAGCTAGTTTCCTGCAAACGACACAGTTGCCGTATGACAGTACTGTGACCTTTCTTTTTCTAGCTTGTCTGATGAATGCCACACAGGGAGCCAGTTCGCCTCGCGATCGAATTATGGCCGAACTGGCATCAGAGAAACGGAATAGTCCAGCGGAGAAATTCATCACATCGGAAGAGAATGATGAGGACGATTGCAGTTCGGAAGATGAGGAAGGCTCCAAATTACCCAAGCCAAGAGCGCATGTAGGAAAAAGGGACGGGAAAAGGAGCTCGACGTCGCCTACGCCGCATCAACCTTCGGAACAACCGAAGCCGCTCCATCCAAAACTCATGACGGTGGATGCGGTGCTCGAGACGAAAAACTTGTGGGATGAGTTCAATGAACTCGGGACGGAAATGATTGTTACAAAGGTAAAAGAGCAATGATTCGGAAATGTAAGAAAACAGCGTAAACCGACATTGCGAATATTTTTTATAGTATTATTCCATAATTCCGTTATGCTGTTATCTTGACCGACTTGTAGCTCATAATGAGGCGAAAACCGAAAAGGCTCGATGAAATTTATGATGTTCACTTTAAAAAAACCAAGTTTTCCAGCAATAACTACTGCAGTAGGCATAATGCAGCCGCAGACTGTAAGTAAGATCGAAACCTACGACCGGTCAAAATGTTAAACCGTACGTTAACACAGAAAAACTAATGAAAATTACCGCAAAAGATTGCTTTGCTGCTAAAACTGGTGCTTTTGCCTACAAATTGTGCTTTGGCAGCTACTACTAACACCGATAAATGATTGGCTAAATATGACTTGTACCAATACAAACTGAGTCGCTTTCAAACAGTAACAAAACAAATAAGGCAATGTTTGGCTGTTTTTTTGCTGAATTATTACGACAGTAGCTTTACTGATTAACGTTATTCTTATGGTTGGAAATTACAACATATCCCTATTTTAACTTAAGCTGTGTTTGCCCCAGCTCTAAGACTATGCAGTATAATGAGTATTGAGTAAGTATCAACTGGACTGAACTGCCTTTAATACTTTGTATTACAGCCATACCAAAAAGGAAAAACCTTTTACTAGTTTGAAAGCTGCCTCGATTATGCCTTAACAGACTAGATGCACTTTGAAGTTTGAATGGTAGCCCCTTTTTTGTTGTTATAGAGAATGCATAAAATACAATAATTTGTTAATCAGCTTATAACATTACCGCACAGCAAGTCCTTAAACCAAACTTGGAGCGATTTAAAGCGAGTATGAATATAGATATTATTACATTCACCTTTAAGCGACTGATCATGGTAGTGAGTTATACTGTAGAACGGGTTGTACGTACTCATATAAAATGTAGTTTCAAAGAAAGGTTCTCGCTACAAGGTATGCTTCGTGATCAGGACGTTTTGGGTAATAAACTTTGAGTACAAATACAATAGATATTGTACGAGCACTATATAATATGCTCAGTATGATGCGACAGCGCAATGTAAAACGTGAATGTCTTAAAATAGATCGTCGCTTGCGTGATGCTGACGACGGTCGGTAGCGTCGTTTCGGTGGTAGAGCGATGATGTTGGTAATTGGGATGTTGATGTAGGCAGGTCGCAGGATGTTTCCAACATTTCAAGTCAAGCTGTTCGGAATGGATCCCAGTGCCGATTACATGCTGATGATGGATTTCGTACCCGTTGACGACAAACGCTGGCGATATGCTTTTGGAAGCAGTTCCTGGGTCGTCGCCGGCAAAGCCGATGCGGTATGTACACAGAGATAAAGCCTTAAAAACCCTTAATTCGTTTGTTTTCGTGATGCTGACCAATGACCATTATGCAATTATTTAAAAATATACTGCATTTATTTACAAGTATGGCAGTTACTGATTGTACTGCAGTTTTTTCGAATTAAGACATACTCTGCATATGTTTTTATTTGTCTTTTGTTTTCGTTCTCGTCAAAATCTTTTCATCACCAAATACTGGAATGGTTTTGGCATTAGCTATAGTGTGATACGGCTATAGTAAGTTCTTGGGATTAGCTAACATTAGACTCGCACTTTGAGTGCGGTAAGGAAAATGTTAATAAATGGTATGCCCAGGCCTCGTAGCTTGCCTTCTTCCTTACAGTTCCTATACGCTTTCCCGTATATAGTTACTGTATTCCGGACTTCGCTAAAACGCTGACTACAGTCTAGCCGTCTAGGAATAATTCTAGAATTCTCTTCGTTCATTCATTACAAAAGAGCGTAACGGGTTTCACATTAAAAATCCCGCATATTAATTTTTGGGCACTGAGGCACTGAACCAAGTTTACAGATTACAACAGTAAGCGATCGACTAAGATTTTGTTTTTCACAATACACAATGGATATGCATAAAAATGTTAAGAACGTTATTAGAACATGCCCCCAAGAATCCATGTCCATCCCGATTCACCGGCAAAAGGCGTACACTGGACGAAACAGGTTGTTAGCTTTGATAAGTTAAAACTTACCAACAACCAACTGGACGACAACGGACATGTACGTACAACCTGACATTGCAAAGTTGACCTTTTTCGCACATATCACTTCCCAGCTCATAATCATTTAGCTTTTCTTCACCGCATCGTATGTACAGATAATCCTGAATTCGATGCATCGTTATCAACCACGTTTTCACGCCGTTTATGTCGGGAGCAAAGATGAGAACATGTCGCTGACGGAAAACTTTAAGACATTTGTTTTCAACGAGTGTCGCTTTTGGGCTGTCACCGCCTACCAGAACCATCGCGTAAGCGAGAAGCACATTCAGTTTTGCATCTAAATGCGGAAAAAGCTCACAATCTTGATGATTCTCTTGCAGATTACCCAGCTAAAAATCGCCAGCAATCCGTTTGCCAAAGGTCAGTTCTAAAACAAGGAGACCACTTTTTCCAAAACAAAGTATAGATGTGGTGACGACAATTTCTTGCTATTTTTATTGCAGGATTTCGAGACTGCGATACAGATGACTGGTACAAGAATCTCTTTATGAAAGCGTTTCCAGAACCTATTTGTTGAGAGGGTAGTGGTTTTTCCGCAGCTCGGTGACAGAAGTGTTGACAAATTCACAACAAAGCCAACGTCGCGTGGTCGAGTCGGCGTCAGCCTGCATGACACGCCCATCGCCTTATCCTTTGATGTCGCAAAGTGCATCTCCCGGGACTATGTCTTCCGCTGCTTCCTTTTACAGCCAATTCAAAGCTACCAAAGGTCAGCAACAAGGGACCCAATACCGTGATGCAGGAATTTGCGCCTGCGCTTGTTATAAGAAGTCGAGCTATTTAACTTTTTACGGCGTATTTATTGCATATTTGATTTTCTTTTAGTTTGCTTTACAAGCGCAGAAAATGGTGTTTTCGAAACAACGCATCAGTATGATATGGCTGCATGATAATTATTATTCTTTCTTTCAGACACACTAAACGGTTCAGCTGATCTTGTGGCCAGGATCTTCAATCCTCCGCTGTCCAGTGACGCAATCCAGTCGGTTCAGTTCAGCTCCGGAAGTCCGCTTTCTCCACAAACCACACCTACCTCCCCGACATTTACCTATGGAATGGATGCCTACACGTCACCCTATACCGGTTCCGATGTCTGCTCGTACATGAGCAGCGCAAGCCTGTCGTCGCTACATAATCCCAGACCCGCTCCTTATCCGCGACCGTCATCCGTTTATCCTTATGGATACTATGGACAAAATACCGCACGACAACTGGCATCGTATAAATACCCCTGTTCGGGGCATCAGTATTAGCTGTACTTATTGTTTTACATGTCGGATGGCACTCTTGTTGCGAAGTTAAAATTTATTTCACCGTAGCTGTACATATTAATTGTAAGTGCTCGTGTAAAACTACGAACTGTCAAAATACTCTATTTAACTGTTGCTTTTTGCTGTTGTTTTTTTGTTTGACTTCAGAGGCTGTGACCGTCGTACATGGAGTTTGGTATAAAAAATGGTTTTAAAAAGCTACATAAATGAAGTTTGTCAGTATTAAGCATAGCCAGTCAATTAGTTCCAATTACAAGTACTTACCATACTCCTGACTACTTCCGACCGGTCAGCCTCTAATATGCAAGCCTACGAAGTTCAAGTCTTGTTTTACAAACATAACTTTTTTCATCAATATATGCCGCGCATCATTGTTCAAAAACTCAGTTTATTGCACTAGTTTCTTTCTTGTTGCTTTACTGTACAAATATGACTTCACACTCAGCATAACAAATACAATTCTTCATGAGATCAGACCATTTGCTGCCACGAAAAAAACAAAATTATAATCTTCACAGTGTTGTATCAGTAAAAGTAAAATTTGCTGATAAAAAATGGAACCAAAGCTTTCGGCGGCACATTGGAACCAGGCCAGAGGTGTCTTCAATTCACCGGCGAGAAAGAGCGTGATACTTAACACGGACATATATTAAAATTGATATTCCGCCTCGAAGAGCTCAAGGGTATCAGCTGTACTTGCTCTTCTTTTTTGCTGCAGTCGTGCATTGACTTTCAGGAGGACAAACAAGGTTAATGTTAATATCGTTCCCATTATCACAGCAGCTGCCAGTCCAGCTAAAAACATGAAAGGCAATTGAAGGCGTGGGTGTAACCATTTTTTCTAATCATCATAACTGACGCTAATCCGTTTCATAAATTTATTTTACATAAAATTAAAGCTCTAAAGGTGATGTAATTAAGCTTAAATTTAGATGTTAAAAAATCTACCATGCTACATAAAATTGACATCTTTTCTTTGAACAAGTGGAAAATTTTAGGAAAATCTAAACCTGTTTAGAAAATTCGAATTTGGAATTGGTCAGCAGAAGTTTGAGTTTGAAATCAAATTACAATTTGCCAATTAACCCTTAGCATTACGTTTACACAATTTTAACCTTTTAGTAAGTTTTAAAAGAAGAGCAGTTTTGTGAACTGAAACGTGATCCATGATACGACCTTGATAGGCACCCATATGCATAGTTTGACACAAAATTTATGGCAACATCGTCATTTCTACACACTCTAGTCAATATTATTCTCCTTATGGCTATTTTTTTCATCAAGTACTTACTAGCCGTATTTGCCGTGTGATGAAGAAATGCGATAAAATGTTGTTTGTCCTCCGGCGAGAAGTGCAGCGCATTGTCCATGGTACCTTCATCCAGCATGACAACGTGTGCGTAAATGGCTGTTCCGGTTAAGAGAACACTGATCCCAGTTTGCATTAAGATCACCGCAATCAGTAAACATCCGCTCTTCATCCGCACCGCAAACTTCCCCATGACACCGGTTACCAACATGATCATGGCGAAGCACACTGTCACTGTGGAGGCCACACGCGACGTCTGGAACGCTAAGGGATAAATCCGGAAGAATGTCCCCGATACCGGAAATGAAGAAAATGCCGACAAGCCGATGTAGAAAAAATACAGGGACAAACCAATGTAAAACAGGTAGAAGACGTATAAAAATAACTGCAGCCAGTTCAATCCGATTGACAGACGTCGCTATATAACCAAAGAAGCCAAAATAGTTATCAACATTACCAGAATGAGTTAGGTAATATAAAGGGAATTTAGCTTTCCCACCCACGCACACATGCATATTTTATAATCAATTTAAAATTGTATTCACGCACGGTAAAGGTCAGGTTTGCAAGGAGGATGTTTTTCCCAATCAGGTAATTAGGTAGCGGAAGTTGCAACATAATTATAGCAACTAAATAAATTTAAGCATTGTTAAAATTAACAGTCAAGAAATGTCAGCCAATATTAATTCAGCACCTTAGCCTCTACACCAGACCATGGAACACTGTTAGGGCTATAGTACTTACTACTACTCAGTCAGTAATACCTGCATGGACGTTATCGATGCAAATCTGGTTACCAAAAGTTTTCGTATAAGAAAGTTTGTGTCAAGCCGTCAACTGTGGTTAACTTTTAATAATAGATGAATCAGCAGCTTATTCATGCAAGCAAAAGGGACAAACCGAGATACAATATAAAATTTTTGGCAGATTCGTTCAAAACAATAATTAACAATTCTGTGTAACAAAAGTATCCGGCCTATATACATAGTCCAGCGAGTGTGGAAAATCACGAGGCGCACAAACTACATACAATTATAGAGTTTATATCAGTACCTGATAGAGATCGACCTCCACGGTGTTGCATCGGAACCAGTTCATCCTGGATTGCGCTTGTGCGCGATCATCGGCAGCAAATCCTGATAATCGTTATGTTTAGCCGTAATCTTTCCACCTTTACCGTTCTTCGGTTGAAGAAATCCGAGAACTTGTGCAGTCTAGATGCTTTATTACTCCAGCATGCTTGTTCAGCACCGTCTTTGTGATAAAATCAAGAATATTACGCGCACAAAGAGCAGGTTTGTAATCCACAGTAATGTGAGTACCTTACATTGTCTACACAGTTGGTAGAATAATTACGCTGACAGATTGGTTTCAGGTGGCAAAGCTTGCGTTTCCGCTTTTTACAGTGGTAGTGATACCGTGAACGCCTGCGAGCGGTAAAATGTATGCATACGCATGTACTGAGTTCCACGCCGGACGGTCAAGACGGAAAACTTGCTGTACAGTACTTACAGTCTAACCTGCACCGTAGAATAAAATACGGTACATATACGATTATATTACTGTATACATAGAACGATATCTTGCTCGCACAAAATGTATGTACACAGAGCAAATTAAATACTATTGCCAAGCTTTATGGAGCTTTACGTACCTAAATCCACCATTCCACACCCAGCGCACAGCGACGAACAACACAACAAAAGTCGTATTTGTAATCCCAAAACGGCAGTGAATGGATTTATAAGGCCATTATAAAGCGTTAACGAATCTGTAGTCCAACAATCCCACAGCGGGAGTATCGACTTCGTAAAGGGTAGAAAAGCGGTTGATATGCTCAGTGTGAGCGTACAATGTACATGGGCTATACACCGCTGAAATCATTTTGGCACTCCATAATTCTACGCAGCCCTTGATGTGCGGTTTTTCCCATTTAATCAGTCATTTATTTCCCATCTGGAGGATTTTTGTTTAATGACTTATCCCTTACATTTTCACCTCTCAACATTGTTTACTCTTATGTCACAGCGCCTCTGGAGCCTGGACAAACGGGCGTCATAAATGGCAAGCGCGGTGTAATGTTGTGTAACTCGAGTTCTTCCCGGATGACCTTCCCTTTTCCCTGTCAATACTATTCTTAGAAACACTTTAACATTCTCTTAAGACTTTCTGAATTAAATCGTTTTTGCAATTTAAATGTACTTATCTACCAAATTACTACCCCAATGTATCAAATAATTTATTTAAACTGCCGACAAGCTAGACGCCAGCGACAGACAGACAGTCTGACAAGTTATTTCATACCTGTACCCCGATGATACCATACTACCAAACTCGTTAAAGATTACTGTGTTTTATTTTACGGGTACTCGTACAATAGGTTCTGCTTCTAATTTTTTAAAAGCGCACAGTTCTGTATTAACGAGTGAACGAATACCTATAATGCCAAAAAAAGCGTGGCAAATTAATAGCGGTTATTAATTTTTTCCGCAAGTCCAAACAAATGTTGTGTCAATTCAGATCTTTCGAACATCTATACGATGTTTTATATGACCTAAGTCCTTAAGTAACGAAAATGTTAAGGAAACCAGCCAAACAAACTATGCTAATTGGTAGCAAAGATAATTAATTCCGTTTCGTATAGTTACCCTACCCGATTACGCCTTTGCGCGCACAAAATCGTTACCATTAATAATTTATTTGTTGATGTAAATGAACTAAAAATAGTTAAAGCGATCGCAAGCTTCGCGATTTTTTAATTGCAGCACATCGCAGTCCAAGGAACGTGATTTGCTTTGAAATTTTATGCACGTTTCATGCAGTATGAAAATGCTGAACGATGTTTCTTACCATGTACTGAAATACAACTACTCGCACATATGCAACCATGATTCTTTCTTTGTATGCGGAAAACTAATCGGCAAGGAATAAATTAGCGCCGATCGAAGAGGAATTTTATAGGGCCGCCACAGGGCACAGTTGTCTAAGCATGGTCGTATTTATTTGATGGGCATTGTCATTCACACATTCACAATCGTATGTACCAAGCGCTTTTCACGCCCGCTTGATCAGTTAGCATTAGAAGCCTGTATTAACATCTAACGCGAAAAAGCTCGGTTTGGATGGGCTGGTTGGATTATTTCTTCTCTTGTTGAATTCACAAGTCAGTTGAACATGCAGCCAGCTTGCAGATGCGGATTCCAGCATAGAGCGTAAATCCCATTAGGCTTTTCATTTGTGTTTCCACCGAAATGACTAAAGATTACTGTAGCAGCAGAGAGAAAGATTATCTTTCTCTCTGGTAGCAGTGTCAGTGCGCAAAGATCCGGGTTGTAGTGTTGGCATATAGTGCGCTTATCATAACTCTAACTAAAGTTATGAATATTCTGACATGCAACTTGCAAGTGCATGCAATATGATGTAAATTGCAAGTAATATGATGTAAATTTCTCGACAAATGCTTGAACCAAATTCGTAAATATGTCTATCGTAGCTACTATAACCTTAATATAAGCATCAGTTATGGCTACGGAAGAGGACTGGCTTCTGAAACTGGACACGCTGAAGGAACTGAAACTACAACATGAAAAATTGAGTGCCCTCATGGAAAATGTCAAGAATGTCCACAAGCTGCAACAAACCGAGAGCAAGTGTCTTAATGATTTTGATGCGGAAATCAAACTCCTTAGGCAAGAACTGGATCGACACGTGGAAATCATCAAATTGATCAACAAAGATATCGAAGATGTATGTGAAAATACGTATACAGGTGTCTGCAGTAATATAAGTGTTGTCGGTTTGCCGGATTTTATTGTATTGAAATCCTTCCTATTTTGAATTATTATGATACACGATATATTGTACACACGAGATTGGATGATGCTCAGATTATCAGACATAGACATATGTATAACGCAATTTATTAGATAATGATAATAAGCATGAATAATAATTGACTTATTTGAACGGCGAGCGCGCTTGCCTGTTAGCTTATGTAAAGATAAACAGCGTGCGAAATTAAACACCAATACAATAAATGTAAACCATGAAATTACCGGAAGACCGTCGTTAAAATCATAGAAGTGTTGAATTTAGCCTGAATTTAGCTTTTGTATTAGTATTAAAAAGTGTTCTGCTGTAAGTTTCTCTCGTATGTGTTGTTTGTCAATTGAGTCAATTCCCTAAACGATTATAGGATACTTAATTTAGACCCTAGTTTTTGTAATGGCAAAAATTATTTTGTAAATATCTCTGGCGTAACAAAATGTCCCCATATAATATAAGAGTATCTGTAACCGAAGGTGGCTTTAAAAAATCATGATGGCCGGTGTAATATGTATGCAGCTTTTTTATGACAAAAATTGTTATCGGGAACTCAAAATGAAGGTCTGTTGATACCGGAATTTGAATACCGCATGATGCACAGATATCCACACAAATCTATTGTATATAAAGAATGACGCGGTATCTGTACGTATAAAAAAAATTAATTAAAGCACTTCTTGCAGATGGATCGTATACACAAGCAAAGCAAGGAATACAGGGAAAAATTGAACCGGAACCTTCATGAATTGCTGGAGGAATATGTGCCTTTGAATGAGAATGTCAATAAACTCAGATCTGCATTGGATTTGGAAAGGCTACCTGAATTGGCGGAAGAGGGAATTCAGATACCAGCATCGGTTATCGCGGCAGCTGCCAGGTGAGCAGCTTTTACTGTGCGGTTCACAGTCGTTGTTGTTTTTACGACCAGACTCAGTATTGACTGCGAGTTAGAAGTATGGTAATAGTATTCGTTTATTGGTATATAAACGTGCTAACTGTCGTCAGTTTTCTCCTGTTTGTTAGTTCAGTATAAAGACTGTGGCGTTACTTAAATTAATATCGGTATACTTATTAATTAAGCTTTGTCATAGAAAGAGAACCCAGTAAACCTTTTTTACGTAATTGTTTTTGTATTGTACTGTTTGGCACGTTATATTGCAAAATCTTACTAGAATCTTATTAGAATTATTACAGGAAAATTTTAATTAGTTTTGTTCGATATTTCAAAAAGTTATGGTTAACATAGAATTGTAAATTTAGATTTTATACATATGGAGGTAATTCACCGCCACTTTCTTATTTCTAGAAAATTGCTGCTTAAATATAAATATTTGTTACGTGGTACTGCTGGCACAAGCATATACGACTGCAGCGCAGCTACGAGGATTACCGTAATTATCGAATTTGTGGCCCTGGGGTGCGAATAGTTCGAATGCCATGGCGGAGGGGCTTATTTCGGGGAGGGGGCGCAATTTCGGGGGGTGGCATTATTTTTCAAACGGTATATTTCGGAGATCGGGCATTGTTTTTCAAACAACTGCGCATCGTGTTCTAGCGAAACTGAATACAGTAGTTACCGGTATTATTGGCGGTATATATATGCAACTGCCCAACCTTGGGAGCAACATTTTAGAGTCTATACCTCTTAATACAGCTGTATGCCAACGAACACCGCATTATATTGATGTCCGTTAACTGTTTCTCATTAAATTACAACAACTTTTGCGGCTAAATTTTGCGGTATACCTATCATTTTGCGGCGCTCGACAATTTATTAACGGCTCCCTGGGGCGTAATTTCGGGGGTGGTCTTATTTTTCAAACAGGGTCGAGAAAGGGGGCTTATTACGGGGGGGGCTGTTATTGCGGGGAGGCGGGGCAAATCCGATAATTACGGTAAGTTCGAAGCAATTTTTTACTTTTCTTAATCCCACGAAGCCAGTGTGTATTCATGTTAGCAATTTTCTATGTTGCTGTGCAGGCACGAACAATTTTCCCGCTTCCCTGGTGGCTTTGCGGTCAGCAGTTCCGGTGACCTTGGCGCATTTCATCCTGTTTTGCCGTATAACCAAACGCATCCGCCCATGCAGCCTCTCCCGCCGAGCTCGCTTAACTCAGCCGCATTGGGAATCTGTGATTCCGGCTTTCGTCAAAAGCAGCCTCCAATGAAGGTGCATTACAATAATAATTACGGCATCGAATTCCTTTGTTAGCTCAGTACGCTTGGAGCGGCTAGTACTGTGTATCTTTGCCGCCATTGTTAGTATCTACAGAGTAGAAGCCAGCTAGCACTCCATCAGCGTTTCGCTTCATGAAATTTATCGTTTTGTGAAAACTTTTTTAAGCATCAGTACTGCCGAAATTCGAGCTTGTTCATTAATATTGGTGAGAACATAGCTTACGCATACAGAAAACAGACTCCATATTCGCATATAATTATAATATATATACATTCGACCTTTTTTACAGAAATGTCCAACCTGCGGTAACGATATCCACAGAAATGCACCGATATGTCCTATTTGCAAATCGAAAAGCCATTCAAAAAATCCGAAAAAGTCTAAGAAGAAGCCGCCGCCTCCCAATTAGACAGCATCGGTACTCAAAGGTGCATCTTCCAGAACACTGACTGCAGTCATTGTACAGATACAGTACTACTTACTGTCTTATGAGCAGTGAAAGACGTGAAAAAGTTTGCATTGTTAAAAATCTCCTTAAATGCGATGTCCTCCGATTCGATGTCCTTGTGCACATTTTGTTGCTGATATATGCCTCTCAAGCACGTACCGCTCATGATAAATAATGCTGTTGTCGCGGCCTGCAGTTTATTATGTACAAGTCCTACGGTATGAATAGTATTGATTACCATGACAAAATAAAAAAATATAGATATTAATCTGTAATTATGCTAGCATGTATGTACAAGTATATCAATACTTACGGTATGTATTTTTACATTGTAGTATCAAAGTCTTTATAGTAGTTTTATATAAACACATAACACACAAAAAACAGATATGGTTCAGTCAGCTTCCAAAATAGGTATTGTACTCGTATGTGCTGCAGGTGCTATCAGCACGTATCTACAACTTTTGCTGGACTTTAAAGGGAAACCGCACATTTGGTTAATAGTTTGACGTACATACATATACATGCACAAGTACAGAAAACTTTAAGGCATTCTCTATCAGTGATACGAATATTGTAAATCAAGCAAAATCAGCTGAGCCAGCAAGATTATTAACCTCGACGAAAAGATTGCCGCGTTGGAAGCCGGTTGAAAGTTTAAACTCACACATCACAATCAGGTTTGCCGTTTATCGAGCATAGGCCACCTGTTGAAGGGAGACAACCCATAGAAATACGGTACGTACAAAATTATGAATGCATACGACTGCGATTGAAATGCCGATAGGCGATAAAATTATAGCATTCGAAAACCTGCACATCGATTCGTTTATGGAGAACGTATACCGCAGTTCCTGCATGTTAGCAAAAGAACTTCAGTCATTTACTAATTTACACTGATTTATAAAATCCTTCAAAAGTGGGCGTTATTTTTATTTGTGTTTTTGATAAACCGCAGGCATCTGAAAAATGGCCATTTTCCAACGCATACGGGATTTTATTTATTCCGCATACTTCCTGGCCCACTTGGGCTTCGCTGCAGCTTTCGATGCGCAGTTAGTCTTAGACCGATCACTTTTCCCGAAACAGGTATGCTGCAAGAGGGGTACAAATGACATTGGTCCAATGTCAAGCTTACGCAAATGGAACTGGATACGTTCTTATAACCATTAATAACTGTTTTTTATGTACTGCATCATTTCTGTTCCCCATAAACTGCAGGTCTGCTTGTTAATTTTAGCTGGTTGATGCGCTTGACCAATATGTGAAGGAGTACAAAGATCCGTTTATTGCCAATCCTCCGCACTGGTTCAAGTCGCTGCTGTACGTGGAACTGGGCCTGCAAGTCCCTTTCCTGTTCCTTGCATTTTTCGGCTCCCTTGCAGGTAAATCTGTATACAGTGTATATGTTTGCTACTTTGGTGTTTTGCGGCTTTACAAATCTTTCGCACTAGAATAAATATTAAGAAAATAACTTTTACTTGTGTTTTGAATCTTTTCAGTTGGTTTGTGCCAACATAGCTGTTGTTATGTGAACTCACTATTGTGGAATATAATTTAAACCGGTTGCGATAATCAATGTACAGTCGAAGTACTGTTTAGTTCCGATATAGCGCACCCAACCATGTACTTGCTTACGCTAGTAATAATTTTATAATAGTGTTTATCAGGATACCCCGACCTTTTTTGCAATGATTATTACTGTGTTGTAGATACGAATCTTATTTTTATTGGTCTGTTCAATTTGTTAAGTGGCTGGTGCAGTCTTTTTCATATGGGCCATGGTTAATATTAATGATACAATATTATCATAATATTCTTACCGGTGTTTGCGTTTTAGGAGCAAGATGGATGCGTACACCCACTCTGATGTACTGCACCAGTGTTATTGTCATGGTACTTCCGCTCATCTCCCACATTATGCAAGGCACTTTTACCGGATCGGAAGTTGGACCTAAAACCGAAGACGAACGCGTGAAGCTCGCTGGCCTGTACGCCGCGTTCCTTGTGGCCGGTGTCGTTATCCTGCTGGACTACACCTTGCTGCGCTGCCCACGGACAACACCACCGACGCAAGCTCGCTTGCCCACTACCAAGGAAAAAGAGGGGAAAGATAAAAAGCGCAACTAGCGCAGCATGTGGATTCCCACCATTGTTGCAACACACTGAATGCAGTTTATAACATTAGAAGTTTATTGTGCAGTGCACATGAAAAAATTCTAGGCTGACGACGTTGCACCAGCTGATTGATTGTACGGGTTACGGACTAAGTTTGATTTTTACGTTTTTCAATTGACAAAGTTTTGATAACACCGCAAATAAAATACTACCTTCAAGCCTGTGTTAAGGTGGTTAGACGAATTTTATAAATAAGCACTTTGACGACCATAGTCCAACTGATGTCAGAATATTGTGCTAGGTCACTTAGGTATCAACTTGTATAGGAAGTACTCGAAGCTATCAGAGAATAAACACAAAATTTATAACTTTACTTAACCATGGAGCAAAATTAATAGAAATTTCGAACGCTCGATTAGCATTGTAGTTTAGACCGAAAGCGGTTTCCCAGATGTCGTCGGTGGCTTTTACGGTATTTTATTAATAAACACATTTATACAACAACATTGTTACTTATCAAACAGGACATGATTTATAAAAATACAAAATACTCGTATAAAAGATAGTAAGACTTCATTACCACCAGATTCTGAGATAGCCCTACTATTAGTACTAATCGTAAGTTAATACTGTATTTCCGTACCACGCAGTTAGTTGAACGTACCACGCAGACGCAAAATAACAGCGGAATCGAAAACCGAGTCACGGTGACGTCGGTGAGACGGCGGAAGTGAGCTCACATCATGACAGTTAGAACCACAACATTCGATAGCAATCAATCAGGTCATTTAACGGAAAAAACGCGTGACATACCGTAATACATACTGCATTTTTTAAATGACGATTTTGTTTACTGTGGTTGTGTTTATTTTGTTATTTAGATGTAAGCATCTCAGAGAAATTTAAATCCATCTTTTGCTGTTATTTTTAATATGGTAGTATAACACTTAACAGTACTGAGCATTGCAACGAAATGCCTACAGAACGCAACACCTCGTCTTTTCTCAGTTTGAGTTCTGGCAATGGCCGTTCTAGTCGAGGTAGTGGAACTACGAATTATAGTCAAACGGAACAGGAATCACTGGATCGCATACGCCGTGAAAAGGCATCCCTTCTTCAAGAAATCAAAACACTGAAAGATGAAATTGCTGATTGTGACTGGATTATTGAAAGACTGGACGTGGACGAGGATGGGCGGCCCAATTCTGAGCGACAATTTCTGATGCTTGGCAAGAAAAAGTTTAACTTGGATCCCAAAAAGGGCATCGATTATTTGGTGGACCACAAAGTGCTTCAGTTCACCGCTGAGGACGTGGCTAGATTTCTCTTTAATGGCGAGGGATTGGTTAAGGCAGCGATTGGGGACTACCTTGGAGAGCCTGATGCATTCAATCAGAAGGTACTAACAACAATGTGTTTTGCGCTCTTGATGTCAGTGTCACACTGATACTGTAATAATAATGTCTAAATATGGGTTTCTTCAGCTGAATTCTTACTGAAACTGAAAAAAATGCAGTTATGACATAAATCGATGACAGTGTGTGTGTGCTGCAGAATATTGAATGCAACTCATCGCTTGAGCATAATGTTTATTTTAATTTTTTAAGAATATTTCAGTACATGGTTACGGTAATTTTTACGTGAGTTTATTTTGCTTTTTGCGTACGTCCGTTTAGACGATACTCTGTAACAGAAATTGATTCTGCCTATGAAGTGCCATAATTATTATACTTATAACTTATCTCATATCTGTATAACATGAACATGAAATTGTTGGTATGCTTCTTCGTTGATACCTTTTGTACTTAATGACAGGTTCTAGAAGAGTTCATTCGGCTGCATACGCTTTCCAAAACCGATCTTGTGTCGGCGCTGCGGGTGTTCTTATGGAGTTTCCGTTTGCCCGGTGAAGCACAGAAAATTGACCGTATGATGGAGAAATTCGCGCAGCATTACTGCTCACAAAACGAGAGCGTTTTCGCTTCTGTGGATTGTTGTTACGTTCTCTCGTACGCCATCATTATGCTCAACACCTCATTGCATAATCGCGCAGTGAAGGATAAACAAACCGTTGAGAGTTTTATCAACATGAACCGCAGCATTAACGGTGGCGGTGATTTGCCCAGAGAAATGTTGGTGGCTATGTACGACAGCATTAAAAGCGAACAATTCAGGGTACGTAAAATTGTGCGCAATGCACTTAATGGATTCAATGGTTCTTTTCCGTTCAGCTTGGCCAGCTAATCGTTATCTCTCGTTTCACATCATTAGCAGTTTTCTTATTAATATTCTTCTGAAATACACAGTGGTGTAATGGCGCGGGTTACACTGTACTCATAATGTGATTCCGGTTTTTATAGATTCCGGAAGACGATGGCCACGAATTAGTACCGACCTTCGAAGATCCTGATCGCCAAGGATTTCTATGGAAGCAGGGTGGAAAATACAAGACATGGAAGCAGCGTTGGTTCGTATTAAACGATAGTGTTCTGTATTACTTCACTGCCCAGACGGACAAGGAGCCCAAAGGCATCATCCCTCTGGAAAACACTCAACTCCGTGAAATTGAAGATCGCGGTAAACCCTTCTGCTTCGAGCTCTATCTGCCTAATAGCCAAGTTGTGAAAGCCTGTAAGACGCAAAAAGACGGGAAGGTGATCACCGGCAGACATACCACGTACCGAGTTTCCGCGATGTCGGCACTGGAAAAAGAGGAATGGATGAGGGCCATTAGGTCATGCACGAGTGACAATCCCTTTTTGGGTATGCTGCAGGAGAGGAAGAGAAAAGCCCAAAAATTCTATCACGGCGTCGTACAGTGAACAAGTACAATTCTAGTGTACTTGTCAAGTGGTTGATCTTTGCTTCCGGTGGATAAATCTGTTTTGCTGTAATGCATTGTTGTCTGTTCTTTTGTGCCTGAAATTACGTTAAGTAACGGTGTCGCTCAGATCTGTACGAGTACAATGGCGGCTAGCAACTTTTTCACAGATGTTCGGCGATCTCTTACCACTGAGTTCGGTTTGGATTGGAACTGTTATGGAATCTTCCTGTTGACTTGTGCGTGTGCTGGGCCTTTCTTGACGTTTCCGTTTAGCTTCTGTTGTAATAGGAGCTTCCAATTCTTGTGGATTAGATTAAAATGGTTGTTCACTTTGTTGTGATCGCAGCAGAACCCGATGACATACCGTTAGATATACCACCTACGAGTACGATATTCTGGGAGATCGAGATTATTTTGACCACCCTTCAGTTTCCGAACTTCCTTCTTCATAACAGTCTTTACGAAGTTTCTCTAATAGTAGAAATACTAAACCCCGGTGACCATAATTATAAATTTACGATACATATTCTATTAGTTTGGCATTCGGCGACGCCCTCCCTTCGCTCTTAGTTGTACGGCTACGGTACAATGTAAGCCTACGGCTTTGTAATGTAAGCCTACAAATTAATTTGGAAATTTAAGTGGTGTTAGCTTGTGAGATGTGATCTCGAGCCGAAGATCTAAATTTGCGTCCCTTCGCTGCAGAAGCCCAGATTAACTGCACTCAGTTTTAAACACTCGAAAAACTTCTCATAATCTCATTATTTATTATTTCAAACAAAATCTATATAAGCGTCGCCTGTTAACAAGATCCTAAAACAGCAAAATTTCTACATTTGCCATAAAACGAAATCAATATTTCTGGTATACTCATACTCATACTGCCTGAAGAGCTAACTAATAGTTCAAGCCGTTGCTTGCGAAGATAAGAAATCCGAAAATTAAAATCATAACATAAACTGTAACTCACTATTTCTGTACAGGTCAAAGTATAAAACAGCAAAAACCGCATCTCTCAACCTACAACTCGTCGGATGCGTAATCTACGAGTAGGTATCACTCCACATCGCTCTCCTCATCAGTAAGGCGTTCTTCTTCGTCAACGTCTGCGATCGATCCCGCCGATGGAACAAACGGCTGGTAAGACACTTTCTTCGCGTTGCCAAAGACTCGGGAGAGAGACTTATCATTCGGTACCGGGCAACGCCTGTTAGCACAATAATCGCGGACAAGGCCTACAACGACATCCAAATAAATGTACTAGTACTTCTATACTTTCTTTGTTGCTTGAGTAAACATCTGGAGTGCCCCTGCACAAGAACCAGATATTTACCGACAGCTACCGCCAATCGCTCCTGATCTATCAATGGACGATGCGTGCTTCTCGCGCCACCCGGAGTTGCAGATGAGTTAGCTAATTCCTCTTTCGAAAAAAGTGTATGCAACGCCAATGTGAAAGCTGCAGATACGTTAGGTTGGTTTCCAATAGCCACCTGTAACCAAAATCAATACAAATTTAAAACCAACAGGATTTAACTGGCAACGTGTGGATGCAAAATACTACGTATAATATTTCAAGGAAAACAGAGTGTAAACAAGAATAAAAGAGAGTAGATAAAAGTAATTATTGTTATAAAATATAAATAAGTAAGAACAGAACATAAAAGCTGATGTGAAAAGTAGTGCCACGTGCAGCATAATATCGACATTTTTTTATTTATATATTTTGGTATTAATAATTTCCATTTCTGCTTGTAATAACAACATTTTACATCCATTCGGTTTTCAAGCAAATAATTTACTGTTTACCAAGTAACCAAATTTTCCCAACACTTCACCTGCAGTGCGCCAACCGGTACCCCCATCACAGATTTCAGCGCATCGATTTTCGGGGCCGGCGATTCTGGTTTGAACAAGTTACCGCAGAATTTCGGGAACTGGTGGCTTGCGCGTTTTTTCTACAATAAATACACTGGAAAATCACCGGAAACTCGAATACAATAATCAGGAAGTTAGAAGGATAACCGAAGTTAGAACGTACCACCAACCGGCTCACATCCGTCTCCGATTCAGCCCGACGACGCTGCGATCCCCGTACAATAGAAAGACGCTCAGCACGGGAGCCATGAGCCGGTCCCATCGAAGCCACAGAGCGTCCCCGCTGTCGTAAAGCAGACCGCAGAGGAGGAGATCTTTCCTCCACGGAACTCTTCAGGGGCATCAGTGTGTAGTTCGGCAGTGAGGCGCTGCTCTGCTCATACGGATGAGGCATCGGCGAACTTCCTCCGGAAAAACATTCCTCCGCATCTTCATCCATCGGCGCCGTCAGTCGGTCACGATAACGCGTGGGATACGGACTGTGGATGCCGCGACGGGGAGACGACGCCTAATAGACATGAAGCAGGAGAAATTTGTCGGTTTTAAATAAGAGAATTTCACCCATGCAAAAGTTCACCATCCACACTACTGTACTCATGTCAGTTATACTCCGTATCTACGAACAGCCTCAAAGAGTGATTCAACATTAGTCAAACACTATTTACCGGCGCCAGAAAACTTGACCGGGTAACTTTCCTCTGTTCTGCTTTCTTTTGTGTTTCTGTTCTTGGTTTCGGTGCCGTGTGAGCCACCTACAACGGTCAAGATGTAACCGGTGCGCCGGTACGAGTCTACGCATACGGGATACGGATATCAAACGAACTCGAGAACGGTAACAGGCAGCATGCGAATTGGGCATTGTGCGGCAGTTGCAAGATGCAGCACCAATGCCAGTGGCAGTAACCGTGCCATAAACAGAGTGTCCAGATTGTTAATAAACTGCGCATACAACTAAAATCACCGTATATATGACACTATGTCGGACTCGAGCACTGTACCTGCTGCTTTAGTTCATCGGCCCAACGTCGTCCCTTATCTTCATACATCTCCTCCCGCTCGGCTGAGAGCTCCGCGACGCGCAGCTCCTCCACAGTTTTACCTAAAACCCAGACACTGAAAATCGTATTGCTCACTGCCGCATTCCCATGTCACCCAGTAACGTACACACCACAACGGTACGTCGTGGTCAGGCAAATCACAAATGCGAACAAAACGGTTGCGGTGCAGGACAGAATGCCGTTTATTTACCTTTGGTTATGTGCAATACGATGCATCGGCTTTCCACGTTCCGATGTTTTCCCAGACAGACGGTCTTCTCCGAGATCAAGCCACCGTGGAGCGACTTCAGGTTCTGCAGAGGAACCGCCGCCACGAACGAAAACAACTTCGCTGGCTGCACTTCAGCCTCATGGAAAAACACCAATGCGCTGCCGTTATTTGATTCCATTGTCGCACAGCGAGCGGTAAGAGCGATTAGCAACCGAATTAGTAATTCTAAATACTAAAAGTAGTGACTATCAGTAAACGTTCAAAGTCAATTAAAAATTCTGGAAATTTATGATGACAACCGTTCCATTGTCGGGGACGCAATGAAATACGCAAGTGCAAACCAAAAGGGATCACCAATCACTACTTCATCGAGACGCACTGACGATGAGATTGGTCATCAACCTGAAAAACCGCGGAAATTCTAAATTCTCTGTGATCGGATGCACATGGTGAGACGAGAGCGACAAAATTGTACTATGTAAATAGTCCATACACGCTCGGCGAGCTTACGTTAGGAATACAAACCACCTACTACAACAAGCAGTCGCCAAGCTTGCTTCGCGCCAAGTATGAGAACTTGCCAAAATGTGAAGTATGGGTGTCCTGTGTCCATAAGACCATAACTATTTATTTATTTATTTGTATAAAAATTTACTGAAATTTTCAAACGATCGGAAGCGTTTTTAAAGATCAAATTGAATGTTAGCTACCCGGAACCGTCGCTGGATTGTTCAAGATTCAAGAGTTTCCCGGGTCGAACATACCTTTAACGTTGCATACACGTGGAAATAATTGCATTTATTTCATTTATAGAAGTACATCTGATCGCGATACATCGAAAATTTCGGCACTTCATGCGTATTAAATCAAATTATCAAATACAAACAGCGCGACTAACAGAGCTTTAAAACTGCGCAAACAGTGCACCGCAGTCCAAATTAAACAAAGGAATACAGAATTTGTGCAGTAACATAGTACTCTATAAAACAAATGTTTTGCAGCTTTGCAGGCAAAATTTATCGTCCGACAGTCTCTGTGAAAGCCAAACGAACTGCATCCGGAGACCACATTATGGCCGGCTCGATTTCATCAAATTCGAGTTGCCTCGACTTCCAGAACATCTAGAATAGGAAACGTAGAAGACAGCCATGTTGCGCTTTGCAATGCATAGGCTTACTGGCTGTGTAAGTAATCAGTAACAAAACTTACGTAGATTTCTATTAAAACTGCCAAAACCTTCATTCCGGATATTGTTCCACTGACACGGAAGGCCAAAGCGTTGTTGTCGTGGTCTAAGCACGCGCCGCTATCTGAGCAACCCTGCGCTGACCACAACAGACAACTGGAATCGATAATGCCGCCGAATACCAGCGGACTTGGAAACAGCGCTACGAAAGTAGTATTCACCTTGGTTATTAAATAAATTTTCTCAGTTTGTATAGCGACATATTTCTTACCAAGTGCAGCAACGCAAGTTGCCATAAAAATATGAGCCATTAACATCAAATCGGTAGGAACCGTTCTGTAATTATTCCAAGGTTTGGTAAAGCGATGACCTTTATGGAACATATTCATGTAGAATAAGCTTGGTGCCACGTAATCACATACGTGATTGTGCATGTATATTTATATCAGCCAGCAATAGAGATATACGTACGTCTGCAAGCCTTACCGATATATTAACATCACAGATCCAACAGTTGGTACAGAACAACTGAACAATATCAGGAACAATAAAAACACGAACGGCCACAGTTTGTTGCATAATATGCGACAGAATCCTTTTGGAAGGCGTTCCAAAGTTGTGCCTGCTGCACAGTGGCAAGATACTGCTTCTGCATGACTCTGTGGATGAAAACAGAACGACCATAAAGCAGAAACAAGAATTTTGCTGGCGTATCATTACGGCTTTAGAACCCCATGCCAAATTATTATGCGCTTATGTACTTACGCTATTCGTTGCCGGCGCTGGTCCACATCCAGCACGACAGGCCGAATAGTAATTGAGACCGGATGTCACATCACAAACTGGGCTAAAGACTGGATCATCGCAACTGCACTGGGAATTACATGGTTGGTTAATATCGATGACTCTGAAATTACATTGCTAACTTTATTGTTTGAGCGGTTCAGTGGAATCTCGTCTGCGACTGCTGCAATTTCGAGAAAAAATTATTACAGAAATGAGGTTCGCATAGTAAAATAGATTTTAAGATTTTTCAGTTTACGCAGACATATTTTACAAAAGCGAATGCCACCAGTTTCTTACCCGTCGCTAGTTCGCATTCCGGCCATTTGGCGCGAATCACAGCGGAAAGCAATTAGGACCAAGAATCCCACAAAGAATAATAAGGAAGTCAGCATAGTGATCAGCGTTGAATGCTTTGGTTTGAAATCACAGTAGCGATAAAGAAAACATCCCACAATGATACCGCAACCGGTGGGCAGTAAAACGGCGATTGCTGTATGTGATGCAATGAACAACTCAGTTAGCAGGTGCAATATTAAACGCGCTTTGTTGACAGCCAGGTTGCACAAAAATACAGAAATTGGTCAAGCGTGGTGACCAATCAAACATCTCTACAAGTTAGCTTACCTGTGGCAATGTTTGCTACATTTGGCTGAGCATAAAACTGGGCTTCCAGGTATTTTGGTAGAAATACATAAAAGCCTGCAATATTCATAACGACAACACGCATGTATCCGTTATGTTATACAACGTCAAAAACTATCTGGAAATAAGTCACTGACTTATTACTTACCGGAAAGAACAAATACGTTGATGACCACAGTAGCCACGCGGGTCATGAACATTTGATTAAAGACTAATTTCTTGACATCTTCTTTGACCACTACAAAAGGCATTACAACTGAAAAGGTCAAAGAAATGTAATAAGTAAGTGAGAGCATGAAGTTGCTTGGATCTGCTTGAGCCACACGTACAAGTACAGATACAAGTACACTCCACCCAGAACCACACCGTCACGCCAGCCGGTTGCAAATTTAAACAAAAATTAACTGCATGCGTAAGTACTCATAGAACGCAATACATACATACTCGTATTTGTATTTTGTATACGCAATAGTCGTTCTAATGCGGCTTACTTCGCAAGGATAATGGCTTCCGGTATCCGACAGGATTGGCTGACAGGTTGTGGACAGCGACACAGCCCTTTGGCGGCTTCGACTCAGGGTCCACAATTGTGAACTCGGGTGGAAAAAGCTGCGACACAATAATATAATTATGACATTTAGCATATTCAAATGCCCATCATACGAAAAAGAGTGTTTTGCAGAAGCATAACAGTATAAAGATGGTACAATTATGTCAAATTACGCGCACATTCGTATTAGGTTTAAACGTTGCGTAATTTCGGGAAAAGCAAACAAAATTCAAACTAGTTGAAACCAATTGCAAGCACAAAATAATGGCAGCGGCACGAAATGCCCAATGCCTTATTGTTAGAAGTAAAAACGTCTATTATACATTACAACCTTACCAACATAGGAAATGCAGCTCCGATGTTGAGCAACGCAATAACTAGAATTCCAGTGGTCACATGCCACGCTCGGATATTTAGCCAGCGCGGATCTTGATCCCCGAAGTTGATTACACCTACACGAATACAAAGTATAATGTATAATACAAAGTAAAATTGCATACGACTCGGGAACTACAAAGTTACAATCGATGCTTTGTACGTATGATGATCGAATGCGTTACTCGTCGCATCCTAACAGTCTTGGTAGCTGAGAATACAACGGTGTTCCGTGATTGTGCGAAGTACAAGTACCTGCAGGTGAACTGGCGATGGTGGCCGTGCAAAGCGTTCCCAGCAAAAATCCCAGCACTGGTCCTAAGACTCTCCCGACAAAGTGCACACCCAAATACAATGATGAATCCTTCCTGACAAAATGATCCTGAATCATCGCCACACCGTACATTATTGGTATGGCGCTCGCACAACCCGATACAAAATGCGCAATGGCAAAAATCGTCATGCCGGCAACGCGCCATCCTGTGCGTTGTTCGAACACCAGACATTTGGCAGATATACTGGAAACCGTACTGGCATTGGCCGGTGTCGGCGGATGATGGCACACTTCATTGGCGGTTAAATCCTTCCAGGAAGAATCCGGCGCAAAAAGGTCAGGGATGAGGATGAAGATGTAGGATAAAGTCAAGGCTAAACTGCTAATGGCAATCCACCGGGGGCGGTGCGCCAGTTCACCGCAAAACGATAAGCCTAGCAGGCAGACAATCTTGCCGATCTCGCCCAGGGCGGTTATTAAACCGATTTCCGCGCTTGACAACTGCAATACCCAAGCGAAAATTTACTGGAAAAATTTATGTGTACTTAAATTTTTGTTTATAATTTTCATAAACTGGATGCAGCAAAGTTGCCGATCGCGTTGTAAGCTGTCACTTTAACGGATGAGGGTGTACGGAATTGCTGTTAATGATTTTGCTGTCGAGGGATGCGGCTTTAATTTCCGGTACTCGAGCTTAAACTGGACTGCACCGGAAATGCTTGTGCGTGCCGTATGACATTGTACTTCATTCTTGTTATGCGTAAATATATATGTGCATATTAATGCGATTATTATCAAAAAACGGTCCGCTCCACTAATCCACGCATCATTAGGTGTTCCGGGCAACAATGGACGATGAGAACAAGCAATTACAGCAGATTGACACGGTCCGTAGACAATATTTACATTCACAAGGAGAATGTTGGCCAACGTTCAGCTCGAAGGCACAGACTACAATACCAGTTATGTGTTCAACTAAAACGACTGCTCTTTGCCATTTACCTCGTATTGTTTCTCAATCGACGTGATAATACTGATCCAAAATGCATAAAACATTCCTGAAAAAGTCCATGATTAGAACACTTACGTAAATTATTAAATTATTATAATACATTACTGTAAAGAAGCTTCTAATTGTTGCTGCAACAGTACATGAATCTGCAAAGACCAGATTCCGATTAGTGTTAACAATTAAACAAAATCAATGAAAATTTATGGAATTTTGTATGTGTCCATCTGTAGTTATATGAATGTGCCTAGCTATATACGTAGTTTTATATTTTACTTTGTATTGTATGTACGTGTCTGGTTGTATATTAGCCAGACTGTTATAAATTATAAAGAACTGTTATATGTAGTTTCAGTTGCTAACTTGAAATAATGATCGGCCATTATTTTTGGAATTCTTTTTTAATTTGGTATTGTGACGAAAGACAGGTGGTCTACCCGGCCGTATATCGTAAAATTAGATTAAATTTACGGTATAAACTCACGCTGTAAATAGTGAATATGGCTTTCATACTGCAGTATTCACATGACATGAGTATACTTTGGAACAAAAATTTAATTGCCAAAAATGCATTCAATTTAGTTCGGAGGACGTAATAAACTCAAAGACTTGTTTGCTTCACTTTCACTGTTACAAGAAAAAAATGAAATTACAGCGTTGATTGTCTGTTCAGCGGACTAATCGCAGCACAACCATGGCAAGTAAATAAGTGATGTTGTTAAATTCAGTAACGTAAGTACAGCTAAATTAAAGTACTATTCATCAATTGGTATGTCAAACAGTGATAACAATATAAATTAGTTGATAATGCCTTTGATAATTTATTAATATCGGAACTTCAGTGATAGAGGTGAACGACAAAATCAGAACTTACATGTGTTTAATGCAAAGTATGTAAGCTAGAATAGACTATAGATATAAACATGGGGATACTGAGAGTAAATACTAGCCATGTAATATGTAGTATGCAAATACTCCTATGGATAACAGTGTGCAGTCACAAAGCATGACTTACTGTAATGATAAACTCGTGAAAGGGACGTAGCCGGTAGCAGTGTACTTCGTACTTCTTACTTACTTTAATTAATACTTAATTTCTTACTTCTTACAGTGTAATCTTAAGCTGACAGTATCACGTTTTACAGCAGCAGCCGTTTTTGATTTAAAATGGACAGTTAAGTAATCACCCTTACACTGTTAATTAAACAAAAACAATTATTAATTAGCAATGTGCTATTTTTTGGAAATTTTTGGTATTGGCTGCGAATTTATTACAGGATTCTGTAATAAATTCTCAGGATCTGTAACGCTGAAGTTTAAACATGGGGAATTCATATTATTCTCAAGGAAATTTAGCAATATGTATATAAATGTGCTGCTTACGATTAAATGAGTCAGTCAAATCATGTTGTTACAGTTCTGAAGACGTTAGCGAAAAGTCCACATGTACTAGCTTACCTTGAAAACAACATAATACCGTCAAAACAATAATGAAAGTGCTGAGCGTCGCATAACGACTCAGGGAGGGAAAGTGCAAACACAGTAATCCACACTGGTGCGCTTCGACATCTTGGTTATGGCGATGTGCACCCAAATAATACGTGGTCTCCTGCTCCGGAAGTACCCGCTCGTTCACCGGCGGAATGGCTTTGCCTTTCGTCATGGCAAACACCACCTGCTCCTCTTCCTCCTCTTCCCCCTCGGAATCTGGATCATGCCGGTAAGGATGCTGATCAGCCATAATGTTATTCCACTTTCATATGCAATATTAATACACCACACCACGGTAGCCGTACATAATATACAGTCCGCCACGAACCAAACAACACAATCATGAAAATTCCAATTTTTCAAGTCAGCCCATTGACTCCGCGCCAGCGCGATGCAATACTTATGCGGCCTGAACACATTTGGGGCGTTATCAGCTTAGATAAGGCGAATTACACCCGACTGGAATTTCGTTTCTCATGATCATGTAGGCCATAATTGTATACTCCGTCATAACACCGTGCAACACAACACAGGTCGGCTTTAATCATAACGCGTAGTGTTATTAGCTTTCTCCGCTGTGTACACAATAATTGTGAAATATTCCAATGTGTCAGTGAAAAATGCCGGGTAGCATTATAATACGATTTGGTGGGCAAAATGCAGTACATACACACAGCATAGTCATATGTGGAGGAACACTCAAACGATCTTATGTTCGCTGATTTTTCTGAACCATATTGCATACACCGAATACAGAGACATATGAAACATCTGAATAATAATATAACGAGATTTTGACTGCGAGCTTACTCATGCACACGTTTATGGCTAAGGTAGGCAGATTCGTCATATAGGCGAGCTGGGAGAAACGTTACAATACGCAGGTGTGCGTTGCGCACATCGCGCACCGGAAACCGGTATAACGATATGCGTTATAATAGAATAGGTGTAGAGACACTCTTTATGGATGATTTATGATGAGTCAGTTATGCACAGGTACAGGTACTGGATTTTTGGTAAACAGAGTGGAGCATCGCGCTGCCGTTTGACTAGACATCAATGAACACTTCGGGATCCTCGTGTGCGTGTACCGCGGAGGAATGGGTACGTCGCACGTGGCTATCGTGGGCGGCATGCGATGCGAAGGATTTCCCGCAAAATTTACACTATAAAAATTCATGAAATTAGAGTTTGGTAAATTAAATCTGAGTAGGACCCTAATTAAGCTAATTAGTTGTCATCTGGCATCAGATAATACGGAATTTAAAAATATTAACGTAAAACGTTGAGTTCGTTACAATCGGATTAAATCTTTTCAGATTGTAAACTCCGAATTGCAGGAGCGGTACTAGTCCTGCAACTCTTTCACTAACCCTTTACACAAGAAGTAAAGTTTAAACGCTGGTCGCACCCTAAACTTTTGCGTTTTTATGTCTTTGGTAGCATCGCCAATTTATGATAATCACGAAATCTAAATTATTTACGCGCAATACCGCGTTCTTTAAAAAATTTATTGCTTTGGTTTAATTCTGTACCGCAGTACAAAACATTTAATATCTGGTCATGCACATTATTCTATTGCTTCCGCTTTCCTGAGAAAAATTTACACTTTGGTCTCTTAATACGCATAATGTAACGTTATAAGGCTCAACCAGGTGTCTTTTTGAACGCACTGGTTCTCGAAAGTTAAACGGTTTTTGTTGACCATGGTTTCAAATGCATAATGCATATTGTATCGAGTGTTTGAATTGAAACACTACTTGTACTATAGCCAGTTTTGCAGTACAACTCTAGTGCATGCACGTTAACAGTTTGGCGTCTTTAAACGTTAAAGAGAAAAAACGATTTTTAAAACTCAGGTATGATACTACAATTTTTTCCTGCAAAATTTGACAAAGGAAGAGTAAGACACAGCGCCCAAGGCAGATAAATAGGCGTTCAAGCAGTCATTCGCGTTTTGCAGAGTAAATCCTTCATAAATAGAATTACAATCTTCGTGCCAAACTGCCAGTTATGGCGAACATTTTTAATTGCAAAGACAAACCAGCTCATGTTTTTGCAGACTCCTTACCTTGAAGGGCTTTTCTCCGGAATGCTGCCTAATATGCGTTCGCAAAATGGATGATGCGGTGAAGGTTTTTGCACAGTGGACACAACGATACGGTCTGACGCCGGTGTGAACGCGACTATAAAAATCAAAGCGAAAAAATTGATCAGAGAAACAAAATGAGTGTTAATCGGTTGGAAAAGCTCATCTCGTCCATCAGAGCTGATCAGATCATTGTCATCTCGTTAATCTAAACCGGCCGTGTAACTTTTGTACATAGTAGCCACATTTACAGCCATAAATCATGAAAATGATCCGGCACACTTGAAAAAGATCAACGAGGAGTCAGGTTACACGAGCGGAAAATCGGCTTAAACACATTTTGCAAAAAAAAGCATCCGAAGAGCGAAACCGGCTTTTCCAACTGACCACTGCGTACAAATGAACCCTTACTTACATGTGCTTATTTAAACTTGATGACTGGCTAAATGCCTTGCCACATGCAGCGCAGACGTGCGGCTTGTACTGCAACGCAATAAAACATTTATTACAATAAATTTGTGATCATAACTGCAGAAAAAAAGTATTCTCGGTAAATATCTGTTTTTATTATTTTACATGCGATATATTAACAAAACACATTGCGCGGTTATGAAATCAACATTTTTTATAATCACTGAGCACAACAGAATGACTGTAGTTGTAATATAAACTGCTGTAAGTTGAACTGGTTTTATTACGCCTATATCTGCCTAATTTTTTCTGCTTTCAGACAAAAAATTCCTTTCACCCACCTTTTCGTGCACGTGGAGAATATGGATGCGCAATCGGTCCCGTTTTTCAAACGACCTGATAACATTGCAGCCTTAATGTAATACTCTTACTAGTAGTACTTTTCTCTAGAAATATTGCATAATTTATTACTGGAACGCACAGTATCATAGCTATTTTTATATGTGAAATCATTTCTTTCACCTTTCGCAAATTGGACATGGATAGCCGCGGTTGCCCAGGTCCACACATCGTGTGAACTTCAAGTGCTTGTCCAGGTAATACTTGTAGGTAAACATTTTTCCACACCTTTCGCATGAGAAGCCTTGGCCTTCTCCAGCTGTAAAGAATGGATCCGAGTTATTTACAGTTACATAGCCAATGACCATGATGCCGCTCACGTATCTTTAATTTAATGCCCTTTCAGGATAATGAATTCGTGTTTCTTCATAGCTTTATTTGTAAAAAATATATGACACACAACAATGCCGCACAATGGCATTGCCATTGTGCGGCATTACTCAGAATCTTCACTGGCATCTGTCCGTGTAATTTGGCGCAGCGTTCAGAACAATATAAAGTGATGTTCTTGGCAGACCTGCATTTACCTTCTTCTTGATGCTTTTGTTGGCTATCCGGTGGCTTATCGCTTTTGAGGGATGTCGGTATGCCGTGGTAGCGATCGTAATCGGTCCCGTACCAGACCAACAACTCCGTTCCGGCATCAATATCCCGCGTGGTTTGGTAATAGATCTCTCCGTCGTGCTGCACCACTTCCATGTTTTGTTCACCGGGATGCCGGGCACACTGCACCAGACTCATCCAACTGGCCACACCGTTTTGCGTTTTCCCGTCCAGATAATGACTAAGTTTCCCGTCATCAAACACCTACAGAGTAGTTGCATATCTTGCATGTACAAACTGTGCAAAGAAATGTCTAAGTGCAATGGTCATTCAGCAGAAAAAAGGTTGTATGCAGTCCTTCGCCGTTATTGAATTAATATAATTCTTTTACTATTACTCATAAACATTTTCAGACGCAATTTTGCAATATTTTCATTAAGATTTATGTGCACATGAGTATTGCATATGCTTACTGGACAAACCTATGCATTAATTCTTATAAGACTAAGTATCTTGACGAACGAATGCTAATCAACGGTATAAGCTGTTCTCCGGGTGAACTTTCATATGCAATCCGGAATGTAAAATGAGTTCAACTGCACACATACTTCCCACATGCCCAAACAGTCATCGTTGGATTTAATTTCGCTGGTCTGTACAATTTTCCCCCGAAAAGGCCCAAATCGGATGCCTTTAGACAGGGCACCCTTGGCGAATACTCCAAATTGCGGAACGCCGAGAATATCAGCTCGATGCACGGACAGACCTGTATTGTACAATTAAGGAACATGTGTACATACAGAACACCGTGAGAAGCTTAAATTTAAAATAGTTAGTGCAAATCGCGGACTGTTGGGTTTGAGCTGTAACTACAAATACGTATACAACCTACTACCATACTAAATATAGTATCTGCAATAAACCGGTCGCGGAATACTTTTATGTTTACCGAATCCTGATATGTACCTGATGGAAGATCAGCAGGCTCATATTCAGGCTGTCGTATTCTGCAGATCGCTTCTTGGGACCTTGAATGGGAAGTGCCCAGCATGGAAAAGGCTGCAATTGCAACAGAGAGATCAGTCATCTGGCGAAAAATTCAAATCCTTTTCGGAATCCGCTTTCTAATTAAAGATGAAGTTTTACGTATGAAATGTTGCTGAAGTCATTACATATTCTTTATGTTAAAGGTTAGAATCTAAATCAATGCTTTATTGCAGCTGTATGTTTCTCCCTGCGCCGGGTCACTCACGTGCGGCATTCTCACAACTTTCTGTTTCAAGAGCATATCGATACAACTGCACTTATACAGTAAATTACACGGAAGCATCATATTATGATACTTGCGACCTTTTATACGAGTATAAAAATTACTTGTGCTTTCTACGATGCAAACAAAAATTTTAATACTTGAGATAAATCGCGAGTCTGTGAGATATGTCACATATTCTACCCAACTTTAATCAAAAGTTCCTCTGCCACCAGCGCAAAAATAGTACTGTACTAATAATCAGCTTAATTAATAAACAGTAGAAATCAGTCAATATGCTGCTATTTCTGCAGCTTTATAATGCAGTAGTGCCGTATATGTACGTATTCGAGCCGCATCTGGGCACAGTGACCTTACCGAGGGACGACCAAAGCTAACCAACATAGTCAGTACTAGTTAAGTAGGTTGTTTTCTTAGCCACACAAGCAGTGCACACTTATTTACTTATCTATTAAAGAACAAGTATGCTAAATAAGAATGCCGAAAGTAACGAAGCGGACAGATTGACAATCTGTTAGACACTTACTTCCATTGATCCAACTGTTTAAACAACTAATTATCCTCCAAGTAAAACAAAGAGCCTATAATGTTTACTGACACCTGTTTCTAAACGCACTCCAATTTGGCAACGTTATTTCTACTTTAGTGTGTGCGATATAAACCGCAAAGACTCATGATTATTCTGCAATTAATAACTGTAAAGCTGTAAACATCTGCGATCGCTGCAGACATCTCGCTAGTTGCGGTTTCCTGAATGTTCATTTTGCTTTTCAATTAAAAATTTAAATTAAATTTGGATCATACCATACGTTGATATAAAAAGTATATATAAAACATATACAAAACGTATGTAATAAATGATTTGTTATTTCATACAACTGAACGAAACTAGCGTTTGGAAGAAGTCTAGTATAAAAAGTACACTACCGGGTAGACAAAATAATTCTAAAAATTTTTATTTTATAGAATTTCTAAAACGGTGATGTGGATTTTTCAAGCGCAAACTCAAACACACGCCTATACACAGTAACAGAGTGTAGCAGAACTACCAATGGTGGGTATTTAATATTGAGTTTTCGTGTAAAAAGGGTTTGCGTGAGCTTCAACTCGTAAAAGGTCTTAACAGTGCATTCTCAAAGCCTTACGCGACAAAGTCGATAATCCCATTTGCAGCGCCGATATGGCGATGCCTTTCGTTGGATCATCGGTGCGGCGCATGTGTCCATATAGAACACTGTTGATGTCGGCAATGGAAAACAAGGAAGTCGGAAAAGGAAAAGTCCATGGTGTGGGCAGTGCAGCTGTCCAGTACTGTGGCAATCCAGGAAATCCGATCGGTGACGACCAAACAGATTTAGAGAGAATAGCAGCCGGTGTCAATTGACTGTGCGCAACCTGAGCTGCTCCGTAATCCAGGAAGGGCAATTGTCTGGAAATTGCTTAGTATTACGATACTGTAATCGGTATATTATCAAGTAAACAGTTCCATGTCAAAATCGGACTACTAGCTTACCTGGTTATTGTTGCCAAATTCATGATGCACTAATTAAATTAAATTTACGGATTGAAGCAGAAATTAAAGACGACTGCGTTAAGGTCGTAGAGGTCACAGGCTCATAGTGAATCCAAATCTGCTCCGTGTGGTAAGCTAGCCGACATGGAAGCTGTTTCAGAAAAAGGAATAAACGGGGGTTCTATTATGGCTTCTTTATCGTATTCACAACGCAAACACTAGTCTACATTTGCTCATTTTCCCGCCTTCGTACGCGTTACAAGTACTGCAGCTTGCTCCCGAGACTGTGCGCGAATGCGGATTGGTCTAAGTGATCGGCACAGATGCTAAGGTGAACTGGCGATGTAAAGTGTTTAGATTGGGGCATTATTACCAAACAATTAAGGTGAAATGTGTGAAGAAACACCACAACGTGATTCATACGGTATCTTGGATGCCCCCGAAACACGTACTTTAACGCAGCTAGCAGGAATCTCGTCCCCGAAAAACTGCCGTCTTTCCACATTCGGCGGCGCACACAATGTCATACCAACGGTGCTGTATACTGATGGTCACAAACAACCTTGTTGCATTGCGTGTCGACATATTTCTTTCTTGACTCGCATACTCGCACTTTAGCAATGCAGAAATACAAGTGGCCAGCACAAATAATACTAGAATAGCTATTACTAGAATAGAATAGCTATTACTATTACTAGAAATACTAGAATAGCCCTTTTAAGGCTCTCCGCTGAAGATTAAGCAAGTGAAACATTCATTGTACTATTGTAACAAAGTATGGTAACTGTAACATCTCAACCAACCGTAAGAAGTTAACACTGATTTCGGGATAATAGGACTCTACGAGCTCTCAATTTACTATTTTAGACTAAATTTTTACAGCAGAGTGAGGAAACATAATATTTAAACAGTACAACAGTACCTATACGTGATAGAACATACAATCTCGTTCACTTTAATCTGTGTCATACAGATAGTCCTGAAATGACCTTTGCACTACAATTTTTACAATTTTGGTGCATTCGTCCAACTGCAGCCAGTGCCAACCGTAATCTGTTCTTCCTTCTAGTTTTACAGCGACGGCTACCGCAGCCGTACGTTCATACACCATAATTGTTTGACATTTTTTCGTCATTAAATGCTCTACAGCAATTTTATTGAGTGTGGTGCCAATGAGAGGTTTTTGTGCTTAGATCGTGCAGAATTAATAGCCAACATGTTTCTAATCGGCCATTCATAAGGCACGCGAAACAGTTGAATGTTACATCTTTAGGCCAGTGTATGCTTTACAAAGTCAACATCGGGCTGCTATTGACGCATCCAGATATTTAAAGTACACGACACGTCTCTTGCTCATACATATTGTAGCACTTTAAAAGCCCCACCACACAAACATTTCCGACCCTTTTTGCCACCGAGTAAAATGCACAAGCGACACAAATGGCCGCTCATTGTTAGCTGGGCACTTTGTGCGCAGCGCGCAAGCAGCATTCCTCACTGAATATCCTAGCCGGTGTTTTTGCACACTTTAAGAAGAAGACCAACATACCATCGGCCTGAACAAGGTTGCATCTTGTTCATTAATGGGAACATGAACAGGTTGTGTTGACACAAATGCCAGGAAGGCTACTGTATACACCTTACTCCAGCCTGGACGACGTGCTACTTTTTGACTTTAAAATGCACATGTACCGCCGGCTTGCAAATCGGTGCCATTCAAATCCACAAAGCAGTGAATGCTTGGCAATACGTTGCGGCCGATCCGACTCATTAACGGAAAGGGAAAACATGGTTCAAAGTGGTTCTAGCTATGCTACCGTAATTATTTAATTTTGAATTCGACGAACGATTTCTGTAATGCAAGTCATTGCAAGGCCAACTTAAAAGGTCAAGTTACTTATATGAAAGGATACTGTCGGAGATAACACCAGTGCAGGTTTTGAATGCTGTCAGACAGACAGAGATCTGAAACAGCCTTTGCACTACAATTTTTACAATTTTGGTGCAGGTTTTGAATGACTCAAGTTCTGTAAAGTGAAATACTAATTATCTCCTACTTATTAAACCAGAAGTGTATTGTTAAAAGGATTACAGCTTAAACAGACCGAAGGCGTTGATCAGCTGGTTAATGCTGAAGAATGTCAAGCATCACGTGAAATTTGCTTCACATTCAGATTAAAAAAATTTTTAAAATTTTAGATATAGACAGTTAGGGTATACCCGTATATGGGTTTTGTTCATTCTTGTGTGCAAACACGATTCGTTCGCTACAAAGACTGTTCACACCACAGTCAAGACAGTAGAGAAAATTATTTTCATGAAAGCTGTTTCAAGGTGGCGTAAACACAGTCCGGACATATCTATATAGATTTTATTGTAATGTTATTATGTTTTGTACAATATTGCGTTGTAATCTGTACAATACTTGCATGTTTTGTATTGTACGAGTACAAATGCCGGTCCCCGGTGCGTGCATTATTGCTTACTGGTACCAGCGGCGTAACGAGCTCAAAGGTTTGGGGTGGGCCACAAGTACTGGCTTTGGGGTAGGCCGTTCCCATAGACTCTATGCTATAACTTTTCGTTTGGGGTGGGCCGTGGCCCCCAAATTATTAGGCTCGTTACGCCACTGACTGGTACTGATCGAGGCACTTACTGTGTGTTGCTAACCATTAAAATTAATGTGTTTTTCCTCGTATCGTCGCACGGCAATTTGTCCCATGCATCTGCAGCTTCATTAGCACAAGGTTGCGCTGCCCACCCTGTAATGTTATCACAGGTGCGGGAATTTGTCTTAAATTAACTGGGTTTGTTTGAACCGCGCGCGACTTCTTGACATCGGCGAAAGTTGGTCCGCGGACAAAGGCTCCACATTTGCCAATCCTACGCAAGGTGCACACTATCGCTGCTTCCTGCGTACTGCATATAGTTGGCTTTCTATACTCGATCCGTTGTGCTCCCCCAGTCTGATCTGCAAAGGTAATATGTAATTTGTTCGCTAAAATGGTTCTGTATACAATAAATAATTCCCAATGTGTCGTGTTAACCTTGGTTCTGCCCACTTGCACAGCATTAAAGTTGATTAAACCATGCGTGGGTGGTTTGATGCCTTTCGGACGAACGATGGACCAACGCAATACGCTTCGGAGCACATCGCAGCCACACACGACAACATCCTCATCGGCATCTACACCGCTCTTGCTGCCACGTTTGTGGCCTTCCTCCTCATTATCCCCGGGATCAGACACAATGTACGTCATACTTTTGCAGTTCTGCTGTTTTTGTGGATGACGTATACGTCTGAAAATTTGGAAGAAAGCGGCGTGTAGTTGATTAATGCAGATTTTGTTCGACTTCATTGCTTGAAGGCTGGTGTATCTGTAGAGCTTCAGTAATGCAGCATATACTCGTACATACTACGTACTGTAAGTTTGTAACCATGAAAAGAAATGCGTGGTTGCACGGAGTTCAGTTAAATGAACTCTGCATGTATCAGCAAAAATTTATATTTAAAACCAGTGTCATTAGAAAGTTCAGGACTCTTTTGGGTGGTGCATGGCGTTTGGCGAATCGTTCTTATAACTACTTTAGTGATAAGTTTCATTTGCAGAAAACGTCCACTTTGATAATTTTAGCTGGCAGTATGTTCGTACTAGCCAGCATAGCCATCGGCTTGTTCTCGCCCAACTGGCATGTCGCCTCGTCCACTCTACTGGCATCATATAAACGCTCCACACCCGCGACAATGCGTGGAAGAATCGGTGTCTACATTGGGTTGGAATCGTTTAACGTCACATTGGAAGGTTGTCTTTTATGGATGTCATTCCTGCGGTCTTCTTGATCAGACAGTGGGGAAATCCAAATTTGTTGTTTCAGTAACGGAAGGAAACCATAGTTATCGTGACCTGGAGAGCGACGATTTTCTTTTCTCCGATCCGTCAGATGGTCCTGACAGTGGCGGCTTATTGCAGTTTAATGAGCGCTACTCATTCCGCGCAGGTTAGATTATGAAAATTATTTCAGGAGTCGTATAATTTTGATACTGTTTGATAGAAGCAAGTGGTGTCTGGTAGTGTCTGGTTAATACTGTCATACCTATGAATCGAAATAAAGAAATTCAGCGTTTGATAGAAGCAACGTGTATTCCCTGCTATACATCGATTTGTGATTTTTTTGTATGTTAATTCTTAAGGAACAAATAAGTTAAGGAACATATGGTTGATGTGATAGTTGATGACGTACAGAAGCAGTATCAGAAATCTCTGAAGCGCGGCTTGCCGTATCCAATCTTGACCGTGGCGGAAGTGATGTCCATGGATGCTGGCGGTTTCACTTGGGGTCGCAGTTATCGTCTGGCTGGTTATTACGCCGGAATTCTTTTGTGGTAATGTAGCACTTCAGCTTGGTCGCGCAATTTGTGATGGCTGTTCAGCGTTATTATTGGATTTGGACTGGATACTCCGTGACCGTGGCGTTGAAATTTTATAGGTCGTCTTTGGCATCCTGGATCGTGATGAGTATATTGTTTTGTTTGGTACCATGTTACAGTGGTTATTTCATGCTTATCACCGGCTCCCTAATGCTTTTATGCAACGTGTTGTATTCCGTGTTGTTACCGTCGTCAACGCTGATTGTGCGCTTTGAGGATGGACTTCTGGTTTTCCAGTACGGCTGGTGCTTCTGGATGGTACTCTGCGCCGGTAATCAGCCAGGAACTCCCGTATCATGATTTGTATTGAGTTTCTTTTATGGTTGTAGGCCTTTTGTGTGTATTTGTGGGATTTGCCATCACAGTTACTAATTACTTCCTGCCCGAGTTGCTATCCGATCTGTATTCCACTTGGAAGTATAACAGTCGATTGATTCCATTACAGCGAGCGTATTTTATTTATACTGACCAGTTTTTATACCCCACTGACCGTCTTCAGCAACACAGAAGCGCGCCCACCGCTACTATACAGGTTTTACCTTTGGACCACAATGATTCCCTTCCGGAGAAGCGTTCCATCATCAATCCGACAGGCGGTGATCACCGACATCCAGTCTTATCCAGCTGTTTTGAAGGCGAGAGCAGCACGCGCACTAGTACTGCAGCTGATGTTCGCGATAATGTCCAAGGAGTTTGCCACAGTTCCAACTTGTCCATGTATTGACGAACCGCTTTTTCAGAACACGCTTTTGCTGGGGATAAAATGTTTTCTGCATTAAAGGATTGTACAGCTATTGTTATTAAGCTTTGTCTGTGATTTTGCTCTGTCAGATCGTTTGTTATATGGCCATTACAATGTAATTGTTTTGCTGGATTTTCATAAATTTTACCGATAAAAGCTGAAATAAGAACAAAAGGCAACGTTGTCCTTTGTTTTTGCCTTCCCTGTCTTAGCCATTCTACAGTAATAACGCTATCCTGATAGGGGAGCGTACCCATTACATAAATCGCGTTTCCCCGTTGTATTTGCATAGATATTCACTGCTTAAAAAACTCTTTCGCTCGCTTCTGGCCAGTGGAAGTCGCTATACCGTTTCCAACCTTCTCCACTAGCTTTTTTGTTCCGTCTCCCAAAGGTCCGTAGATTTCGAACGCAGCGGCAACAAAATCGTATCTTGGTTGCAGCCAAGCGTGTTTCGAAAGTTTCTTCCTTTCCGCGAGTTCGGCTGCTGCGCCGGCGTTCACGGAGGTGCGGTCGATATACGAGGCCGCCAGCGTGTCCACGCAGGTAACATCCACGGCCAGCGGCTTTCCGCGTGTCCACGGTATAAGTGTGATCACATCCGGCCTTTTCTTGTCTTTCACGGACAGACTTTTTGGTTCCATTCTAGAAGGAAAGCCTGCTGACTTCAGACCTCGGGAAAATTCTGCGCTGATTCCGTCGTGTCGTGTTAGTCTTCCGGCGGACCGCTTACAGCGAAGTCCATACCGGCCTAGCTCGTCGACCAACCCTCCACAAACGCACACGTGTGGGGTAACGATCGGCGCTCCCAGACGCAACGCAACACTGATGCGGAAAGCGTTGTCCTCCAGCAGGTTACCGAGGCAAACGGCGGGTAATGCATGAATCCACACGCCGGATTCCGGGACTGATACCGCCTTAAGGTGCGCGATTTCCTCCTGTGAAGTCCGTAGTGTAGTCAGCCTTGAAAATGCATTCAGGGTTACTGGAGTGTCCCAGGCTTTCTGATCGTGTCGGAAAGCTTGTCCGGAATATCGTCAGTGTTGGCCTCTAACTTCCAAGAGCGGGTAGCTGTGGTGATATCCGTTGCCGCTAGTGTGGGGCACAGTCCGGAAATCAGTTGGCTCAACGAAGAACCCGATGCCAAGTAGGCAGAGGGAGCTAGCTTCTCAGTGCGTCTGATCCCCAAACCACCGAAACGGACGGGAAGGGAGGCCTGGAGCCATGTTGGGTGGTCCATCCTTACATTGGTTATGGTTTCCACTGCTTCGCGAAAGACCTGGTCCAGCCTGTACAACTCCTGTGGAAACATCCATGCAAGAGAGGTTCGCAAGATGTGCATTATTTTTGGAAGCGAAGCGAGCGAAAGAGTTTTTTAAGCAGCGAACATCTATGCAAATACAACGGGGAAACGCGATTTGTGTAATGGGTACGCTCCCCTATCAGGATAGCATAGAGGAAGTTTTTTTGTTATAATGACGTTCTGTTTTGGTACTGAGTTTGTACTTGTACAACGATACTTATTAAAGGTCTCTCTGAGTAATAACGCGTGTTTTTTCACGTTATTTTAAGAATGATAAACTTGGAATACGTAATTACGTGCCAACACTGTCAGCTAGCAGTTATTACAAAAGATTTTTGTTAAAGTGCATTGCGCCTCGACTTTAATTCTAGTGTTTTTAATAACCGGCTGCCATCATACGGTATGCAGATACTGGTAGTTCCAGGAAATTACTGGTACTTAGCAGGAACTTTTCGATGAATGAACGTTTTAATGAACTGAATGTGATAACGCAAATTGACATAAGGTAAGTAGTCGAGTGAGAACAACGTACTGGCAAAGAACTAATAAACTCGCGCTTGGGCACCTCCGTATTTTATACCAATTCATCTGCATCAGTGCTGTCGGATCGGGTGATTTCGAAGCAACTGTGTCCTGCACTGCTGTCGCGATAGTGATCGTAAACAGATCTGCAATTTTACACATCGAGGCCGTAGATAGTTTGATTTTGTTCTGACAATTCACTGACAAAAAGTGGTGCTTTCGTTGGTACAGCATTTCGGCGTGCACAATGACCTTTTACAATCTCCTGTGTGCTATCTGGAATGTGGCGTTGTTACTGGTATTTCCATGACAATGTTTTGAGTGTGGTTCATTGTGATTTTATATAAATTATTGGATCTTACAGAACGGGATGCCGGTGCTGTCAGCGCAGTCTACAATTGTTTTTGACCCAGCCGATAAAGCGGATGGAGTTGTCAGAATCGCAGATCCACAATCTTCCATAATCGATTTTGGCGAAATAAATAGCTATGACAGTGTACATCACAAACATATTATTTCATCGTAAAACTTTTTTTGCAAAACTCCAGGAAATGGCGTATTACATTACAGATTGTTCAATGGCTTTCGGCATTGCCAAATGAATTCGAATATGTGCGACTGCACAAGATTGGAACAACAGTCGAGAAGCGGGATTTGATCGCTATGGAGGTCAGTAATAAACCATTGCTCGCATTAATTTGTTACTGTCGCTTTATCTCGCGCACGTATAACGAAAATTTGCATATTCAGATAGATAAAGATTTAATCACTTGCAAAATGCAACAAAACAAAACGGAAGTCAACAACAGCAGTAGGCCGAGTGACGGAAAACAAGTGGTCTTTCTTGATGCCGGCACTCATGCACGCGAGCAGATTACTGTTACCGTCGCGTTGGCGGCAATTCAAAAAATCTGTTTAGCCATCCGCAACGGCGAGAGTAACCTTATGACGAAAGTTAAATGGTTCATTATCCCTCTAGTTAATCCCGATGGTTACGAATATTCCAGAACAGCAGTAAGCTTAGCCCGTTTTTGTTACAGTATATGCACCGATAATACGTGTATATAGGCAACTAGGTGTACTCCAAATTAAAATGTCCTTTCAATGCAGCCAAAAGGAAAAATGTGGCGAAAAAACCGTTCTCATGTGGATGCAAATTGTGTGGGCGTGGACGTCAACCGTAATTGGGATAGTCAATGGGGTGTGAACCCGACAGAAAAGGTAGCTGCCACAGAGAAGCCCTCTTCATCACTCTCCTTATCCTGGCTATATGATTCCTTGTTTAATCCGCGAAATACAAGTGCGTACGCTTCAATACCTAAACCGAAAGAAGTATCAATTTATTTGTATCTTTACTTTCAGTTCGCCAGTTAAGTTTACTGAACCCCTGCTCCGAACTATTTGCCGGTGCGCATCCCTTCTCGGAAGTTGAATCCTCATCACTGTCAAAATTTATTATTACGCGGAATAATTCAGGAAGTAGTCTGCAAGGTTATATCAGCCTGCACAGTATGAACAAAGACCAAATGCTTTTGTTTCCCTATGGCTTCACCACTAAAAGGTCACCAGATTACGCTAAACTGCGGTCACTAGCCGGCAATATGTCCGACGCAATGTTTTCAGCCACCGGAAGACGATACCAGTACGGAAGTATTTCGGAGATAATGTGTAAGTCTATAGGCCATGCTCATATGGGAAAAAGACCTGAATGGACTGTACAATTATCATATTCTTGTGTTATAGATCAGACTACCGGTGTCCAGGCAGACTGGTTATACTCCGTAGCTGGAGTAAAACGAAATTTTGTTCTAGAACTGCGAGATGACTTTCGAAAGCCGCCATCGGTCTTGATTCCCAAGGCATTTCAGGAAGTGTACGCAGCGTTAAACGTATTAGTGCAAGATGTCTTGAAAAGCTCATGATATTTACTTGTACGAGATGACACAGTAAATTTTTTACATCATTGTTTGCCGCCTGTCGTTGCGCCCTGCAGTAAGCCAAGGTAGGCATAAAATACAGTAGTAAACTTTATTTTTGAGTGTGCGAGACGTTTGTATACGTACATACAGGTCGGTGCAGATTTGTTTTAAAAGAACCATGTCCACGTGCAGCAAAACAGTCTATCGGTGTAACATAGAATACGTAATCACCCATCACGAATGCATCACGCTGGTTATACAACAAATTGTAATCCTTACTTCGACTAACTACCTGTTAATTGGCCTATTCACTGCACATGTTAAACTGCTTGATTCGCTGTTCTTTTGAACTGCGCGCACGGTATCTAAAACGTTGGTATTCAAAATATTTGGTTACACCTACTTAATTGTAAGTAATAATGCAAGTTTCTATGATTTTGGTATATTATAATATATTCATTACTGTGTTACCGGCGAACCTCACCGGCCAGATGCACACAATTTTTTCACGCTCCAGTCAGCAATACTATAGTAGCATGGCAAATCAAACACTAGTAGAGTAGTGTTATGCCTTGCTGATAGTATTAATTCGATCCTGACACCTTGATATCGTAGAATGTCTTATTTATATGTTACCGCGGATTTGCTTTTGGTTAACAAGGCTGCAAATCGACTGCCATGCTATCCGGATCCTGCCGGTACATAGTTATAAACGTTAATGCCGGTGCGTAGTAGTAATGATCATCATGACGTTGTTGTAAGTACAATATCATGAGGTTATCATGCCGTACATCATATTCAGTTTCGTTGATCGTGCGCAACCTTTGCAAACAACTGACAAGAATTTAATAGTTAGAGCAATATCATGAAAATATCACTCGAACATCACAACATGCCTAGCTGAAATATCCACAAAACCGTATTTAAGTGAAGCTGCAAGATAAAACGAATGGTAAAATCATAGAACAAACCTAGAATCTTGGTACTGTATAGACTTTACTAAAGCATTCCATGCAATACATAAGTACTTATTATCAGATAATTATTATTTTTTTGACTAATTTTGCTGCGACATGTCACGTGCACTTTGGACCTATAATTTTGGATCAAAGACATCGTTACTGGTAATTAGCGACCTGTAACCCTGACGTTTTTTAAACCAATTCGATTCATTGTTATACTTATTATATTTTTTTTTAGATTTTACTGACTGTAGTACTCGTTAAGTCAGTTCTAATACCGGAATCACTTGTCCAGCCTACAACACAAAAAACAGCCTTTGCAGGGCCGGATAGAAACTTTCCCACCGGGGTCAATTTCAGCGTAATTAACAGCTATGAAAGCGTAAGTGTTATCTATTCTGGTAACCATCAATCCGCGTAATTAAGGCGGGGTATGAGTACATATAACCGAAATACAGATTTCGATAAATTTTGGTACAACGTATGTCTCAATTTTCTCGTTTTACCACAATAGATTGTTGGATGGTTGTTGTCTTTACCAAATGAATTTCCGTTCGTGCGATTGCATCATATTGGAATGACCGTCGAACATCGGGACTTAATTGTCGTCGAGGTCATACAAAGTACTTCACATTGACCATGAGGCGTCATGCGTGTGCAAGTAGATGCACTGCTTGTACAATAATAAATTATTACAGTAGTTTTATCATATAACGCAATGCAATGTATTAGCACGTAGATTTTAAACACTTTCAAAAAAGCCGATAATAATGGAGCGTGGTGCAGATATTAGATATATTCATTAGCTGTCTGCATACGAAATAGCACGTAAATTTATCTAATTTCTAAGCTTGGAACTGACCATGAGATGTTATAACCGCAAGTCCGCAACACTCAGCTTTTTTAAAAGCGTTCGCTCCCCGTGATCTGAACGATTTTGTAAAGGCTTCGCATGCTGATAAGGGTTTCGTACGATAGATTGACAGCACCGACGATGGTTTCGCGGTGACCGGAATAAAACCCACTATTTTTGTGGACGCTGGGATTCATGCACGCGAACAGCTAACTGTCAGCATTGCACTGAACGCCATTCACAAAATTTGTTGCATGATCCGCGATGGAAAAGTAGCTTCGTCCACGAAAGTGAAATGGTTTATTATCCCTCTTGTAAATCCCGATGGGTACGAATACGCCAGCACGGTATGTTCGTAAGCTGCACATTTACTTAAATAAACAAATTCAGAAGAATCTATACCTGCATTAATTATTCATAGAAGTATAGTGAAGTAACCACACATAAAAAATATCTCGTCTTGATTAGGATTCCGGAGTGGGGTGGCGTAAAAACCGATCTCCTGCGAATAATTCGGACTGTGTGGGAGTGGCTTTAAATCGTAACTGGGATTATAAATGGAGTGAGTTGCTGTAGCCTGCTTATTTACCATTTAAAATTTACTAAACAACAAATAACTGCAGCTTTTAACTGTATACGAATTTTTCTTCACTCTGGAGGAATGCGTTAGCTTTCACTGCTTTCAGAAGGAAGTGGAAGTTCCACTTCTCCGTGTTCAGACATATACGCTGGCGTGCGTCCTTTCTCCGAAAGCGAAACATTCGCACTATCGCAATTTATTTTGGAACTAAAAAACAATTCAGCAGTCAATCTGCAAGCATACTTGAGTTTGCATAGTATTCACGGATATCTGGGTCAAGCGATCATCTTTCCTTATGGTTACACAACGGAAAGGTCACCCGATTATGATGTTCTTAGCGCTGTGGCGAAGCGAATGTCAGATGCAATGTATGCAGCCACTAGCAGAACCTACAGATACGGGAGCATTGCAAATGAAATGTGTAAGTTTCTAGCCGAAAAATTGCCCAAACTGAATTTTGCATTGATAAAAACTGTAAATTAGATCCAGTAAATGGCGATCAAGGAGACTGGCTGTATTTTGTTGCCAAAATCAAGCAAAACTACGCTGTGGAACTGCGAGACTATTACGGTAAAGACTCTGCCGTTCTCGTTTCCGATGGTTTCAAAGACATTTGGGCAGCTTTGACCGTTCTGGCTCAAGATACCCTGGCCAGAAATTATTTGGCAATGTAAGAATACCTCAGGTTAATTCTAAGAATCTATGACAGTGTTTCTTTGTGTAACAGCAAGAAGCTGACTTGCAACGAGATTACAAATGAGTGGAGAATTCTTTGAGATATTGAGAATGTTGTAATTATTGATTACTTTTTGTTTTCGTGTTATTATATCACATTACAGCTACACACTTCCGGAAATGTGTAAACTAGATAGTGTTTTCTCCCTCCTGTGTGTTTTGCTCTTGTTCCACCAGAGAAGAAAACCCGACACGTAAGAAGCAAAATCATAAAACACATAAGATGCTTTTCTGGAAACAGATTGCAGCAATGCTTATTTGGTAGATCTGAAGTTTTCCCAACTGTTTTTTGCGAAAGCAGTCGGTAATAGTACGTTTGTTCTGTGTTTAAGTTCTGAAATCACAACAAAAAGTGTAAGGAACACACGAAATTGATATCCTTTCAAAAATTCTATTTTTACGAACTTGTGTTCTGTTAATTCGTATATGTATATAGCGGACTATCACACAGCATAACGGCTTCTGCTGGCCATCTGTTGACTTTATCTTACCGGCGTTTGTGACAAAAATCTCTTTGAACAGCAGTAATACTGACTTCTTGCATAGAAACTTGCACTTGGGTTTATGTGGTCATGAGATATTTAAGTTGTATCTGTATTTCGACCAGTGTTTATTTAATGGTTCTGCAGTTTCTGATTAATTATTCCCTTAGAAGTTAGCATAGTCGCTGTCTTCTGTATTAAGAACTCATCTGTACTCTGTAGTTATAAATATTCATAATTTTTTCTTTCACTGGTAAACGGCTAATTATCGATGGGCAGTAAGCAGGAGATAAACGTCAACTAAGTCAGAATCACCATTATAGCACTGTGGGTAATCTGGAGACTAGGGAAGCAAGTACATCTCAGTCAGTAAAAAAAATCCAACGTCTATCAAGTTCCTACACAGCTACGAAGCGGGCTTCAGTAATCGGGATCGGGATCTCGCCTAGGAATTGTCACCCGCGGAATGGAGCTGCTGCCGCGCGTCTGTCCCGAGTACTGGGTACCGTTTCTTGTGCTGCGACTGCGAGGATACGCGGTGCTGGTATCTTCGTCCGGACGGCGCCGGTAAGCCATCAGCCAGCACGATACGGAAATGGCGATCGCCACAAGGGCCAGCAGCAGTGTGATGGCCAGCGTCACCGCGAAGCTGGCAGTCGACAGGCAGACTTCGTCACTGCCGCTTCCGGTAGCCGAAACACCTGCAACGATACAACCAGTTCAGCGAAGCGAATTCGTACTTTGCTATAGTGTGCATACATTAGATGGACTGAACAGCTAGTGCCGGTTTGAGAACAAAATTATTTTGGTTTCAAAGGTTTACCGTTGGTAGCATTGAGCGCTTGTGCTTGAGCATCATACGTTTCCAGCCCATTTGATTCCACCTGAATTTCTTCGATCACGTCTCCCTTCGGCGCAACGTCAGCCAAGGGTCGCTCCACTTGACGCTTCTTTCTACCAAAGCTGTTAATACGACCGGGCTGACATTCCACCTAATCAGAACACACAATGCTCACGTTCCGCTTTTTAAAGTTTTATCAAGTATAATCACGACTTTAACTTCTAATTAGGAAGAAAATTAAAAATTTTACGCAGCACAGGAACTGCATAGGTAATTGTTCCATTTTTAAAATGACCGTATCACCTCCAGAACGATCATAACGTAGAACGATGTTTCTTACCGGTGGACAACTTCTGAAGCAAATCCTGATGTTGCACTTGAACCGTAATAAACTGGCACCGGGAAACTTGAATGCGCTGAAATTGGCACGCAGAGAGTGATCCGCGCCGTCTGGGATCCACTCAGTGAAAATAGTACGGTCGGTCGCGCATCTGAAATAAAATTCTATTGCAATAACGAGCCATTCCGCTACTTTTAAAATTTAAATTATAAAGCTTTCGTACCCATAGTTGTCAGTGATCTGGAATTTCCAGGAATTATCAACCGCCACGGCCATGCAGTTGCTGGCAAAGCCGCCGTAAACGCTGTAGGGCGTTACTTCCACTTTCAACTGCAAATTCTCCCCAATGTTCGCACTGGTCACAGGACTGCCGTCCATGTTGGTGATAACGATGCGGCACACTGGTGGTGGTGCTTGATTGGCAATAGTGCCGTGAATTGTCTGTACTCTGATGGTAATCGGTGGATTGGTTACGGTCACTACGGGCGTCTTGTAGCGGCATCGGATGTTGTAAGCGGTCGCGTCAACGGTAACCAGGGTTGGATGGCGTTGGATGACCAATACAAAATCGGCTAAATCCTAAAATAATCTCGAGGATAACTTTTCATGCCTCGCCGTTGTTGCAAGCGAACATCGAAAAACTGAAATACTCATAACCGTGCTATGTAAATAATGCTAAAAACAACGGCAATTTAAATGGTGAACTTACGCCATCTGGAGAAACGCCACAAGTTCCGTATTGTATGGTGAAACTCATAGAATACTGGTTATCGTTCCCGCTGACAATCTTTCGACATTCTTCCTGCCGGCTGTATCCTTTGACATACAAAACTCCTTGAAATCGGCCCGGCAGCGCAACTTGGACTTCGATTCCGTCCGATAAGCAGTTGACCGACGCTTCCGGTACATCAATCCTGGGAATGAGTATTTTCGTGAAAGGGGTGCGCGGTGTTGCTGTGGGAGGTATGGTTATGATAGGAGGCGGTGGCGGGCAGTTGGGAGGATTTCCCGGTGGATACAGACAGATGCAGCCGCAAACCTCCATTGAAAACCTGGAATATGGACCGCACTCCACTTCCATACACGGCGCCGGGGTGACTGTAACGGGTGTAGGAGGCGGTGTGGGAGGAGGGGTGGTTTCCGAACACCGGCCGTTGATGAGCACTAAGGGTGGGCGGCAGATGCAGGTTAAGGTGGTCAAATCCAGGATGAGATTCTCCAAACAAATGCATAAATAAGAACCGATGGTATTCTTGCATTGCGCACTGCCGCAAGGGGGAGGAACAAGAGTGCATTCGTTAACATCTGCAAAAAGCTGGGGGTTAAGACTCGCTTGGAGGCTTTTTTACAACGTTCTTACCAATGCAGGTTCCATTAACGAATTGGTATCCTGGTGGACAAAAGCACTGGTAGCTGCCCGGAAGATCTTGGCATGTTCCCGGTCCGCAGATTGTCAAGTTTTCCATGCACTCGTTGATATTGTAGCATGAATTCTGGTTGAAGCGGTATCCCGGTGGGCAGATACACTTGTAACTTCCAATGGTGTTCTCGCAAGTCCCACTGCCGCAGATGCCGGCAAAGGTGCACTCGTTGATATCGACACATGATCCGTTCACCGAATCAAATCCATTAGGACATTTGCACCGGAATGAGCCAATCAGATTTTCACACACGCCAGGCTTGCAAAGGTCGGGATTCTGCATGCAGAAATTGATGGAAATACAGTTCTTTCCATCAAAGTTGAATCCCGGCCGACAAATGCACCGGTAAGATCCGGGCGTGTTCTCGCACGTATTTCCCTGGCCGCAGATCAAACTGTCGGTACATTCGTTCACATCCAGACATGTTCCCTGTTGGGAAGTGTAACCGGGTGGGCAAATGCATTTGAACGATCCGATGGTATTTTCGCACTGTCCATTTCCACAGACTCCCACTTGCAAGCACTCGTTGACATCAATGCATGTACCATTGGCCGGTTGATAACCATATGGGCAAACGCATAAATATGTCCCGGGAAGGTTGAAGCAGGTTCCGGGAGCGCATATGTCGGTTTTCACGGTGCATTCGTTAATGTCTGCAAATGATCAGTGTATAAAAAGAATCAGAACATTGATACGTTAATAATGTGAGACTATCAAGCTGATCAACGCACCGATGCAAGTTTTGCCGTCAAACTGATATCCAGGCGGGCAGTTGCAGGTGTACTGGTTAGGGGCCAAGTCCTGGCATGTTCCCAACTGGCACGGATTGCCTTGCATACAGATGGTCACAACCGGAGGCGGCTGCACACATTGGTACGAGCCGGGCGTGTTCCTGCATTGTGCACCCGGAGGGCAAGGATTCTGTGTGCACTCGTTGAGATCTGCGCAAGTCCCGTGGACGAACTCGAAACCGGGTGCGCACTTGCACGTATACGATCCGATTAAATCGATGCAAGTCCCCTGTGGACCACACAGTTCTGGTGCTTCGCATTCATTCACCGCTAAAAGACAAGATATTAGAACAATAACAATTACAATTTTCAGCAGAATTTACCAAAGCAAGTGCCGTGATCAGGATGGTATCCCGGTGGGCATCGACACAAATAACTGCCCATGGTATTAATGCAAGTACCCGGCCCGCAGATCGTTAGGTCCGTACACTCGTTGACATCAACGCATAACTGATTCGGACCAGGTGTGTATCCAGAAGGACAGACGCAGAAAAAGCTCCCCACGGTGTTAATGCAGCCACCCACACCACATGGATTGGTCGTGCATTCGTTAATATCCACACATGTGACTTTATCGAAGGTGAATCCAGGTGGGCAAGTACACTCATAGCTGCCGATCGTGTTGATGCATGTACCGGAACCACAGATGGTCTTCTCAGTGCACTCGTTTACATCTATGGGAAAAAATTTAATTATTATTAAGTTGTAAAGTTTGAAAAGAAGGTTAATACAGACCTTGGCAGTTTCCGTTGATAAATTGGTATCCAGCGGGACACGTGCAGTAAAAGCTCCCGATAGTATTGAAGCATTTCCCTGGCTGGCAAAGTTGCGGATTTCTTACACATTCGTTAATGTCTAAAATAGCAAACTTCGCAATCGTAAACGTAAGCACTGTTAATCCCATTGGGACGTACCTCCACATGCCGGTGAGTTCATCACAGTCATTTCATATCCGAATGGGCAGACACATCGATACGATCCGACAGTATCCTGACATTCTCCCGGAAGGCATAACGAGGCTATTTCCGTTCTCGTACATTCGTTTTCACCTAAGAAAAAAAACGGAAACGGAAAATTATACGGAAAATTATTTATTATTGGCGAAGGTTTTTCTTAGCGAAATTTAGACAATCGTACTAATGCATGTTTTGGACGCGGCATCGAACTGGAATCCCACCAGGCAAATGCACTGGAATGATCCCAGCGTATTCACGCAAGTGCCCTTGCCATCACCACAAGGATTGTTTCGCGCGCATTCGTTGATATCCACACATACTCCCGGTTCCTGTCGTTGGTAACCGACCGGGCAAACACAGAAATAACTGCCATCTGTATTGTGACATTCTCCAGGAGCGCAAGGATTGCTGATAGCACACTCGTTAACGTCTAGATACCGTTTAATATTTATTATGAATTTCTAGCAGTTAGTAGACATGTAAATCTGGACGCACCCATGCATCGGTTGTCCACTGAAGTGTAACCCAGCGGACACTTGCAGACATACGATCCCACCGTATTGATGCATTCCCCAACTAAGCAAGGATTGTGCGGCGCTGCACATTCGTTGAGATCGACGCAGGTTAACCCATCGAAAGTGAAACCGACCGGGCATTTACAGGTGTACTTTCCTGCCGCGGTATCGATGCAGTTGCCTTGATTGCACGGTGATCTTTCGACGCATATCTTGATCTCTGTTGCAATGAGAAACACATCACCGTTTATATCCGTTACTAGAAAATATATATTTCAGCATGAGCAGCGTACGAGCACACGTTGGTCCTTCCACAGCTCGGAAGCCATCAAAACACTGGCAAGTGTATGACCCGGGTACGTTAGTGCACGTTCCTTGCGCACAAGGAGCGGCAATCTCACATTCGTTCACATCTGTTCAGCAGAAAAAATGCAGAAGCTTTGGGTATTTTATCTTGCAGAGTTATAGTTGTCAGGTTGCAGACTTCTCAAATAATTACGACATATAGTAGCACGTACCAACACAAATCGTTTGGCCATTTGGCTGGAGGGACACTTTGTAACCTTTGTTGCATTCGCACGTGTAACTCCCGACGGTGTCAATACAGCGACCATTCAGGCACAGATTGGGCTCGGTCATGCATTCGTTGATATCTGCAAAAAATAATAACTACACCGTTGTAAAATCAATTCGGGCAGCGAAATGCAGTTTATCGTACTAGCACAAACGATCTGGGTTCCATTCTGAATCATCTGGAAGCCTTTTGCGCAAGTAGTATCAATCAGTAAACCTAAGTAAAAACAAAAACATTAGCACGACTTACAGTTGGAACAGTTTAATTTAATTTAGCAATGCAAAAACACACTTCTACACTGGCCAAATACATCCTTGGAAAAATTAATAATGCACTCGCAGTCGTCCAGTGATCGTCCATCGATACCGACTTTGGTAGTATGCCGACAAGTGCCATCGCGGTAGCATGGTAGCGGTTCACAAACATTTTTGCCTATCACATACAAAACCAGTTAAAAAAGCCAAAGCGCACAGTAGTGACATCCACCGTACTGATAGCTTTGCAGATTGTTGTCTTAGGATTTTCAGAAGTGAATCCAGGAGGACAAAAACAATAAAAGCCACCGTCCGTGTCCTGGCACTGTGCGTTGGGTGCACAAGGCAGCTGTATGCACTCATTGATATCTGCAAGGAAAGGTTACAAATGAAACTGTAAACACAGATTTCGCGGAAAAACTTGAGGCTGCACCAGAATCGATAAACTTACTGACGCATGTTCCTCCAACAAACTCGTAGCCAGCATCACATCGACATGTGAAGCTTCCTTTGGTGTTTTGGCATACACCATGGCGACATGGAGCCAGCTCACATTCATCGACATCTGTAATTGGCAAGTTTTTAATCTCTAACTGTTAAGCCTAGCGCTAACACTCGCGCATACCAGCACACATTCCATTAATGAATCGGAAACCTTGCGGACAATTGCATTGGTAGCTTCCAATCAGATCTATACAGTCACCCGGTATGCAGGGATTCACCGGACCGGCACATTCGTTGATCGCTGTAAGAAACATGATGTACAGTGTAAACCGCAAACTTCAATACTTCAGAAATGTTTCTACCTGTGCAGGCGCCGCCGGTGCTGTTAGTCCAGCCAAAAGGACATAAACAGTTATAATTTCCTGGAGTATTGACGCAGTTTCCTGGGTTGCATGGATTGAAAGGTGGAGCACATTCATTGACGTCTACGAAAACGAATGCAAATTACATTACCTACTCGTAGTGCCTAATCTTGATATAAGCTTTTGCGTGGATTTCAGGAATGTCGTCTCAGTAAGCGTACCAACACAAAGCTTTTTATTCTCCGAAAGCTCGTATCCCTGTCCGCAGAGGCACTGATACGATCCGAGGGTGTCAATACATTTGACAGCACCCTCACCACAGGGAGGTGGGATGAGTTCACACTCGTTGATTTCTGGATAAATAATTTTTGTTTAGAGTGCAACAATTCTTCTCGAAGAACTTACGAATGCAGTCTTTGGGAGGTTGTGATGTTGATCGATATCCCGGTGGGCAGGTGCACATATACGATCCTTGCGTTAAAGCGCTGCAGGCAATTAATACCATAATTCAGCAAAATATGTATCGCAGCTGTATTGTACACCTGACATGTTCCACGTACCATGTTCCAGGTTTGCACTTGTCTTCAATAGCACAGTAATTGATTTGTTTGCAGGCTCCGTTTAGGAACTGGAAACCGGGTGGACAGTTGCACTGGTATCCGCCACTCGTCTGCAAAGACAGAATGTATTATGTATTATTAGAATGTATTCACGCCTCTAACGTGCAACTGCGGCAAATAAGGAAATAAAACGTTTACTTCGACACAGTTTCCAGGTGCACATGGATTCGGATTGTCCCTGCATTCCTGTATGTCCACACACGGTCCCGTCGGTCCTCCGGCGTTGCGGAAGCCCGGAGGACACCTGCAGGCGAATGCACCGATGGTGTTCTCACACTGTCCCTGACCACAATCCGGAGGATTGCGGCTGGTACATTCGTTTACATCTGATAATTGCAAAACACTGTAAAACAGTCATACACACCGCCTCATTCAAAATGCTTACCAATGCAAGTCAGTCGATCAAATTCGTAACCTTGCGCACATAAGCACACGTAAGAACCGTCTGTATTCTGGCACGTTCCCATATTTCCGCATGGATTTGATACAGCACACTCGTTAATTTCTGTGAAAGGATTATACGAAGGTTTTAAGTACCTCTTGCCTTGTAACAGTAAAGTTTTCCATGGTCGTTCTCACCAATACAAGTGTGGCCGTCGTATCGGTACCCCACTGGGCAAATGCATTCGTATCGACCCGGGAAGTTTTTGCATTCTCCGCGACCGCATGGTTTCATTGCACACTCATCAATTCCTGCATTTAACATAACTCGGTCAAACAAGTGAACTCTGTAAGAAACGCAGTATCCGTGTCACGCGTACCAATGCAAGTTACTCCATTGAAAGCAAATCCCAAAGGGCATTGGCACTTGTAATTGTTTTCTCCAAGCGCACTGCACGTTCCAGGCGAACACAGGTCCTTTTGTTGGATGCAGGGTGTGACTATATTACCAGGCAAATAGTTGTAAAACGAACGGATACGCAAGAGAAGTACTGTAACCCATACTAATTTTGGCGCAGGTTCCAATCGACGGCATATAACGGAACCCATCCGGACATACGCATCTGTAGCTTCCTGGTGTATGCTCGCATTGTCCGGGTTCGCAAGGATTTTTTGGAGATTCGCACTGGTTAATGTCGACACAGTAATTGTTGATTAGTTTGAATCCGGTGGCACATCTGCAGGAATACGTTCCCGGAGCATTGCTGCATGTACCACCCATGCCGCAAATGGTGGCGTTCTCCTCGCACTCGTTTACATCTACAAAAACAGATACCGGAGTATAAAAAGCGAAGCTTTCAGTAAATTAAGTTTCCTTACCAACACAGGCATCTTGCATATACTTGTAGCCAATAGGACATTCGCATCGGTACGAGTAGCCTTCCGGTAAACATTTGCCTGGTAGACATGGATTAGGGGGACCGCATCGTGGAGCTAAAGTAACAGAAAATTGTAATACCTCGAAAAGATTTTCTGTAGACCACTTAGAGAAATTACAGATGTAAAATAATATGCAATTTTGACTTGGCAGGGTCGAAGCTGACACTGAATGATCAAAGTGGTAACTTGTCAAAACTGGATAAAAATATAAAAACGTACGGATAATTGCGCATACACCACGTTCCCAGATGTAGCGGGTACCAGGGGGACAAAGACAGGGTGGCGTGTCGTCGTTGGGTCCGGGCTGCTGACACACGCCGGGAGCGCACGTGACTTCGATGCATGTGGTACTTTCTGAATAAAAAAAAAACAGGGATGCAAATAAAGCGATTTTGCTTTAGTGGCCATCATGTTTGTACGGCAATCTGGAAATGTGCAGCGCTACCTATCGGTAACAGTTAATTATGATATTATGTTCTTAAATCTCACTTAAATACAAATTCCAAATCATATTAGGTTGTATAAGCCTGCTTCCGCAACTTTTTCAATTTTTAACTTCAAATTGCGAAACAAGAAAACACAACATCTGATCATACTTATGCATATTCCTTTCGTAAGGTCCTTTTCCATCCCGTCTGGACATACAGCTTCTGCAGAAATTATGACGTTAAGCCTTTATTTCCACTTTATTTTATAATTGATACCCGTACCGCATGGACGCAACGGTGGACTGCCTTCAAAACCAGGACGGCATACGCAGGTGATTTTGTAAGTTGACGCCGTCACTTGGACATTGCAGTCAGCATTTGGACCGCAGTCTCGACTGGCCACACACGGCGGCGGGGCAACTATTCGCAAGCGCATTAGTATTATATGTTTCGGAAATAAGTACTTCTGTAAGGTGGGCAGATTTGTGGACAAATACTCACTGCATGCCACTCTTCCATCGCCATAGTATCCCGGCGGACATCTGCAAATCGGTCCATCAGTACTGTCAGCACATGGAAGCGCTAGGGCTCCACATCCGACGTATTCGCACGTATTCAAATCTAAAGATGCACTCGATTGCTACAGATGGAATCAGTGTGACCGAACATTTAGCTTTCGATACATACTGGCACATTTTCCATCGATCCAGTCAAAATTAGGGGGACAGGTGCATCGATAACTTCCCGGCGTGTTGACGCATGTACCACCGCCTGGACAAAGGTCACCCAGGAATTCCACGCATTCATTTCGGTCTTCGCAAAACTTCTGATTGAAGAAGAATCCTTTGGGACAGACACAAGAATACGAGCCTTCGGTGTTTAAGCAGTTCCCGGCAACACAAGGATTTGCTGGAGCCGCACACTCATCAACGTCTACCAAAAGCAGCAAAGTTATAACACCAAAACGAAAATGTAGCGACGTTACGCCCGAATATACCTATGCACTGGCCGTTGACGAATGTATACCCAGCCAGACAGTCACAAGTATACGATCCCGGTGATTTTCGGCAAGTTCCTCTTCCACATGGATTCACAGGAATGCACTGATTGATCTCGACACAAGCCCCATTTTGCACCATCCAGCCTTTGGGACAAATGCAGCGATAGGATCCAGTCACATCTTGGCACTGACCAGGAGTACAGGGGTTTGTAATCGCGCACTGCTTGATAGCTGAAAAATACAATACATGCAACAACCTTAGCGCTGGCCGTGTTTTCGTAATCAACATCGTTTCGTTTTCGTTTGTTTTCTTACCAACACAGCCTCCCAGAGTATTTTCGTAACCGGGTGGACATGAGCATTCGTATGAGCCTTCTAGATTCTGGCATCGTCCAGGTGAGCATGGTGGATTTGGAACAGCACATTCGTTGACATCTAACAATGTCAAAGTGTACATAAATTTCTTTGAGCCATACAACATGCAGTGCAAGCGGCGTACCAACACAATGTCCCGCTGCGGTATCAAACTGGAAACCTTTAGGGCATTTGCAGGAATAGCTTCCCTTGGTGTTAACACAGTCTCCAACCAGACACGGATTGTACAGCATGCATTCATCGATATCCACGCACTTTGAAGGGTAACCAATCTTCTGCCAACCTCTCGGACACTGGCAGTCGTAGGAGCCGTCAGTCATGGCAGTGCAATCTCCGGCTTCGCCACACGGGTTTTTACTGCTTTCGCAGACATTAATGGCTGCAGATAGCAACCGCCAACTTTAAAACATCCAGCAACGAATTTGAATGCAGTAGTATTACCTATGCAGGCACCGTTGCCTCGATCACGGAAACCCGGTGCGCACTCGCAGCGCATCATCTGTTTATCCGGCGCAGAAATGCAACGCGAATTGGGACCACATCCCGCTTTTTCACAACCAACCGCTAAAAATTATCATTAAATATGTTATCAATATATCGTTTTGTTCGTTATCATTATGTAGTCACGTATCGTCTTATTCACCACTTCACAATTCACATTTTCTTATAATTCTATTAAGATTTGTCTTACCAACACACCGCCCGTTCATTGTCTGGTAACCTTTGGGGCAGTTGCAGATATATGATCCCGGACGGTTCATACACGTTCCAGGAGTACAGGGATTCATCGCGCATTCATTAATTTCTATGAGGGAATGAAGCAGAAAATTGTATCGCATCGAAATTTATGGAAACTGTGGATTTAACGGAAATTAAGCTTCATCAAACTAACTTACCAACACAGGCAGATCCGCGCACCGCTTGATACCCGACAGGACAGTAACACTGGAATGACCCGTCCATTAAATCAACGCATCTCGTCCCCGAAACACCCACACCACAGATACCGGGCAGTTGACACTGGCGCACAGCCACACAGCCTCCCGGCGTGGATTGGAAACCCTTCGGACAGCGGCACTGATAGCTTCCCACGCTGTTAATGCACATTCCCGGGGAACAGAGGTTGGGCGATTCAGCGCACTCGTTGACATCTTCACAGCGATTATTAATGAATTCAAAGCCCGTTGGACACAGGCATCTGTAGCCTCCAGCCATATCCTCCTGGCAAGTGCCGATCGTACAAGGATTGTACATGCACTGGTTGATTTCTAAAATTAGTTGCTGATTAAAGCCATTTTGCGGTCGAAGTGTAGACAGCTGGAAACGATGGCGTACGAAAACACTTACTTATACATTCCTGTCCGGCCATAAGATCATAATTGGCCGGACACACGCAGGTGAAACTGCCCGGCAAGTTGACACATTGGCCTGGTTCGCATGGATTAGTTTTGGCCACGCACTCGTTGATATCTGGTCAAATGAATATTCATGATTAACAGTTAACAAACGGGCAGATTAAGTGTATGGTGTCAGGAAAAATTCAAGCAAGCAGAAATCGATTTGCTAACTTATTAAAATACTTATCGCTAACTTCGTCCGATCGATATCGTGACGATAAGCGGTTATTATTAATTACAGACTGTTTATTGATGCATTTTCGGAATTACGTATCAGCAAAATGACAGTAAACGATGGTGTTACGGTTTGGATTTGGTTTGATCATCATGGTTATATGCTAATTTTCGTATTGAAACCGGTAAACAAGACTTTCTATGCTATGGGTAACCAGTGAAAATTTCCATCGGTTTCGCAAAGCAGCGAAAACATTTTGGTTAAAATTGACGCTCACCTTCGCAGGTTCTGCCGTTGAACTTGTAACCAGGTTGACAGGTACACGAGTAACTTCCGCGCATATTGACGCATTCGCGTGAGCCCAGCCCACACGGATTCCTTACGCATTCATTAATATCTGTCCGCATAAAAGTCAACATGCTTTCAGTCAGTTACTGACAAATGTGACATTCGCTGAACGACCACTCACCGACACAGGTCAGATCGTCGAAGACGAATCCTTTGGGGCACGTACACGTATAGCGACCGCCCAGATCCGTACAAGTGGCCCCTGGACCGCAGGGATTGTAGAGAGCGCACTGGTTGACGGCCACACAGGTTCCTTTGGAGTTAACGTAGCCATTGGGACAAGTGCAGGTGTAATTTTGGGCCAAGTCGATACACTGGCCGGAACCGCACGGGTTCTTTTGAAGACAGAGTCGCATAACTGCGCAGGGAAAGTGACACCCGTAAAAACATCAGCTGTACTGAATTAAATTGTCAAACACCATTCCTACATGTGCACTCGTTTCCCTGCTGGAATAATCCTGATGGACAGCGGCACTGGAAACTGCCAACGGTATTCATGCACACGGATCCGGCGATACTGGAGCATGCGGTTGGAGCAGCACATTCATCGATATCTGCAACGAAAGCGTTATAGACGCACTGATTGGTTCGCAGCATGACCTCAATCCCAAGGAAAAGAGTAAAATGTTCAAAACTTTTAGACGCTTCATTCATTCAAGTTATCAAATGCATCCATGTATACATAAACTATAATCATGCATATGCCATGTTAACGCACTCACCAATGCAGTGTATCCCGTCAAACTGGTATCCCGGCGCACACGTGCACTTGTACGATCCTATGGTGTTTTCACAACGTCCTTGACCACAAACATTAGGATTATCCACACATTCATTGATGTCAACGCAGACTGGGTTGTTGGTGTTGGCTGTCAGTCTGAACCCGCTCTGACAGACACACGCAACTCCGCCTTCCGGTACTGCCAGGCACTCAGCATATTGACCACATTTGATTAACTGACAGCGAGATGGATGACAGTTTCCTGGTTGGCCAACGTAGTCATCTGGACAGACGCAACGCGGGATGTTCATGTCAGCCACACATTCGGAGTCCATCGGGCATTTGTAACTATTGCAAGGGTTTTCTGCAGAAAACGAGATTCAAACCACGTGCGTAAAATTCAAACAACGCTAACAGTGTACAACAAACCTCGAATGCAAACATCTGTGCGATCGAAGGCATTTCCCAGCTTCATTTCCGGTGGGCAACGACACTCGTAGCTGCCGACCGTGTTGATGCAGGCCGCATTGGTTGCGCACGGCCGCTGCATACATTCGTTAATATCCACACACGCTCCTTTACTGAACTCATATCCATCCGGACAACTGCATTGATAACTACCTTCGGTATTCCGGCAAGTCCCCGGGAGACAAAGATTGGGAGACGCCGCGCATTCGTTGATATCCACGCAGGTCACCCCGTTGAATTGGTAGCCGGGTCTGCACGTGCATTTGTACGATCCGATCGTATTTTGGCAGTCGCGAGCGCCCGCGCCGCATGGTCGTGCAACAATGCATTCATTAATGTCTAAAATTAAAATCGATTCAGTTTCGCTTCCAGATACTAATTGGATAAAATTGAGTGCCTGCGTAGTGAAAATTTGGAATAAGAAAACTGTAGCTTAAAGAACATGTGACACTCACCAACGCAACCTCCGTCACGGAAAGAGTATCCCGACGGGCATTTGCACACAAACGACCCATCCGTGTTGACACACTGTCCCGGTTGACACAGGTTCGGCTGCAGAGCGCATTCGTTGACGTCGACACAGGTGGCTTGGTTGAACATGTACCCATTGATGCAAGCACAGTTGTACCCTCCCGCTTTGCCCACGCACACTCCATTGGGTCCGCAGGGATTAATTTGACACATATCGATCGAGACACACTGTCCATTCGTCTGACTGTAACCTTTCGGGCATGAACACTCGTACGATCCCGGCAAATTCCGGCACGTTCCTGGCGTGCACGGATTATATACACATTCATCCACATCTACAAATAAAATAATAAAATTAAAAAATTAATACAATTAAAGTTAATTTAATTTAAAACCATAACTTAACAAGGCTGTTTGTCACTTAGAAGGCTTTAAAATTCGATGACAACCCAAAAGGTCGTCCTTAGTGCGCAAAATCGTTTTTAAAGTCTTCGAAGCTCATACCGACACATTTGCCATTCATGAAGTTATATCCATTGGGACAATCGCAACGGTACGTTCCGTACTGCGACACGCATGACCCCGGACTGCAGACGTTGGGATTATTGGCGCACTCATTGATGGCCACACACTTTCCGCCCTGTTCTTTGTAGTTCTTGGGACACACGCATTTGTAGGAGCCGGGCATCGGCACACAACTGCCCGGCGAGCAGGGCGTCTTGGGTCCGACACACTGGTTGATGCTCAAACAGCGGCCGTTGGATTCCTGATAGCCTTGAGGACACTGACACACCACGTGCCCATCGGCTGCACTACACGTGCCAGGAGCGCATGGATTTTCCGCGCATTCATTGACGGCTGAGGAATCACACATGATATAGTTATACAAATATAATACATAATAGATGTAATAATTATCCAAATACACTATTATAACAGTGTTTTTGGAAAAATTTAATGAAAAACACGGAATCTTACCGATGCAGTTCGGGTAACGCCCTTGGAAGCCCGGCGCACACCGACAACGATCATACAGACAAATGACTCCGACGGGCGTTGTTGGTTCTGGAGGTGGGGTAGTTAACAGTTGTCTGCTGGGAACTGCAATCAGATTTGCATCGTGCAGTTGGTGGATCTCGAAATTAAAAATTTATTGCATGGTATTCATACCGCATCCTTTGTCCGGACTTCCGTCGTAATGGTCTTTGCAGTAGCACGAATCGTCTCCGTCGTCGTAGGTGCACGTGCCTTGCCGATAGCAGGGGAAACCTTCACAGGGCGTGGTTTCCGTGATCGACACTACAGAAATAGGAACGGGCTAGATTTTCACGCTGACGGTGTCCCAGATTTACTCGTATTTCTCTAACTGCGCTCTGCGCATACCGCATTTTTGGGTTTTATCGTAGGCGATGGTTGTGCTGGTGCCGTCAGGACAGGTGCATGTGTAGCTGCCGGCCGCGTTATGGCAGATAGCGTCTTGCGCGCAAGGATTTCGCGAGCATTCGTTAATATCTGCATTGCAATAATACAAAATTTATTATTTAAAGAAATTATCATCGAAAATCAATATGAACAAGATCAACACAAGGACATCATACCGAAACAACCACCGTTCAGTGCGGTAAATCCAGCCTGACATTTACAAATGTATCCATTATTCGTGCTCACACATTCGCCGTGGGGTGCGCAAGGATTGCGATTGAGACACTCGTCTACCACTACGAGTACAGAAAGTGTTCGCTGTTAGCCTGTTACATAATGTTGTGACATGAATTCATAAAAAAAATTTAAATCGTTCCACAAAACGTGCAGCGGTATCACACTAGCGTTAAAACACTTCTCTCCGTGCGTTTTCAAAATTATGCAAAACCGTGTTGCACAACAATATTATACGAGTACCGCTAATAATAGCTTGCTTACTTCCACATTCGTTGGGACCAATTTGCTCGGATCCGGGCGGACATGCTAAAAGGCAATAAAACCGGTCAGTGTGTAATGAGTATTACATCCATAAACCCTCCATTTTCAGTCTGCGAGTGGGTCCGTACTTCGACACGCTTCTTTGCGACTGTATACGTTCTTTGTTATGGAATTGGCCGGGCAAGAACATGTGTAACTTCCGGGTGTGTTGGTGCACAGAGCGCCGGTTGCACATGGATTATTCACGCACTCGTTGATGTCTGATTATTTTATAAAAAGAAATTATTTTCGGTTTAAAAATAAAACAATTTCAAATACAAATCAAATTCTTCCTACCGTAGCAGATATTATCCGGAGGACTGCCGGCGTATCCAGGATTGCACTGACAAGTAATCAATCCCGCTCTCACCGAGCAAACCGCGTTAATTCCACACACAGATTCGTGGTTTGCAGGACACTGCACCAGCACTAGAAACAAAACCCAAAGAAATGTTTACTTATTATAAACAGAAAACGTATGTATATAATCGAAGTACTTATACAATCGCAACATGGTATGGTGACTGCATAAATGGTGCGGTGACCTTGTGAGAGTGTTTTACACATACCACACTCCTGTTCTGCAATTCCCGTGTATCCATTCGGGCACTGACAATACGCCATCCCGGGACCCTTCTCCACGCACACTGCGCCTCGGCCACACTGTTTCTGCTCGCACGCTCCCAGGCAGGCCGAGTTGCGGTCGAAGGGGTTGAGAGCACGCAGGCCATCCGGACACTGACAGCGGTAACTGCCGGGCATGTTAAAGCACTGCGCTTTGGCGGCGCATGGCTGGTCTTCGCACTCGTTGATGTCGATGCACTGTGGCGGTGTTCCCTGAAAGCCCATGCCACAGACGCAGCGCATGCCTTGGCAAACGCTGTTGCCATTGCACAGCATTGGATCGCAAGGAATCGGATATGCTACAATTATTACAGGCTTTAGCGTTTTCTGGTTGTTTTGACCCTTGATAACATTATTGTACATACTGGGAAAACATCCCACAATTGGATTGGCTGGCTCTCCTTGAGTGCCAGGCGGACAAATGCACTGGGTCTGGGTACCGCGTAACACGCAGATGGCTTGTGGACCACACAAACATTGCTCTGCAATATTTCGCATAAAAACATTCACAATATATTATTACTTTGATTTAAATTGTCCTTTATTTTCAACATCCATGTATAGAAGTACTCTATGCTTTTGTATATTTTGTATCTTTTTTATTTCAGTTGTTTACCAATGGGAATTATGGTAAGATTTTTCGCTGGGGGAATAACGGTTATTCCGAAACACGTGCTCGTGGTGTCGTAAGGATTAAGAATCGTCGTGCCAACTGGACATTTACACTCGTATCCACCATCCGTGTTCCGACACTGCGCCCCGGCTGCACACCCAATCACCGCGCACTCATTAACATCTAAATAAGCCCAACCGACAAAAGATGTGTCAATGTTGCTCATCAAAAGGGCTGTTGTGCCGAGAAAGCAATTAAATGTTGACGACGTTTACCAACACAGCGCTGCAGTTGCGTGTCGAAGGTGTAGCCGTCCAAGCATGTGCACTGATAACTTCCGGGTGTGTTGGAGCACATGGAACCCGGTGGGCAGGGATTCTGCTCCGCACACTCGTTGATGTCTGCCGGTGAAAAACACCAACAATTGTTTTAACCATATTCTACATCTGTTTTAATGTACTTTATCAATATTTTCTTTTAGCCATCGAATCCAGCAGTATACCGGCATTTGGATGATCGTACAGATACACCAACAAAGGATGAAATGTTTTCGAATCACTCTTCTTACCAATGCATTTGTCAAAACCGTTGCCGCGGAATCCCGGTAAACAGCGGCATAAGTAGCTGCCCGGAATGTTGCAGCATTCTGCGTGGGGCACGCAAGCGGAGGCCGTCTGCGGATTCGCGCATTCATCGATGTCTGGCGTCAAAAGGTCAAATGAAATCATTGCTAATATAGCACTCAACAAAACGTTATTATTGTGGCAGATCGATGTGACAGTTATTACCTGTACAAGTGCTGCCATCGCCGGAAAAACCAGGCAGACAGGTGCAGTAATAATTATCCATCGTATTTGTGCATTTTGCGAATATATCACAGGGCCGGAATTTACATTCATTAACAGCTGAAATGAATAATATTGTACCCGGTAAAGCCATAAGATAGCGAAAGAATTTTATATAATTTTGCAGGTTATTTTTAATTTATTATGGGAAGAAAAATTAAAATAGGAATGCGTCGTAAAACTTGAAAACTTACTGTGCTGCATTTTCGGAAATGTCCACAACCGAAGACCATTAATTTTTTATGCAAGTTTCAGCATAAATACTTGAATGTCATTTATACTTTCGCATAATCGCATTTAGTTTTATTAATTCACATCATAAGTGATTGTTGTGGACCTTGTGGTTATTAACAAGTAGTAATTATATTAAATGTACCCGGAGTGGTGCAGTCACATCCAGTATATCCATCGTCGCAAAAGCACTCGGATTTGGCCGAAGAAGCTAAGCATACGCCGTGCGCACAGTTGGGCGAACATTCACCTGTAACCGCACACGCTTTACCGCGCTGCTTTTATTCGTTTGTTTTTGACGTGTTGCTTGTAACGAGGACAAACATTAATTTTAGTGACTTTTACTACCATATTCAGTTTTATGTACTTGAACTGAATGTTTGCTTAAGAGTAAGTTTATTTCGGTCTACTACGACTAAGCTCTTTCACAAAAAAAACGGAAACGCTCTCGACGAAAACAAATTTAAATTTCCTTTCGTTAGGAATAATTTCATTTTTACATTAGCATTAATTTCTGTTTGTCACTGATATTTGATATTATTGCCAAAAAAGTGATGACAGAGTATCATACGTAAAGACGAACACACAGTTCTTGTAGGCTCTGTTTAAAGTGAAAACACTTACGCGAACAGGGAATGTAGTCGCGATTTTCATCCGTTCCTCCAAAACAATCCGGTCTGCCGTCACATAATTTTGAAAGACTATAAACTTCCAGAAAATCGGAAGAGGCATTCAATTGGCACGCAAAAAATCCTAGCTCAAAGTTAACAACAAATATTTCCCGCATATTTTTGGGTAATTTGATGGGATAATAACTCGACGCGGAAAACGATGACCTTTGCTTGGCTTCCACCTGCATTAAGCGAAATAAAAAACAAAATAATTTTAGCAAAATCCCATTTGACTCGTATGAAACACGCGAACACTGCTTAAAGCTTGCACCACAAAGAATCATTTATTATGATTCTCACGAATACATAAATAATAAATACCGCGCTTAGAACACTAATCCAGAAAATACCTGACATATTGAGATCAATAGGAAGAGCCATGTAAAGGCGGTTAGGCATGAGTGACATGCCGGTCGACGTATCCGCCAACCCATGTTGCCTACAAAATGCGACAGATTAGTCTCATTGTAAAGTAAATAGATCAGCAAATATATTCCATTCTAAATGATATACCAATCCATCACGTTACGCAATACCGAAATGACACGATGGCTTTAAATTTTTATTTATTCATCGCCGATAGCCGATGTGCATAAACTACGAGGAGGAGCTACCTTGGCCCGATCAAAGGCATATGCGCGACCATAAACCGATCACTGTGCCCGTGTATGTGCATGCTGGGTCACGTGGTTGTGTAATACGGCTAGCCACCCAGCGGTGGCAGCGCATGGAAGTCAGCACTTAAAACAGCACAGCTGCCACAGCAGTTGATCACTCATTTGTTTTTTACCTATTTTTAAACTTTCAACCAGTATTTTAAAATGTGAAGAAAAATTGAACTTCTACACAAATATCCCTTCCATTTCAAACCAAGAAAGTTATGCGTGGTGGAATCTCTTGTAGACATAGCACGGGACTTCAGGTCACGGTTCCAAGAAAGAATTTCACGAAAACCCAAGAGTTTGTAACTCACTTGGTTCTCCTGGTAAAAATAAAACTTATGCCACCTTTTCGCATATGAAATTTATTTTAGAGACACTGAAGAAAGGAACGCTTTAACTGGATAAGTTGGATTTCTTAATGGATGTTTAAAACTGACGTTTACGCGCTGGTGCTTGCAATCTGCCACCGCGGGGCGGTTAGCCGTGCTGCACGCACATGGAAACAGTGATCGGTTAATGGTCGTGCATATGCCTTTGATCGGGCCAAGGTAGCTCCTCCTCGTACCTACAATTTCGCTGTCGTAAACCCTTTTTCTATACGCTCGTTTACATTGGATGTATAATAAGACCGGCCTGAATTTCGGTAGTTGTCGTTGCATATGATGTTTACTTAATTGACACAGCAGCAGCCAATCAGCGTTAAGCGTACACTATGCGACAAACATTTTGAAACCGTTGCAAAATCTGCTGGATCAATTTGCAATTGCACTTTATATACTATTCTGTCGCCTTAATAATGTGGCAACGATGTATCGTGCCTATTGTATGCACGCTTTGTACAATATACGCTGTCCAAGGCTTGGCTAATTATAATAATCTATGAGGCAAAATGGCGAAATGATTTTCTTCAGCTAGAGTAGATATAAGCTTTGTCGACTGAGTGTGACAGTTGTAATCGAAAGCACGCGAATATTTACCTAATCGATAATAACTTGTAGGTATCAAATGGTCAGAAATGCCTTTCGGGAAGAAACCATTTCATTGCGACTAATTTAACCGCTGGAGTATGCAGGTCATTAAAAAACCGTTACGTCTTAATGGTTAATAAATTACTAAGGAAAAAGTATATTTGCTTCTACCACAAAAATTATCAGCATAATGAAAATACGGGCGACACAGAATAAATCGATTTAATGCAGTTTGACCGTTGACGAAGTTAAAGAAAGCGTTATGAAATTCAACGTGAAATCAAAAATCGTCGACATTTATTAAACGCTTAGTTGTCCGACTTACTGTACTTTGTGAGTGTGTAAACCGTAAGGTGTAAACTTCATTTTATCCTACTGCATAACTTTAATGCATCCGCAGAACAGCAGCCCCTGAATATATTTTCGTCGTACTCAAGGTTGCCCTGAAGGTTTAATATTAGCTAAGTACAAGTACAGCGAAAGCGTATTGCCACGGTTTACGATTTAGAAATTTTTTAAATTATCGTTTAACATAGCACTTAAAGGACATTGTTTTCCCTACTTACAGTCTATGTAACTATCTGCACATTGCTTGCTGAAAGTGCTTAAACTAATGTCGTCGAAGTTAGAAAGTATGACGAAGACAAGCAGTGCACTGAACCAGCGCATTCCCGTGGGTATCTTCACAATGTTATTACTAATTTGACCGCATAAGTTGGTAAAAAACTGTGTAATCAGAGCAAATGCTCTGTTAGATGGCGGTGCAGCTGGTCGTTGTCATTAAAGAGGAATAGCCCACTTTTTTAAAGTAATGATCAAGGCCACTATCAACAATATTCGATACGCTTGGGTTGACATTAAAATTATCAGCGGCGTTTTCACTTTCAATCGCAGCTACCGTGCTGCAGTTCTTGCGTTGATAGAAGCCGTGAGATCCAGCAAAGCGGTCCACGCTTACAGCAAGAAACTAAAACAAGGCTTGGAAAATCTAAAGTATTTTCCTCCCCAAGCATGATCTCAACTTTTAAAGAGTCGTGTATCAAAGATTCACTAGTAATAGTATGTATTTTTTGCATTCATTTACAGCACTTTTCGCAAAGTAGGAAAGCGGAAAATGTAATGAAACCAATGTTTTATACGAAACCTTAAGGAAATTATTTTTACTCATTGCTCCATATAAGCGTAGTTCAGTAAAACAGATTAATTTTGTAGATAGTAATAATACAGGGTTTCAAAATATAAATTTGCAAAAACGTATTTTCTGTAGCCGTATTTTATATGATTTACAGATGACAGCAAAATCAAGGCTGACGAATTGCACAGGACTTTTGACGAAAATACTGGAAAAAATTTGAGCATGCTTAAGATAAAGGCTTGTTTTAAGTATAGGTGTGTTGTTATTAATTTTCAGTAACTATCTGGCCCAGAAGCTTGAGTGCTATGTTAAAATTAAAAGCCAAGGTTCAAAAGAATAAGGGTGTGTCATGAAATCGAGTTTGTGCAACCGTGAATATCTGATATTTTACCGCATATGCATATGTACGACTAATTTTAGAGAAATACGAGTACTTAAGTATGTGGTTCAAAGAGGAGAAATATGCACGTATACTTCCTTCCACAAGACAACCAAAATCAAAGAATTACAATGTACTTTGAGCGCGAACATGTTGCACGAGTCGTGCATCAGCCGCTTTACACCAAAGTTAAATACGAGTAATAATGCGATTTTTGTTCTACCCATTACGGAAATGGAAGTCTATCATAGTTGCTTTAAACAATACACCCCCGTTGAGGACCTTAACCTTTTAACAAAAGTTGGCGTTGGAAAAGTGTGGCCTCATCAGTAATATGTGGATAATTTATGCAAAGTCGGCGTTTGTAAAGCTAAAAAGTACGGTAATTATTTGGGCTAAGCGTTACCACAGGGTGTAACCTGTTGAAACAAAAATCCCCGGACACACACAACACGCGCAATTCCAACGGCGATTGCACACAAATCATTAAATTTAATTTATTCACAGACTACCGGCGCTGAGAGATTTTTTCTTAAACAATGTGCGCTCAAAACGGTTATTTGCTTGACTCATGCGTAATTCCATTAGATAGATTATATTAAATCTACGCCAACGAGGAAGTCTGCACTGCAGTTACTTGGTATACTGGACAATTACATGCGCAGCGTAATATTCAAAAGCTCTGTAGGAAGGAGGGTTGTGCATAAACAGCAAATTAAGCTTAGCTGACGTAAACACGACGGTAGTTCATAGTTAGTAACACATTTGCCTTTTGACTAAAATAAAAATTTGATTTAATTTACCACTGAAGTCTGATACACTTTAAAAATAAAAATAAACAAGACAAATATTCAGAATTTCTGCTTATCATAACGCTAGAAAGTGCCTGTAACTTTCATGTTTTTGCAAGTGGGGTTGCTGGCCAATGGCCATGGTGCCAAAATTTCTGCAGTTAATCTGCAATTAATTTTCAGGGCAGTACTCCAATTTCGATTATCGGTTTACAAAAAGTACATTATATTCATTATGTTAGTACATTGTTATAAATTAATTTTAACCTTGTGGTATTTAGAAACCCGAAGATCTAGGTCATTAATTTTTGGATAAAGTTGTCCTCTTAACGATAACAAATTTTTAAGACAAAATAGTTCTTTTCTTTGTGCCATACATATACAGAACGTCAGCCCGAACTGAAACTTCGCAGGGAGAATCTAATATTGTAAGTTCCCCACAAAATGAATCACAAACTTATTGTACATGAATAATATTATATGATACATAGCTAGACAATTATTTTTACCCATTGGGTTATAACGAAACTGTTGCCATAAGTGAATCATTCATACGAATAAATAAAAAACTGAAAAAAGCGGCTAGTTACATGTTCTCTGTACAAGGGCAAACACGTAATATTTCTAAAAAAACGAAACATGCCGTTTAGAAAATATGTTAGAAGGTTCCATGTCAATATCAGCTTCTACAAAGAGGTAACCAGAAGAATCTGCCACGCTGATCAATCCGATACAACTTCGATTATTACAAAGCTGTCTGAGAATCCAAATTCGTTAAAAACTGCCAAAAATTGTCTTTTGTTATGAAGTGTAACTGAAAACTTCTCATGCAAGATAAGGTAATTACTTCACTATTAGAAGCGTTACAAAGCACATCACATGTTGAATATCATATGGACTACTTAATTGATAACATCACTATCTCTGTTTTTAATAAGCACAAATCACAATCATAAGATTTTACCAGAACAGCTAAAATGGCAGCTAAAACCGACAAAAAACAAGCCGTAATCACCTCTAGATCTGTCGACAAGTTTCATTTTGTACTCGTATTATCGCATTCTATATCGTTAGATTTCACTGTCTGTATTATGGTTATTTCGTTTATTTCTTTTGCAAAAATATCAGTCAACGTCACACTGCGGCTGCTAGTCAGTTGACTGACTTCATACTTCTCTATGTAACTTAAATAAGCAACTTTCATAACCGTTTTATCTTGTAGACCTAATGGAGAAAAGTGGCACAATTTGATCTTCCGTTTTAGGATGCTAAATCCTTAAATAGTGCGACCTAATAAGTACATATACGAGTGTACGAACAAACAGGCTTCCTGTGTGGACGTGCATGACGTTAACTTACCGGTGTTTCCAGCGTGATCCGCTGGCCAGGGCTGTTCCAACAGAATGCAGCCGGCTCCTGTTTCCTTTCCCACGAGAGAAAAATTGGAAGACCCTCACCGCACGGACGGGCGCTTACGTAATCCGCATCGATGCACCGCGATAATCGGCAATGACCTTTCCAAGGGAACCCGTCCGGAAGAGGTCGGTGCTACGTGTGGTGATACAATGACAATGGGCAATCCAGACGCAATGGAGTCATAACACGGTGTCATTCAACCTATGATTTCTTACTTGAGCGGATTAAAACGCAAATCGTGCCCGTGTCTGCTGGGGCTTTCGTGCCAAGAAGAGATCGGTCTAAGCTGTTTTCCGCTGCAGCTGCTGTATACCTGCTGCAGTGCAATCACACACATACAGCCGACGACTCACCATACCGTAACAATTATGCCGCCCAAGATCGCTCGACGTTACGGACCGATGAGAAATCGGCATGTGCTTAATTCTTATTTTCCAGCTCTTTCACATTGGCTTCACACAGCATATGGAGAACAAGATTTTGAACCTTTACTATGTACCGTTAACACCGTGCTGATGACTACTTCGTTAATGGCCGGCATAATGTTACGCACACGCGCTTCGCGAAGAAAGAACAACTGGTTAAGCTTCCATTCTGATTACAGAATGCAGCAGCCAGTCATCGTACGCCGAAGTTTCCTTATATGGGATATACAGGGACAACATCGGAGTGTTTTTTTTGTCAGAACTGCTTTTGTGACAGTTGTAGCGGCGGAAAATTAGCTGTTGTTATTGCAGAACCAACTTACAACGAGAATTGCCGTATTTTGACTCCTGTTGAAATTTATCTCTTCACGAGGCAACAATATGTTTTAGTAGTCCAATGCAATATAATTACACTAAGGTCGTGCTAGTCAAATATGTTTGCCAGTTGAACAAAGTGATCAAATATTTTACGCATTCATCAGATTCAGAAGCACATTACAGCACGCTACTCTTTAAGGGATTTGGCCCGGTACACAGCACCAAATTCGTGTACATACAAGAGACTACTCGCTTTCGCGCACTTCCAAAAACTTTTTTGGGTTGCTTTTTGACATTGCGTAGCCAAACGATTTGTATACATAGGCGTGAAATCCGTTTTAGCGCGCAACATCCGGTTCGGGAGTTATGGCTGTTAGAAAATTCCAAAAAGTTTAAATGCATTCAGGTGTACCAAAAGTGTCATTATGGACCGATCTCCTTCAAATTTCGCACATAAATGCACATAGCCATGAAGATCGTTCTTACACGGATCCAGACTTCCACGATTTTTTTCGAATTTTAAAACGAATTTTAAAATTTTTGAAATTCATTTTAAAACTTGAAAAGCATGGTAGAACATGAGCGGATCGGTGTAAGAACGATCTTCATGGTCATGCGCATTTACTACCTGCAAAATTTGAAAGGGATTGGTCCATAATGAGACTTTTGGTACACCTGAATGCATTTAAACTTTTTGGAATTTTCTAACAGCCATAATTCCCGAACCGGATGTTGCGCGCAAAAACGGATTTCACGCTTATGCATACAAATCTTTTAGCTACAAAATACCATAAAACAAAGCAAAAAAGTGTTTGGGAGTGCGCGACAGCGAAAGTTCCCGTGTATATACACGAATTTGGTGCTATGTACCGGGCCAAATCCCTTAAACGAATACAGGGTGCATTTACATGATTCGAAGAAGAACAACAAAATTAATAAAGAAGTTGAAGAAGTGACCTCAGTACAATTATACTCGTATGGTATATGTCAGATATCCATAGGCTTGTGGAATTACTATGGAAAAAATCAAAAGGAGAAAATTCTAGCATGACCAACATGAACATCCTTTACAAGGTATCGCTTTGATTACCGCGAACGAAAGCGAAGTAGTTATGCATCTGACACATCGCAATCTCGAAAATTTCAAATACTTCGAATGTGTTTTAAAACAGTAAAGATACTGGAAAACTGAATCAGCATGGTGAAAATCGTTGGAGGGATGGTTACAGAAAGTATTAATCGCAGACGCATTCCTGCAACGATATACCGGCCAAACTGGTTAATTAACCGCACATTACTCACATCAATTAAGCGTAAATTTTCCCATTCCACTATTCGGCATTAGAGATTGTAGCATACGTGGTCAATCAATCAGTGCGAGCAACTAGTAACTGTTATTCCACTGCAAGCAGCGTTATCCATGGAATCACTTTTTAAAACATGGGACATGAAACCGGGCAAAACTCCTATTACAGAAAAGTCACATGGTACTCGTACACAAACAATTTAGAAGCTGATCTATTCACCATAAAAGCTAATAGTACTCAAAAAATACCGGCACTTGAAAATCCTCACATCTTGACCAACCCATCATCAGAATACAAAAAAAATATTTAATGTACAAAGCATGCTTTGAGCAGAAAGGAAGAAAAGGTCCTCTGTAAACCGGCGCAGATCACCAGCTCCTAAAGCAGCAAATATCACTCTGCAACATGCAAAAAACATCCGGGATTCATCATCACATCTCCACAGGGTTACACAATGCTGCAACACCCATTTGTCGGTGGAAGATTTTTCCACACCTTTCCTTCCTCTACCGTTCCATCCTTTTCCTTCCCCGGTCGCAGCACTTTATACAACGTTTTTTCTTTCTTCTTCGGCACCGCAAAGGTATCGTTCATCTTTGAAGCTATCTTCCCCTCAGCTCCAACAGGCAGCTCATGCGTCGGCGCTTTAAATTTCGCTATAACGGAATCCTGACCTCCGTTTGCGGTTCCGTTGACGGGAAGACAAGATGCCGTGCTGTCCTCTCTTCCCGCTACTCCAGTCGGAAATTCCCGCGTCAATGGTTTCTCTTTGCGCTTCAGTAGTCGGAATCGATTCCGTCGGCTCTTCAGCTGCGACAGGGTCACTGGCTGATCAATCTGATTTAAGGATTCCTCCGCGCTTTTCATGAGCTGCTCTGCAACACTCTCCGCATCCTCATTATTCTCTTCCTCGAACGTGCGGAGTAATGAGGAGATCAGTTCCGGCGAAATAGTCTGATTAATTAAGTCCACGTCCGACTGCAGCCCTTCAATGTGCACAATAGCCGAGGCAGTAACTGCCTCTTCAGGAACATTAGGTAAAACCGGATTGCGATCCCGCAGAGAGCCCGCCGGACTGCGACTAAATTGGTAGATGGTCGTCTGACGGTCTTCTGCCGACTTGAGATCATGATCGCCCAGTGTCTGCAGGAGAGCGATAAGGTCTTCTTTGTCCTTTAGCGACGAACGACGCTGAACCCTGTGAAAAGGAGTTTGCATATGAATCTATTTGTCAAGCTCTAAAGAAAACAACTGGACAAAATCATACCCCATCACATACCGTTTTGGACTGCTACGGCGCATCAACGGACTAGTGGAACTCGGCGCACTAGTAATCGACTCCGAAGAAGGATTGCGAGCGATCTTCGATTTAAGTTTCAGTTTGGCTTCCTCTTCGCATTTCGCTTTGTATGCAGCGTCCCATAGAATCAGATTATCGCGGAATCTCTCCACCTTGTCAACTTCCTCACTAGTATCTGCAACATTTGCCAAATCCACAGCAGTTTCATTTGTACCGCGTACTTTGGCTGTAATATCCGCTCCAGCTTCCACAAGGCGTTTGGCTGCCAGGGGCTAACATTCGAAACACTGGTTAGTACACAAAGAACAACATTCTGAAAACTGAAGTCTACAGACTTTATATGCATTATATACTTTTATATACAGACGGATCACCAACAAACAAATTTACACGCGAGTTTTCTGTTGAATAACACATACCACGCAATATTTTTCAATATTTAAATTAGCAAGCATTAGGCGATTTATTTACCTCGACATCACAATTCAACTCTACAACTATTGTGCTTTTAACGCATTAAAAAACTATTATAAGAATAGCAAGACGTTTGTTGGGCACAGCAAAACTTTTTAAATGTTGGAAGTACTTAAATCATAAATCGTTGCATTCGATTGCAAATTCACATCAATAATGAAATTTAACAAATTAACAAGTATCTGTAGAATGTACAGTAAGCAGTGTAATAATAATAAAATTGAGATGTTAATTTTGGCTGTGATTTCAATGGGATCTTCCGTTTGGTAATTTAAGATATTCTTTCAAAACGTTATTTTACAATTTCGACGTCAGCTGTTAATAATTAGTGGGACCACTCCGCAGGGCAGCATTTAATCGGGTATAAAACTACCGTAGGACTGATCACTGCCAAAATCAACAATTCCGCATAAACAAGCCTACTTGATTCCAGGCCACAGCGGCATGTATGGGCACCCATCCGTCATCATCCTCTAGATCCAGAGGATAGTCGTATTTCAGCAGGAGATCCATCACCTCGAGGTAGCCATTAGCGACGGCCACGTGCATCAGTAGCGCGTTGGATGTTTTGCTAGCTGCTGTGAATATGTCCCAGATTTCACGGCGATTAACTTTCACCAAACTGCTGCTACTGTTCCGTTGCTGTCGTAATGATCCTGCTGAGCTTGGCTGCGAGCGGGATGTAAAGTTAGCGTCGATAAACGACTGCAGATCACGTAACATGTCCACTTCTTTCTTATGACGTTTCGACTCAATATCGTCTTGAGTGATACCTGCCATGAGCAGAAACGGAATATGTAGCAGTCGGTGTACATCCACATTACACTGGGTAATGTAGCAGAAAATCGATCATCCATATTTCCGCCAATTGTAAAAATAATAAAAGAAATACTCGAGTATTTGTTTTTTGAACCTTATTTATGGATAGCAGATAACATATCTGTACTCATAGTACATGCTAACTGACCGGAGATTACAGAATTATTATCCTGGAAAATAATTTCATTCGATTTCTACTTAGGAGACAGCGGTGGTCATTCAATATCAGTAACATAAAAGGTAAGCGTTATACGCACAACCAACACATGAAACCAAAGCAGCAATTCAGCAAGAAATAAGTCTATCATTGGCGAACTCGTTCTCACCTCGCTTCTGCATTTCCTGCTCGATATACGCCAGCGTCAGATCATTATCACACAAGTCGTACGGCATGTTCCCGTCAGAATTAACGGCAAGCAAAATATCACGAACGAGATCACCACTGTTGGAAGCATCGTTTGAACCAGCAATCGAGCTGTCTTTGTGTGCTTTGGCGGCATCGAGCAAAATACGCACCATCGGTAGATGCCCGCATGTTGATGCAGCATGCAACGGAGTCCATAATTCTGAATCAACTGCGCGAATATTGGCACCGTTGTCGATAAGAAGACGTGCCATATCTTCTAAATTCTCGATACAACACTGCAAGAAAGACATTTCCTCACAAAGCATGCTAAAGACTACAACAAATTCTTGTTGCTTTCAAAGACTTCTAACACAGTACAATACTTACTTACTGTTAGCATGAGAAAATAAAAATTTATCGCAGACCCAAAAAGATAGGAAGATTTAGCTCTTTCTAATTCACTCACCTGATGAAGCGGCGTAAGACCATCAGGAGAGCGACAATTAGCCAGTTCAGCTCTAGGACACCGTTCCAGATCCTCATACGTAGTCAGAAGCCTTCTCACTTCCATTAATTCATTCCTTAACACTGCATCCATTAAAAGAACATTCCATTCAAACATCACTGTTTTCTTCTTCTTCTTCACCTTCCGGTGCCGCAGTGAACCGCTCTGCGCGAGGCCATCCTCTAAAACCTCCGAACCCTGCATCTCCCGCCGATTCCACGATTCCAGCTGCTGCTGGCGGACACGTTTGGCCTTCTGAGACCGCTCAAAAAAACTCTGGTCCTGGTAGGTTTTATACTCCAGGACCATGTCGTCGCCGAGATCGCCATCCTGTTGAATGTGGCTGATGTACTCCTTGTTTAAAGTAATCACATCCGGGCTGATGCCCTCATCTTCTTCTGCCAAACGGTACAGTCCAGCACCATCCATTTGAAGATGGGCATAGGGATCGCCTTCCGTGTGCTTTGAGAATTTGTAGGTCATTCTTGTTTTGGTGTCCACGGGTGATGTGATACTAGACTGATGTCGTCATTACCGTCTATAAAGTGAAGCGGTCACTTCTCAAGAACAACAGCCTATCAAGGCTAAAACAAGCTCTGTCCATTAAGGTTGCAGCTAAAATAAATAGTCACGTAATTAGGTGCGATAATAGTAGCCGTTAGATATCCTAAATAAATACAAGGTACCAAGAGAACGCGTACCAATAAAGCGAATTCAAAAACTGATATTTTCCCACAAAAATTTGTATTATCGGCAAAGTCGCAAAACGATTCTACAAGATCATCTGCACTACAAAACAAAATTGCCGCAGAGCATTCGTCAAGACGCACTGAGAACGAAACAAAACAGCCTGGTAGACAAATTATTGCTTATGATACAATCATAAAACCATGCGAGTTTGTCAGGGACGAGAAGCATTTTCAGAAATATGCACATCAAACCTCGACAGGCGAAAAATTCCCGAAAAAGCTCAAACACGCAACCGCGACACGAACATACGCCATACACGAGTGAATAAACGCCGCAAAGCGCAACTCTCAAAGGTTATCGCCAGGCAAAGTGTGCAATGTGTAAATGCCAATAGAGCCCGCCCAGCCGCTCCAAACAGATGAGCAATTTACCCTGACCGTTAATATTTGTCTGGGGAAAATGTCAACATGACAAAATTAAAACGTACTGACACCACTGTGGTACATCCACTTGTCCCTCTTCAATAATCCTTTTGTCGAATCGCAGCACAAGGTATAAAAAATTCCCTCTCATCAAAAAACCAAAATAGCACTGTCGGTCGTCTCGAATTCAAAACCGCAACGGAGAAAGGATTTTCTTTCAACGTTTATAAAAAATGAAAGTGTTCAAATAAACTGTTTGACTAGGCTTATTCTAGTTGACAAACCGGTTGTGAAGGGAAATGCTGGCTCAGCGCTTTTTATGCGAAATCATGCCCTATACACATGCCGGGTGGCTGTCTAAACAGACCTGGTTTCCGGGGACGGAAATTCCGTCACAATGAGAAAATCGTCAAAAATAAAGCTTTAAAAAACCTAATGGAATGGAAAAATTTGCAATATTAAAAATACCGGGCGTGCACGCCGGCTAGCCCATGGATTCTCGCACTATAACCGAACTTGTCAATGCGTGAGAACGGAAGACAGCGGATTATTTTTAAGCTCTCACTAACAGCGAATGGGCATCATCAATTTGTCAAGTATAAGCTAATAAAACGTTCAAAATCAACATGAACAGATTTGTTCTTTCCGTTTCGCGAGATGGTACGATTATCGGCCACTGTAACCGAGTTTGGCAATCGAGAAATTACAATGCGGCCAACAAAAAAAGAAACCAGCACTTCCGTAAAAAGAGCGATTAGGTAAATGTCTAAATACGACATATTTCGACCGTAATAAATATTAAATGCCGCAATCACGGGTTCTACTACTTGCACACTGAAAATATGTTTCTGACACCCTTAAAAAATTATCCGACTATTAACGATATCAATACAAGTAGTATCCAAACCGAGCACGAAAACGGCACTTCAGTGTTTTAGTGAACTGACCATGAAGTGTACTAACAAGGAAAGGTGAAGTAAAACTCACTGGCTACAGCGCACACTGAAAATGTATTTTGTCATCGGTGGCCAGCTAACTTTCCGTAGGTATTCGTTGGTGATAGTATACTTCTAATTACATATTCCATAATCTGTCCGAAACCAATAGTATATTAAAAGTTTACGAAAACTTGCACCTGATTAAGCAAAGCAAAAGCGCAAAAAACTGAAACAATGTTAGGTCATCTTTCAAAATTCATCGCTCGCTCCAAATAACAATCTGCAATAATTGCAGTCAATCCACTTTCAGCAGGTCTGACAATCTAATATCGATAAATGTGGTAAATGTCCTCGCATTTGATACTCTCCACGAAAGATCAACTCTTTATAATGGAAAGTCACCTATCTCGTGGTCCATCGCATTTTTCAGTGTTGAGTTAAACTATCCGCGAACAACGACTCCTTTTCCAGACCGTCATCAGCTCGAAACAAGGTCACTGACATGCAAGCGACAAATTAATAAAACACCCATTATCAACAAAAGAAAAAAAACGACCAACGTAATTAGCCTTAAGAATCAATAACAACCAGCACTGACGATGAGTTATCAAGTTCACACGATAATCACTGCCAAAGAAAACCAGCCTCTAGCGTTAGCCTACACCTGCACGATCCTTAGTGCTAATCAATAAATCTATAAAACACGCAGAAATTTGCCTATCTATTTCCAGTTTCCAACTAAACAATATAACACATCGTTTTTAAATTACAAAGGGCGCAAATTATCCATAATATGATATTTCCCGCTGAAAGCTTCATATATTATCTGCAAAAAACCTACACAGAACTGATTTTCCAGCTTTACAAACGTAAAAATATAGTGTCCATAACCCCGTCAGTCACATTTTTAATCGACTGCCAAATCAATAACAGAAAACTGTAATGTCTGATACTGAAAAAAATAAAGATGCAACAAGCATTAAAATTCCATTAATAACATTATTATAACAACCACCATTGATTTCACTGTACTGTTGTAAATTAGGTACTGTAAGTAAAAGCATAGAGAATTGTAGCAAGTGAAAAGAACCTGGGAATGGGAATTCACTATAACAATTACATCGGAATTCGGAATACCTTGCATATTACGAAATCGACATAAATATCATTTTATTGCCATCAGTACAACTGGATCTGTTTTACATACAGTAAAAAATTTGCAATATTTCGTAACAGTACTCGAAGTCGGATCATCGGAGAAGTGGCCAAGCGGGTGACATGAATATTTAATTAGTACCTTTGCGACTCAATAGCTTCTTCTGTAGTATGCTACAGCAGTTGCGTTGGCTTTCACAGCGGCTTTCCAACGCATAACACACACCAACTGGTCCACTTCCGTCACCTAAATAATGAAACCATGGATGAGCGATTGATCACCGAGCAGCAGTGCGAAACAAACTGGTTCGTCGTTATTCACAACAACACTAACTGCTACTTGGTGATTTCTGCTTGTTCAGCATGCAGCGAGTTTTTACACAATTTGGATTCAGAACCAAAATACCCATAGTCCAAAAGCAGTGTAAACAGTAAACAACCACCAATTACGAAAACTAAAGCCCCATCTAAAGGGATTTAGAGTTCACAGGGCAAAGGCAGAAGTCTTCTGGCATGTCTTGCTGTTCCACATACCAACGAACGATGTTATCCGATTTCAACCGCTGTTATCGCCAGAATGGGTAAATATCAACGTGGTACTGTTCATGAATAATCAAAATATCAACACACTACATTTCGAAGCCCGCGGCCGAAGGTGCTGTAAAACCCAGCAAACTTTATCGAGGAGAGAATGATCGACCTGTGCAATGCAGTCAAATGAAGAGCACTAACACGCGTTAAAACAGTCACGACTCACAACCATTTGATGGCCACAGGTAAGTACATACAGTATTTGCTTTACACTGCAACGTACTACGCCATATGCGTACGCTGTAATACGCGCGCGCAGGTAAACCTGGCTCGACGGTAAATCATTTAGCCAGCAGCTCACGCAAAGGCATCCGCCCTCGGCGGGAGATTTCAGCTCCAGGCATAAATATGTACAGTACCTCCAGGCTCCAAAGTCCATATTACCTCCAAACTTCCAAAGTTTGAAGTTTCAGACTGTACTCGTAGTGACTGTAATGATGTGATCTAATGCACTACAAAGTAAATATTAAAAACAAAGTTTAAAATATTTTCATGTTGTGGGAAATCCAAATCTAGGAAACGTATGCTGGGCTGCCGAAGCTCTTGTGCTGCTGTTTAAATTACTACTCTAGTGTAATGCATTTTCTTAAGGATCCCCTATCTCATATCACATCAGATATGCATAGTGCGTGATTTAACCGTTTAAACATTTCCTTGATTTGGAACCAGACACGGCAGACGATATTTTACTTTGTATTCCTTGAATCATTGGTGACGGTTTCCGTTTGCTGCCCAACGTCACACAGCCCACAGGTACCGTCAAAGTGGGATTTTAGAATTACAATACCTATTACCACCCTCACCCTATTCCCCTTCCTCCGCTCAGCAGCACCCTTTCCCATATAGATGCTCACCGACTGACTGGCGAACTGTGGCCGTAACATCACTAACATGTCGCTGACATTAAGTGATGCGCTGAACACGGCCCGCAATCTGGTAGCTAGCATGCGCCAACGCGATGCTACAATGGAGTCTTCGCGTCGCAGTGCTCGTGCGAGTCTCCACCGACTGGAATCCGCGCTGGATGCCGACAGCCGAAAGCCTAACATGCCCGACAGCCATGGTATAGTGGAGCAAGAGCTGGTTGAGCCATTTCCCGATTTCATCATGAATAGTCCGGAACACCGTGAATTGTATGACAGTAATCGCGAATTGTATCATGTGGTGGCGGAACAACAGATCACGCTGCAGATGATCATGGAGAAATATCGCATGCAGATGATGGAACTGCCTTCCGCTACAAACTACATGATGATGCAGAAATTGTTGGAAAAATATGAAGACCAAACAGGTATGTTTTGAACGATCGAGAATAATAATTTTAGTACAAACGTGTACCGTACTAGGTGTATTCTTCCCAAATTGTTCTTCTTACAAATTGGCCCAGATAAAACTGCATTTGGTGGTTACGTGGAATAAATTTTTCAAGGATAGTACACTAAACCATAAGTCGCGTAGAGGCACAAGCAAACAGTTTTTTCATCATATGTGGAAGATGTACCGAAGCGGAAGGCCTGAGAATTTGATGATATTCCTGGACCAGGAATTTTTTATCTTCTGCAGGGATCTTCCTGCTTTGGGTTTTTGTTATTGTAATTGATTTATCACACCCAATAATGGAGAATTATGAAAACGGCTGAAGATTTTGTAATCGCATTCTGGGTTTTGCAGGAATTTTAATGCACGAGAAAGGTGTTGCACTGCAAGTGATGGGTGACGCTGTGTGGGAGGATGACGATGCCGACTTTGTACTCACTCAGCATTCCGCACAGATGGTCACGGAAAATGAAACCCTCCGCATGCTGGTGCAGCACAGTTTGCGCACCAACGGGATTAGTGCTTTGAGCCTTGGAACGGAAAGTGGCGCTGCTCAAATTCCGCAATCGGATGATGGCACAGCTAATCAGAATGTGTCGCAGTCAGTCGGTGAAGAGTCTTGATGGGTTTGGATCGTTTCTTGGGTCAGCTATTTTGCTCGGAAAATCTGGGCTGGAAGAAACTATGATGGGAACTGTGTTTTTAACATTACTAATCCGCGTTAAGTTGGTGAGATTTGCGTTAATACAGTTGGAATATGCGAGTCGTAAATATTAATATTACTTACTTGTATCGTAATACTTGTATCGCGTCATACCGACTCACATTCCAGCTTTCCGACTTGTTGCTTCTAGCTTTCTGTTGAATGTTTTATGCATCTTTTCTCAGTTACTCCATTATTTTGATGAAAAAATGTAAATAATTAACGAATCTAAATTAAATCTGTTTTTGAAGGTTTTGTCGTAAAATTGATAATGAATTACGCTTTAAGTTCACCAAGCTGCAAATGAGAAAGACAACTTTCTCAGGCTCTTAACAAGTTGCCTATTCTGGGCGAAATCATAACTGCACAATTTCGTTATCCATTTATCATTAGCGATAATTGTTTAGGCGGACAGTTTTACAAAACGTGTTGAAAACACTTAACACCGGTCGTTAGGGATGGTAAACAAATTGAGAACAAGGATGGTTTAAATTTTGTGATGTGTAATTATCCAGGTTCTATGTCTAAACAATGGCGTGTTTTGATCTCTAAATCCCGGGATGTATACCTTAATCTGGCATGGGAAGATTGGCTGTATCGCAGGGAAAACTTTATTAACCAGAACATGTTGCTCCTATGGCGAAACGATCCTTGTGTCGTGATTGGTCGTTATCAGAATCCTTGGAAAGAAGTGAACGTCTCATCCGCGAAGATGCTGGGTATCTCCATAGCGCGACGCTTTAGCGGGGGCGGCACTGTGTACCATGACCTGGGCAATGTGAATTTTACTTTTTTAACTGAAAGGAGTTTGTATAATCGACGGAAAAATTTGGAGTTTATTGTGGATCTGTTGAGGAAAGACTACAATGTGCCGGCGACGGTAAACAAGCGGGATGACATTGTGGTCAATAATTCCTTGAAAATTTCCGGTACGGCCGCCAAGCTTGGACGCACCACAGCCTATCATCACTGCACGCTTTTGGTATCCGTTATTAAAGACCAGTTACATGCGGTGTTGTCTGCAAAAAATGTAAGCGATAATATTCTGCAGGCAGCGTTTCTTTATATATATTTGGAACGTTAGCATTCAACTCGTGGAACTAGTAGTACTTACTATTAATTGTACATCATGCAGACTGTCTTACTGAATGTCGTACAATACTACTTAATTGTCGTACAATACTACTTAATCAAATTAAGCTAAAAGTGTCTTTCTTAGTTTATAAATTGTTAATCGTAAAATATTTCCCTTTTAATGCGTTTTTAAATTTCTCTTTTTAAGCATCCTTTCGATTTCAGAAAGGAATAAGAACAAACGCCACGGAAAGTCTTCCAAGTCCTACAGTCAATTTAGCGGAAATTGTGGCCGGGATTGAGTGCGAAACTTTGATACACGGATATGCGAAAAGTTTTGCCGCGTTGAATGAGTCTTTTGTAGACAATGTGATGGTGAAGGAAGTCACTCCAACCAATGTTGAATATCCAGGTCTCTCCACAGTTGCCGACGATCTACGCAGCACGGATTTTGTATTCGGGAAAACCCCCAAATTTAACATTGTCAGAGAGTACCTGCTACCCAACGAAGGAGCGGATGCGCTACGATTGTTATTCGATATTCTGGTGGATAAAGGTGTTGTACAAGGGGCAAATATTGAGGGAAACCTGCATCCCAGTGTAATGTCGGCATTACGGTCCGTGTGCGCACAGCTCGACGGTATTGCTTATGACTCCCATCTGATGTGGTCAGTTTTTGAAAAAAGCATGTTATTATCGCCGTTTAACGAGCCTCCCGAAGGTCGAATAGAAATGGATTTTGCATTGAGATGCCTTTTGCGTACGGTGACCTGTCAAGAGTAAAGACGTATTTAACTTTCTAAACTTCATAACATTTTGCAGCCTTGCATTTTCGTCGCATATGCGGTACATATATAAATGTTTTCGCTGAGCGACCAGGCAAAATCCACACGTTTCTTTGTCATGTTGCGCTTGTCCTTTTCGGGGCATGCATGCACAGTGCGCTGAACAGAAAAAAATCACAAAGTATCGAAAATACCGAAGACACGATTAATCCTCACATTATCTCGAGGTCACAACTCCAATTTCAACCAGTGTTCTAGTACAGATACTAACCAGTAACAATAACTACGGCCTACTGGCAATATTTATTAATAATTAATAGTAACGTATCAATTCTGCTATATTTATATTTTTTTCGTACGAAGAATGTACAGAAATGGTAGATTTGTTTATAATTTAGTATGCATTTCTTTCAACATCTTCAGAAACCATAATTTATTATGGAGCATCTACCAAGTGTGGTTTGCAAGCTGGCGAAAGGAAGGCACAGTGTCCACGCCGTCTTGAACGAAGCAATCAAGCGGGCGTTGAGTTCGGCCTTCGTCACTCGAGCCGGTGGGCTTAGACAGAGGCGATGGAAAGCAAACCGACGGAGTGACTGCTTTCCCATGGAAAATGGAAAGCCGCTAGTGTGGGATGTTACCGTTGCAGACACGTTTGCCCAAGCGTACATCGCCCAGACGTCCAGGATGTTGGGGAGTGCAGCGGAAATACGAGAAAACCGGAAGTCAGTAAAGTATAGCAGGTTGGCAGACCGTTCATTGTTCAACCGCTGGCGTTCGAAACGAGGGGAACATTTGGACCGCTGACGAAGAAATTCTTCAAAGATCTGTCGAGAAAGATCACCGACTGTACAGGCAACCCTCGCTCAGGGGAGTTTTTGCGCCAGAGAATTGGTGTCGAGATTAAGCGAGGAAACGCCGTTTCCGTTCTCCGTACATTCAGCGACATGGTTGTGAAAGAGAAAGAAGATTGTATTTTGCCTTCGAACTAGCTGAACGGGAATGAGGTCATGTTTTTTTGTTCTTGTTACTTGTTCAAGCGGCATTCAGATCAAACTTTCTCGGTGATTAGGCCAGCCCATGGTGTCCGAGACTGTCTGCGGTATTGCCGCACCGACAGACATGAACTGCTTCCATTGAGATCGGTGCTATTCGACGAGTACGGTATTCGTATGATAGCTTTATCAGCATACGAAAAGTGGTTTCCATAGTGCACGCAATGGGGGAGCAATGCACTCGACTCCCTTTTTGAAAAAATTCCGATTTTTTTCATTCATTTTTGAGCAATTTCATTGAAAAACTTTTTGCTGCATGACAGGCCGCAACAAAACAGGTCAATATTGCTCTCATAGAAGCAAGTTTGATTCAGATCCGTTTTTGCAGCGTTGGTGAGAAATTCATTTTTGAAAATGCTGCTGGAGGATTTCACGAAAATTAAATGTGCGGTTCTCCAGCTCTCCAGTTTCTGGACCGAACGCGGTGACCAGAATATCGTATCTGTTTACAGTAAAAAAACAAGAAGCAATTATATCCTCTACCTGAAATACCAAAGTAACAGATTGTAATCTACTAAGCGGAACAAGAGCAATTTTTAGTTTGCTAATGGGGCCCTATTAATAATGTTTACGTGAAACCACAAATCTGTGTGTTTCGGGTGAGCGAATCATAAAAAACGGCATGTGATATGTACACAAGAGTGCATGTCGATTCATTCAAATCACTTTCGCGCCGACTGATAACGTCTGGGCAGTTACGTTTTTATCTGGTGCAGCACGAAAGCTGTCGTGATAGAACATATTTCTTTCGGAAAACACACAAACCGATTTCAGCTGACGAACATTTGCCGGCAATTGAGCTTTCACATTGCCACTGTCCAAACCATTATGTGCTGTTTCGTTATTTTATTTATGCTTGTACAGAAGCAAAAATGCTCAAGTTCATACACCTTTATTGTAAAAAAAAATTTAAATTACCCTTGCACGTGCACGTGGCATGAGCGTACAATACAACGATGATTAAGCTATACGTTAATTAATGCATATGCATAAGAGTCTGCTATACACTTTACGTCTGCAAATCGCCCCTCTGCACTAATTAGAATGCATGGCGCTGAACTGTTTATTAAGGATGAATTGTTAAAGACCGAACACAAAACAGTAAACAGTAAGCTGCAATGTTGCTCATGGGGCGTTGTGACTTTTATTATAATCATTACAGCGATTAACTTAATACTTTTCGAAAAGCATTGGCTGCAGAGTTTTTCTTTCTTAATATGGAAAGGTCATGTATTAATTAATTAATGCATATGCTGCTGATATTCGTATAAAGCCATGCAGTAATTGAGAGTCCATTTTGTACGTAGGTGCGGTGTATACTCTATTGTACGTTGCGACCGTGTACCTTGAAAATTAGGCGTTTATCATTACTGAATATTTAAGTTTCTTTACCTAATAATAACTGACTACAAAATCCGTTCTACTTGTTTTTCGTATTCCGGACAATCTAAAAATATCAATTTACGTACTGGACAAAGCATTTTCCATGTTGTTCCACTTGATAAATAATTATCAAAAACTGAATATGTAATAATTATTATTTTATACAAGCTTGTTTACGAGAATAATAAAACCACTTATCACGCTTTCAAATGTGGAACATTAAAGGAATGTCGTATCTGTGGTGTCCGGTTCGCAAATCATATTGTCAAAGTGTCCGGAATGCGAAAAACATCGATTAACTACAGAGTACGTACACTGAGTACACTGTAATTATGAATTAAACGCAAATTTCATGACTTTTGTTCCTAGCATCAAGCATGCTAGCCAGAACCGCAACGATCATAACGGCTGTTTCACTATATTTTCCCGTAGCAGTGGCAGCACAAAAAACTAATCGTAAAACCATCACTTATCCCTAATTAAATTATTAACCTTTGAAAAGTGCTGCGCACAATATTTGCTTTTTGACATGCACCGTTTAAAAGACGGCATAATTATCGCAAGCGCGCACGTACGCGTAAGTAGTATTGATGCGAAAAAAGCATCTTATCAGTAATTCACACAGAGTCGCGCCGTAACGGCTGCGGATTCCATGCGCTGCTATTGCGCGCGGCTAAACTTGTCAATGGTATCCTAAGTCAAACTTGACTTTTCAGTTTTCAGTCGAACGCATTCAACACCGCATTGCACCATATAAAATATTTTGTTTATCCGCTGCTATATATTCAAAATTTAACTATCCGGCAGCGAACGATTAATATGAGCTAATGTATTAGCAAATTCGCAACATTCTCAAAGACCTTCAGTCAAAGATATTGACATCGTTTCAACCGTTTTTTCTGGGCAGTGGTAGCCGCAGTGCAGCTGTATCGCTAAGCTTTAACTTTTGATCGTCGATAATGTGCAATGCACTTTTATTGCCTAATTGCATCAAATTCCAAGTGCACACACCTGTAATGCTATCAAGTAAGGTTGTGCTGGATGCCGATGGTTTGTTACCGGCCTAACGCACAGAAAACTGGGAGTTTGTTAAGTTTCCTAGGGAGTATTCCGAAATTAAATCAGCTGTATATTACAGTATGTTAATTATGCACGTACACGTCGTTACCGTTTTATCAATCGCGAACTAGTAATTCGTTCAGACACAAGTAGGGAACAATCACACCTGCACTCAAATCGTCATTAAAAACTTTGACTTACCACAAAACAAATGCAAAAAATTCATAATTAGTGATACACATACTTAGAAGACAGTCCCAACAGTTTCTGTGCGACCAGATTTATGTAAATTCTACCGGTATACTTCATGTCCGACTTCGACAAAATTTGTATCGTTGCAAAATTTGTCTTTTTCCGCCAAAAAAGTGCTGATTTAAGGGGTACTGCGACCCACGCGAACTACGAGTGACTACACATGTGGATACAAGTACCAAAATAAATATCAATCACCTGTCTACTTTTAATGGGGTGGGGAAGTTAACATTTTCGATTCTAGGACACCGTCCGTCCATTTTACCTGTTTTATTAAAATAATTCACAAAAAAGTTAAACCTGTGTTTACGTTTATTAGGGATTAAGCAGTTCTATGTTTTAAACATTGCTCTTTCGAGAGAAACTAGTGTCAAGTCAACGTTTATTTTCTGTGTTTTTTTCTCTATACAAGTTGTTGTAGACTTGTAGACAAAACTGATCGAAACGGTTTTTGGCAGTTTTTAATTCTTTGCTGACCAGTGGTAAATTTTTTGACCACCTGTCATCCTGTTATATATAAAAGCACTTTGTGCTATTTTACGAAGTTATTTTTTTACGTAATTCATGTGCGCCTAATTATTACAAAATTAAACGCTTTTATGATGTAGACTATCCAATGTGAGCATTGTCGTTGTAAAACACCCCAGTCACCATCGGTGACCTATGGATTATGGTCACAAAGTGCCGGTATGTAGCAGACCTGGTCAGTTACGCAAAATGCGCCCACCGTTACAGTTTAGAGCTACAGAGGAAGCGTGGGATTACATATTATGTGATGTGCAGTGTAGTAGTTTATTTAATTCATCTGTTTTTATTTAATTTATCTGTTTTTTTATTTTAGTGAAATGTATAGTAGACCTTATTATCATACCCTAGACTTATTACTATAAAATCCTTATATATCTGTAAGATAAAACTGATGTACAGATAACTTAGAAGTACCCAACTATATACTGTATTAGTAAAACTTTCAAAAACCTGAAGATTGGTTTTTGAAAAAGTCGCTGTTATCATTTATTAGTAAAACTTAAAATCAATATCTGAGAAATCAGTTTAAAAATTATACATGATTAGATTCAGTTATTAAAACTTAATAAAAACTTAAAAACCTTAAAACCGATTTTTGAAAAATCACTGTCAAAACTGTATGTCATTACAACTGTTTAAAACCTTAAAACCACTATCTAAAAAATTAGTGTCAAAACTATAATATGTTATTAGTTCTATCAATAAACTGTTAAAACCGATTTTCGAAAAATCTGTGTCAAAAGTCAAGACTATATAATTATTATAATTTTATTTATAAGAACTGTCAAAACCCTCAAATTAATTTTTGAAAAATAACTGGTCTCCTATAGCAATTTAGTTTTTTTAATTTTTTTAATTCTACGAAATTTATTAGTTTTCGAAGTTTTAAAAGTTTTAGGACTTGGCCCACTTTGTACCTAGTACTAGTACAAGTACTTAACTACATTGCGCTGCACCGATGCGGCTGCTACAGGCCCAGCAAGTATAAATTCTGAATTTCTGCGCTACAGTATTTCGTGCACTATTGATTTTTGCACAGACTGTAGTTTGCTTTGATGTGTACAAGTATGAACATTTTGCGCACGTTCTTTTGTGATTCCGTATTGAAAACGAATACAGTCGAATTTCCGCCATCTGCATATTAATAGACCGCGTGCGATGACAAAGTGCCGCTCGTGGCAAAATTCAAAAGGATACGAAAATTCAAATTCCGCCCCGTGCTCGATTGGCATTTTCAATTCATTTTGGTCTGCCGTGTCAGTTTCTTTACACAGCCGTGCGATTTGCAACGCCATAAATGAGCATGATTTGACTGTAAAAAAATTATCCGCTGTCTGAATTGTACTAGTACTCGTACTAGTACAACAGTATTATTCGTGGTTTTTTGAAAACATACCGACAGATACCGTTTGTCGTTGTTGTAACTTTTGTTTAGCCTTTTCTGGCTTTAGTTTTATCTACTTGATTATTATAAAAAAACTGTATTATTGTACTGAAACAGGCAAGAGCCATAAAATTCGGTCTGCAGGAAATCATGATTTAGAGGCTTAGCAGGAGCTGGTGTAACTTGGTAGCTTGTTAAAGTAATGAAAGATCAAACCAGGCAGTGTCTCCACTGCATTTCAACAACGTCTTTTATACTAGGCGCTGTTTTGATGTTTGATATTCAAATCTTTTCATCGCATTCGCGGATAACCGCTTCGGGGAGTCCCCTTTATTCATAACACGAAAATATGAAATTCATCAATTGACCCGGAGAGTGGAGACACCAGACTTACGCATACGTAGTCTAAAATCAACATCTAATTGCCTCCAGAATTTCCCTGCTGATTATAAAAGTCTACAGCACTATGTACTTATAACCTGGGATAACACAAACTTTCTTAAAAGAAATTCAATAGCAACACGCATGGCTTCTCTAGCACGGCTGAACGGTAAACTTTCTTTCGGGATAGGATTCGTGTTCTACACTTCTAGTACACAAGCAAGAACGAAAATAAATGCGGATAAGTAAATACGTATATAGTACGTAGCTGGACGTTAAAAGGAGATGGCAATTGCGACTGCATTTTGGTCATGCCAGTCATTCCGCCCTACACTGCCCCAAGCCCCCCAAACGAAAATGCCAAAAATCGAAGTTTTTGGAATCTTCAGAATCGGTCTGCCAGAGCGGAAATTCCGAACGCGACGAAATTCCGAGCGCGACGATAATTACCAGCCAATGGCAGCATTCTCGGGGTGGGCATGAATTTTAATTTCGGCCGTCATTTTCATTTTCGACTGGCATGTTCATCCCGCCCAAGAAGATCGCACTGGGCACATTGTTCATCCTTGGCCTGTATACAAGCTGAGCTGCAGTTAATAACATATGTTTCCGGTTTTCATAACGTTGCATTATCTTGCATGGTATACCGTGAGAACTTCCGGAGAAAATGGAGAATCCCACGAATGAAAAGCCGAAAGTGTATCAGACATTGAAATGTCCGAATTGCCAGCTTAGTTACTCTTACTGCAAGGGATTAGCAGGAAGCCAGTTTCCTTTGATTTTGAAATGCGGTCATTCTGTGTGTTTTCATTGTATTGTACAGAAGATCACCCAAGTAACTGATCTGTTTTATGACCAGCTGTTCGACAACATACTGAACACGAATGGCACTGAAAGGAATGGTGCGGCGGTGGGACATTCTCGATGCGCGGTTTGCCCAGCGAAAGTGCTGGACAAGCTGACGATTACCGAATTAAAAAGGCACGGGAGGAAATCGTTTCAGGCTGAAGATGTGCTGCGCATTTTTCCGTTAGATCTCTTTACGCTTGGATGGCTGGGTGTGGAAGATAATTTTCCGCGGGATCTGCTGCCTCAGTGGGGAAATGTGGAGGCTTATGACATGATTAAGGAACCGACCGATCAGCCTAATGATGGTTACGCTATAACTACCGGAAAAGCCGGAAAACAATATAGTGAGTGAAGATTATAAGCTCAAACAATTGATTGCTCATATTTAAAATTTTATGCAGTAAGTGCGTTTGTGGTTTGTGCACTCGTACACTCGTACAGTTTATCATGAATGTTCTGTTTAGTTGTTTGCAAGCGGTTTGCACTGTTTACAGAACAAGCCGCGGCTTGTTTTGTGTGTGTTTAATTAGCCCCAGCTACTACTGGAACCCTAATGTTCTGTACGAGTTTATACAATAATTTTTGTCTTGCCCTTGTAAGAGGCATCTTTTGTAAATCTTTCACTGCATTGGTGACGTGGAATCATGGAACTTAACACACATTTTACATATGCATTCGAATTTACATTTGAACTTTTTTAAGGCAGGTGCTTGGGTACAGTCGTACCGTAAAAGTTATAGTGTTATGATGACTGTTATCACGGTGATCCATTTGTTTTTACAGAAATGTCCATTCTCTGTGGACGATGCGAAAACCGAGAACCGGCTGCGTGTTTGTACTGCGAAACAACGGCGACATATCTCTGTGTGCACTGTCAGAATGACAGTCTCGACGCGAAAGAGGCGCACGAACACCTGTATTTATCGCATGATGGACAGGTGCTCAACGAGAGGGTCATGTGCGGAACACACGGAAAGCCAGAAATGCTTGCTAATGTGCAGAGCGGTGAAGCGTTCTGTTTGGATTGCAGTGGCAATAAGCTGGAGGACGTCCGAATGTTGAACTGGAAAGCTTTATCTCGCGTCCAGCCCGCTACGAAACTTGCCAAAAGCGTGGATAAAGCTACAAAAGACTGTGGGCGAGCAACTGGGATGCTGATGGAAGAGTTACTGAAGAACGGGCAAAGTAAATGTGACGTTTACATCAGCTTCATGCAGAAGTTAGCGACTAGTTTTCAGAATCTTTGCCACAAGCATTTAACGAAGTTGAACGATATGGATGGGCGGCGACTGGGATTTCTCTGCCAAATGGAATCGCCAATGGAACAACAGATTCGCCGATTGGAGTATTTGTCGAAAAAGGTCGAGTTTGTGATGAGAGAGGGAAAATCGGTGCGGAACACCGATCTGGATGAAGAAATGGAGAGTATTGTTGAAGAAATCGTTCAGTTTGAATTGTTCAACGAAGATTGCATCAGGGATGGGCGGATTGCCTGGGAGAAATGTGAAGTGAAGCTCAACGAAGAAATGTCTCCCGTTCTCCGCCGGGTGTTGGACGAACTAACAAAGAACACGGATTTTTCCCGTGACACTTTGGAAAAACTGCAGATGGAAGCAGTTGCTGATCTGTTGGAATTTGGAGAGATACAGGATGCGCACTGAGCCCCTATCAGAGTGTTCCAGAGCGATTAACGCAACCAAGCCCGTCCGAATACGTCAGTCTGAATGGATTTTCGTAAATGTCACTAAAGGGCGCGGGTCACTTAATTTTTGTACAGCAGATCAGGAGCATTACGTTTTCAAGGACCAAGAATTAGAATCTTTTAGTGTTTTCATTGATAGTAGATAGTTTTGCGGAATGCCTTCAGATCTTACCTTTTGTGATTTTTTAATCAGTTCATGGTGCTTCTATTAGTTCTTCGCTTTGATTTGATTTCTTTATGTTGGTGGAGGAGCTCGGTATCTACGGTTCCTTCACTCTGCTTTGGTTTACGCGTAAATTCTGATTTGGTTATTAAGAGCTTCTGATGTTCAGTGTGAATCGTTTTTACCCGAAATATGTTCATAAAAGTTTCCAGTGAAATGCTAACGTGTCCCACGGCGACTACAACCTGTGTATAAAGCTCAGGATGAGAGAAGGAATCGGTCATTCTGATTCAAGTGTACTGTGTTCAGTAATAAGAGAGCACCAACAACAGCAAAAATAACTGTAGTCAATGTTCAATTTAACAAATAAACATTATAAACTACAACAAAGTCAGTACGAAAAATCCAAAAAGACATGGTTGCGAACTCGCGACACGTTGTCTACAAAATCGGAATCCAGACGGTGTCCAGTAATAAGAAAATACCAACAATAGCAAAAATCAACGCGCCACAAAGAGCGGTAATAACTACTTGGCATCACTTAAGAGATTTCATCTGCCACAATCCGTCATTAAGAAAATGTATTAAATCGACAGCAATGCCTTTGTTTGTCTTCCGCACAGCTTCCGTGCTCATCTTCATAACTCCAATGCCCAAGGCGTGCTGCTTGCCTTCGGCTACAATCAGAACAGGAGTGTCTTTCTCCACTATCGACATCTTTCCGCCGGGGGAAGTCAGTCCAGGACACATAATGTTCGCACCGCTCAGAACAAACTTGATCGCCCCTTTATCCACTTGCATCCACGGTAGAATGAAGGGATACTTGTGGAGAACGCGAAGGGACGGCAACATGGGACCATCGCGATGCTTGAAGAAAAGAATATCGCCCGTCTGCGAAGCAATCAGTTCGATATGATCCTGGCATTTCACGAGTTTGACATTATCCTTTTTCGGCCAGATCTCATCGAGGTAGGATTCCACATGTGGATATTTCTCCAGCAAACCTTGACGGTAATTGCGAATTACGGATGATTTCAGCTGTGAACTTCCTGTTACGGATTCCTTCTCGGAGAACTTCTTAAACATATTGAATCAGGAAATCTAAGAAAATGGAAAGCAACACAGTAATAATTATGCTGCAAACTGATTGTCACGCCAAAAACAAAACCACCAGAATTAATCAGAAATATGAATCTGAAAATTTTGTTCGTAAAATGAAAATCCACAATTCCGTGCGATGGATTATTAAAAAAAAATTGCTTATCCATGGGGCCACGGATACATATCTTGAAAAAACGTATCAGGCAACCTTTGCCCAGTGGCGGGCAATATTGAGCGAGCGGATTTGGATTTGCCATTTAGTGATTTACCTAAGTATTAAATTGTATGCTGCACGTAATTTTATTTTCTTTTCCAGATTTCATTATTTTCACATTTCTTCGAAAATGTTTGCCGTTTGTAGCTGCGAACAAGCGAATTTTTTCTACCTGTTAGTCAATCAGTAGGTTACGAATCTCCATGACACAGTATCAACATCTTGTTCACACTACAGAATCTGCACGGCTGAACCTACTTCAGTGAAAAAGGTGCGTACTAGTACTTCAGCTTCAAATCCGTGCTGCTGCTGTTCACTTAAATTGGGCGTTTTTTCGTTATTGAGTAGTTTTGGGGTTGTGATTTTAGTTCATAAACATGAAAACGCTATGCGCTGGTTGCAGCGCTGTTCTTTCATGGACGGTGGCCTCGCGCATCACCACGCTGACATCCCGATCCGGGCGATTCTTACCGCATGTTGTGTTGCCTCATTACTCAACCCTGCCTGCAGCCAAAATACACCGTGACTTGACTGCCCAGGAGGAGACCCATCAGAGTTCGTCCGTGCCCAGTGTGAGTCCGCAGCAGGATGAAGATATTGTTCCCGGCTGGCACACACCGGAATCCTATGCACTCTTGCGTGAGATCGCCAACAAAACCACGCTTCCCAGTCCGCGTCTGTTTGGCTCGTACGGAGTGGGTAAGCCGCTCGTGGGCGAACTGGCACCAATTCGGCCACGGGAGCACCGCTGGCAGCCCCAGCCACAGAGCGAATTCAGCGAAAGATTCCAGGCCGTTATAGCCAGACAACGGCCCTCGACGAATTACATGGTTTTCAAATTCAAGCAACGAGATAGGACAATGCGTGGTGTCATGATGTGGTTTCAAGAGCGACATTTGGCCAAACGCCGCAGACAACAAAGGTACTGTAATTGTTGTGATTCACGTAGATGAACTACTGAACTACTGATTGACGATAAATTGGATGTGCAATTGTGCATTACGAGTACACAGCTGTCGTTGTTTGGAAATGTTTAATGCGTTTTGCATGATAGAGTTCAGAATTATTGTGTCTTTGGTTTGCTAAATGCTAATACTTCCGTACTATCGCTGTTTCTTAGTTTTTTTGTGCGTATTGTTGAACGCTTTGCAGCTACGATGCTCAGCGCAACCAGCTGTTAGGTCCGGAATTGGCTGCTGCGAGAGTCTTCCTTAGTCGCGGAGCTCGAGTAAAATTTGAAGGCGTTGATCGGTGGTACGGCAGGTCTGAAGGGAATCTGCGCGCCGTTCCAAGCCGGTTTTTGGATACTGTCCGAGTGGAAGCGATTGATGCGACTGGAACTGATGTCCTTTACGAAGCCTTGGAAAACCTAGGTACTGCTATCTTTATGAGTACAGTACTAGCAGAATACCCTTGCAGCTTTATTTCACAATTTTTTACTGTATTTGAATTATGTTACAGTACTTTTGTTCTACATTTCAAGGGAGCAAGTGAACAGATATCGATTTTCTCAATTTTTTCCGGTTTTCCAGTATTAAATTTTTATAAGCGTTTTTATCTTCTTTTAAGAAAACTGTCGTTGATTTTCCGTTAGTTTTATTAGTAACTGTTCACTTCAACGGAGCTTTCAGTATAATGCAGTATACTAACAAAAAACCTGTTGTTTGAAGTGATCCCTTTCTAAAAATTCGCAAGAAAGATAAAGATCTTTTGACTAAACACAACCTATATCCTCGTCATTAACAAATCTGCAGCCTTTGTGTCTTCAGAGTTCAAAGTAGGTTGTTTTAATCAAATATATCTATATATTTGTATTTCACTGTAATTTGCAGTTGTAAATAAGTACATTTTTGTGTTGCTGACACTGGGTTAGTAACAGTTTAGATGAATTTTAAGTGTGTGTAAAAATGCTGAGAAAAAACTGATTTTCGAAAGTTTGCGTGGGATGAAATGTTTAAAAATAACTTACTTGTTTTGCAGTTGGTCTGCGGTATTTGCGGTCGTTGACTCTGCGGGATTGTAAAGATGTGGACGACTTTTGTATACCTAAATTATATATCCTGTCAAATACGCTGGAGTATTTGGACCTAAGTGGATGCCCGAAAATTTCCGAACGTGGCTTGGCATGTCTGTATCATTTAAGGTACGTGCCTACAATACAGTAACAGAAATCATAATTTATAAACTGCTTTCTGGAAAAGGCTTTTTGTTTAAAACATAATTGTGTATCAGAAATTAGTATTTTAATTGATCGACCGTACTTTAGAGAAATCTTTAATCTAAACTTCTTGCGTTATATAGAAATCTGAAGACACTGGTGATTGAGAATATGCCGAAAGTGGAGAATAAGGAGTTGTATGCTTTGCTTCTGGAGGACGAACTTCCGTTTTGTGAAATGGTCGGTGTGGAGTACAATCAGGTAGAAATACCGAAGCCAACATTGCTGGAGTCGAGAGAGTCCAAAGAAGCTGAATGGAAGAAGCTGAACGTTCCCTTATACGATGCAATAGCCAGGCCAGACTCTGTGGAAGTGGGCAATCCGAGCTACTCTGATGCTCTGCTAGCCGATAAGAAAGCACAAGCGCTTGAGCAAGAAAGGAGAACTAAAGAATTAATGAAGAAATACGGTATAAGACAGTGATAAATTTACAGTTAAAATTAGTTTATTGTAAATATACTGTGGTGGTACTTCTTGTGAACTCCTTTAAAATTTCAGAAAACTGCTTAAACTATTGAGCTATGTTTTGCTCTTTGATTCTAACGAATGCACATAAAGAATAGGGAAACGACGGCATTGGCGGAAATTTACGACGGTACGGTGGGTACCTTTTCAAAGGATCACAGATGGTGCGGGTTGCGTGACACAACTATCGTCGAATTTCGTGTTTAATAGCCAGTTCCTGCATTAACTTGTGAGCGTGGTCAGAAATCGGGAATGTTGAAGGAGCTGCTCCTGGACCTTCGATAATGTGTGGAACTTCGATTGGCGGACGAGAATAATCTGCGACCTCCACAGTTTCAAATTTTAAATCAGCTGGAAGAAAAACGTGTTACTAACACTGGAAATGTACAAATCGCTGTACGAGTATACACCGGTATTTACAGTACTTTTGATGCTGCGACGCGTCGCGCCACAGTTACGCAGCAAGTGTTTATATGGCTACTGATTCTCACTGTCAGTGCATTGCAGTCTGAACTCCAAAGCATGTTAAAATGAAACTTACTCATTTGCCGGAAGCTGAGATAAAAAACGGCCGGGTTGTTCGGAGGGTGTCGTGCCGCTGGGAATCCACTTTGATACAGTGTTAGAGTAGGATGCATTAGTTCACCATTCTGGCTGAAATAAATCGCTTGATGCTCTGGTGGAATCTGCCATACATAAATATACAGCACAAAATGGAATCGCTCGTGCAAAGCTTCTACGTGTTTTTATTAATTTTTGTGTCGATATGCTGCAACTTTTAATTCACTTGAGTCGAAAGCTCGAAGTTCAGAATGTTGCGTCGCAAAACGAATTGAATTGCGTACAGTGCTCGCATATCGTACATATGCCCTCTAAGGTAAGGGGCATATAGATATAGTATATCGTACGTGGTAATTTCTGGAAACATAATTTCTATTGATACAACTATTGACAGTTCACCTCACTGGTCAGCTGTAATTCTTACGATACTTCCAAACATTTTCCATTGGGACGAGCAAAGAAACTTTCTTGTTGCGATTATGAATTGATATTAATTTAATGCTGCATAGTTTCATGCACTTAGAAAGAAACCGATGAACCACTGCTTTGCGTCTGCTATACTGATGTTATATGCCTTGTGAACGCCGTAAAATGTCCTTTTGAACTGCAATTATAACTGAAGTTTCAAAACCTTACAAAGCCCAGCAAGTTTGCGAAGCAGCGTTCATTTTTAAATTATAATTTCAAACTGAAACGTTTATACTACGATATTTACCTGCGTACATCGTTGAATTTCTTTTTTAACATCATCAAATGTTGCCAGCTCATGTAGGCTCATGTAATGCGTCAACTTCTTACGGCGTACAATAATGTGAACTTGTAGGGCGAGCGGCAGTAACATTGTCTTCGATGGACGCCAGCACGAAGATCAAGATTCAAGATGCCATTTAAAATATGCTGCACGTTTTAAGATATGCAACAAAAAAACGTATACATGCACGGTGTGCATAAGATTAATAACCCTTAAAGACCACATGCTTTAATTAAAAGTGTCGATATTTAGAATCGATAGCAGTAGTGTGACATATATAATTAAGTTATAATTTAACTAAACACCAGTGAGAGTTCACCCACAATTTTGTCCCTGGTTCCCCCGTCGTCCTACTTGTATCCACAAACTTCCTCTTTTGAGGCTATTGGGTCATTTGGTGCTGACGTCGGCGTGGAATTAGGCATAATCTCTTGCATTAATTTTGAATATTGTGTTGCACTTACAGTTGCACTTACAATAATTGACCAGGCGATTGCATTAGTTTCCTTTTACCAGTACGGCACTTCGATTCACATGTAAGAAGAATCTTGTCGGGTGCATGGTATTGTGTAATAATAATAAGAGTGTAAATAGAGTTGTAATAGTAATCCAAACAACTGTCTAAAAAACCTTCGACTGAATACTGTATAAAAATGAAGGCAGTACTTAATAAACACTGGTATACAGTACTTAACTTTTTTTTCGGCCACATCACCCACAGGTACAACAATCCCAATATTTTTATTTTTAACCTAAAACTATAGCAACATAAGTATATTACGGTACTAGTATAATTATGGAGAATCAAAATATCTGGCTTCGACATCTGGTGTAAATATCTGGTGTGGGTATACGTAGTAGCAAACTCGGGTGTCATAAAAAATATGCAAGTACATAAAGTATTTAATAATTTTATGTTATAAGTATCAATAGAACACTTTATATAATAAATACTTACAGTATGCAAGCATTTTGTTTTGCAAAAAAACCCTGCCTCTTAGTCTCGGTTTATGCGATGAACTTTATGCCTTTTCGGAAAGTGCCTAACTTCTTAATATGAGTGGTTTTCGAGTCTTATAAAGAGAACTACACTGTCGTTCGACTTATATCAAATCATTCAAATTCCAAAATGATCGCTTTAAACTTATCTAATAAATTGGTGGAATTCCTGGGACGCGTTCCGGTATTATACATACAGGAGAAAATCCTGAGAAAATGGGCTGCTCCCACCGCCGGACTATATCCGTTCAGCGTAAAGGAATCCTTGAGTAAAGCTCTCGTGATTATGCACTTCCTGTCTCTCACAAAACACCTTCGAAACACTGTGCCTTTCTGTAGTCCTCCTGATGAGCTGGTTTTGCATCAAATTCCTCCCGACACACCACTACCGTTTACTGCTCTGTCTGGCCGAAATTACCGCCATCCTGGTCTTATCCGTGTTCCTTAACGGAGTGGTACCCAATGCCGAATACCGCTGGTACAACTTTCGTCCACCGGAATACACTACTGTGTTGCTGCAGTTAATCATCTTTCGCATATTAGACACTTGCCTGGAAGGGACCTGGCAGTTGCTGCTAGTGTCCTGGCAGAATGTTGAACTTTTTCGGAAATATATTGCGAATGCTAGTCAGCTGCGCCAATTGTTTTTTTGGAATTATTTGACATATCCGTGGATTTGTTACTCTTTTATCACCAGTGATGGGGGCGCTTGGAGTGAGCGTGCGAAACCCGGTGTACTGAAAGGTCACGAAGGGCACTGGATTCTTGTTTTTGCTGTCGCGATTGTGGAAGTTTTCGAGGTCACGGTTTTCTTAGTGATCTACTTCATGGATTATTTTTACCGGAATTTTGAATTGCGCCTAACAGCAGTAAAATGTGGACTGCTGTATTCATATTTTCAACATATCTTCTGGCCGACAATTCCTTTCCGAACCGAAGCGTATGCCTATCTTCACGTGTGGATTATGAAAATCATCATTAGTATTTCATCATCACGTCCACCCGTTCGTGAAATCCTTTCGGGTTGGTATAGCCATCATAATATTCATAAATATATTGGGAGTTTTCTGTTCTCTTCCATATTGAAAGCCTCGTGTGAGAGTGTTGTGGCGTTTTGGGGTTTCAGTTATTTCTTAGCAGGATGCACAAGCCTGTTTATCCAGTGTTGGCATTTCATTACCGCCTTAATAATGGGTGTATCGTACCGATTTCTGCTGGAGCCCGATTTTCGTGCATTTGATCAGAGTTTGCTGCTGCAAGTATTTATTGACGATTTGCAGCTGGACCATTTCACTGCAGTGCGGGCGTTGGCCACGAAGCCCACTATCACGCGTCAGCTGATCGATGTAACGAAGTTAATGGGAATCTTTTGCGTACTGCACTATTTGTTTCTCATTCCGCGAAGATGTAAACGGTTTTTAAGAGAGATCATTCAAAAAGAATTGCCACTTCCGCCGGTTATCATAACGATCCTTAATTCAGCGGTGCTGCCCATGATTTTAACATTCAAACTCTTTCTTATTTCTAAACATTGGATGATCGGAAATTTTGCTTTACTGTTCACTTCTCCGCAACCGTTTCGTAATTGGTTGACACTGGAAATCTGTAGCAGCATTTTGTACATAGTGTTTTACAGTGTTTTGTCGGGATTTTTGTTACCAGTTTTATATGTAGTACATTTGCAAAGGTCAGACAGCCTCTCTATCGTTCAGACTAAGGCTTTTCATAAAGCGATAAAATTTTTAGAAAAATTTGAAAACTTTGCCAATTATCTTAGTCATTGTGGAATTGTGGGATGTGTAGCCAATATTGCGGCTTTATGGGAAATTTATCGTCGATGGGATGCAGTGACCTTATCCGGTGTACTGGAACTGTGCGGCCATGTTGTTCTTTTCTACGTTTGTATGGAGAATTTTAACCATGTTATCAAAGCGAAACGAAAGCGGCGAGAAGTTTTATGTTTTCAACAATGTGCTCTGAAGTTAACGAAACCGGTCACGGGAAGCAGTTTAACTTGTTATTTGTGTAACAATACGGGGGATGATTTTCTGGCTTTGCCTTGTACGCACTCGTTTCATAAGGCTTGTTTAAAAATATGGTTCGTGCAAAATTGTGTGTGCCCTGTATGTCGGAAAGAAATCTACATTTGAAAGCACAGCACACACTCAAAGCACAGTCTACTGTATTAGCCTTATGTACTACGAGTAGCGTAAGTAACACTGGATTTGCGCTAGTATGGTTTAACTGATAAAATGATTAATACGTAAAATAGACAGCGCGTAAAAGGATTTCAGTTGTAATTCTTGTATTTATTTGCTATCGTTAAAGCGAAAAATGAAAAAATGAATTGTAAAAGGTTTCTGCACCGTTGTTTGTTGTTTTTTTGTGGAAAAAATTGGGACAGCGAAACTGCAATCAATATTAATTGATTTCTTTGTTCGCTCATCTACATTACTAGGGTGTCTGGCTGTCATTTTAATTTTATGCCCGTTTCGGTATAAATAAAAACAAAATCATAATCGTCATATACTTATAATTATTATTATCATTATTTTGTATAGTTCCGTAATTTAGGTCGCAGTGTTCGACCATTGGTCTTTTGGCATTAAGATTTTCAGGTTTAAAACCACCAGGCAACCAACCATCATCGGAAAGGTAGTTTATACAAGCACCAGCAATTGCCGCTATCTTTCTCGGGAACCGCTTAGTAAGTACACGGTTGAGGCCCTGCTTGTTTCAAGTGGGTATATCGTTCCCGCGCTTAATCTAACATCCTGAGTCAACATCAGCCGTCCTCAAAGTATAGCATGCAAAGTGTAATAAGTCGTTTTAATAGCAACCTACCATTTAGCACCTGTTCTCTACCGTAAAAATGCCGATTAATCTTGGTTTTCTCAAATATTTTCCATCTAACATTCGCTACAAAATTGACATCTATCATCGTCAGGCGGTTGTCCTGCTGAAATTTGACTGACGTTTATGGAGCAGCGCGCCTCGATTACAATTTGCCTCGGCCGTCCTTGTATTAGATGCCGCTATATGTATGCCTCCATAAAACGCAAAGCTAACGAAAAGCGATGCAGTATACTAGTACACCCTTATAAAACATGTCACAAATGTTTGCTGGCTTTGGTTGACGATATCGTATGAGTGCAACGTTAGATTCCGATGCTGATGAGCAGAATATTTATATAATGAGGCTACCGAAATTAAGCAAAGCTAGTCATTGTTCAATTGTGCATTTTCCGCTACATTTAAAAATGATATAAAAATTAATACCCTTCGCGGTTACAAATTGTACGTGCACGTACAGTACCTAACAGATAGCTTTCATATATTATTATAAGGTACTCTATATATGAGAGAAAAACGCAGTGTTGCATACCGATTTGATTCACGTTTTCCCTTACAATGCAGGTAGAAAAGGGTGAGCACCGTATGCGCAAGTACGAGTACATTCCACATGAGATTTTCTTGCCTGTGGAGGATCATCGTTTATTACAGTTTACACCTTTTTCACGCTTCCGTTGGCTATATGAGTAAGCTAGTGTTGTTAGGTCTATAGGCAATGTCAATATCCACCGGTCACCGGTGAATGCGAACCGAATCAACAAATGTTACACACAGCAGCAGACCTGAATGCAAGTGATTGCTCATGACCTTTCTCACTGGGACTCTTCGCGACACTACAGTCGCGGCTACTCGATGAGGGTTTATCTTATCGGGACTACTGAGCAAAGTATCACGAGGTCAAACACAAGTCCTTTTATTGATTTAATACCATCAAGCATATGGCCGGTAAATTATTTGACTTTGAACAACAGCCTAAATACACTACACACTGTAGCGGTATACAAGCGATTTACAGAAGGAATGTTCAAAGTATGGGAAAAACTTTTGCATTTATAATAATATACTAAGCGTCAGCGAAACACATGGACGAGGAAAAAGTCAAATAACTTGTGTACATTCAAGAGAGAAATATGAGCTGAGTGTGTAGAAACGGAGAATAGAGATTATACAATTTGCCGTGAGATTATAGCCACGTAATAACAAGTACTCCCACAAGCCGGGTGCGCACACACATAACTTCTAACCAACCGGCATCCGGTTAGAGTAAATTTCGTCAACTGTCCAACGTCTGTTTACCGGCTAACGCCGGTGGTAGTTGTTTGACGTAGCGTGAAATAGCAACTGATACAATCCAGGACAGCATCATCACATTTTCCCCGTTTAAAATGGTTCAGTAGGGTGATAATAATAATTTTCTGGTTATCGGTGCCGTGTGAGCCGGGCAGAGTGGTGCAGGCGCCGGTGACGGCTGTAAATGGCCGGTAGTAAGGTGTCGATGTGAAGTGGCCGCTGTCGACGGCTGAGCGGGCGGCTGCTGCGCATGCACAGCAGATGGTGGCTGCTGTACCATGGCCACTCCCGATCCGTCGCTGATATGGATATTACGATGCACAGCCAATGTGCGGGACTGGCAGAATCCCTTTCCGCAATCTGTTTAACATACAAAGGTCAAAATTTCAATAGTATTGTCCAGTAACAGTATAATAAAAATTGTTGCTACCGGGTGCAATAAATATTCCCAAATTAAAAGTAGGCATTCAATGTGTTAACGGCCACCCGGTGTAACATTTTACAGCTATATATATATGCTAAGTATGCTTTAATTTCAAACGCTCGCAGGCGTAAAAATAATATTTACTACAGCAACTACGTATGTAATACCTATCACACGTAAGAATAACATGTGTATTACGGTCGACGTCAATATAGTCTGCGCTCTGTGGTACATACCTTCACATTTGAAGGGTTTTTCTTTGGAGTGGATGAATTTATGATCCCGTAAGTGATCTATACGTAACCAAAAAGGGATTTTATTAATACCGGTCATATGGGATAACGTATTCCTCTGCTGATATTGTAATCGAAACTACAAATTCGTTTAATTTTTTAAATGTACCATGTACGTTTGATTGCTCAAATTTTTCACCGCACAAGCACATCGTATGCATATATATATATTTTGTGCTTCTCAAGTTAAGTATGTACCTTGTCGGCGAAAGCATTTCTTGCAAATTTCACACTGAAACGGGCGCTCATCTGTATGTGTTCGCTCATGGATCATCAAGTTGTACGACTTGGTGAAATGTCGTCCGCAATATCGGCAAATATACTGCTTTTTCGGTCGTGCACTACGCGCCGCTCGATTTCGGAAGCTCTTAACGTGACCACCGTAGAATCCTTGCCCATTTCTTTTCTCCGCCATTCCTTTACTCTTCTCCATTTTATCAATTTCTTGCTCCTTGAGAATCTCTTCCGCCAAGCGTGAGAAGTCGAATTTGTGCTTCTTTTGCTCTTGGTTTTTCGGCGGCGGCGATTGCAGCACTTCCTTGCGCGCAGGAGTCGAGCGGCGCACGGGCGACATACCGGTTGGCGGTACCGGTAGATAGGCAAAGGGCCGGAAGAAAGCCGAAGCGGTGGGGTTGGTCAGTGACGCAAACATAAATGGGGAGTACAGCTGCTGGTGAAGTGCAAAGGACAACGCAGCGGTTTGGTGAGCTGGCCATATCGTTTTGGTCTCCTTGCCGCGATGTTCATGGAGATGTTCGGCAATTTTGTGGAGAGGGGGACGGGAAAAACGGAGGTCCGCCGCTTCCGGCATTGAAGGGTTTGCCGAACGGATCACTGATTCTAGAAAAACATTAAAGCACTGGTGCATTTTTTGTGGTTGCATTAATTCCATTTATTATCAGCATTGTTTTCATCTGTATAACGTCGGCTGCTAAGCTTGCTATGTTAATTGACTTCAGAGTCGAATTTAACGCCTCGCATGCAGCCATTTGATAAGCTGTTATTTAAATGTTGGCCACATCTTTTATCTTAATTGTTTCAAGTTTTTAATGAAGAGAATTCCAGAGACGGGATGCATATCAAACATTCTGAAAGCCGACAGCCATCCGCCCAATTATTTGTGAAAATCATTCAGATTTATAGCGCAACAAGTGTAAGCGGAGCAGATTTATTACTGTGCTGTTCGGCAGATACACTACATAAATTCCCAACACATGGATGAGTTAAAAATGTTATCCCTCCAGTATGAGGCGGGAAAGCGATTACTAACTGTCTGTATCGGTATATTTATCCACATCGTGCGGCCTATACTGCAAATAAGCACCCGGACGGTTTATTCGATTCTGGACGCAAGACAAACTGGAGCATGTCGCGCGTAATGACTTCCAAACAGAAGAATGTATCGGTCAAACGATTAAGTTTGCCAATAAAATAAATGGGCCTATTTAACCCGGCGCAGATGCCCGCCTCATCGACCATTAGAGTTTTAAACGGTTTCTTCAAAGATTGCTGTGATAAGTAATCAGTACTGGCATATCGAATGTATCAAACCAAGAAATAATAGTTTATAATTATGCAGAAAGGGTCCAGTATACATGAAATGTGTAAGCTTTGTTATAGAGTCTTTCGATACAAGAACAGAAGTACAACCTTTAAGAACTTATAACGTACTTTTTTCCGTTTTGTAAGAAGCCTTTAATCGCTAGAACTTCTATGAGCTCTAAATAATGAAGCGAAAATTATTGTTGAAGCAGTAAAATAAAATACTGACTCGCTGATTCCTTTTACGTATTTGCGAAGCCTTGTTAGTTTAAGGGTGTCAAAAAACGTTCCCGTAACACACGAGATGCCGCAGCCTTGTCGATGCTGAATTTGTTTTCGACTTCTGTTAACCTGTATCCATTGACAAAAGATCATTATCCCAGATGTTTAAATATCTGATACAATTGATGCGTATTGTAAACTACCGGGATACATACAGACAAGAGGGAAATTGAGTCTAATAATGATGTGCGATTTCGGAAAATCAAAGGCACATATCGGATGACAATAATAACAGTAGCTGCTCGCACACGTAATACACATTCAGTTACTCCAAGATGTCTTGCTCACATGGTCGGCATTAATATTGTTCGAACGCTTACTGCTCTACGAGTAGTCATTCGCTGTCATGCAGTCAGATACAGGTGCCATAAAAAGAAGCCAGAAGATGCTGAGTAATCTGATCTGACTGTTAATTAGCCAATGCGGCGCAAAAACCCTATCCACATGTTTGCACAAGAGACACTTTAGCAGTATCATCATAAAAGCCCGCTTTTTGGCTACTTTTGTCTTGTTTATCAAGAAAATACAGTCGTGGGTGTCCCTGCGAGTCATCTACGCCATCTCATCTGGAGAAATCGCAATCCCAGTGGGAGAACATTTTATGGATTAATCGACTGCACAGCGTACTTGTAAGCGCCGCATATGTAATGGATGCAGAAGCGCTAAATGACACTTTCACAGCATCCCGCCAATACACTAAACACCCGCATACAACCAGCGCATTCCTTACTTAATAAATTGTCGAAACTTAATCATTTTCTTATCTTTCATCATCTGATGTGATTCCTTGTCTGATGCAATTAGTGTGCCTTATACCGGTATACGTCTGCTTGTTTGGCTGTTTGGGTAAAATTTTTCAGTTACTCTAGACTGAAAGCTGTCTAATTCTGTAGCCAAATAATTAAAATTATTAAGCTTTTAAAAATTAATATTGCTCAGTCAACGTATAATACGTAACGGTGAATAATTTTGCACACCCCATATTTTAGTACTTGAACAGCAATTACTAATAATGTAAGTAAGTAGTGTAGCACCTCCATCAGTTAATACGGCCGTCAGCGTGCGGCGGCTTGAACGGGCCGTAAGGGAATGCGTTGCTTTTGACCACGAATTAGACAGCTCAAAGCATTTAGCCGACTTAAATCCGTCAAAGACTCAAAGGCTATTTTGTCTACCAAGCAGCTATTTTTCCAGCACTTCTTCAGGCGTCATTATCAGTTTTGTCATATTTATCAGCGATAAACATCGCGACAACGTTGCAGAAAAACACACAACACGGGTGTTTTTCATGTTGCTCATGCCTCAGCACAGTGTTATCTATTGCTCCTGTAGCACGTTACGTGGGAAACGCTTTTTTCGTCGCGATTAAAATCGCAGTCGTCCACAACAATAAACCGACCTCGAAAAGCACAAAAAAGTTAAAAACCAATAAGATCACCTAGTGTTAGATTTAGAGATTCAGCGTAACAAAATTGGAAATAACGAAAAACCTGATCGTATGTCAAGTTTTACGTCGCCAATATACGACTATATCTGTACTGTGGTATACTTGCAGATTTTAGCTGTCAGTTATTAAGCGAAAAGTCTTGCTCAAACCACCTTATTTATACCTTGAATTTTATGTAAATTGTGGTACCGCGAAAACAAAACAGTCTTGTAAACAGAAGGGCACCTGCATGAGTCGTACAACTCGTATACATCATTAAAGTATTCTAAAAATTTAATAGTCTGTTCCTATTACAGTATTTTGTTGCCGGTGATAAGCACTCGTTTAACAGACGGTCGGTCAGCTTTGGAATGGATTTTTCAGAAAGCTCTGATCTGTATATGTAATGACTGCTTAAAATTTGAAATTTACCAGTCGACAGTGGCATGGTGATAATGCGACAACAACGCGGTTGACAATTGCTCGCTTCATTTGCTTTCGGCGATAATAATGTCAATGTATCTCGTGATATACGATGCACAACGCACATCTCCCAATAATAGTCGGCATATAAATGGGCTTAAATAAGCTCTTCGAGCCAAAACATCGTATCATAACGTAATGTCGATTCAAGTGTGAAAGGTCACCAAGGGAGCAATCACATTTTCCTGCCAGTAATTACCGCTAATGGACAGAAAACCGCTGGGGAACACTTGAGAAATCTGTGCAGTATATCGTACGTAGATTTTGTTCTTACCATAACTTCCAACGGGATACATTGGGCTGGTACTGGTAACGGATGCAGTATATCGTACGTCCTTTAGAAAAGCTATAAATGACCGACAGATGGTTTTTATCGTTACAGCGTGGGACGCTCGACAAATCAACACGAGTTTATGGCTTTGAACAACAGTTTTCACTATTACGCCAGCTAGTGCCACAGCGGCTACCAAAGTTTAAAGCGTTGCGGAATACGATGCAGTAAGAGAAATTTGCTTTACAACTGGCAGCATCAAAACGGTTTGTGTTTTCGGCAGCTACGGCTGCAGTTTAGGGACCAAGTGGCGATGTTGTAAAACGCTCAATATCAGACAATAATATACAGACTAAATGCCACCAGTCACAGTTAGCGCGTGAAATAGAGGCGTTACTGGCCAATCGTGTGGATCCTTATTCGCAGCACTCTAGAGCAAATGCCACAAACGCCAGTCGGAAACACGAGTCGGTAACGTATACAATTTTCTTGTTAGTTGAGTTACTTGTTAGAGTTATGTACTTGCTTGTTAGATAGTTACTTAGACAAGGGCTCGACTGTGCTTGTGGGGTACGGTATGAATAATAATTTATTAAAATACAGTATCTACAGATAGTTGTTTAAAACACAATTAAATATCTACAAGACTACTATTAATATTAATGCACAACTTCATCCTTTTTTGACCTTTGTTTGTGTAGTACAATAAGGGCATCGGTTCCCCTTTCCAACCTTTTTCGTATTTACTGCATTAGTCCGTAATTGATTAAATAATTTCTTTGATTTGTATTATACAATTTACGCAATGTTCTTCGGAATGAGGTGAAGCTGAATGTAATCAAATAATCTGCTATTCGAATTTTGAGGTACTCTCCTTAATTTAAGCAAGATTCAGGTTCTTAAAACCTATATGCCATTATGGCAAGCCAAGCTTATGAAGATGGTTTTATAACAAGTACTTGGTTATACCGTTTCTTAACATAAGTTCATTTAAGATTTTATGTCTCTCTGGACATTGTGGTGTAAGTGGGTTTGCCATTTTTTCGTGCATTTGCTGTCGTTAAAGCATGTGTGCGAGAAAAGGACAGAAAGTTACAGAATCCGATTCACTTGACAGTTGTCATTACTGATACGATACTTATCGATTGCAGACATAAAGTGACATTTGCATTTTACGCAAATATAATAAATATATGTAGAGCCTATCTAATAATAAATATTGCACTGGAATAAAGCTGCTTGAGCGAAAATACTCGTGTTATACCGCATACTTATTGTTCCAAGCTGAATCTGTTCGTGCTTACTTTAGTGCAAGAGTAACACGTAGCGGCATTTGTTGCCAAATGGAAGTTTATTGGCAATCAACCTTAATGTGGCACCTTTTTACAGTTGTGCGTAATGCGTAATGCTTTTATGGCTTCCAGCGTTGTGCTCCCAAGCAATGCAGCCGTCATGAGCTTTATGAACTGTAAACACGCGGCTTATACTGCCGCACGTGGTTTAATTGGGGCAATATGTTTATCGGGACTAATTAACAGCGTCCGTTGGCAATTTCAACCACACAAAGGTCGAGCACGCGTACAGGTGCGCGGTTTTATTAAACAACAAAAACATAAGAGCAATTCCTTATATATTTATCTTATAAATAACAAGATTTAATTGAAGTGACTCTTGCACAGACCTGCAGTGTATAACGTGACGGCTGCGCTAAATACAGCCATATACTTTGTAGCTTTCGCATTGTATCAGGACACTGCCGGCTTTGATTTATCGCTACAGAAGTATACAAGAAAATTCATCAGCCCAAGAAGAGCACAAACTACTTAAATACATAATACAGCATCCTGGACGGGAAGTCGATACTTATAGAAGTTAAACACTTTTATCGGTCATGTGAATGCTGCTGCGAGAGGGAGTCAGCATCATGATCATTAATCCCATCGTATTTAATCACAATGCGATTGGCATTAGAAAAGACGCTGGATAACCGATAATGTGATAGCGTAGATTACCAAACAAACTTTAATTTGTTATCTGTTCTTGTTAAAAGTCACACTTACTGATATGATCAGAATGCAAATTAATAATATCTGTACATGCGTAGACATTGGCAATATTAAACTTATCTGGCTAATTAATTATCACACAAATACTATTATTTTTATTAATTTCAGCACCACTGCGTGGAGTTTACTGGACGTTTCAGTCTTGGATAGAAGAATTCAATGGACGGTGGATAGAGGAATTATTCCAAAACAAGAGCTGTATCTTTAGTACAATCACAGGTACGTAACAGTTAAGTTCCCTATGATGCTATGATTCCCGTATTATGCAGTCCGTTTTTACGTTTTAGCGTATTAGCGGTTAAGTAATCGTAAGATTAAGTACCTTCTTAATACAAAATAATTTTATTAGTAACTATATTGTTAAAAAAAAATAAAATCGCATATACGTAAGTGTATGTGTACCCCATGCAAGCCTATGCACACCGCAGGTATTGATATTTTTATAAAAAATAATTTATGTTAATATTTATACTGGGCACTTGAACGCCAAGTGGACCTGAATGAGCTTATTGATTAGGGAGTGTAACGGATGCGGCTGCTGAGCGGAGTCGGCTGCAGCAGCGTCGTCGTCGCCGCGGACAAAAAAGAGCAAACTTGTAGCAGTCGGGATTTAGAAGCTTGGCTCCATCCATGAACTGTAATGAAATCAATATTGATATTAGAGTATTAAGAGCATGCACCAACAAAGCATGCCGCTGATAGGCCCGGCTCAACATCTATAATTGATAGCGATGAGGGAGCTAATGCAGATTTGAGATTGCTACTAATCAGTCATACAAGCGCCGCTATATGTAGCCGCTGTATATGTCACCGTATCCACAGTCAAACACAGGACGCATGACGGACACAGGTAAAGTAACCGGAATCATTTATAACAATCGCGGGTCTAGTGTACTATTTCGGTGCAAAGAAAAAGCCAACGCTGGCTCCTTGTGATGTTTACCCAACGACGGTACAGTGGCCAGCAGGTCCATTTTGATTGTGGATGGAGGCTGATCTTGTTAAGTTATTAGACCGTTTAATGTACTGCATCAAGCCGAAAAACAAACTGTTCGTCCACGCGTCAACCCGGCTCCGGATTCCAGCGAGCACATATGCCGATGTGTACGCCGGCGCCAGAAAGAATCATTTCGGGAAAACAGAATACTGCAATCGGGCGGCGTCTTTAACTAAATTATGCAGATCACAGTTATTGCTAGCGCCGCTAGCTATAGTTAAGCGGTACTATTGTGCTTATATGTGTTGCTTAGTACTATTAATCATTCTCTTGTTATGTCACTACTCTGGATGCACCTTTTAAAATTTAAACTAAATGAGTTGAGCTAGCAGTGCGCGCTGTTCTAGTTACAGTAGTTAGTGCTCAGGGTTTCTATTTTTGCCTACTGTTTTTGCCAGGATTTTAATTTTTCGATTATCACACGCATGTTGTACGCCATCTGCGCGTAACTGCTTTCCCCGAGGAAAATTTTCAAGTTGTTTGACAATTGGCATACCGTACATGTTTGACTGATTTTTAGTGTGTCAGTAGCACCAGAGAATCAGTAACAGCCGATCGTACATAATGGCTTGGATTTTTATTATGAACCCAGGATTAAACTGACACTATCAATCAGTACGGTGACCTTTTTTTTGAAAAATGACATATCCACCTGATGCTGTGATAACTTGATATCTGCCTCAATCCGCCGTTAGATGCAAACAGGAGATGTTATTTTACATACTTTGCAGCTTAATCGGTATTTGTTAATACCGAACATCAGTGTGCGATGATTGCCATTTCCGTTGTATGCATTCTGTATCTGAAGCCTTGGCCGGCGATCAGCGATCGTACGGTAGATCGTGTAAACTACTTGAAGCACGTCAAATAAACGATTTACTCATAAACGTAAACAACTGATCAGCGACAGTTATGGATAGCTCGAACGCGGTGCTCAACACCAAGTTGCGGCAGATCTGCATTGTTATACCTACAGACGCAGAACCTTGAAAATCAATCAACTGGAAAAAATCAAATATATAGCGAGGTCTGTGTTGCAGAAAGATGGAGCACAGTGAGTTTGCCGGGCTCAGGGGATCAGAGTCCGGGTGAGATTTAACAACCGGAGATGCAAGCTGTCATGCGGCTACTCACCGGGTGTAAATTTGACATTAAACTGAGCGATAGGTTGTCACGGAATAAATGTTTAAACTGATCGCGAATTGCTATACTTATCAAACACAGGTGCTGAGGATAAAACTTCTTATAAGCCCCCGTAATACTGTACGTATTAGCGCTTGCAGAATTCTTGATGCGTATTGCATTTATATAAACTAGGTTTCGATAGTCACTGCGAGACCCCTTAGTTTGGACTCTCACGTGTACACAGTTAATTATTCTATGAGCAAGTCTCGGTAAAAATATATTTAAATTATATTCAAATTATATGCAATTCCTTTTCGATTAGACTTTACAGGACGACTTGGACTTACATTTTTTTTCCACAATCTGATCGTGCAACTAGCATCCGGTTTTTTAACTGTGCGGCTGTCACATGTGGCTATCAATAGTACTAGTAACAAAATCAAAAATATTATTTTTTTCAGATGCGCTGGATGGTGATAAGTACAAAATAATAGTTGTAAGTAGCCGTTTAATCAAATTGAACTTGTTGTATTAGATTACATCACCTTACATGTACAATTTAAATACTGTACATACGATATTGCTAAACTTTGTGTTACAATTGTACTAGTACAATATGTGAAATCATTATCAATGGTTTAGAAGACGTATTCGTCATGATGGAATAAAGGCAACTGAGAAAGTAATTTTCTAAAAAACGTACAATACAGAATTTGCACGCCTTTAATGATTCGGAAATCAGAAAGCAGTAAAGTCTGCTGACTCTGTTCCACAAAAACGGAACAAGCCAAAAAACCTTACAACATCATCGCTTCTGCTCGTATTGCTGATTTTCACTGCAGTCGTGAATTGCTCAATAACAGCAAATTTCGCGTAACACAATAATAATTGCAACAAAACAGCAGCTGTGCTCGCAAGTTGATAGATGCTACACAATACAATGAAGTGGAAAAAGCGGAGCGATTCAAGCATACTTGCATTCAATTCAGATAACATTCTGCAGGAATCGTAAGAACTGTCAAGAACGTCTCAACAAAGGTGCACGACAAGACCGTAACCGTAATTCTGCTTCATCGCCGCCTGTTCTCACGGTCGCGATAGCCCGTCCGATTCCCTTCCCGCTCCCTGTCCCTGTCGCGATCATTGCGAGGTCCGCGTGACATGTGCGAATGAATGCACACATCCAAGACGTCCCCGGCTTGCACGTACCATTCCTCCAGGGTCTTATTCTCCACCCGTTCATCCCCGGGCTTACTGCCAATAAATACCTCCCCCATATTGCGGCTGCGATACCCTGGATGTTGCTGTTCCGGCGTGAGCAAGTGGAAGCTCAACCGCGTACCCAGCCGACGCGCTTCGGGACGGACTTCGCGGATGATGTTGGTTAACTCGCGGAGGGTGGCGTCCACCCACGTGTGAATTAACAACAGGCGCTCGTCGTTTGGTAGATTGCCAGAATTGATTTCGGAAGGTTTGAGATGGGTATTGGACTGGATGAACGTCCGAATTAAAATGGGGCAAGTGCTTTCACGATCCACAACACGTCGTTCGCGTTCCGTGTTCAGAATGACGGTCGCCACTTGGGACTCGATGCGGGGTGCAGCCATCGTGCCTGGAAAGATGCAGATAGCAAAATCGGTAGCTTTTAATAACTCATTCGTTTAAACAGCTTCTTTCGCACAAGCAGTGGGAAACATAAAGTAGCCCTGTCAGTGGCATGTTCTGCAACTCACCCGTGGCTGTAACGCAGAAACATCAAAATCTGAGTTAAACCTCAAATATTACCAAGTAAAATCCACAAAGAACCTTAAAGGAGGCTCAACAGCCTGAACTTAATAATCAGCTAAACAATAAACAGATACCGATGTCGACGAAATGCACTATATCGATAAACTGTTAAAAAAGAAAAAGATGGCCTTTGATTGTCATTTATGTATATAATATGAAAAAAAGAAAAGAAAAAGCTACCTGCTACTCAGCGCAGAAGAATAAAATAGGGTATATATTAAAAAAATCGGCAGTAAAATGTCTCACTTTGCAAGCGACAGTTGCTGAGCCACAACCTAGGGCGGGCGAACGCATTTAATACGGCGTTAGTGAGACATTTACAGTATAGTAGCTACTAGCTACGAGTACTGTAGCCTACTATTCTTTTCTTAGTAATCCTACAGTAGTGGCGCAGTCGCTTCCTTTCATGGTATGGCCAAAATTCAAAAAATTACTTACGATTTAGTTATTTGTTTGGTTTGCTGGTTTTGTATTATTTGTCTTTTATAAGGTTTAGAAATGCAGGTGGGTAGGCGTAATTTGTTTAGACTGTTCTGAATTGATTCGATACTGAATACTGCTTATTAGGATCCGTACGCCGATACCGAGTGGAACGATGCATTACGTAAAGCTGGAATTTTGCCTGAAAAGCCACCCATACGAACGCAAGAGACGGAATCGGAACCTGTATCGCTCACGCTCACTAAGGGTACTCCCTTATACCTCGGTCTTTTAGCTGCTGAATGGAATTACTGTACTTGATTCGGGGTTTAAGATGGCACAAAGGATTATGCTACCATGACGCTGGACGAGCTTGACGACTTCGAAGACGATGATCCAGAGTTTTTCGAGGAATTTAAGTGAGTCATTCACAGTGTTATTCGTTTTACCGAAAGATTGGTCACCACCCGTGCATTACGTATTAAAGGAAGAAACGAATGGCCGAATGGAAGGAAAGTTTGATCAAGAAGCGATTTGGAGAAGTTTTAGAGATCTCGGGTGTGGATTACGTGAAAGAAATCAATAATGCTGGAGAGGGCATTTGGGTGGTTCTGCATCTCTATAAGCAAGGGTATGATAGGCAAGGATTAGAAGTAATCGTGCTCGGATAACTTTGTTGCTGTCTGCTGTGCTTTTAATAAGAGAATATACTTATTAAGAATATTAACTTTAGGATGGACATGGCAGCAATCGTAATCAAGCAATGCAGCACATAAAACATACTAGTATTATTAGTACATACTGCATTTAGGCAGCATTTTAATTGTGTTTTGTAGTTAGGTAATTCTTAGTTGATCACATTTGCATACGTATTAATTTAGGATTTTGTGTCTTGTGTTTTACGAGCAGTTGTTTGTAAGACCTGTACAAATAGAAGACCGAACCCAAAAAATGCGGGATGTGAAACACTTGTTGAACTTTGGCTCTTGTATCCTGTTTTCATCACTTGTTGCACGTTATGTTTTGTATTTTGTATTGTGTTGTACTTATTGCATTGTATTTGTTGATTCGTCTATTGTTTTGCAGATTTCCCCTTTGCGCATTGATAAATCGTCATATATCTGCACTAGCTCCGAAATTCCCTGACGTGAAATTTGTAAAGAGCATTGCCACTACGTGCGTGCCAAATTTTCCCGATGCAAGCCTTCCGGCCATTTTTATCTACTTTGAAGGAGATCTGAAGCGGCAAATAGTTGGTCAGCTGGAGTTTGGTGGATTGAATCTTACTGAGCAAGGTCAGATCTGAAATACGAGTTATCATTTATGGTATCATGAATGCGATACACGAATGAATGGTCAACTATATTTTAGCTTGTTTCTGATATGTGTTTCTGTGCTGTTTCTGGAAGTGAACATCCATTAACTTCGTTGCTTAAGGGATTTGGCCCGGTACATAGCACCAAATTTGTATACATGATAATACATCCAAGGCAACTTTCGCTGTTGCGCACTCCCAAACACTTTTTTGCATTGCTTTATGCTATTTTGTAGCCAAAGGATTCGTATACATATCTGTAGGCGAAAAAACCGTTTGTGGGCGCAACATCCGGTTCGGGAGTCATTAGTGAAATAAAAATCCAAAAGTTTAAACGCGCGGAGGTGTACCAAAAGTCTCATTATGAACCGATGCTCTTCAAATTTTGCACGAAAACACACATTACTATGAAGATCGTTTTGGTACCGAACCAGCTTTCTACCATTTTTTTCAAATTTTAATATGAATTTCAAAAATTTTAAAAATTAGTTTAAAATTTGAAAAAAATGGTAGGAAAGCTGGTTCGGTGCCAAAACGATCTTCATAGTAATGTGCGTTTTCGTGCAAAATTTGAAGAGCATCGGTTCATAATGAGACTTTTGGTACACCTCCGCGCGTTTAAACTTTTGGGATTTTATTTCACTAATAACTCCCGAACCGGATGTTGCGCGCGCAAACGGATTTCACGCCTACGTATACAAATCCTTTGGCTACAAAATGTCATAAAGCAATGCAAAAACGTGTTTAGGAGTGCGCAATAGCGAAAGTTCCCGTGTATGTGCCCGAATTTGGTACTATGTACCGGGCCAAATCCCTTAAGTTGTTTTATGCTTTCATTGAAGTTAAATTCAATATCTGGTGGTGGATATAGTCACGTAGAATCACAATGTTGAATAGTATTACCGTACATAAAATTTTCGCAATGCACATGTGATAGGGTGATTCATGTAGATTTCGTTACATTCAGGGCTTGAGTGGATCCTCGCTCAGGAAGGAGTTTTGAAAACTGAATTAACGAGCGATCCACGGTTAACGGCTAACAACCGATCGCGAATCACAACAGTGCGGGGTCAAAATCGTGCTGATGATTCCGATGATGAGTAATTTCTTCTTGTATGTGCTCCGTTTTTAATTTCGTTTTTATTGTTTTATAAACGCATATATTGTGAAATCCGATGTTAAAAATTTAAGTGATTTCTTTCACTTTTATCGAAGATTTCAGCTTTGTTCCTATGAAGTCTTGTAGAAAACTTTTTTCTGGTGATGAGTTCTGGCTGTTAGTTGCGCAGTTTGCGGTAATTATTGGGTTGTACAACATGGGCATACTAGAGTAGACATTCGATTCTCGTACAGCGCAGTATGACAGATTTATTTTTTTGTTTTTTTCATTGCAGGATTGTACAGTATGCAAAATGCCTTTTGTCACAGAAACACAGATACAGAAACTTCACCTTACAGAGAAATAACACACCTTGTAACCCAAGGGAAAATAAAAATTTTGGTTGATTTTGCAGCGTTTAAATTCTATTAATACGAGTATTGGATCTATTTTTATAATTTTATTCGTGTACGAGTACTTAGTACTGATGTAGTAATGTCATCGCGGTCCACTGTTGTTATCTTGGGACTTGTTATCCGCGGATATTCCTTATTATGTCAAAAAATGGGCAAAAAAGCTGCATATGTACTGTAATATGCCCTCGACAACAATGGCTATCAACCACCATTCCGCCAGTGAACAACTTCACAGATTATCATTATTATCCTAATGTAGAAGCAAAACAAAAAAGTAAGTAAAAAACAAACGCAAAAAAGTAAGTAAAGTTTCACAAACTATACGTACCCACTACCAGGTGCATAGACACGCCCCTCTGATTGTGAGCGGAAGTTGTTGTGAACGCAAGAGGCCCAGCAAAGCCCAGCACCAGCTGCTAGCAGATCTGCAGCATGAAACTGGAAAGGTTTTGTTTTTGTAAGCAGTAGCTGAGTTAAGTAGGAATTCGCTTTCTCAGTACTGTACTTTAATTGCTTTTTTCCCTTGCTTGAAAACTCTTTTGCACGTTAAAGACTTGTTTTCAGGCTAGCTCGACGATAGAGCTCATCTGGCTACGTTTCGTTTTGCACGTTTTGTCATATGGATTTTGGTCTGGTGTTCATTGCACTGCTTTCCTATCCCATCGTTCTGATTTAAATTTGTTAAACGTGGTTTGGAACCACTTCCTTGAATGCTCTGTTAAATAATATGGAGACACGTGCAGCTCGTCAGAAACGGCTTGTGGAGCAGGCGAATAATGCCTCCAGGAATTCCATTGCACCTGAAACTGCGCTCACGGGCCGTGTCAGTACTGGAGGTCCTCGATTGTCCTTTCTTTGTCACGCAGATAAGGGAATAATCCGAAAAGGTCAGTATATAGCCCCTCTGACAAGTGAATAAAAGCATTGATGATCCTGGATTTGTAAGTTGTGATTTCCGTGTAGACGATCGCGTGTGGGCATTACAAACGGACGAAAAAGGCAGTTCGCTGTGGCGATTGGCGAAGGTCATTGATGCTTCTGATCCTAAAGATTTCTCCAATTCGGACTCGTATTTGGTGCATATCTTCAGACAATCAGCTAGGTGAAATCTGTTCAATTCTGAAGAACTGAAATTAACGCGCTCCCAACCAGAATCTCTGTTCTTTTGCTTTTATAACTTTTAAAACTTGAGCACTAATGATAATCACTAATGTGGTATGCAATTTATTTAAAATTGCTCCGACATGAGTTATCGATGGTAGTATTCTGCTTTATGATTAAAATAATGTTAGTGTAATAATCTGTTTTTTATCCAGTGTCCCGTATTGAGTAGTCTGTAGAAATGACCCGTAGAGGCCTCGCGCACATTGTTTCGCATTGCTGGATTACTCGATATTCAGGGATTGGAACCCTTTTGTGTCGCGCTTTATGGGTAAATAAAAAATATTTTACTGCTTTTCTAGTGCGGATACTTGGTTGTCCAAAGATTCCATTTTGACTAACACGGAGAAGAATCGTGCTGATGTCGTGAAACTCAACGGGGATTTGGAAAAGCAGTGAGTTAAAATGAACTACGTTGTTCGTTGTACTCGTAGTGGTTTAATGAAATCAGCCTTGTACCCGGAACTTCCTACCTTGCTGAAATTTGCTTAGAAAATTAATATGGTTTGCAGATTTTGTTTTTAATGTCGGAAGTCTGTATTATATCATAATGATAATTATTATGATGGATTGTGTGCGTATAAAGCACTTTGGAACATGTGGCTATTTTTAATGTACGGTTATGTACGGTATGTTTTTTATGTACGGTTTTTATGATTTATGTAGCTGGTACGTATGTAGCTGTTTTTGGTCATTCGGACTTTCCTGCATACATAATAATGATTTTATGCTGACTGGTGAGTCGCTGCAGGAATCCAAAGCCTTTCGCTGTCCGGAAATCCGGCCACCGCAGCTCGCTCTCAGCTGCAAATGGAAAATCTGGCGACTCGATGCTAAGATCTCACAATCAGAAAAACGCCTCTCAGTTGAAACTAGAGAAAATCGGAGAGGAGCAGAAAGAAAACGAAGATAAGAAAGCAAATGCTTGTACGTAATGGATAATCTGGCAGTTACATATTAGGCACATTGGGGAAGCAGACTCGCAATTTGATACATCCGTATATAACAGAGTAACGAAAGGTTATAACTGAAATGTGTGTTTGATTTTAATCAAACGCAGCCAAGTCCTTAATTCCGCTACCACGTAAACAGCGATTTCCATTTCCTCCGGCCAATATTGCATCTGCCGCTGAACCCGCACATCCCGTTATGAACTTTGACTATACAAGTATTAGGATTTCATCTATGCATGAAAAACTTTCAGATGGAATTTTGCGAATTGTGCCCGGAATGCGTAAGCAGATCGTTTTCTTTTGAGGCATATGTTGTTAGCTAGTGAATGTTTCTCCTTTTCAGGAGTTGTCAGCCATCCTACGTTTGGTGTAGATGGTGGTGATATATTTCGAGTGATGCGTACAGGGATTCTTCTCCGTCCGGAGCAAAGGGCGCCGAACACATTCGTGATGGTCAGCATATGTAAAAAGCCTTCCGTCCTGCCGGCAGAGGAATTTCATCCCCGTTGCTTGCGAATATTGGTAAATGAACAAATGGTTCAGAAAGTGAGTATAGCGGATCTAGCCGTTTTAATTGTCTTTTATTGATGTCAGTTCTGATGCAGATGTTTCCGGATGGCAAAGCACCGTACCCTCAGATCCCGTTGGAGATTCCAGCATCCGAAATGAACGATGTGAATGTGCTGGAGATTTCTTGGGTAGAATCGACACCTCAGGAGTTGGCAGTGGTAAGAACGTTACTTTGTTCCAGTAAGTGATTATTTTTTTTGAAATCAGCTCGCCTTGATACTTACAGGATTATTATGTATACGTGTACCTGGCCAAGCGGAAATCGGTTACGCAGGTGGTGGAATCGACGATTACCAATACGCTTACTTTAGCTGAATGTCTGGCACATGGTAATTCCTCAAATCATGGTGATTTGCATCGTGTATCCGTATGCATATTTCAGGGTTTTGCATGTAATCATTTGCAGAACGCGATAGTGAGCTAAGCAGCGATATCACAACTGGATCGCGGACGGTTCAGCTAAATTGTCCTATTTCGAAGCAGAGGATCGGTCTTCCTGTTCGTGGACGCTATTGCCGTCATTTACAGTGTTTTGACGCTGGTAGTTTCATTTCTATTAACTTCGGACCCGCTGCACGATTCCTCTGCCCTTTATGCGCTCAGGTTGTGTTGCCACATCATCTTGTTGTCGACCAGTAAGTTTAATACTTGTTACGTCGGTGATCTGCGTTGATTATTATCAGTTTTGATAATCGTGCGTGAACTGCCGTGCACCTGTACTGCTGTAGGATTGATTTGGTAATGGAACACAAAATTGTCTAATTGTAAGCTAAGAAGGGCATCTTTTCGCAGATTTTTCCAGGAGCTGTGTATTTTTACAAAAGAACATTGTGTGGAGTTGCTTTTGGACGATCTGGGAATCACCGCGCGAGAATTCACTAGAAAGGTTAAGGTGCCACTCCAGGTTTTGACGAACATAGCGCAAAGTGAGTTATCTTTATGACTTCGAATATAGTCGGCTGGTTAACCTGATGTTTATTTGTTTTACAGGCCGCATGCCCGGGCAGAACACAGCTAACGATCTGAATGAAAGCGTTGTTTGTTTGAATTAAATCCTAATCTTTTGCTGCAGTGGAACCACCGGATTGAGATCTTCATAGCCATGTAAGTGGTTAATGGTTATAGCCGGCTATCGTTGGATATTGTTTGGTAATTTTCGTTTTTTGCTGCAAAGTGCAAGCTTTGTCTCGGGTTAGTTTATTCTTTGAGATGCCAAAATGAGTACATATGATGCTAATTTCTGTGTTTAAATTGTAACGTGTATTATTATCTTATATTTTGGCTGCTTTTTGGGGTAAAAATTATATTATTTTGCCCACTCTATTTGCTGTAAGTACTAAAAAGTAAGTACTTTCTGCATGTGAATTCCTGGAATCCTGGTTTAGTGCCAGAGACACGAAAAAAACTGAATGTTGGTACTCGCATCTGTAAATTCGTTGCTAATCATGCATATACTCAGAACATGATGCAATTCAACTTTGCGGATTCTGTTACAATCTTATGCAAGAGATCAAGAATGCAAAACAACAAACATAGTTCGTTTTTTTGTTACACATCTTTCGCCCGATGACTTTCGGCTTCGAAGGCGCTTCGATTTCCGCATTATCAATGTTCACACCCACTAGAAACAAAAAACAAAATAATGTTATCAAACGTTTGCAACACTGAAATGCAAAACCGCGTAAAAAATGTTATTCTTCGCTAAACGCTATTAAACGAGAGATTAATCGCTGCCTTGACAGTTAATTTTTGACGGAGTACAACCATTCTCTTTTTTTTCCCTGGCGATTCTGACAGTCCTGACTCACCGTTATGTATCTGTAGCTTGCTTCAGGCGATGGACCAGTTTGTAAAATACCAATCTTTATAGCTACTTCGAAAATTGTTTGTGCACCTTGGTTTGAGCTGTTTTCGGAGTGTATGGGTTCATTAGAAAGCTCATAAATCGCGCTTTTTAATAGACATAGTTTCAAAATCAACACTAATAGCATAAACGCGATAGAAATTTTTCTGTTGTGTGAGCATTAAAAAAATCTAAGCCAAGCACCAGATGGAACATCTTCAGGTCTGATGTTTTCAAATGGAACTTAAAATTATTTCACACACTGGGTTTATTCAGAAAAATCTTGAATAAAAAGCTAGGAAGATACAAGTTTTGAACATGGAACTAATTCTTCTTACGGAGAAAATCACTGAGCGTTGGAGTTCGAATGACTATATCGCAAAACCAAGAAAACCCAGTGTGTAGAATAATTTTTCTTTCCAATGGTACCAAGGACGACCAATTCCATTGCGGCAGTGGAATGCAATACGCGTAAAACTCTCCGAACTTTACTTCCAGTAAATCAAGGTTTTCGGGTTTTGCAAATGGTCCGCTGCATCGGTGGACCAGTTTGAGCAGACAACCACGCTACCTGCAGGCTGCGCATGGCGTTCATGAAATCGCCGCCTGCGCACGGCTGCAGCGGTACGCAGACACGCAGCCCGCGTGCGGTTGGGTATGCTTCGATTGAAACTGTGATGGCAGCTACGTGAATCGAACCGTGCTGCTGCACCCCTCCGTCGTTTTGGACCCGCGGTACCTTTTGGTTTTAGACGGATTTGGGTTTCTGTTCTGTTCTTTGCTTCTCAAAAGACTTCTCATTTTAAAAAGCATTTTTTTCTGTTCTAGAAAATGTAGTTACTGTAACTTCTCTGGGGATGAAGCAAAGCCAGTCTATCGCCTTCACCTAATTAATACTTTGACCAAAACCGATCATCCTTCTCCACTGCAACCAGTCAAGCCGTTTAATGATTTGATATCGGTAAATAATTCGAGCAAACATTAAACAATCTGTAAAGTGCGCATATTTCAGAGAATTGATCACCATATAAGCTCAGCCGGCATTTCCTATCATAATTTTTTGTTCATCATGACCGAAACCGACTACAGTGCGTTCAGTGCCGTTCACTGAGTTTTCACAAGAAGCTCGCCCACCTTCTTCTGGTAAATTGTTTAATTATTTGGTCAGACCGCAGTATCTCTAAGCCTTCGTGGTTGGTAATCCCCTCCTGACTACAAGCTGCGACCACTGCAACAGTATGTGGAATACGGGTGCGCGAAAGTTCGTCAGCTGCACGTTGCGGAAGTCCGTTATACTTGGATTGGAATACACGGAAGACCTATTACAAAAACGGCGTACAAAATTCTCCAACCAAAATCTACAAAGAAGATCACTCACAGAGACAATTGGTCATATGTACGAGGGCCCTTTCATAAGTTTTAGTCTTTGCTGCACGGTTTTGAACTAAATCAAATTTACTTTTTCGAATCCATAAAATCTACTTCTCTACTCTGTCTGCACTGCAGGCATCTGCTCCCCATTTCTTGAAACGAATTCAGAGAAAAATGACGCGGTAAAGAGGAGATCGACCCATAAAAATTCTGTTTCTCTTCTTTTTATGCTTTTTGCTCTTAGACATCTAATACTGCATTTAAAGTGAAAATTATTTTGAACTAGTAGAAGGCTAGGCTATGTTGATAAAATGGCTGCGTCAAGATATTCTTGCGTGATGTTGCAAAACAAATGAGCGAAAGGACGAAAAGTATAGGTGCGTGCTATCTTGGGGTTGCCCCGTACGGAGGCTATACCGTGTCAAAGTCAATCTTCTCCAAGCTTATCTGCGAGGAGTTGCAGCGATTCCTCGAAACCATTGCTTCCTAAATGTTTAGTCCCTCTACTACTGCTTTCATGGTTCAACGAGATTATTATTGTTCGTGCCTTCGTGGCTGTTTTACAAGAGACGTTGTCCAGATGTAAACATTAAAGTATGGTTCCTCAATTCCCTGGCCTACGTCACAGAAGATTGCCCAGCTCGAAATAGCTTAACCAGTCCACAAACGTTAGAACGTGATGGCAATGAATCAAGGAAAAGAATAAATAATTCGCCAAGAAATAAAACTCCAGTGTTCTTTTCTAGCAATTTCTTGAAATATGTAAAGAAAATCCGCGGTCGGTAAAATGTTAACTCATTATTGACGCGAGGCATTTTGAGCCTGGGTACCAAATACCAATGCACGAACGGATGCCAGTCGCCAGCCGTGGGCGGTATCACCTCGGCCATTGCCCTATGATCTAGTTATGAATGCTACACTTTTTGAACAATCAGATCATAATTTTATTAATTTTGGTTCGTATCAAAGGCTAAAACTTATGAAAGGGCCCTCGTATTAGTATTTCTTGTCACTTAAAACAAGGTTGTCAAACGTACCCAGGTATAAAATGCCTTTGAAAATAGAGAAACTCACCTGTTGTTGATAAAGCTCATCAGCAACAGCGGCCAGTTCCCCCAAAATTTTTAAGCTGCGGGCTATAGCCACCCACGTCTGATTTCGTGAGAGCCTGCAAAAGTATCTCGACACACAGGAAAGCAGGTTACCGGTACAAAACTTGCCATTTTTAATTTTCGGCAAATACGCAAGTGCGATAAAGTAGTGATAAAAAAGTTCGCATGCAGGAACTACTTGTTGCCTGTTGGATATGCTATATAAAAATGCATTTCTAATTTTCTGCGTACATCGGCAGGAACGGCACGACTGAGTGACAATCAAATCAAACTGCAAATAAAATGATAAAGCTTTTCGACCCTGCTGCGCATTTGCCAACGTAAATAAATTTTAGCACTGCAGACTTACGGAATATGAGGCAACTATTCGGTTTTCCATTTCCTGTCATTATGATTAAACGTAAGTAAGAGGTAAGTTCGTCCTGATCGAGGAAGCACCGCTAAACTTGGACAATGCCGGTTTTAGCAGTAGCAAAAAGCATTATTAAGTTACAGTAAGAATTACATCATTATATAGATATACTATAACTATATAACTTTCTAAGAGATTTATTACTTTTGCTAACTAGTAAATATTACTAAGTATTACATTATCATACCATATACTTACCTTCTTAGGAGATTTATTACTTTTTTCAAACACTGCGTCTTTTAGGAAGGACACATACAGTGTTTTTTAGGAAGGACACATACAGATACAGGTATTTTACATAAGTAAGTACTGCTATAGATATTTTACTATATATACACTTACTATATATATATTATATATGTATATTATATACTTATATATATATATATTATTATATACTTACTATATATTATATATTTATTATATATACTTACTATATATATTTTACTATATACTCATATTGCGTAGTGCGTAGTGCGTACATAACAGTATCATGATACAATCTAAAAAAAATTTTCGTGGTTCTTTTTCCAAGATAAGTAATTATAAAGTACTTGCTGAAGTCGCGGTGATACCGCACACTGGAGAAGTTACGTACGTAAATCACAGTATAAAGACCACCGACTCACAACGGCGACAATCCTTTGCCGTCGTTTGTGTTTGCCTGTTTGGAAAATTTGGAAAAAGTTTAAGTAAATAACTGCAAATTAAGTTAAATGTTTAATAGTCAGTAAGTGTTTTATAGTGCTTCTGATAATAACATTATTTAAAATAACCTGGACATTCACCGCAGATTTGTCATTTCACCGCAATGGAAGAACCAGATAGTGCGTCAACCATAGCCACGACGTACTCGAGCTGCTCCCCCACAAAGCCACTCGACAGCTTCACCAATCCTCATGCCCACACATTCCCTGATGTGCAGTCTTCTCGACCTCCGCCAATCCACAATAGGGATCACGACCCTGCTGATCCCTTCGCCATTGCCACCTTCCCCTGGATCGGACTGTCCATCCGTGATCACCAGCTGCTCAAGCGCCATGCACAGCTCTTATCCTCGGAGGACGTGCATGAGGCGGAGGACGCCTGTCGCTTGCTCTTGGATGTGTACATCCATGATTTCCCCGCGGAGATCTTCCTGCAACGCCCCGGAATTCTGCAGGCATTGTGCGCTTTAGTGGAGTCCAAGAAGGAGCCTCTCCCGTCGCAGGCTTTCGCCTGTTTGGAGGCTTTGTCCAGCCAGTTTGCTGTGAGGTTTCGCGAGGTATCCATGAGCATGCTTGCGGAGGAGGCCATTGATCACGTGCAGCTTGGGGATTGTAGTATGTCGGTCCCACGTTCTAGTAGCAGCTTTCCTCGGTCATCTTTTAATGCCATTTGGAGCGGTTCGCCGTCGTCGTCCGGTTCGTATGGCAGTCGGTCGACCACAGCATCGAGGTGCGTTTAATTGTGTTTGCATGCTGGGTCGGTTGTATTGATGTACTCTACTGAGTCTACTCGTACAATATTTTGCTTGCTAGATAGTGTTAGTGCTGTTAATTACTACATATTCATATAGTACTGATTGATTTACGAATGTTATACGCAATTTGTGTTGTCATTACTGTCATTACAACTCCGCCTAAAAAAATTCTTGCAGTTATGTGATGCTTAATGTCTGCTATTTTCCCCTTGTAATATCTTGTTTCAACGATTTTTGGTGAGGCTGCTTTTTCTGCACGGATGGCTTTGATTTTGTTTGCCTGTTTACTTTTTTTCCTCTGGTCGTAGCAGGGCGATTTATCCGGAATAATTCCCAACGATTCTTAAAAGTATATTCGATATAAATCAATTTTCATACTACTGTAAAACAATATGTCGATCATTTTAGGTCTTCCGCTTCCTTGGATGCGGTTTCAATGGAAACTCCCGAAGAAACCTTGGAACTGCAGCTGCGCCAGCTAACGTTCCCGGTGTACCTGTGCGCTGTGATCGAGTGCTGTCTGAACACTCTGGGCGAAACTCTCCCGTTGGGCATCGCGCGTCCTCTGCTCCTTTTGGATCTCACCTGCCGCCTCCTGCGCGTGGTCGTACATCCCAGCCTGTGGGTGTCCCAGTCACCGAGCTCGCTGAAAGTGGCCGAGAATGTCCTGCATTCTCTGAAAGCAGCCGGCAACCGCATTCTCTACCATGCTACACAGACTGAACGCGGAATGCACCACGTGCAGAAGTCCCGATTGATTTATGTTGGTTTGGTAAAAGCCGTTTGCATCTTACTGGATATCGTATCCTTGTCCCACGTCGATGTATTCCCGCCACCCTTCAGGTAATTAATTTTTAATCATCGGGATATTAGGTGAATTTTGTGGAAGGAATTGTAAAAAAGCGGCTTATGTAAATTTAAGGATTTTACGCTTTTTTTGGGCAGACGCAGAAATCGGAGAGCGTGAAAGCAGCTTCGAATGGAGATTAAATACTGTTGATTTAATTGAAATTGATTATTAAAAGAATTCGATCTGTATTATTTGTTTACCGTTAACCCTCCACGCTTCCCCTCTATCCGAATTGCCGATACATGGTAATAGTTTATTCAGTTTCATTTGTAGATCATGTATACCATGGATCTGCCAAGATGAATCTCTTGGGCTGTCTTATCCAGCAATTCGCGGTAAATGTCTTCGTTACCTTGAAGCCCTTAACCCCATCAGCTGTGATGTTTACGTCTCTGCTGTGGACGTTTGCTCAGCCATGACCGCCACCTGTGATTTTCTCAGAGGCTTCGATTCCAAATGCCCATCTGCCTTTCCCTCTCTTGCTCAGCGAGCGCTAAAAGGCATTCCCTCCTTAGTGTTCCACCAGAGCAATCATTTCATCGAAACCTGCTTTCAGCTGTGCTCCGCTGCCCTGGGAGCCCTCCCCGAGAAGTCTCGACCATTTATGAAGCTGGTGGTGCGGCTGCTGGCTTACCCCAATACTGGTGTACGGAAACAGATTTACGAATCGTTGTTTAACTTTTGCGCTGGAATTCTGAATGTGGACAGCGCAGCGGATCCCAACCGTGCACCTGGCCAGGAAGTAATCTTTCTTTTGTCAACGGAGGTGTTGCGAGAAGTGGTTCTCTATGGATTATTTCAGCAGGAAACAAGACTGTCGGCACAAAATATTTTATCCTTATTAAGCCAGAAGTTGTTGATAAGGAATAATGCTGTTTGGAATCGATTAAAAACGGTCGCCAGGACGTTGTTTTGTGGCTTATTCGTCCACGCTGATTTAGGTTTGGATTTGACTTTCGTATGTATTACTATTATCTGTGACACTTCATTTTTTTGCCTTATTCGTTGTCTTTTTATTACGAAAATCTAGGTTTCTCTGTATTTGGTTTTTTATTAAACTTTTTTTTCCGGCATTTGAGGTCATTCCCTTTTGTTAAAGTGATTCTTAATTTTTTGAATGTTTCTTTCGGGTTTCGTATGGTTGACGTCGAATCGGAATATGTGGAATATCGGAATATCTGGAATCGTGTTTGTGATGGATTGGTACATTTAGGTTTTTGCAGATTCGGATTTTGGAAGGCGAATAATATCCTGGGCCCAATCCCAGCCCGATGACGAGGCGTTGTTTGATTCCGTTACGCGTCTTCGTGCCGCTTTCGTCCTGATGTTCCATCCCAACCGGTTGGTGCGCGGCCAGGGTGCCGAACTTATCCTCAAGCGCATCAAAACAACAGCTTACCTCCGTTTGCATGGAGACACTCTTAAACCTGATGTCCAACATTCTTTCGATGATCTCCACGTGGAAGAGCCATTCTCCACCGAGAGTTTGGAGCGGAGTATGACAATTTGGACGGATACGCGGATGGATATGACGGTGCGTTGGCCAGCATTGCGGCAGATCTTTTTACACTTGAGGAAGCCTGAAGCACATCCCGCGTTCTATGGCATGCATGGACCCGATACCCTTGTTTCCATGTTGCGATTGATACTGGAGAGAACTGAATTAAACTACACACCCGAGAACTTGGTACTGTTGTTGGAAACAGTGCTCACAGTCCTGTTATACAACGACAGTAAGAGCGAAGTGATAATTGGAAAATTGAAAGTAGAAATGTAGCATGACATCTGCAGAAATTCGGTAGCGATGTTTGCATTCCGTTTTTTGCTTTTCGTAGAATGGCGAACAGAGAACGCCGCAATTACTCATATCTACGAGTATATCTTGTGCGTTCTGTCCCTCATACCGGTGGGCACTCCGATGTGGAATCAGCTGCAGTGCGCTGGATCCAGTATAATTTTTCTCCTGACATTTAGCGACATGATCATTCGTCGCGATGGATCCCTCTCAATCTGTTGCACATTTTACCGGGCTGTCCTTAATCCCTGCAATATGATGTTTCATGATTTTCATCAGAAGCAGTCCCAAGTTGGGTCATCCTGTGATCTCCTGCGTTCTCCTGTGGCGGAAATGCTCGTTATCCATTGGAATGTATCATTGGCTGGAGGCGTTACATCGCTTTTGACAGAAGAAAAAGACGTGTGGAATGTGGACTTTGCGCCGCGACTGACTATAGATGACCGTACTAAATTGGTGCTGCGTACTACCCACCCGATGTGGGGTTTTGTTGCGGCTGCGCGGATGCTAGAGAGCGCCGGAAGCCATGGCGCTGCAATGGAGGCGTTGGATGCTATGAAAGTCTATCAGATCTTATGGAGTTTTCTGCCAATGACACAACAAACAGAGTTGCCGCATTCCGTGGAAAGCGCCTTCCGGTACATCTCGGTGTTGCCTCATAACAGTTCAGACCTGCTGTTACTGAGCAGGATCGCGGATTTCGTGGCTGTGTCTGCTCAAAAGTATGGTTGTTAATTCAGATTGTTTGCGGTAGGATTTGTTCATGGAAATCTTATTTAGGCACTCGAGAGCTGGTCGAAGTTCCCCAGCAGCATGTTGGATTCATAGTCTGATTGTGGATTCTCGGAGCATGTTTGTCGAAGCGGTGAGGAAGTCTAATAAAGAACTGACGCTTTTGGCGACTGGGAAAACCAGTCTGCGAGTGCCGTACATTGCCGCTTGTAAAGCGTTAATGAAATCTGCCTGGAATCTTTTCGAACATGTTTCCAGCGTGGTAGGTAGCGATGAGTGGGATATGGCGCAGGTGTTGGAGGTGTTCATAGAAACTTTGCGTGGTACTCTCAATTCTCCGGTGCAGGATTTTGGAGCGCTGGTTGCTTCGGAAAAATGCGTGGCACTGTTTTGCAGCAATCCCCTGGTAGGTTTAAAAATTTATGCAAATTACATACTTTTTACAAATTTGGCCTCGAGTGCATAGCCTGCACGTAATGCCTAATATCCAGTAGTTTCAATAACATTATCTGAAGCTTTGCACGGGCAGCGCCGGGCACCAAAACGCCGCATGGCTTTTAGATAAAATACAGGTGCTATTACTGACTTACTGTCCAGTTGCAGGTTGGTACATATATAATTTAATTATACACTGCAAATGATGAATTAGCGCATGTGTTTTTGTGAAGAATATGAAGTGCGTATGATTTTACTAGGTGGCCAAGCAGCCGGAATCCATTTCATTCGTACCCAGTGTCATCTGTTGCCTTTCAACCATTACACAGAACAACAGCGAGCCGAGTGTATCTTTCCTTGGGCGGGCCATAGTCCGCTCGGCTGCTTTGGCGCTTTTGAATTTGGCTTGTTATCAACTGGAATACAACATGTTCCCGGCAATGCTAGAGTCCTGGAGAAGCCAGGATGAAAATTTTCTGTGGATACTGCCTCTTTTTGCGCACCGTGACCCTGTTGTTAGAGCAGCGGCTTTGAGCACGGCAGCCGCTTTGTGCTCGTTCAGGGAAGGACGGGTGGCGATGATTAATGCTGTTAAGTTTGTGCCCGGAGGATTGTGGAATACGGCGCTAAGCTTCGTCTTCAGTGAGGATGAGCCGGATTTAGTCAAGTACTCAGCCATCAGACTGCTGACCGTCTTGCTTCAGTTGGATGCTAAGCGCAGTGATTTGGTCTTGCTGGATGATGTGAGTTTGCATTTCTTCCGATTTCCCTGAATCGCGTCTACCGTAGGATTTATAAGAGTAATATAAGAACTGTTTGGTACGATTTGGTACACGTTTGGTTTGGACTGTCTGATACGATTGGTTTGGTCCGATTGGTACGAATCAGTACAAATTTAGTTGGAAAAAAGATATCTTTCGAAAATTATTTGGTTTTACACACGGGTGATGAGACTATATGAATCTTTAGGAAAGCAACGTTGAACTGGAAGGGAACGATGCCTTGTTCTCCATGCTGGATCGCTTAGATTTTTATCAAATGATCTTTCGATTACTGCAGAAATTTGGCGGCGCTATTCATAGTCGTACGCCCGGTGAATATTTGGTTGGAGCGGTGTTTAATTTATGTGCTACCATTTTGCGCCGTTTGGGCAAGCGCTGTTTGGTGAAATTTCAAGAAACACAGTTCTTCCATGCGGCTCTTCATGTCTGTTTTTTGGCTCGAAAATTTGTTGAGGATTCGCCGAAGATCGTGGACAGAGTGGGGGTTTTCTGTGATTTGTATGCGCTAATCATTGTAGCAGCCGGCTTGGAGGAGATCGTTACCAACGTCGTAGCCGAAAGTAAGTGAAAGAATGCGGAATACGTAAATTGTCAGAAACTTTTTGCGCTGCCTTTGTTTATGTGGTATTTTTGTGTTTTTTCCTGGGCATAACCTTGTAATTCGCTTACATACTTCAAGTATGAGTTACAGTACAAAGTATTTAATAGGTATTTAATGACAGGTTAAACGTTATCAGTCATAAAACTTTAAGCAAGCTTTTCAGTGACTTCATGCCGATTTTTTTAGTTTTTTATCTTGATCTCTAAAATTTGTTTTCCAGTTTCCTTTGCTTGATCTGCACTGCAAACAGAAATTGCCCTGGTCTTGTCCCAAGTAATTTTACAAACAGACCAGAGGAATTTCTGTCACTTTGATTGCTTCTCTTCAGTTATGCTGTATTCTGTAACATATCCTCAGTAAATTGTGGAAGAGCATAAATATGTAATTAGCTGTTCGTTTAGTCAGTAGTAAGTATGTTTGCAAGTATGTAGGTCGTGAATTGTAAGGATTTAATTTCGGAATCTGCACACCTGTTGCGCCGCTGGCGTGATGCGAGATGTGTGTCAACTGATAGTAATTAAAAGCTCACAAAGGATTTTGTACAACGGTCACTACGAAATTTCAAACGTGCGTAATTATTGTCCAGATATGCACACTGTGAGTGCTGCCTTCACCCTTTTGTCTACACCAGCCCCTGTCAGCCATACACTGTGGCTGAACATATACACAGCCCTTTCTATCTGCTTGCGCAATCCTTCTGTGAAAGAAGCCGGGTGGAAATATATAGAGGACCAGCACACAGCGTTATTACACAACTCCAAGTACATTTTGTCACTGGCAACAGTCGAACCGGACCACCAACGCTTGCAGATCGCCTACCTAACATTTGTCGAGTCCCTTACGGAACGCGATCAACCGGAGGTGGACGATTTTCTCTGGCGTGGTACGGAGACCATCGGTAGCTTGGTGACCAGTTTTTTGGTGGGACAGTTCGCCCAGCCGGCCGCCTGGGAGGTGGCTGGATGGAGTGAGTTGCTGAAGAGATTGCTGCTCCGCTACGACGCAGTGCGACGAGTCGCCATGGACAGCGGCCTCGTGGAAACGGTGATTGATGCGCTGCTGGAGATGGATTCTACCGTCTCCAAAGATCTCCACGTGCATTCACGCAATGTCTTGAAGAGCAGGATGACCGAGCCGGTGAAAACGTGTTTGGAGCTGCTGATGAATTTGTTGTTTGGGAATGTGGAGGCCAAGCGACTGGCGGTGAAGAAAGGGCTGGCATCAGTGCTGATCAGTCTGTGGATCACGATTGTTTGTGACGTTGAGAGCTTGCATATAATCTTCCTCAGACTGCTGTGTACTTTTGGAGCAGCGTGTCAGGAGTCGTTGGCGTCTTTTGTAAAAGGTAAAGGAACTCGTGAAATTCTCCTAAAACTACCTTTTGCATCTGCTGAATTTACAGAATCCGACCATTGTCACACGATGCCGCTGACCCTCTTCCACGTGATAATCACGGATTTGGAGGAACAACTAGCCCAACCGCTCCCCCACCCGGATATCACGCCGCTTCTCTTCGACCTCCTGGCCCAGATGTCGCTCAATCCGCAGTGCCGCGTCTTCATCCGCAAATCCATCAGCATCCATCGTGCACTGCCAGCACCCACCACAACGCCCCGACGACCCAAAGCCAGCCAGGTGCTAGATGCCATGTGGCTGCATGTACTGGCCAATCTGTCGTTCTTTGACGACGGCCTGTTGTTAATCTTGGCTAAAGAAGATATCTGCAGTATACTGTTTGATTATCTGGAGGTGGACGGTTTATTTAAGGAAGTGTACATATCCGCTATGCTCATACTACGGAATGTTACGTTCTGCCGGAAGGGAATGATACGGCTGACAGGAGCGCGGGGTGTCCTGGCCAGACTGCTGAGATTAAGCTCGCTGCACTCCGAACCCAAAGTTCGCGTATACGCCTTATCTTGTTTGGTAAGTGAAGGCAAGTCTGACGCTTTTGACTTACATTAGTAGGCCGTTCCTAGATTTTTCACAGTTGATCGTGGTTTTGATTTTAATTATCTTGCACAATTTCTGTTTTTTTTGCTGTTTATAATACATACAGTTGAATTAGTGATGACCTTTAACTTTATCGAAACTTGTATAAGCAATAATGAATGAAAAAAATGACCTTACATTTCAGTCGTACTGTGAATCGTACTTGTGTGGGGTTTTCTGAGTTGCTTCTAAATGTACAGTTGGAAGTGCTGCATGACCAAGTGAAGCTTCGTCACGCTGCCAAAGCCATCTGCTTTGATGAGCTATATCACGCGCGTGCCGACGATGAACCACAAATGTTCCAGCTGCGTGCCCGCGTATTAGCGTGTTTGGATGATCGACCAGGCGCTTCATATGAAGAAAGATGACAATAATGGACGTTCGATTGAGGAGGTAAGATTTCCGCATACTTTAGTTGTTCTGTCCTTGTTATCGCTAAAGCATGATGATCCGGTAAAAGGTCTGAGAACCCCATTCGTGACCGATTCAGTCTGGCCGAACCGCTCGCGCTAGTGACCTGCCGTTGCGGTGAAGTTGTAGCCGGCGGGATCGGACGAATCCCATAGCATACCACACACCAAACGTCGCTGCTAGGAATGCTCGAATGAAGCTGTTTCGAGTGTTTTATGCGGCGTTGGACATAACTTCGTTAATTGACATGTGGATTTGAGCGGAGTGGTGAGGCTGGACAGCTTCGGTCGCAGGGGGACGTTGATCACATTGTGCATCTGATTTTTCCTGCAGGCTGAATTATTGCAGTAATACGAGAGATGTTGAAACGATTCACTTATATTTGGTTATGTTCTAGATCGCAGCTGCCGAGTCGGCACACGAATGTCCTCAACCGAAGTCGCTATTGTTTATACTTTTGGGATTAGTGTTAAATAAGATTGTTGTTTTTTCGATGTTGCCAATCGCAGTGTCAGTATTGCTTTCTTTTTGGGCACCCTCCATACTTTTATTGGGATGTAAGAAAATTTGTTGATGTCTTGTTTATTGTTGCAGTTGTGGCGGGGCTTGCTTAAAATATCTTTTAACGTCAGTGTCGTAAAAATCAAACAAGACATGCAGAGTAACGTAAGTTTTACTGCATTGAATTCAACGAAAATAATAAGCTCGTATACAGCAAAACCCGCAAGTGTTATCCCTTCGTCAAACAAACTCACGTTAACACGGACCTTCGAATTCTTTGAAAAAAGCTATTGCTGAATTGCCTTTTGCCGCTTAAGAAATTCTATGACCTCTTTGGGCGGAGAATAGTCGACGCAGCACGTCTCCGTCAGTCCACAGCCCTTTCCATCTCCCGATATCTGACTAGAACATTTGCGGGCAATGTCGCTGTCCTGCATGCACACTCCATGGTGGCTGCCCAGCGAATTCACCGCATTGATGGCCACACACTGTTTCGGTCCCTTTTGCACTTGGGCCGTCAGACCGAGGCCCTGGCCGGTCAGACCCAGTGCGCGCGTCTCGTTATTCAGGGCGTCCACACTGGCCGAACCAGTCAGTGTCACCGCATTGTTCGCGCTGTTAGAGCCACCGGGCACAGTTCCTTCACCGGATGATCCGGATCCCTGGCCTCCCGCACCGGCCGATGGAGCCACGGTGGTTGTTTGGTAGAAATACGAAAATCGGTAGTTTTGAAAAGCTATATTCTGTTCGGTTACTACAGGTTGTGCGTATACCGGCGGGTTTGGAATGTCTACGATCGAACACGAAGATTGTTGAAATTAATACCCTACAGACCCGAGTATAGGGTAAAATATACGAGCTAGCTATTGAGGCAAAAATACTCATTCTCAGTTTCGTGTAAGTTTTGCAATCCGGAGGTAATGTGTACAGTCTACAGCACCTTTCGTCTTCTCATAAATATGGAACGCGGGCCTAACGCCTATCACTGAAAACTTTTTTTACTGGCAACAGATTCTATACTTATTAGTGGTCAGGTTATACAGTACTCATGGTCAGTCCTTATCATCGTATACGAGTTACTGACGCACACAAAGCTCTGCCAAACCAGCGCTGCGGCACTCCGATCCACGGAATCATCGGTGCGGTAGGAAAATCTGATCCGAAATTCCCGAAAGAGCCACTTTGGGAGTAAGGATACGCCACAACGTATGCCATGACAAAAACCAGTTCTAATCCCATAAACATCATCGCGCCGGTCAGCATTCTCACTAGGCTCCTCATTGTTAGAAATTACGTAAAACTTTAATGAGATTTTCACCGACAAAAGATGATCACAAGGCCACAATGTTCAAATGTCAACCTGGTCAAACCCTTGTTCAAAATGAACGTCTAAACTCAAACAAGCTGAAGCAACGTTCTGCCATCTCATCATGTCCGAAAAAAAAACATAAGCGGAAGATAAACACAACCGACGTACCAGTATTCAAAATATCACTCAAGCTCGAAAACTATTCGTGAATCGCGGCATATTTCCTCATGCGCGGCAGATCAGACAGTGCTCAATACTCCATGCTCTAACCGAACAGCATCTTCGCACCTAAAAGGCCAAACAGACAATAAATCATAAGCATCACCGATGAGCAAATTGCCTATGAACAAAAGTAGGATGGATACTGATTAATACGGCCACTTCAGAAAGACTAATCGAAGTAATCATCTGCTTCAGTTGTCCCTATCTTTTTCATCATTTGCTGTTAACCCTTGTTCCTGCAAGAAACTGTCGGCCATTTATAAATAAAACTTACGGATAGTAGCAGACACGATCACCGACAGTTGCCCGTAATTCCGAACATCGCCCTGAAATGTGCTATAATTTAATGAACTTCGATACGCTGAAATTTTACAACTACCGAGTGCAAAACTATGTATTTGTTCTCAGACAGCCAAGGAACGGTATTTTGGATAATCTACACTGAGCATGTTCAGCTGGCAGAATCATTTTTGTCATCATGATTTTCTAGTCTCACAAAAAAAGCTAAGTAACCTAGCAAATTCGCTTCCTGTATCACATGACGTACCGTTCTTCCAATTAGAATGTATATTTCCGTTTATGGCTAGAAATCCGCCGTAATCTAGAACATAATTTTCTATCATAAAGACTTCCACCAAAAAACGATAATTTTTTCGATTGATACGCTCCAAAAGGGTTCAGTACGGGTCATGTTGTAATCAGTATTTATAAGTGAGACTCCCGATATCATCACTATCAACTGGCACATTTAATTTAGTCCTATCCAATTTACCAAATGAATCCATTCGACCAGCGACCCACTTCAACCACCACGGCTGAAAACAGAACTAATAAGCTTATTTTGGAATGCTAAATAAAGATATTCAGAAGAGTTTTCAGTGAATTCAGAACAAACTCATGCAGCATATACAGACTCAGTATCGGTGTTGACGTTAAATAAAACAAATCATCATGTTAACCAGGCAGAACGAAGGGAGATAACTGTGGTTTAGAAACTGCAAACGTCCGTCGTACCTGCCGACTTTTGCACGCTCCACTGTGCCGGACCGGGTTCGGCGGCAGCCTGCAAATATTCATTGTCTTAAAGAATTTGCGAAATAAATTTCTTTCAACATCATCATTTTAAACAGGTATCATTCAAACTTATTGGTGGTAAGTTGAAGTCTCGTCATGCCGTATCAAGAGTAGCAAATAGATGTAATCACTTTACCAGGAATACACAGAAAGTACTGCAACAATAAGTTCGTATTTACCATCGGTAAGTGTTTTCCGACTTGGCTGCTCATTTCCCATTTGGCGTATAAACTGCAGGAAAATCAAACAGTAAGATAAGGAAGTTCGATTTTAATTCCCCGTATTATTTCTGATTTCCCTCAGAGACCTAAGTACCAGTGGAAATCATTTTGCTTTGCAGCAATCCCAGAAATGTATCAGCACTAGGATAATGAAAGTTCGAACAAATAAATTATACGTATAAATTTACCTTTCAATCATAACCCCTTTGTTTAACAATTCCCGGTGAGGTCATCTGAAAATAAATACGCATGAACTAAACAGTCATACTGGAAAGAAAAAAGTCCAAATAATTTGTACTGGCATTTCATGATTTCAGATAGAGCTAATATGATTTTGTTATCATCATGTTCTATGTGAGCTGGTATCTCATCAAATCAGGAAGTCAATTTAAATGCAAGATGACCATTAAACTTTTCCTGTGAGCTTACCAAAGGGAAGACTTCCAATTTTGAGTGCCGTTAAACCATACCAACGAAAGAAATCTACAACCAGGAAAACAAGCCAAATCAGTACTTATGTTCTTTATGGCACAAAAAAATCTTTACGGGAGCTTTGACACGCTTTTCAGTTAGGCAAACAGTTTTTTGTCACAATGAATCTCAAAGGTGTCCTAAGAAATATCATCATAAAACAAAGCGCTTCTTTTACAGCTTCTTCCACAACCCGACAGTTTCAACAGCTTTATAATTTTTATAAACTAATCATACTAACACTTACGATTGTAGTTTCACTTCTCTCGTCGGAGTAAAGTCTTCATCTTCCCATGTCGCAGCAAATTAATCGACCTGTAAATCGTAATCATAAAAATTCGGCAACAACCATACTCAATTAAGACAAGTACTCAACGACAGTGAAACTGAATTTGAAGTCAGACAGTACGAATACAAATTTTCTTGTCTGTTATCACGGCGAATCAAAAGGTGTCCTAAGATTTGTCATCATTCTTCGAGAGTCGGCTTGTACTCCAAAGCTTATAAGCACTGTTATACTACCTACATCACCTACCACTTACCAGTAATCAGACTCATGAATTACTGTCCAACAGACTTGCAGGTCTTCAAGCTAGATCGTTTTCGCCTCTCTGAAACAAAAATAAAATCGTAAACTATAAATGCATCTCAAAAAATCCGGGACATGGCAATCTAAATTTAGCAATTTCATCAGAGAGGGCAAGTTATTGTCGTCAAAAAACCTAGGTAACGTAAACTAATCATCACTTCTGAGACTTCTCATTGACTGCTCAAACTTTCTCGACAAGAACTGCGAAAACTCACCGGTCCGAGCAGCTCCTCGCAGACATGTCCAAGGTTCGCCAAGTTCTTCAGTCTGAAATTATTTCGTAGAGATCAGGTTTCTCGTCAAAACCGTGCATGCCATGTTATCACTTTTAAAATAAATCTTGAAAAACCGAGGCAGACATACATGAGAAATAATCAAACTGTAAAACGGACGGAGTAGCACTAGTCTTATTTGAGAAACTCAACCCACACGATCAAACTTTCAAGCGGTCCCCCGCTACCGGCATATTACGCAATTTTTTCGTTTATTTTCTGGTAAGAAGCTTGCATTAGTGATGAACTGCTTTCCTGCTGTCAGGCGCACCAATGTCATTTCAAAATATAGTACTTAATTCAAACTCGAAATCATTAAATGATTAAATGCTATAAATTATGTAATATGGGAAACCGTCAGAGATCTTGGTGGAAGGTCGTCAAAATGCACTCTGTGCATTCAGAGTCCAGATCTGTTTCATCACCCCAGTTCCCCGAATTATTAAATCTTTTAAACCCATTACATCAGCAACAGCAGCAACCACTACGCCTATCATTAAAATCGTTTTCGTCCATACCTATCACTACGGACTACGGAGTACGGATCACTTTGCCGGTGAAGTTCCCGTCGCGACTATCAGCGCACTGTAGGACGGCAGACCATCCATCACGGACATGTTCTTTCAAACCAAACCGCAATTCAAGAAATTCCAGTCGGAGGGCAAAACAGAAACCCGAAAAAGATTTCGCAACTCAAGAACTACAAAATTCAAGAACTTCCTCAGAAATTCGGTACAAAACTTGAAAAACCTGAAAATCATCACAATTCACAACTTGAACCTGGAGTTTCAAGTTTAAATACAGTGCGCCGTACGGTAGGTAACTAGGTACATAGCTACTAGCGACTTCGCATACTCGAATCGACGCGGACCGCGAGTGCAGTACTTACTGGAAGAGAGAACTCAGAGAAGCACTTGCCGCGAGTCGAATCATGTTTGGTGTCAATGCCGAAGCAAATCCCGCCATGGTCCACATGGTGGTCCCATACCATTAGATATTTTGGTTTTGATTTTTTATTAACTTTTTTGGAAATGGCTATCCTCAAAACCCTGGCATCACAATTGGCTATTGACTATTGTCAGCACCTTTCACCTCGTTTTGGCTGTTCGCACCACTTTTCAAGTGAATTTTTCACACCACTTTTGGCTTTTCCCCGGCCACAAAAAAAACAAAAAGCAGTTAAATGCAATAAAAAAGGGGGAATAAATTCCGAATAGTCAAAACAGGGGTGCGAAGATAGCGACAATAGTCCAAAGTGGTGTTAGAATTCCTTTCAAAAAAGTGGTGGGAATAGCCATAACGGGGTGCGAGATGGTGGGATTAGCCACACCCTAATTTTTTGCGTGTCCGAACATTTCGGCATAGGACATTTCGGCATAAGACATTTCGGCATGAGGGCATTTCGGCATGCGAATATTTCTGCTGTTTTCTAACGTTTTCTTATGAATTCTTATATCTTAGGTTTTCTTAGGCTTTCTTGGGTTTTCTTTGGTTTCTTAGGCTTTCTTAGGTTTCTTGGGTTCTTAGGATTCTTATGCTTTCTTAGGTTTTTGTAGAGTTACTTAGTTTATAAAATCCTCGCGTTTTTTAAATATGATTTTGCAAGTTTTCTAATGTATCTCATGCAAACCTACGTTTTCTTATTTTTATAAGGTTTCGGTTTTGCATGTTTGGCATGTTTTAGGTTTACTAGGTTTTAGGCCTTCTGAAGTTTTAGTTTTTTTTTAAATTCTATGGATTTTTTCTTAACTTTCTTAACTTGGATAAAATCGGCTTATAGGTTTCTTACCATGGTCATAATGTTATTAGCACAAGCCAGTTACAACGCATGAGTTTTACAACAAAAACAGCATTACAGTTACAATCTAATTTATCCGCTCCTTCCGCCATGGTCAGGTATTATGATACTATTATCATTATAAACATTTTATGCCGAAATGTCCTTATGCCGAATTGTCCTTATGCCGAAATGTCCATATGCCGAAATGTCTTATGCCGAAGTGTCCAATGCCGAAATGTCCCTATGCCGAAATGTCGGTACGCCATTTTTGTGAAGATGTTATAAAATTCAAACAATAGTCTGTTACATAGCGCTGACTTTTTTTAAAAGTCGCTGAGAAGACTGCCCGAATCAAAGTCCATTGAGATAACGCAAAACAACCACTACCGTGATAACACATGAACTGTTATGACGGCAGCTGTGAACGCGAAGTAAAAACACGTACTAGACATCTAAGTGGAGCAAGCTGGCATCGATGGTGAGTGCAGTGCCGAAATAAAAAGCTACTCGGGAGTAGGTTTTCATTTCGGCATAACGTTTACAACAGTGATGTCCCGTTTTTTTCACGGGCTCGGTAAATCACGGGAAATTCCCGCACCCCGCACCCGCTTTTGGCTCGGAAGCGGTAGCGGGAGGCTTTCTGCTCGGATCGGGTGCGGTCGGGAATAAAGCCTGATTAGTATACCCGCCCGCTACTCGGGAAAACACGGGATTTCTTAGAATTAAAAAAATTTTATAGAATTTCTAGCAATTTTCGCAGCCAAAAAGTGCGTCAGCTTCGCGCTTCGCGCGAAAGTTGGTGTCTTAGGGTGGGTCTCAGATTCAAAGCGCATCTAGCTGCGATACAGCGACTCCAGTCTCCTCGCGAGGTGGCATCGAGTATCGTATCTGTAACCGTGGCCACGGATACAGCGGCACCGGCCATCATTTCGGAAACCAATTTCGGAAACCGTTCATTTCGGAAACGTTCACTTCGGAAACCAATTTCGGAAACCGTTCATTTCGGAAACGTTCACTTCGGAAACCATTAATTTCGGAAATCACAAATTTCCGAAATAATCAAGAAACAAAAGAAAACATAATAAGAATAACAAAAGAATTCATAAAAAAATAATACAGTAACTCAAGGAAGCATAAAAATCTAAGAAAAGTTTAGAAAATAAGAAAACCTAATAAAACTTAAGAAAAAATAGGAATAACAAAAGAAAACATAAAAACGGAAGAAAACCTGAAAATACGAAACCTAAAAATACACTTGGATAATAACATAAGAAAGAAGCACGAGACAGCCTAAGCATAAGAATAGTATAAACATAAGAAAACCGAATAAAATTTTTCTGTTGTTTTCACAAAGAATGGTTTTCAAAATGAATGGTTTCCGAAATGAATGGACACCCATACGGCCACCTCGTGTGGTTGAGCTACAATGCCATAGCGAGATTTGCTTCGAATCAGAGTCCCACCCTTAGGCACTGTGCTGGATCAAAATTACAAATGTAATAAGCGGCGGCTTGCTCGTGACGGAAACGTGGGTTTCGAAAGGAAATCGAATTGTTGATGGCGATAATAATATATTTATGGCAATTCTATAATTATAATTAAGAGCCAGGCTCAGTTTTTCTGAAAAATAAAAAGTAAGATTTATCATGCAGGTGACAGCAGGTCTAGTCTTCTAAAAAATGCCTATCCGTTAAACTTTTTGCGAAACTTTATCACAAAAATTTTGTAATAAATTTGTAACAATTATGGAAATTATTGATTCATTGAAAATCGGGAATCGGAGCGGGTTGCGGGACGGTCCGAGCGCTCGGGTGCGGGAGCGGGTGCGGGAAAGTTTTTGATCGTGAAAGTGCGCTCCGGACATGAAAAACTGCAAACGGGACATCACTGGTTTACAAAGTTGTGGGTGTGCTATATTTCATATCGCCAATCCGTGCTCTTGCGCTTATCTCGGATGGACTTTGGTTTTGACGGCTAGTAAGGCAAACAGATCAACCGTCACGGCATGTAACGGACTAATATAACAGTCCAGAGACCCAGCGGCCGGCATGTCTGGATCGCATTGTAGACAGCCAATTTAATGATTCATAAATAAATGTTAAATTGTTTTTGTTTTATAAATTAATGTAGATTATAAATCGTTGAGCCAGCTATGTAGTTCTTGGGTACGGGAGCGCGGGACCATTTAGCTCTAAACTGTATGCACTGGGCAGTCGGGTGCTCTGGATTCGTACCGGTCCCCTTTTAAATTTTTTGATCAACGAACATCCAAATATTATATGCAGCATTTTGGTATTTCTGTAAATATTTGTTTGAAGAAACAGTAAAGACTACACACTTTGATTGATTCCAATCATGTAAAAAAATTTCCAAAAATGCGTTGTCCGGGAATCGAACCCGGGTCGCCCGCGTGGCAGGCGAGCATTCTACCACTGAACCAACAACGCTTGCTTCTGTTGAATACTGTGCAACAATTGACATAGTGGCAGATGCTTTTCTTTGAAATTAACCTTTCGCTGCAGTTTTTTTAAGTGTACAGTACTCGTACATTACGTTACAGTACGCTGTACAGTCATTACTCTAGAATCCTAGATTCAAGAATCGTCACACCAATAACGTCATGGTTCTGCGTTAATTATGTTTTTGAAGAAAACAGATTTATTTGCGGTGTACTACTTAACTCGCTTATTTCTAAATTTGTTTGTTTGTGAAATTATTTCGAAAAATTACGGGCCATGGGAGACGGAACTGCAAAGCTCAGTTATAAGGTTGGAAACAGCACAGCTACCGCCACAGGCCACTGAGGCCAGAAACGGATGAAAGAGTTTTTCAGGCAGCGGTTAATGAGGAAAGGCGATAATTATTAATTATCTTGTGTGTCGGTGACACTGTGTGATGGGTACAGTCCCTGATCAGGATATACTGTAAGTTATCAACAGTATCATACAGGAAGTGTTTTTGTTACTCAGGATCAGTTTGTGTATACTGTACTTACCATTAGATCGCTTACATCACTTACATCATACAATGTAATACTTTATACTTATTAAAGTTTAAAAATTTGATAAATTATTTTACTGACAAGGAGTGGCGATTAATTTGCCGCTGAGTTTTGTTTTACTGTGGTCTTTCTAACCGGAAGTCTATCCCGAACCCATACGAAGCTTCGAGCGGGTCGGTTTGATACTGCAGCGTCGCAACAAGTAGACGCCTATGGAGGGGGCTGCGGTAATCGCCGAACGGTGTGGCATTTTAGTTCCCACTTTCCTAGACTAAAAAAGTGATAGAGCTCATTTGTATTTGTGATGCTTGTGTTTGTTATTCAGTTATTGTACTGTATTGTGCATTTTTGGAGAGTTCGATGTCGCTCCTTAAAGTCTCCTTTCATACAAGTGTTATTTCTGTTTAGTTACATGGATTAACGATCTGTACTATACTCGCAATCTGTCCCAACTCGCAAGATGAGTTCTAACAAGAGTCGGAAGAGAAGTTCTCTTCTGGGGAAAATTCGCCAGCAGGTTCGTACGAGAAGAGCGTTGTTTGCTTTCTGATTTCAACTTGTTTAAATGGCATAACTACTGTACATGCAGCATGAGCATAGGGATCATAATTATTATGGTTTAATTACTTACTTTAGCGGTTTAGCCGTGTATGGTAGTACCGTTGCAGTCTTGCTGATTTACAGTCATTTACTTGCTGTACTTTACAATGTCTTTAACACTGCCACTCTACTTACAGCCTTACATCTACATTCTAGGCTGAGATTGATTTTTCAGATGGAATTTTACTTCAGTGATGCCAGTTTAAGTAAGGACCGCTTCCTGCAGGAAAAAATCAAACAGTCGGAAGATGGATGTAAGTAGGCGCTGAACAAAAGCCCCAGTTAACGTGTTGCAAGTTACAGCAACTACCTAAAAACAGTAAAATGCTCAACTTTTAACCTCCAGTTAGGTTATGTAATTCAGTATTCATTATAAATTTTAATACCTACTTAAGAGTAGTTAAGACTACAGAAGCTTGTGGGTGCCAGGCGCTTCGCTTGCCCTCTCTTTTTACGGTACGATCGTCGAGTACTAATAATTATTATGGTTTGCGCTGTACAGATGTTCCTGTATCTCTCTTCCTGTCCTTTAACAAGCTGCGATCACTGACGACAGAAGAATCTCTTATTCGAGAGGCCGTCAAGACTTCTTCTTTGCTGCAGGTAACATGATTTCTTACGCTGGCAATTAAAATCCGTTTTTTTGTAAAAACGAGAAAGAAAACATCGCCAAACGATGTGACTGAAATAATGATTCCTTCCAAATTTTCTGGCATTATTGAACTGACTTACAGGATAAAAAAAAATATTTATATATTTCATGCTTTATTTACATTTGAGTGCAAACCTCGGGTTTCTGCAGCTTTCGGAGGATGGCTCGAAACTGAAACGCTGTGTGCCCATCAACTCGGATTTGGGACCGGTAGATGAAAGGACTCTGTATGCGGTAAGCTGATTGATTGATTAAGTCCTGCGTGATTTAATTGACAGTTTGCGGAAATTTTAGGAAAACATTCCGATGCATGCTGATCATGAGTGGCTCAAGAGTAAATTTTCCGTTTTCGGGCCAGTCCAGTACATTAGCCTCCCTAAATTTAAGGCATTAAAAACGATCAAAGGGTTTGCCTTTATCGAATTTGACAGTCCTGCTGCGGTTCAACGTGCCTGCGAAGTAAGTGGGAAGATAGATCTTTTTGCATCACTACTCGTGCCGGAACGGATATTACGTACAAAACAACATCAACGATAAGTACTAGAAGTATGCCGAAAGACAGTAAAGCACATGTTAATCAAAGTAACGTTTTAGTGTAAAATTACTAGTAGTTTTAATTAGTACTCGTAAGGGTACATTTAAGTTTTGCAGAAAATTTGTCCGTTTAAGGGGATGAGGCTTCAGCTTGTTTGGTTTTGACTTCAGTATTTTGCTCTTCCTTCCGCTGATTCTCAGCCAATGTTTGCTAAAGAAGCCGACTTGCCGAGCGTTCCCATTGTGACTATTCAGGATTTCGACGAGGACGAAATATCTGCCGCACATGGAACGAAACGCCGACACGACGATGTGGACACGGAAACTCCGGCTCTCCTTCCATCTAATGTTTCCGCAGAGTCAAAGCGTCACGAAGGTGAAGTTCCAGTCGCTCCTAAACCGATGTACCGGTTGCAGACAAAACCCAAAGGAGCACCTAGCAAACCCAATGCTCCTATCCTTGATCTCCGTCCTTTGAAAGTGATGCCCAAAACCCAGTGGATGGAATTGAAGAAGCGCTACCTGGATCTGCAGAAAGCCAGCTATCGTGCCATCAAACAGAAACTCAACATGCTTAACGTTGGGGATGATGATCAGTCAGAAAGTAACGGAATGAAAGATGATGTTGACCTAATGATGGATAGCGACGATGACGAGATGTCGGAAGTGTCGGTGGATAAGGTCAAACCGCAGTCGCCGCACAGGAGAGTGCAAGCACAAAAGAGGCCGCAGAAACTGAGTGCTCCCACCAATTCCCCTGTTAAATCGACGGAGAAGAGTGTTAACCAGGTGCTCGGTGCCATTCTGCACTGGACCCTGTCCACTCCGATGGAAGACCGGAAAAAGTTAATTCAAGATGTTCGCACCATCAAACATGTGGAATTTGTGGATGTGCAGAACCCTACGGAGGTTATTGTGCGATGTGCTACCGCCGAGGGTGCTAAGGAAGTTCGAGAGGAATTAATGAAGCGGGATAGTGGAAATGTGATCCGAATTCTTGAGGGTGACGAAGAGAAGGCCTACTGGACAAAGATTGAAAGTGATATGAAGAAGCGCAGTGTCATGGGAAAGCAGCGACGCGGAAAGGCTAAGGTACGCGACGGCACTGCTCAGTCTGACGTAAGTTGCGGCTGATAAATGGGGAGCATTCATTGGCTTTGTTTTCATACGGTTGTATTGTAGGTTGTGGCCAATGCTGAAGAAGAAATGGAGAGTGTGGTGAAGGGAAACATTCACAACCGGCTTCATATAAAATTTGAGTAGGCGCCTATCGTTTCCTGTTTTTGGGAATGGCAGCACGCCTGGCTATGGGTGTGACGTACAATTGCCATTATTGCAATCTGTAAATACGGTACAAGGGTACTTTAGTGTTGATTTGTTAAAGAAGTTGTTTCAGTAAGTTGATGCCTTGATGGTGATTGTTGGTTTTGCTTTTACGACGGATTGACCTACAGGAAAGTCGACTTTGCTGCTAAAAGTTTTGATAAATTGTTAATGAGATGCCGGTACGTTGATTAATTGTAGTCGCGGTACGTTGATTGCGGCTTATGTTCTGTATAAGTTGAAGCTACAAAAATTGCGCGTGGTTCACCAGGCGTTTTACTGTAGAAGCATAATTCTCTATGTTAGAAGTACCGATTAAGTTTACCACTTGACACCTCGAAAAGTTTTTGTAAAGCATATTTCAGAACTGGACAAATCAATAGTTCCACAATGGAACTTCCACTGCTTTAATGAATTTAACATATAGATATACTAGTACAATGCGCATGGTTTTAAGTACCTTATCTACCTATAACCTATTAATCGTAAATTCCATCAATACTGTTTAGCAGATTAACGATAAGTACTAATCTAACGATAAATACTGTATTTATCTAACGATAAATATCTAACGATAAATACTAATCTAACGAGTACTTTCTTACAAGAGTTTAGGTTTCTACCCACAAGAGCAAGCAACGCGGTAGAAATTTTTTTTCTGCTATTACTTCGTTCTTTGCTTCCCGTTAATAGTTGTCTTTTCCCGATCTTCTCACTCGGTTGTGTTTGGCAGTAATATAGATATTAAATATAAAGGAGCGCCGTCTCGTAACACTATAATGCACAGAGGTCGATGACAAAACTCATATCGCATTATGTCGGTACAGTGAGCACACTCAGCATGTAGGCGCTCTACTATCTATCGCTTTCTGGAAACACTGACAGGAAGTACAGTACGTTATTTATTAAAATTTTTTGTGCAAAGGCACTCTGCTGCGAAGGAAAAAATTGCGAAAAACAATATAAAATGTAACTTTTGTCACGCTGACGTCTGCAGAACAACTTAAATAACAGCGGAAGGAATGCCATGAAAATCATTAGCACATCAATTTATCCGAAAAGTTGCGACACCTGCTTGACAGTGTCTTCCGGCGACGTCACCGTATGCCCCACCGTCCTCGCATCTTCAAAAATCTCATGGTCATTTCCTCCAGGCATGGTTTTATCGCCAAAAAAGTGGATGATCTTGAATCCGTCCTTTTCCAAATGCCGCAAACAGTACGTCTTATCCCAACCCTTGGGAAACACGTCGATACTGATTTGTCCACCGATACTGAACACCAATCCCAAATCAGAAAATTTCGCACGGAAGTCATCAATCATGGTCTGTCGTATCTTGTGCTCCTTGTCGTACTCCACAAATGCATCCCGTTCCGCCTGTGAACAGGAACGCCCTACAGGGCACACATTCAGCATGCCTTTGCGGAATTCGATGAATGTTCCGCGCTTGAGTGGCAGACGGATTTTAGAAAGATACGCCAGTGCATAGTTGATAAAGTCCTGCAGTACTTCTTCGCCAAAGTGTTTCTGCAGGGATTCTTCGTGGATGAGTTGGCCATTCTTGAAGGCCACGAGGCCGTTCTCGGAAAAGCAGTAATCGAAGCGCATGGCTTCCTCCATTCCACCCATCTGTTCGGCGATCTTGGCCAGATCGGAGCCTCCAACTAAACCTACGTGCACTTTCTGCTGCAGATTCTCCAGGAAGTTCTTCGTCGTCGCCGTAATGCAATTGCGCGGCTTCGTCAGTGTCCCGTCCACGTCGAACAGGCAGATAACGTCACACGGACGGTCTAACATTTTGGGAATCATAGCGCGTCTTAGAACACGGGAGAGGAATGCCAAAGTTGTTGCAGAACTTCTAACAATTAATTTTAAGCAATTGCTGCGGTGTTGCAGCACGGTGAGATGCACAATACAATGCAACCAAAACAGACCGACAGCGCTGCTGATCACAAATTACTGCGCAGGAAGCAAACCTGACACAATTATTCAAACTGAAATTGAAAACTATAGGCCGATTTAGAAGTTTTCTGGCAAAACTTTTATACGAAAAAATTCAAAAAAATAAATCATGACACCATACCAGAATTATCGGTAATTTGCTTGCCAAAATTAAAAAACGCTTTGAAAATTTTCACGCTTTTATGTGACTTGAGCGACACGAAGTCACTGCGACGTGGCAGTATGGTGACTCGGTGCGGATACAAAGTAGATGCAAGCAAGCGTGCAAACGTACAAATTTCTTCGCCGGAAAATGACGACGAAATTAGAACATACATATCTTCGGCATTTCGGTGCGTTGTTTACACCGACGCCAGACATCGATCGATACAATCGCAAACGCGGCGACAGACTCGAAAATAATTATGAACCATGCGATATTTTTATGAGACTACTCTATGTGATGCAAAGTGGAGCCACATGTAATTCGAGATAGAACGCGAAGGTCTACGCCGCATACACACATTTGCAAAACCCATACGGCGCTGTTTGTTGCATAATCGCGCGCAATTAGGTTTTCGTTAATTTTTAACGAGAAGTACTCCTCTCTGGCACTGTTAAATTGCTAACTGCACCTGTATATTACATAATTATTTTGATGTTGACGTCCAACTGCTTCACGACTGAATATACTGTACGTATGGAAGGTTACAACTATGAACCATCGCCTGATTTCCTAATGTATCTATTTTACAACTGATCGAGGAACCAACGGAAGACACTGCATTTTTGTACAGGTTTTTTCTATGCTGATGTGTTAAGCGATTCTTCTTTTCGCCTTCGCGCGAAATATTTGCCACACCGTTTCCGTACCAGATCTTGTCAAATCAGAACGAAAGCCAAACAGCTGAACTAGTGACGTCAGAACGCCACTGCTGTCGTCTGCATTGCCCAAAGTACCGCCTCTTAAGTGACCATGATTTCCGGCAAATTGTAAGTAATCTGGAATGTGTTAAATTGTGGAATAAGTATAAATTATACTTTAGTGTCAAGTGTCACCGCTGGAAGGCTGCGAGAAGGACCAGTTTGTTAATCAAACGTCGAAAATGTTAATGTATACTCCATGATCCTTACAGTCGTTGCATGAGATAATAATGAAATCATGGAACGATCACCATGAAAATGGGGAATATCACTAATACGGGATAGCTAATGCTAACCTATGTTACCTCGGATTACAGTATTTATTAGTATTATATAAGTATTCATTACGATACGGACCATAAGATCGTGATACGAAAGTCTCTCATTAAAAGCTATTTTCTAGCGAATTTCACAGTCAGTGTGAAAATGTGGCTATTAGCCGTAATCACTTCGTGATGAGCTATCATGCAGTTATAAACGCAGTTTATTAATTGTTGCTGTTTCTAAGCCGATGTCATTATTTTTTTACTGTACCAGGATATTTGTAGACGGAATAAGGACTATTAGCAAGTAAGGAGTAAAGACGTAAACAACTTTCGAAGTGAACTCTCATGCAGTGCATGCACAACAGTATGACGTGAATTGCTACGGTACGAGTACGTATGTATTGTAAAATTACTACTTTGTAATACGCCAGTTTCCGACAGTTAGGCTTAATTGTTCGAGACCGTTTTCCTTTAACCTGATCGAGAATAGTTTTAATCTTTTAAGTAATTGTTTTATGCAAAACCAGTCCGGCATTATGTGAATAGCGCTAGCTGTGATCCGACAGGAATGAGCTTTCCTTTGCTGACCACCGGTGTGGCGCAGCGGTGCTGACCATGAATGAAAAGGTCACTCGATCTGTATATCGTACATTTGAATAATCACCGCCGCCGCGGTAACAGTGAAACCTGCCTGCTGCAATATAAAAACGCATAAAACGAACTGTACTCTTAAGAGAATTTTAGTGATTTCTGGAAAACTGCAGTGCTGTCAGTATAATAACGTCTTTTTTGCACAATTTGGAGAAGTAAAGCACCCAGGACGAGATGCACTCTAACAGTAGCTCTAAAATTCTCGGCGTAAAACTGCTACGGGTACCCGGTAGTGGTACACACTTGTAAAATGTAGCTAATCATCGGAAGTCAACGCGTTGTCAGCGTTAATTGTTTTCAGCTCAATCGTCATGTTTATGGGTTATGCGAAGTGTTTCGCAGAACAAAAGGCAGGGATGCTCGAAGTGGATGTAGCGTTTTCCACACCAAGTCAGCTTTTTTGTAGCGAAAATTCCTTCGCTGCACGCACAACAATGATAACGATTAACGAGTGCTGCAGGACAGCTGGAAGTTTTTACTTAAAACACTGTACGGTGCAACCGTTGTACGTTTGTTGTCTCAAGTCATACTCCACGTCAAGTGCAGTGGTTCTGCTTGCGCATTACATTTTCCACATGATGCCTTGATATGTGTTTCACAAATCCGGTTCATAGGTCTATACCACAGGGACAAACATACGGTGTGGCTGCCTGTGTTTTTCCGGCGTTTTGTTCACTCGCCTTAATATTCTCACTAGAGAATATCGCTGCCAGTCGAGTTGTTTGTTGAGAGAAACTTCCCGTGCATGGCTTAACATGTAGATTGTACACACTGATTAGATGGTTCTCTCTTTTAATTTTTATCTTTCTTGACCATTATAAATTGACTTGCAGCACACTGTCAGCAGCGGTGAAGAATGTCGCTGCAGTCCAGTGAATTGCGGGGATTTTTAACATCATTCAATGCAAAGTTTGCCAGCAGACTGACGGAGTACTACACATCTCGACATCCAGGCCAATCAGCCTTTAAAAAATACGTCCGTCCCAGCAGCAACTCCAACAACAACACCCACAATCAGAACAGCCACAGTACAAAAATGGACGACGACAAGCGGTCATCGGTCATCAAATTCGCGTGCTCCGCGGTTGATACACAGCCGTTGGATTTGTCTGTGCCCAAACCGTCAACGTCAACAAAATCCAAAAAGACCATATCACTGGCAAAGCAGCACGAACCAGTCAGCCTGTGTAAGGCAGACAGCGAGGAGAAAACGCTGACCGAAAGCCTCAGCGATGAAAAACTTGTAGGCATCAAGAAAAGCAGTAAACTCGGACAAGAATTTGAGGTGGAAAAAGCCGACGGGAGAGCGGAATGTGGATTGTGTGGCAAGTTATACGCGACCAAGAAGTGTTTGAAGATTCATCTTCGGCTGCACTACGGCATCAAACCCTACCAGTACGTTGCAGTGTCCGGCATGCAAATCGTGACCTTTCCAACGTATTTCTCTTGTTCCGTAGGTGTAGTTTCTGTCCGAAGAGTTTCGCTCAGTCCAATGTTCTGAAAGCGCACATTGCCTACCACACCGGAAGGCGGGACTGGGTGTGTGAGATCTGCAATAAAGCCTTCACACAGTCGGCACATCTGCGCACGCACAGGAAGACGCATTCGTCGCAGAAGGATTACCAGTGTCCATACTGCCAGCGGTGTTTTAGTTCCAAGCGTACGTATGCGTTATCGACAACCATTAAACTCCATATTTATTTTTGGACTCTAAAATTGCGGTCTTTTGTAGAGAGATGCGAAACTCATATTCGCCATCACACTGGCGAGCCGAATTACCGCTACGTGTGTCTGGCGTGCGACAAGTGCTTCACGCGCAGTGAATCGCTGCGCTACCACGAGAATTCCGTCCACCGGGGATTTCGGCCCTACATCTGCTCAGACAGGAGCTGCGGGAAGACATTCAGTCGGCAGTCCAGTCTCAAACGCCACATTCGCTCCGTGCACGGGCTCAAACAGGAACAGGAATCGACACCGGAAGTGGAGACTGCCACTCCGTCTGTCGTTGATGTTCCGCCGCCGGTTGGAGCCGGCAGTAATCCGCCCATTGTCCGTCCCATCTGTCACGTCGCCCCTCCGTTTTTCAACCATCTGGTGCGGTACAATTCAGCGGATGTCGACTGCAGCGGTATCTGATGGAAAAAAATTTGATTTGCTTTGGTATAATATGGAAATGCTCAACCGGAGACTGTGAGTCTACATTCGCACTGTGTTGTTTTATTGAATGTTTTCATTCTGCCACTTTCAGCATTTGGTTTTAATTTTTGCCACATAGAATTTGATGATAGCTTGTGAGGTTTCATAAGACTGTAGCAGTATATAGAAGAGGTAGATTGCTCAAGGTGCATACATTATACATACATTTTATTTGGATACAGTAAGCCGTGAATTGCCGTGGCAGCGGCTGCCAAGACTTGATCATAAATAAGAAAAACATGTGATAACGACGCTCTGCAAGTTACCCGTAGGTCGTAAATGTGATACAAAGTGTCGGTAAATAGACGATAAACAGGGCCGCGGGCTGAATGCGATGGTTGCTGTTTGTTGCACACATGCGAAGGTTGCAATGCCGGTTAAGCCCGACGACTAGCTCCTGTATCTAGTCGAAATTCTCTTGTATACGTGCGCGTCTGCAAGGTTCCGTAAACGAAAAAGTTTGACTGCCGATTGTTAAGTAGCGTTAAATGTGCTGCTGGCAACATTCGCGTTTTTCTCAGAATGACATAAACGTGTGAATGACTTCCATCTCACTGGTTTACGTTGCTTTGAATGGCCACCTGCAGATAGCGCGCGTAATAAAAATGCGATTACACTGCAAGCGCCAGCATGCATCATGCATGCATCAGTATGGGGCGCATAATAAAATCGCTTTTCGTATTTTTAAGCAATTAATTTACTTATATAACACTTTTAAGAAAAAATGGCACGCTAATTTAAACGGACTCATCACTAGATTAACGATACAATTTGTAGAATACCGACTTTACACCGATATATCGGAAAATCAGCTGAATGAATACAGCTGAATGTACAGTAAAACTCGTTGACTGGTTATAAGTATATTTTTTGCGGAAAGCCGGAAACGTTAGTTAAACAGCAGAATCCCGGTAATGATCCGGTATTGCCCTGTTTATTACGTGAATCTGTAATGAATTAACAATGTACCTGAACAACTAAAATAAACTTGAAATAATAACTTAACTTGGTGAAATCTTTTAAATGTCTGTGGAGATACGTTTACATCGACGATAACTAGTACTGTACGACGTGTACATACGTTTAGGTACATGAAACCGAATACTATGGTGGTTCGTGTTTTCAAGAGAGAAGATATTACAGAATTCTGTAAAATACGTGGATCTACGATGTCATTCTAATATTCCTCCGGTAAAAAATGGAATTTAGACAAATGAGACGATTTAGACAAAATGCATGCTTTCCACAGTATTTCGTAATGCTTACAAAATCGGAACAGCCTGAAACATTATTTTAATAAGGAGCCGTGACGTATTCAAGAAATTTCCATATTTCCGAAGCGAACAACAATTACGGCACAGTAAATTCGAGATAAGATAATATAATTTTCTTCTCTAGATCTGCTGAAAAAAAGGCTACGTACGTGCGGTTATGTAAAACAAGTTTTTTGCTGCTTATTTCGCTGGTGTACAGTACAGCGACACACTTGGTGGTACAGCCACTGAGCCACATGCACACTTGGTGCCGTTAAATGATTAAACAAGAATCTGCAACATTTATTTCTTCTTCTTTGTCAAATACTTCAAACGATATACACTATACGGTACGAAAACCATTTCAGGCGCTATTCCTATAGCCACCTTTTTAAATAACATACAATATCTTGTCATCAGTACTCGTAGCGGTTTCAAGCATATGCTCTCATTATGACATATAAATGAGCAAAAGAATATGCTATTATATACAAAAACGATTGGTTACAATCGACTATCGGTGCATACCGCTTTCCGGTAAATTCTTTTATCACGATGAAGCCGAAGCGATATATTTAGAACTTCAGACGATTCAACAGTTTTCAGCTTAAACACTTATCATCCTCCAGTCCGCGCGAACTGTTCACAAAAGGTGAAAATCAAGGTAAGCAACATTTTCCAAGCATAATAAACGAAATGAACACCTTTCTATGCCACCATGTTTCAGATTTCAATCCCCGTACACGCACAAAACACAAATATTGTAGTTTATTCGATTAAAACGTTTTAGAATGCAAAAGTACAGTCATCAGTCATCCAAAGTACCGCCGAAATAATGAAAACAGAAAAACGATGGAGATAATTCCCATCGCGTTTGTCCAAACGTTACGCCGTCCGCCGCTGACATTTGGCACTAGAATTCTTTATTCATCTCAGGCCTGAGCTGTGCAGTGGTCTGTATTTGGAGCGATGCTTTATCTTCCAGGTGATTTACAATCACACCCGGCAAATCTCCCCGATTATTTTGCGAAATCTGCATAGTACACACAGGCACAGTTAATGGAACTTTACGGTCGACTATCAGCCTAATGAATCATAATATCAATTTATTTATTATTGTATCGTATTTAAGTAATTCAACGCCTGTTACATTGTTATGTACAGTACTTGAACAGTAGTGTCGGAATTTTTGTACCTGAAAAATTTGTACATCGTTCCGCTGTAAAATGTCAACCACCGCGGGCGGAAGCTTCCCGCGGGCCGGCAACGTGCCCACAACTCGCACACCAGAACAATCCAGCAACTTCCGCACCGCCGGGAAAAATCGGGGCGACTTCAATTCCATGGATCCAATTTCGTCACAGAAGAACACACATGGTTCGGATGAGGCGGCGGCAGCTTCCAGCATCGGTAACACCAGGGATTCAAACCGCTCCAACTGCACATAGTATTTTCCTAATGTCGGTGCCGGCCCAACCGGTTTCCTGCGCAATAGTTACAGTACTGTACATCATTATGGATACGCCGTAGCACGCCTGTGATGTGATTAGTTTCATGCGGCAACCAACCAATTCAAGATCCAAATAGCGATAATTAGTCGAAATTGATACAACCTTATCGGGAAAAGAAAGAGGAAGATTAACTGATTGTGAACTGTGCAGTGTGGATCACTTACTCGATTGTTGCCAGTGGGCAAGTCGCTCCACTGACGAGATCGCGCACAATGAATCCGCTGCGGATACCATCAGGAGTGCGCTGTTCGTCCGTGCAAAATCCATTGAACATACATTTACTTTTCACATCACTAGACGTATTTTTCAGGTGCTGGAAGATCTTGCCAATACACGTAGTTTTTTCCGGATCCTGAAAATACTCTTTTACAATCCCCAATCCGAAGGATCAGACACTATCAGACATATCTGTAAATTATCACTGACACGCAATCGTGTTGCTCTGCTCATGTTCGCAACCAAAGTAACGAATTCACTAGGCAGACATTCACTTTTTCAACTGACTACGCAGTATAAGCATGCGTTTTTTCACTCGTAAACCTATTGCGCTGGAAATAACGAACCGGGCATCCCTTGGATGAAAATATGACGCTTTCCCGGCATTGCGCCGGCGATCACGCTCTGGCCAAAATTCGGAAGAGAGAAAGTGCAGCGCTTTTAACAATCAAATGGTTATAGTCATAGGGATATTATATATAAAACGATAAATATTAAGTAACAGAACAATTTATGACCTGACCCAGATTATTAATTCTTGGAAACGCATCAAACTTAAGTATAAAAATCCGGTCAGTTCAACAAGGAGAATACGACAACAGAAAATAACAACTTTTTCGTACGAAGTACGAAGTACTGAGCCTGATAAAGATAAATCATCATAAATGCAAATAAAAGTCACACAGCGAAAAACTAGTGGGGGTAAACAGTAATAAGCATCACGGTGCATGATTGCAGTGTCGCAGCGCTTAACTCCCGAGTCGTTCAGTTACTTATCAGCATGGTCAAGGACCAGGTGCGCTGCTAAAGCATATGGACGTCGTTCAGCATAACAAATTACAAATTTTGGTTTCTTGTGACTTTTCTCTATATCAGTTGTTGCTTTCGAATTTCAAATTATTTATCTTAATTTGTGGTAGATTGCACGCTTTTCTGGTTTCTTAGTCCGTGTTTTTATTTTGGATACACGATTGCATTTCCTGTCCAAGTAATGGGGGAAAACGGGGACGCCGAAGCGATGGATACACAGGAAGCCGCTTCCGAAGTACCACAAAAGGCATCCTATGAAGAACGTCTGCTATATGTTACCGAGATCGCCAAACCCATGGCCGACAAGAAGCTGACGAAGAGAATCTACAAACTAATAAAAAAAGGTCTGTAATAACGGCGCCTATGGTAGATTGCGACTGCATGAGCAATCGTGCTAGTCTGAACAATGGTGAATTTCTGCAGCCAAAAAACAGAAAGGGTTCCTCAGAGCTGGTCTGAAAGATGTGCAAACCCGTCTGCGAAAAGGCGACCGAGGGTATGTACCTTAACAGCTTGTGGAGGGTTCGTTTGCTTTACTGCTGAATGCATTGTAGTTTGGTAGTATTCGCTGGAGATGCGCAGCCAATCGACTGCATGTGTCATTTGCCTTGTGTCTGCGAGGATTTGAACGTCCCTTACGTGTACACTCCATCCCGACAGGTAGGATCGCCCTTCTGTAGATCGGTATTCTGGTGATGAGCCTGTTTTCTGACTACTTCAAGGTTGAATACGAAGGTTAAATGGCGTTACATAACCAACTGATTGTACTAAAAATTTGAGTTAATCTATGATTTTACCGTATTGCTCGTCGCACTTGGAAAAGTGTTGTTTTTTATCTTAGCAGTTTGCACCACAATTTCTGCTTGCATCACGATTATGGATTTAATTATTTGCTGATAGGTTATGCTTTTAGGATTTAGGCTTGGCTATGGGCACCATGCGGAAAGTCATGATGATGTTGATTTTGCCCCATGAGGACTATCGTGATCTATACGACAAAACTAAACAGGAAATCGAAGGTTTGCCCATTTCTAGTTGAGCTGTAACGAGCATTCGATTCTGTATGTACTTTATCTTTTTCATTGTTATTGTTTTATTGTTGTTTAACGCCTAATGGGGTTTGACTTTGCTGCACGCGGAGATACCATACGCTGACCATCGAACGTCGGTTTTATGTTCTGTCCGAAAAAAAATCAGAAGGGCTTCGAGTCACGAGTGTGAGCCATTCCACGATTATTGTAGGAATATCTACATATGTACCTGTTTTTACTATTTGTAAATTTAGCTAAAGACCACAGTTAAAAAAAGCAACAGCAGATTTTTTAAACAGACAATTTCGCGGTTCCAAAACACGTTTATATTTGTTCCAAAAAACCACAGCAGCGCTCGGATTCATTCGTCAATTTGTTCATGACTGCGATTGGCACTGTTTCTGGTTACACGACCATCTCGTGTAGGGGAATAATTTTTCTTGGGATGTAAAAACTGCTCTTCCTTCTCTTGTACAGAAACACGCTTTTGTTCTTCTGTCTCCTTCACGTCGGTTAACTGCTGACATTTCTGCTTCCCCAACCTTCGATAACCTAGTGCACAAGACATTAATTGTATCACAGGGTATATCACTTCGCGAATAACGGAGAACTTAGAAAGCAGCACAAACAAAAGTTCCTTACGCTGCACAGCGTCCGCTGGATATACCGAAGTGCAATTGGGACATCTGACATTCGTGTTTTGATTGCGTGGGCTGATCATGCGAACAAGGCATGCCGAATGGCATCGTTTCCGGCAATCCACGTTTGTACACTGATAAGCCTTTAAATAATAATTCGAAGCCAAAATATTCAAACGCGTGTGAGGAATGCGCAGCCGTATCACACACAGCCAGGGGCGTAGGGAGGTATGGGGCCAAGGGGCCGTGGCCCCCCAAAAGGCCAGGCAATGTATTACTGGCCCCCCCCCCAAAAGAAAATCCACTGGCCTCGGGCGGCGAAGCCGCCCGGGGCCAGTACAATTTTTTTGGGAAAACGTAAAATTAATATTAACGCTGACATTTAATTTAAACCCAACATCCTCTGATAAAATGCTGATTCACTGTAAATAAATTAAAACACTGTGGCATCTTCGGTTAAAACACAGAATTAGTAAACAATTGAACGTCGGACGCCCAAATCAGTGGCGAATTTAAAGGGGGTGGGTACGGAACACGTGCCCCCTCCGGAATTGTTTTAAAAGTGGGTTCTTCAGAAAACTAAAGGGGGAGTGTTGCTTATAAAATGGTAACCAATTTTGCATAAAATCGTTTAAATTCATTTTTTTCGTGCATTTCTAGCGATTTTGCAGTTAAATCGATTGTTAGCTTCGCGCTCCGCGCGAACATAGCTCTTTATTGTACTTTCATACATTAATCTAGTCTCCGCACGAAACTAGCATTGAGTTAAATCATCAATGCACAAATGTGCTATTATTTACATTTGCTCATTTATTCTTAACAAAAGCATGCTCCAAGCGTTTTACTTTAAATTCGTAATATTCAGCTATTTTTTACAGAATTTCTAGCAATTCTCCCATAATAACGTGCGTGCGCCAGGTTTAAATTCCCATGCTGTGTATGCAAAACACAGCAGGTTAATGGGTTACCTGCTACCGAGATGAAACTATTAAACTATTAAACCTTCGCGCTTCACGCGAAATTTACGGTTTCTGAAGACCAAACATGATACAATCTTTCTTCATGCCCTCTAGCTTCATTTCGCTGCAAAAAAATAAAACTATTTCTACTATTTTTAATAGAATTTCTAGCAATTTTGGCAGGAAAATCGCTCGTTGGCTTGCGCGCGCGAAAATTAATAACTGATATAATTTTTGACCCTGCACCTTGCTTTACACGCAAAGGTCACCAACTTACGCCCAAAGGTCACGCACAGGCGTGCTGGTACCCTGGGCGCTCCCTCGCATGTAGTAGAGGCGCACTCACAGGGGTGTACCCTTGGGGTGCCTCCCCCAGTGGTATGCCCCTGGGGTGACCCCCAGATGTGCACCCCTGGCGTACACCCTTGGGGGCACCCTTATTATGTTGGTTCGGCTCGCCTTGGCCCCCTCCAAAAACGAAAGCTCCCTACGCCGCTGCACACACCTAACAGAATCGACTGTTTGCACCGACGTAGTCGGTAGAATGTCGTATAAATTATAAACCGAGGATATTTTAAATAAAGATGTTCAATTTATTTTTCAAATTCTGATCGAAACAGAAATGTTCTACGAAATAATAAGTAAAAGTACTCGTACTGAAGATCCGACTGGAGTGTTCGGGCAATCCAAAAGACAACCCAGCCGAAATACACAAAAAATGCGAATCTGAGACCTTGTGAAATCCACAACACCGTCTTCCTATGGAACTTACCTGCGCAGTTATCAGTCCGCGGCAAAGTGCGCACATTTGCACAGCGTCTCGGTTCGTGTCGCGAAGGAATGGCTCCAACTCCGCCAGTGTTCGCGGGCCCAACGACACTTTACCTTGATCCTGCGCGTGAACACCCAACCAGTTAACCAATGCGGATAATCATGGTAGCCAACATTTGTATCATTTTGTATGCAGTACGCACTACGCACATCGTCTGATTCCGTAAGAAAGCCTAAATTAATGAACTGGTTGACGATATCGGAGGCCGCATGTTGAGATATTTTGAACTGCGACGCTGCATCGCGAGACATGGCCTGGTGCTTGGTGATGAAGCCACGCTCCGATTCCAGAATCTTCGGAACCTGCCAAATCCGATATAAAAATAAAAAGTACTAAACTGCAGCAAGATGTAGGATAACTTTGTGAAGTTTCTTTCTGTTAACTGCCCCTTGTAAAAAACAAAACTAACGCTTGCTTACCACATTATACAAGAGTTCCAGTTCAGCCGCCTTAAAAATTTCCTGTAGTTTATACACGCCTCCTTTGGACGAATTTGCCTAGAACCATACAACAAAATTGAGAGGCGTGTCACCGGAAGCGCGGTTTGGAAAACTAACGGAAGTCTTTAACAGTTTAACACTTATTAACCCAGATCTGAGTAAAACAGCAACAACTGGTTTATCTGCTTGAAGAAGAATGTATTTCTGAATCACACACCTACACTCGCGAAGAAACCATCAATTTGCATCATTCGCCAAATCCATATCATGCGCAGAAGTTACCAGGTGTTAATATCGTACACAACAATAAATTGCTACATTTTGATTTTAAATGCTGCTAACTAACGCACCAAGCAATAGTAACTTTCGACGCTGTTTCCAGATGACACTCTTTTGATAACAAGATTATACTTCTTCAGTCTCGTATTGATCACGCTTATTGTTGTGGCCAGAGATTTCAGATATTCTTGCGGAGTCTCAGGACATTTCACTGAAAATACAGAACCGTGACAAAACTCACAGATTTTTTAATAATCGCAGTGAGTTCCTGCTGAAGCATTCAACGTTTCTGTCTCCCGTTGCACATAATTTAGTGGCACTGCCACTGCTTCCTTGGCAAATACTTACCACCAAATGCTTCGCAGGTTTGTCGAAATGTCTGATGCACGGTGGCGCTATTCAGCATCGAACTATTCATGTAAACATTTAAGAGTGAGCGATGAAAGGAGCCAAAGCGGGCGAAATCCACCGCTTCTTGAATGACAGGCCCTGCTTCTGCAACGTCTGCAGCGGTTCCGCCCGACGTACTAGCACGAGGAGAGGCATCTCGGGATGCTTGAGAATTCTGGGAACTTTGTTGAGTTTGTTGACGCGTTCGCCGCGGAGATGTACGAAGACGTTGCGACATGTTGTCAAAAGCTGCCAGCACTTGCTTTCAGAATACGACTGATGACTGTGTCGGGGCTCAGATTATGGCTATGCAATATCTGATCGAACACATTAACTGTTAAAACCACTCAGCTATGCAGTCAGCGACAAATCATCACTGAAAATGAAAACAAGCCAGAGGACATTTACCCCTTTTGATTCTGAACAACCACCAGCGACAAAAAACATTCGGTGCAGACTGAGAAGCAGAAATGTGGAAAACAAAGAGGGGATGTTGCGATGTTGGGCGCTACCGACCGCCCCATGGAGGCATCGTTGCAAACCGGAAGTCTCAGAGATCGCCGAGTAAAGTTGTAGAAAAACCCCGCTATAAGTGCAAGTTGATATAAAATAAATACAAAAATAAAGTTTAAACAGAGTTTATCACTGTTTATGGTTTACCATTGATTTGACGTGATTTCCACAGAATTTTGATGTGCTATATTGAGTTTTTAATGCTACTGACGTTATGCTTGTTTCGGAATAAAAATGCTTGGCCGTTTACCAGTTATGTTTTCGACGGCAGCGCGCTTGACAGCACAAGCCTCTCGATGCGCATCCTGCGCTGGGCAACATCTTGCTGAATCTTCGCGAATATCTTTCATAAGCTGTGATCCCGGTCTTCCTTTCTGGCGAATATGGTCGCGTACTTATGCAAGGGCAGCTTCAGTCCGTAGGACTGTTTCAGAACCCATAAAGACCGACCACGGAACGACATTGAAAGTAAAATTTCATAAAATGCTCGTTTACCGCTTTACGCACCATAATGTTGCGTTTATGCAGTAATGTAATTATTATATTATGCTTTGTTGTGTTCGGATGAAAACAGCAAATGTTGATGTTCAGCAAATAAATCTTAAGTTTGTCTTGTAGTTGCAACAAGAATCTCAGGAAGACGATAAACTTTTCCGTATGATTGAGATGGAACTGAAAGGACATGAAGACGCTGTTCTCACCAGCTACCAATGGTTTTTGTGTCAGGCAGCTAAAGAGCTCGGCATCCCTGTGACGCGTGTGTAAGTTAGTTTTATTAACTTTATCATTGATTAATTAGCTGCTCTTCGACAGTGGTCTCTGTAATGTTGTCAATGAAACTGCAGTACTCTGAGTACTGTCAATGAAACTACTGTACTTTGTGGTAGTGCCACTGCCATTAATATCATGTTATGGACCAGAGTGAATGTGTGGGTAGTTGGTACAGACTACAGACAGCGTTAAACGGTTAAACAATAAATTGTTATGTTCTTAATCGACATCGATCGCCTCTTCCGATTTTATGCGAAATAAGAAAAGACAGCGACAGTAATTTGTGTTTCTGTATTGTTCCAGATACACTCCTTTGCGCAATTATGAACGTTTCTCATTGCTGAAATCTAAGTTTATTTATAAAAAGCATTTCGTGCAGTACGAATTGCGGACGTATCAACGGGTCATACAGGTAATCATACTTATCTTGTTGTAATGCAGTGGCTGTAAAGGAAAGCTATGCAATCGTCCTTTAAAAGTAAAAGTGTCATTTAAATTAGCGTATAAAACCTGCTGAAGCATATGGTTAATAAAAAATGAGTCAAAGTTTTCATGCATTTAATTCACGAAATCGTTGTAATCTGTTAGCTGAAATATCTTACGGGCTCCACTGCGGATACATATCTGGAATACGTACAAAGAAATTTACCGGAAGGAGTTGCAATGAAAGTTCTTAAGGTAAAACCTGTCACTGGTGAACTGAATCCCGGTTAGTTTCTTTAGTGTTGTTTCATGGTTCAATGCTGAAAATGAATACGAGTACACTGTTACTGTACACATATATGGTACAACAGTGTAGTTTATTTTCCGTAAACTTAGCATAACGACTAACATTTCTTTTTGCAGTGTCAAATAGAAGAATTTCCCAGTCATTTGACGCCTCCTGAAAGCGAAAAGCCCCAAGATGTAAAAACATGAGTTTTTTTATGTTTTCCCCAGTATGTGAATGTTTTTCAGTGAATCTTTTTTCCATGAATGCTTGTCCATTGTCAATTACTTCGTGCGTCGGATAAGAAATTCACTTAATTTTGTGGCACTTTTTTGAATATTCTGATTTGCCATACAAAAATAGCTGACCATGCAAACCGTGGATCAAAACTGTTCTGCCCTAAAAACCGAATGCTTTCGTTTACCTGGAGTAAAATTTTGCAGTCATCAGGCAAGCTTTTAAGTGCCCAGTGATTTACACCACACATTTACAATAATTCGAAACACAAATCCCTTCTGACCATAACCACTATAGTACCAGAAGCAACCTCAACGGTATAATGGTTTGTGCAATACTATCAAATTTAAAACCAAAAAGGGCAACGTAAAAAGTCCTCGACTTATTGTCCATTTATTATTCCGAATCGTCTCCGATACAGTCTCGCAGACCGGCAAAAGCATCTCCATCTTCCTCCTCATCGTCGCTCCGATGAGCTAGTGCACCCACATTCAAATCGTCTGAATCAGATTCGTCACTAACGGAAGTTTGTTTCAGCCGTCTGCCTGCAGGCTTCTTCCCAGAGTGTGCACCATGCGAAACGGGCTCCGGAGCTGCACTGCGTGATCCCCGTGTTCGCCCTACAATTCAAGGCTGGTAAGGCATGAGAAAGCGAGCAAATTAAAAACAATCGGCTAACCAGACACGATATTTTTTGTGTCCAACGATGCAATCTCAGCGGCAGTTTCTCGCTTTGCGCGCAATTTGCGGCACGACTCTACTGTCGGTTTCCTGCAAATAAAGATTTTGATATACCTAATTACGAAACGAATCTTCATCTGTAAAAAGCTTTGAGATATCGCGGCCAACCCAAAATAAATCAAACGAGAACATCTGGGATGTGCAAGAAACTGTAATCACAAATACCGCATTTTCTCAATGGTCTCCCTATTCGAAATCGACAAAATCAGTAAAAGCCAAAATTAGTAAAAGCATCTCCTTGGAAGCTGCTTTAAACTTCAACAGACGTTAAACTCTGGAAACAGGGTATGGCGGATGCCCCAATTTCGTCATCCATTGCCTTACCCTGCAAGCCTTGTTCAGCCAGGTATTCCAAAATTCGCTCTTTCTGTTTCTTCACTGAGTTGATGCCAGCAAAAAACTTTCCATAGTTGTTGATTCGTATGCCAGCTTCTTTGAGGTACGTTTTATAACGTTTGAGCGGGTCATCCTTCTCCTTAGCACTAGCATTTTTACTGTCTTTCTGCAACAAATACAGGTACTTATTTCCAACCAAACTGAAAGTTTTGAGATCAAAAGAGTAAATTCTTGACCAACACAAGTAAACAACTACTACCTTTGTTTTCTCGTGCGAACCACTGTCGGAATCGTCAGCCTTAGTCGACGCGCCAGTTTCTGTTGAAGACTTCGATCTTGCAGCGTTACCAGAATCGTTGCTTTTCTTGCTTTCAGCTTTCGTGTTAGTTTCCTTTCCAGGTTTTGCCTGCAAGAATTAATAGAGAATAAAATTCTTGTGCTCATCAACAACTCTCTTCGTAGAAAAACGTGAACACTTACACGTTTATCGTTTTTTTCAGATGCTTCACTGACTGATTCTTCTGATGACTCTTCGGCCATCGTTTTCACAGAATTTGATTTTGCACCATTACTCTTGCCCTTCATCTGCAAAATATGCAACTTGCAGAATACGAAAAAAGACAATTTACTGTCAACGAAATCTCAATAACTCACGAATTTGTCCACTTCTTCAGCAATATCACTGTCCGATTTGTCGGATCCGGAAGACTTTTCAGTATTTCTTTGTGTAGAAGTTTTCGAATGTTTCCGCGATTCTATACTGCTTTCCTGTAATACAACATAAGGTATGAAATGGAAGTCCAGTACGAAGCCACATAAAGATGAATGCACAGCGTAAATATCCAAACAAAAAACACCGATAATTTCCAAAATTACTATTTTCGAGAGCTTTTTGGGGTTATCTGACACATCCGAAGAGTCCTCAGGCTTTGGACGTGCACTGTTTTCCACTTTGCCATTGTTCTTCCGATTTCCCTTCTAAATTATGAACATAAGATGTTAAAATGGATGAATAATATTCGATTGAACAACATTTGGATAACGTCAAGTTCAGTCCATTAAGCATATCTTACATTCCTTTCCATGGAATCACTTTTGACTTGCTTTTGTGAGACCAATTTCGGGGCGGCTTTTGCAGATTCGCTCTTTGAGTGCTTTTTCTGACTATTCTGAATCTCCAAAACAAACCATGTACTAAAACGGTGAACACGAATGACAGAGCGAATGTATTCACCTGCTCGTTCTCTGAATTATCATCTGTACTGGCATTTTCACCGTTTTTATGCGAAATACTGCCTTCTTCCACATTCGACGCCGACCGGTGGAGTTCCTTGGAAGACGATTTATCGTTCTTTGCCGGCGAAGGCTACAAATAAAACCGCTGAGCAAAAACATATAAAATCATAACAGTTCTACCAACCGGATATAACTGGAACTCGAATTCCACCAAGGCACCAACGTATAGTATGTGCAGTAAAATAGTACGTCTATGCTACCAATTTCAGTACTGCAAAAAAGCATTCAAATATTGTTAGCCTCAATAATGAAGAAATAATCAAGAACTACATCTCATAACAAAAACAACAATTTTGCGCTGTAATAAACGAAAATCGATTTTACTAGTTACCTCCTTGACACCGTTAGCGTCGGAACTTTTGGTTGTCATGTTCTAAAATACCCTAGTGTTTGTATACGTTAAATCCACGAGATGATTATTAATAATTTCAATGCCAGTCGTACAATTTCAGCTTTCGCAGGCGATGATTTGGAAGCAATTTTCGGTGCGACTTTGACGGCAGCCGCTTTCTTTTGCTTTTTACTGGACACTTCATCTTCACTGTCAGATGACTCAACATCCCGCTTTTTTGATCGAGCGTTCTCCTTCAGCCTCCTGAGCATCTATGAAAGCACGAGGATAAATTGCAACCCAACCAATTGTGGATAGAGGCAAATAAGTACAAATGCGCTTTCATTTGCATACACTGATATAATTACCATACACCTTCAGACAAAAAAGGTTGGAATAATAAGAACGAGAACAACATTAAAGAAAAGTCCAACAACCCATCAAACAACAATAAACTTCAAATATTTTTCTCAGCTACGCTGCTGCTTACTACTAAATAATATCCCGAAGAAGAACGCCATCAGAACATAGCCTTCAAACTTTCGTATCATTCAGGCAGACAAACTGTGAAAAACTATTAAGAGTCTCGGTTATGAAAGTGCCAGGTATTTACCGCTTGATGTCGCTGCTTATTAATTTCCGTATCGGAATCGCTTTCATCGGAATCATCGCCAATTGTCGGGATTTTCTTTCGCTTGACGTCTTCCTTCGAGGGAGAAACATTCGGCTCAATCTCCGGCGAACTCTCGTGGAGTTTTCTCTTCTTAGAATTTGCTTCTCCGGAGACTGCTCCCACCTGCTAACGCCTCATTTATGATTCCTACCTCCAAAAATGATAAACTGACACGGAGCAGTGCAGAAATCGAAAATCTAGACATCAATGGGAAGCAGAAGACTACGGGGACTGTACCTCCGCTGGTCGAACAATTTTTCTGACTGATGAGCATTTGAAATTCTTTACTGGTTTACCGCTATCCGTGACTAATTTGTTCGGCTCCTCTGGCTTGTAGACACACAGCTCCTCGCTTTCACTGGACATTCTTCAGCAGCCTGCCAGCCACTACACTTCTCCCCAGTATCCCAATTCTGAATCAAGGAAAGCAGAAAGCCAGCAGTCCGACACAGGCACAGCACTATCTAATCGACAACTTGTTCATCAGTTCAGATCACCTATTGTTTTCTTATAAGCAGACATTTTACAATTCGATGTCAAAACCCAAACAGAAAACACTGGAGAGCTTCATTAAAGAATACTTCTAGTGATCGTCATTGGGCTTTTTACTAACTTTTAAATGCAAAGAAAATCCAAGATTCTTTTCTTAGTCATCAATATAAAAGAATACAAGATATCAAGTCACAAGTGCACTATTTAACTTTAAACGAGCACATACAGCAAGTAATTACATAATTACAAGAAGTTATGATTTAACTGATACATTTGAATGATACATGTGATAATAATTATTGTGATTAAATCATCAGTCTTGTCGAAAAAACCAAATATAGAAAAAGCAGTCTGTGGCCCTGCTACTGGGTGGCCGAACAAAATGTCGGTCTGATTTACCATGGTGCGCTTGGTCTGACCAATCTTCGGCCTTGATCGACGTACTAAGAATTTTTCTGGTCGAACAATTTTATCCGAAAGCGCAAAATGATTATTGCATACAGAAGTTCAGCGAAGCTTACATTATACAAAGGTTTCAGTTTTTTTATATTTTGTTTTTAAAAATATTTGGAAGATTTCCTAGAAGCGGAAATTCGAAATTACCTATGGCCCTTTATAAATCAAAAAATGCTGTTACCCTACCAATTACTAAATTAGATCAATGTATCTCCCCTTTTTTCGGTAGAGGGGTGTTTATAGTTTTTTACTGTAAAGGAACTGCAGCATAGTGGTGACCGTATGTGACCAGCACACCGGATAGCTGAAATTCCGCACGAGTAATAAGCAATAGTCAGGTGAAGGCGGGCCTGAGAGATTCCCTGTACGACACTTGCGCCGCTAATATTTCAGAAGAGATCGTACGTAGGCATTTACAGAAGCGTAAGTCTTTTACGCTTGTATTACGTTGTTTTCTGCTGGTTCAGCTATTACCCGCATACCAAAATGTATAGAATTTATTTCTCTACAATTAGGTCCATAACTTGTTCAGGAAAATTTGAAATGAGCAATACAAGGAAAGTTTTACCGAAAATGTCTAAATCCCATCTGCGAAATCAGCCTGTGAACGCCCTCGTATGGCAGTGCCGTGCAGTAGCGCAGCACAAGACCATTTCGTTTAATGCTTTCTGAAACACTCTCATAAGGTTTTACTTGACAAATTCTACAGTGAAATGTGGAGAAATAAATTCTCTACATTTCACTGCCTACCTAGCAGTTACAATCTTTCCGAAAAACGTTGTAATCAACGAAATAACGATCCAAGCCATAGAACCCAATGCTATCTCTCTTCTGAAACATTCTGCGCACATGTGCAGTACTGTGCCCGCATGCACGTGCCTATTGCTCATTCTCGTGATATCCGCAAGCAGCGTTTTTGAAAATTTCTGACTGAAGAAGAATCCTTTGGGACAGACAAGAATACCAGCCTTCGGTGTTTATGCAGTTCCCGGTAACACAAGGATTTGCTGGAGCTGCACACTCATCAACGTCTACCAAAAACAGCAAAGTTATATGTAACACCAAAACGAAACCGCAGCGGCGTTGCGCCCGAATATACCTATGCACTGGCCGTTGACGAATGTATACCCAGCCAGACAGTCACAAGTATACGATCCCGGTGATTTTCGGCAAGTTCCTCTTCCACATGGATTCACAGGAATGCACTGATTGATCTCGACACAAGCCCCATTTTGCACCATCCAGCCTTGGTGCCATAGGCTGTCGTGTGCCTTTTCCGCTGGACGACATCCGCGGCACTTCTCACACCAATGAACGCCACCTTGATGGCTGTACGACATCTGCGTGGAAACACGGATTATGCCTCGCTAGACACGGTTGGGCTGTCGCATGTCAAGGCCACTTCCAGTCTAGAGCCCTGCACGAGCCCAGCCGCTCGGCTCGGCTCACGAGCGCTCGGCGCTCGCGAGCACTTCGAGCGAGCAGGCGTCGTTTTGCGAATTTGCGAACGAGCTGAGCAATAGAAAAAAAACTGCGAGCGAGCTGAACAAGCGGGATGGTCAGGTGCGAGCGATCGCGAGCCTACAGGCTGATATTGTGCGAACTGGAGAAGTTTCTAGTACAAAATTACATTGACCGACCTGAAAAAGGTCTTAAACCACCGTCACCTTCGCGCTTCGCGCGAAGTGATTTCCTAACTTTCCTAGACCGGTTGGGACTCCACTGGATTTAACTTAAATTAAGCTCCACCAAACTAATTTACCAACACAAGCAGATCCGCGCACCGCTTGATACCCGACAGGACAGTAGCACTGGAATGACCCATCCATTAAATCTACGCATCTCGTCCCCGAGACACCCACACCACAGATACCGGGCAGTTGACACTGGCGTACTGCCATACAGCCTCCCGGCATCTATTGAAACCCTTCGGACAGCGGCACTGATAGCTTCCACGCTGTTCATGCACATTCCCGGGGAACAGAGATTGGGTGATTCAGCGCACTCGTTGACGTCTTCACAGCGATTATTAATTAATTCATAGCCCGTTGGACACAGACAGGTGTATCCTCCAACCATATCCTCCTGGCAAGTGTTGATTGTACAAGTATTGTACATGCAAAGTGATGCACTGGTTGATTTCTAAAATTGGTTTCTGATTAGCGCCGTTCTGCGGTTGAAGTGTAGACAGATGGAAACGATGGCGTCGAAAAATACTTACTTATACATTCCTGCCAGCCCACAAGATCATAATTGGCCGGACCCACGCAGGTGAAACTGCCCGCCAAGTTGACACATTGGCTTGGTTTGCATGGATTAGTCTTGGCCACGCACTCGTCGGCATAGAACGGTGATGTCGCAGTTTGAATTTGGTTGGTTTAATCCTTATTGTTAAGCATTTCTACGCTAAGGTAAGGGTAACCAGTAAAAATTTCCATCGGTTTCGCAAAACAGCGAAAACATTAACAGCACATTCATCGATATCTGCAACGAAAGCGTCATAGATGTACTGACTGGTTTGGTATTATAATGTACTATAATAACAATAATGCACACTGTGTAACGCAAAGATACTGCCGCATACGCACGGCAAAAGCAATTACAAACCTCAAACGACTCAACCGCTGCTACAGTCAAGCCGTCCACGTAAGGACCCAAAATGTTGTGTTCCCGTACACGCAAACTGTGATCGGTTCTACAAAAGTCGTACTATATGAGTAACACAATGCATAAGGGCGATAAATTTATGTGGTCAAGGTATTCTGAAGTAAGCCTTACGGTTAGCCTTTACATCAAACAAAATTCAGATATTACTAATTTAATATCTCGAACTAGGCATATAGTAGACCTTCTCGTTGTAGACTCCGATGTAAAATACTTCTACCTTGTACAATACCTTCTTTGTGACATCGTTCTCCACTCGCAGAAATAATTCATTACATAACCGCGGATTATACCCGGCTGTTCTAATGTAAATGAACCATCATCGTGTAAGACTTCCCGGAACCTACAAATATTCATGAAATCGATTTTGAAGCAACAGTCCTCATAACACTTCTTCGCTGAATCAACTGCTGCAAATATCGGTTTGTCCATATGCGAAGATGCAGGCATTGTATCTATGAAAGGCATTCTCCAGAACACTGCTTCCCAATGCACAGTACTCTTAACTCTAGCTTTATTGTTGGCCCTACTAAAGTTATTTTCAAAATTGATATATCAACAGTAGGGTACCAGACCACGGTCAGAAGAGCAAGAACAAGAGACTTTACGCTGCGTGCGGCATCTAATTTCGTTTTTAATCACAGTGTTTATTCTGCAGGCTGCAGACTTATAAATGTAGAAGAAACGAAAGCTCCAGATTAGCTGTGAATACACACTAACGCCTACACGAAAAAACAAGCCATATAGCTTCAAATCCCGAATCCGAGATACTTTCTAAATCGACCAGTAAAATTCGCCCAACGTCACTAAAACAGCGGCCGCTGGCCAACGTGAATCGATTACTTACGGAGATGGTCTCAAAGAATGGATAATTATATCAAATATTTTGTTACGATCTATCAAATTTCTTTATCCAACCCATTATGACAATGCAGCTAACAGCGCAGTCTACACTTATCTCTATCACCAGACTCCGCATAACTATACCTGAAATCAGACGACTCAAGCACAGCACGTACAACCTCTTTCTATGAGCCCAGCACAGACTGATAGAAAAAAATTAAGTACTCATATTGAAATCACTACTCTCGGCTCGTAATGGAATCTACCGGCCGCCGTCCGTTTACGCTACCGCGCATTTCGGCAGCTACGTGCCCAGTAGTGTCCAGGTTTGGTACTTCAGCACACCGAGTTTGGACTCGCCACGAAAATTCACAAATCTTGTGACCGAGTGGTATAATAATTTTTCTGACAGAAGATTCTGAATCACACGACGTCAGACGACGCGGCCACGTCACCGTAGTCACGCACGCTGCATTATTTTGATCAAAATTTTACAGTTTTTGCATGCATATCTATGATAAAACTTACCTGCAAGTAACCTACAATTGTCGTGGAACCTAAATTAAATCCCCAACAATGCGGTTTATCACACATTTTAAAATTTTGTATACTATTTTCGTACTTACCCTACATCTCGCGATGGAAGCCGCATTGAAACAGCTTATGACGAGCACCCTTTCGAAATAATCGTCGAAAAAGGGTGCTCGTCATAAGCTGTTTTCAGGAAAACCGCAGTGCCTAGAACAGGCCGGAAGGTAATCTACCTTATCTGTCTGTTATAGACATTGCAACTTTCACTCTAAACGTTTTAGATACTGGAGACTCGACCGTTTCGGTTCGGTAAAAAGATATTCCGGTCGATCCGAAAACGACGTCCACAGCTTCTTCCACATTGACAACATCATAAACTGGCTTTCTTTTGTGGTTAACGGATACGAAATGTATGTACTATTACGTTCATTCCAGAAGACATGCTGACAGAAGACAAAGTAGCGAACGTTGGCGGCAGTTCTGTAGCTTCGATTACGGAGATCCAATTAAGCGTTAAATAGTCGCTAGACACATTCAACTGTAAAACAGTTCTTACTCGACAGACCTCTTCATTACGACGGTAGCATCGTCGCTCATCAAATTCGGCTTTTGATTGATCGTCTTCATCTTCCCAGGTCCTCATTCTCATTCCTCTCTTCATCCATCCTCATCAGTTTCCTCATCGGTATCGCCATCGCAAATTTCCATACTCAGATCCCACCGACGCGAGATTTGTACTTGTAACACTCCCACAGTCTGCGTCCAAAAAGGTGAATAACTGCCAAAGCTTACGAAAATTTTCAATCGTTTTGTTCAGTTTTTAAACCGGAGACCATTAATTTTTTGCGGAACTTTCAGCGTATATACTTGAATCTTATTTATACTTTCGCTTTTGGTTTTATCAATTCACACAATGAGTGATTGTTGTGGTTATTAACAGTAGTAAGTAATAATATTGAATGTACCCGGAGTGGTGCAGTCGCATCCAGTATACTTCTATCCATCGTCGCAAAAGCACTCGGATTTGGCCGAATAAACCAAGCATACGCCGTGCACACAGTTGGGCGAATATTCACCTAAAACCGCACACGCTTTATTGCGTGTCAGTTCGTTTGTTTTCGACGTGTTGTTAGTAACGAAGGCAAACATTAATCTTTGTGTCTTTTACTACCGTATTCAATTTTATGTACTTGAACTGAATGAAGACGACGAGTCCTTGTAGGCTCTGTTCAAAGGGAAAACACTTACGCGACCAGGGAATGTAGTCGCGATTATCATCCGTTCCTCCAACACAATCCGGTCTGCCGTCACATAATTTTGAAAGACTATAAACTTCCAGAACATCGGAAGAGGCATTCAACTGGCACGCAAAACATCCTAGCTCAAAATTAACAACAAATAATTCCCGCTTATCCGCATTTCTGGTTAATAGCTGGACGCGGAAAACGATAACCTTTGCTTGGTTTCCACCTGCATTAAGGGAATTACAAAGCAGATTAATTTTAGCGAAATCCTTATTTGAGTCGTATTAAACACACAAAAATAACCCCGTTAATATCCGTTACTAAAAAATATACATTTCAACGTCAGCAACGTACGAGCACACGTTGGTCCTTCCACAGCCTGGAAGCCGTCAAAACACTGGGAAGTGTATGACCCGGGTACGTTAATGCAGTTCGTTGCGCACAAGGAACGACAATTTTACAATTCGTTCACATCTGGTCAGCAGAAAAAATGTAGCAGTTTTGAGTATTTTATCTTGCAAAGATACAGTTGTCAGGTTTCAGACTTTACAGATAATTACGACATATAGAAGCACGTACCAACACAAATCGTTTGACCATTTGGTTGGAATGAGACTTTGTAACCTTTGTTGCATTCACACGTGTAACTCCCGACGGTGTCAATACAGCGACCATTCAGGCACAGATTGGGCTCGGTCATGCATTCGTTGATATCTGCAAAAAATAATAACTACACCGTTGTAAAATTAATTTGGGCAGCGAAATGAAATTTATCGTACTAACACAATCTGGGTTCCGTTCTGAATCATCTGGAAGCCTTTTGGGCAAGTACCGTAGTATCAATCAGTAAACCTAAGTAAATAAAAACAAACACATTGACATGACCTATAGTTGAAGCAGTTTATTTAGCAAATCAAAAACACACTCCTGCCCTGGCCACATATATCCTTGGCAAAATTAATAATGCACTCGCAGTCGTCCAGTGATCGTCCATCGATACCGATTTGGTAGTATGCCGACAAGTGCCATCGCGGTAGCAAGTTAACGGTTCACAAATATTTTTTTGCCTATCACATACAAAACCAATAAAAAAGCTAAAGCGCATAGTAGTGACGTCCACCGTAGAGATAGCTTTGCAGATCGTTGCCTTAGGATTTTCAGAAGTGAATCCAGGAGGACAAAAACAATAAAAGCCACCGTCCGTGTCCTGGCACTGTGCGTTGGGTGCACAAGGTGCACTCATTGATATCTGTAAGGAAAGGTAACTGTAAGCAAAGATTTCGCGGATAAACCTGGAGCACCAGAATTGGTAAACTTACAGACGCATGTTCCGCCAACAAACTCGTAGCCAGCATCACATCGACATGTGTTCCTTTGGTACATTGGCATACACCATGGCGACATGGAGCCAGTTCGCATTCATCAACATCTGTAATTGGCAAGTTTTTAATCTAAAGCTTTGTGTTGGTACGTTATACTGAGACGACATTCCTGAAATCCCTGCAAAAACTTATACCAGGATTAGGTACTAGGTAGTGAAATTTGCATTCGTTTTCGTAGACGTCAATGAATGTGTTCCACCTTTCAATCCATGCAACCCAGGAAACTGCGTCAATACTCCAGGAAGTTATAACTGCTTATGTCCTTTTGGCTGGACTAACAGCACCGGCGGCGCCTGCACCGGTAAAAACATTTCCGAAGTTTTGAAGTTAACGGTTTACCCTGTACATCGTGTTTCTTACAGCGATCAACGAATGTGCCGGTCCGGTGAATCCCTGCATACCGGGTGACTGTATAGATCTGATTGAAAGCTACCAATGTGTCCGCAGAGGCACTGATACGATCCGAGGGTGTCAATACATTTGACAGCACCCGAGGCCGCAGGGAGGTGGGATGAGTTCACACTCGTTGATTTCTGGATAAAATAATTTTTGCTTAGAGTGTAACAATTCTTTCCGAAGAACTTACGACTGCAGTTTTGGGAGGTTATAATGTGGATCGGTATCACGGTGGGGAGTTGCACAAATACGATCCTTGCGTTAAAGCGCTGCACACAATTAATAGCGCAATTCAGCAAAACGTATGTATCGTAGCTGAACATCTGACATGTTCCACGTACCATGTTCCGGGTTTGCACTTGTCTTCAATAGCACAGTAGTTGATTTGTTTGCAGGCTCCGTTCAGGAACTGAAAACCGAGTGGCGAACAGTTAGAACTATTCGCCACTCGTCTGCAAAAGCACAGAAGCTATTATCACGCACTTAACGTGCACCTAACTGCAAATAAGGAAATTAAAATGCTCACTTCGACACAGTTTCCAGGTGCACATGGATTCGGATTGTCCCTGCATTCCAGTATGTCCACACACGGTCTCGTCGGTCCTCCGGCGTTGCGGAAGCCCGGAGGACACCTGTAGGCGAATGCACCGATGGTGTTCTCACACTGTCAGTCAACTAAGAGTTAAATACAAATCCCAAATCATATTAGATTGAATAAGCCTGCTTCCCCAACTTTTTAAATTTTTAACTTCAAATTGCGAAACAAGAAAACAAAACATTTGATCATACTTACGCATATTTCTTTCATAAGGTCATTTTCCATCCCGTCTGAACACACAGCTTCTGCAGAAATCATGACTTACAGCCTTTATTTCCACTGCTTTATAAAAGGCAAATATTCACTGCATGCCATTCTTCCATCGCCATAGTATCCCGGTGGACATCTGCAAACTGGTCCATCAATACTATTAGCACATGGAAGCGCTAGGGCTCCACATCCGACGTATTCGCAAGTATTCAAATCTAAAGATGCACTCGATTACTACAGATGGAATCAGTGTGACCGAACATTTAGCTTCCGACACATACTGGCACATTTTCCTTCGATCCAGTCAAAATTAGGGGGACTGGTGCATCGATAACTTTCCGGCGTGTTGACGCATGTACCACCATCTGGACAAAGGTCACCCAGGAATTCCACGCATTCATTTCGGTCTTCACAAAATTTCTGATTCAAGAAGAATCCTTTGGGACAGACACAAGAATACGAGCCTTCGGTGTTAACGCAGTTCCCGGTAACACAAGGATTTGCTGGAGCCGCACACTCATCAACGTCTACCAAAAGCAGCAAAGTTATATGTAACACCAAAACGTAAATGCAGCGGCGTTGCGCCCGAATATACCTATGCACTGGCCATTGACGAATGTATACCCAGCCAGACAGTCACAAGTATACGATCCCGGTGATTTTCGGCAAGTTCCTCTTCCACATGGATTCACAGGAATGCACTGATTGATCTCGACACAAGCCCCATTTTGCACCATCCAGCCTTTGGGACAAATGCAGCTATAGGATGCAGTCACATCTTGACACTGACCAGGAGTAGGATTTGTAATCGCGCACTGCTTGATAGCTGAAAAATACAATACATGCAACAACAATGGCGCTGGCTGTGTTTTCGTAACCAAAATCGTTTCGTTTTGGTTTGTTTTCTTACGGATACAGCCTCCCAGTGTATTTTCGTAACGGATGGACATGAGCATTCGTATGAGCCTTCCAAATTCTGACATCGTCCAGGTGAGCATGGTGGATCTGAAACAGCACATTAGGACATCTGACAGTGTCAAAGGCCGTGCATAAATTTCTGAGAGCCATACAACATGCAGTGCAAGCGGCGTACCAACAAAGTGTTCCGCTGAGGAATCAAACAGAAAACCTTTAGGGCATATGCAGGAATAGCTTCCCTTGGTGTTAACAGTCTCCGACCAGACAGGGACTGTACAGCATACATTCATCGATGTCCACGCACTTCGGAGGGTAACCAATCTTCTGCCAACCTCTTGGACACTGGCAGTCGTTAGAACCGTCAGTCATGGCAGTGCTATCTCCGGATTCGCCACATAGATTTGTACTGCTTTCGCAGACATTAATGGCTGCAGATAGCAGCCGCCAACTTTCAGAAAACACCCAGCAAAGAATTCGAATGCAATTGTTACCTATGCAGGCACCGTTGCGGCGTTGCCTTGACCACGGAAACCCGGTGCGCACTCGCAGCGCGTCATCTGTTTATCCGGCGCAGAAATGCAGCGCGAATTGGGACTACACCCCGCTTTTTCACAATCAATCGCTATAAATAATTATTATCATTAAATGCGTCATCAGTATCTCGTTTTGTTAGTTATCATTATGTAGTCACGTATCATCTTATTCAGTACTTCATAATTCACATCCTTTATAATAAAAGAATAAGAAGGTGCACAAAAATCGTGTCTGTCTCCCTTTTCTGAGCGACACAGTGAGCGAAACTTAGGTCTCTGTATATCATTCGATAACGCAAGGTATGTGGATGAGCTCAAAAGAGTTAGTTTTGTGAAAACCAAAACCAGTTTTGAGAAAACATTCCAGAACCTAACATGCAAAACCTACGGGAACGTCAAAAACCTGTTAACGCTATAACTGCCACCTCGAGTGCGAGAGGCTGTGGTAATGCGAATAATGCATTAGCTTACTTATTTCGCTATCAGGTTCGTTAGCACACCACAGTTCACAACAGCCATTACCGTTATGGCTCTGTAGCCCTCAATCATAAATTTTTCTAAAAAGTCTTTTCAAAAAGCAAGTGAAGTTTAAAAGTGGCTATTTTGAAAGACTTCACAGTCAACGTGCTATCCCGTTACGAATGGCTCAAAATTCCATAGATAAAGTAGTCGCCTCCCAAAGTGGTTTGGTTCTTCACTCACAGAGTTACGGTGCCGTATTAATTTTACCAATTAGGGTATACCGATTAGTGTCCAATTAACCGATTAGTGTCCAATTTGTGCAATGCCTTCGGATCGGAAGGGGACGCTATTTGGCGGGGCGGGGGGGGGGGAGACGTGGTCGCGGATAGAATACCTAAATTTGTTAAATTTGTTTGCTCCTTTAGAGCTTCAAAGTCATGGCGAGACAGCTACACAAGGTAAGGGAGGCGGGAGGGAACGGTATCGCGGGGATTCTGTCAATGGGGGCACACATATTTGCAAAACACGGTAATAGTTAGGTAACTGGTCAGTGGTCAGTAGGAATTAGTCGGTCAGCCATCTTGGAAATTTTTCACATTTTGGTTTTTTTTATTATTAAGCGTGGCTGCGTGGGCAACAATAGTGGTCGAATACTGGATTCTGGAATCAGATTGTAATTACGGACAGATTTGGAGTTCAAAATGGCGGAAAATACAGTCTGTAGTAACAGTGAGCCGGACGCGTGATGTACCGGCTCAGTAAAACACGGAAAAGTCACAGTGGTAGCGGGAAATTTCGCTCCATGCGAGTGCTTGGTCAAATGGGCCTCCTGCTTTTCAGAAAATTTGAAAAGGAAAGGGTTGACCTAATTATTATGTTATTACAGTTGTCATTTGTCATGAAAATTGTTGTGGCTTTTGACGATTTTTATGAGAATTATCTATGAAGTTTAAAATTCCATTAAGAATTTTATACCAGTAACCTTTGCGAAAATTAAATGAATTAATTTTGTTACAAATTCCAACGCTTTGGTCCAACATGTACATCCAAAAGGTTTGACGTCAGAAACACGCCAATTTTGATTTTGTTTTTCGAATGTTTTTTTATATATAATGCCCTAACAAAAACAAAATAAAACACGGGAAGTTTGACAATGCCAGCTTGACAATGATTGTGGTATAACAGTGCTGTAACGGGATCCGGACGCCCGCGCCGATCGGGAAATGCGGCCGGAAATCGGAAGTGGCAGACGGGGTGTCTTTGAATTTATTTATTTAAAATTTATTTACTGTTTGTAGAACTAATAAGGTGCACATGGAAGCGGCAATTTTTGAGGGGAAACTTTCAAATTTCTACGCGTTATTCCGCAATCTGAGCCAACGAATCGACGAGACGTTAAGCCATTCAAACATTTGCCTATGCAAATAAATTAAATTGCACGAGGTTTCGCTCATTAAAATTACATTTGTAATCGTTATTTTATAGTTTTGCGTTTAGTATGAAAAGGTAATAATAATCCTTCGCGGACTTATTCCGCGCAATTTGCGCGGGGTCTGCTAGTGTTCTTATAATTCTATCAATTTTAAGCTTTGTCGTACCAACACACCGCCCGTTCATTGTCTGGTAACCTTTGGGGCAGTTGCAGATATATGATCCCGGACGGTTCATACACGTTCCAGGAGTACAGGGATTCATCGCGCATTCCTTGATTTTCAGGGAACACAGCAGAAAATTGTATCGCATCGAAAATAATGGAAACTGTGGATTCAACTTAAATTAAGCTCCACCAAACTAACTTACCAACACAAGCAGATCCGCGCACCGCTTGATACCCGACAGGACAGTAGCACTGGAATGACCCATCCATTAAATCTACGCATCTCGTCCCCGAGACACCCACACCACAGATACCGGGCAGTTGACACTGGCGTACTGCCATACAGCCTCCCGGCATCTATTGGAAACCCTTCGGACAGCGGCACTGATAGCTTCCACGCTGTTCATGCACATTCCCGGGGAACAGAGATTGGGTGATTCAGCGCACTCGTTGACATCTTCACAGCGGTTATTAATGAATTCAAAGCCCTTTGGACACAGACATGTGTAGCCTCCAACCATGTCTTCCTGGCAAGTGCCGATCGTACAAGGATTGTACATGCACTGGTTGATTTCTGAAATTAATAATTATTGCTGATTAAAGCCATTTTGCGGTCGAAATGTAGACAATTGCTGGAAATGATGGCGTACGAAAACACTTACTGTACTTATACATTCCTGTCTGGCCATAAGATCACACGTGCCGGACACACGCAGGCAGAGCTTATGGTGTCAGGAAAATTCAAGCATGTAGAAATTCCGGGATATTGATAACTCTTAAAGCAGCGCTTAACTTTGTCGAACTTTGTCCAATCAATATCGTGACAATAAGCGGTTATTTGTGACTGTACCGTAGTTTATAGATGCATTTTCGGAACTATTTGTCAGCAGAATGGTACAGAACGGTGGTGTTACGGTCTTATTTTGGTTGGTTTAATCCTTATTGTTAAGAATTTCTATGCTAAGGATGGGAAGTAGGTCTTGTCGGGTAGATAATTTCGGAATAACTTATCCGCGAAGATTTCTGCAATGCCGTATGTTTCAGCAGTGATTACGGCACCGGACACCAGCCCATTCAATTACTGCCGCGCCGGTGTTGCACCGCACTACGGATGTAAATTCAGTACAATACGTACTTCGAAAATCTCAGCCACTTTACGCTGCTGTGCCAGGGAGCAGTAATTCTCAATCGATAGGATTACAGGATAATCAGACGTTACGAAAGCTGTCCGGATGATTTCTTCCACGATTGTCTGAAGGATGATAAGAATGACAGTTAATAGTTAATTATCACTTTGTATATAATATTATGTGTTCCCTATAACCAAGTAAACACACACACACCACAATCGGCAAGATCACAGTTAAACACAGTTTTTATATAAGGGACTCTCAGCAAGCCAAGCACTGATTCCGGTGATTCCACGGCGCGGTGATTCCACACCGGCGGAATTGTACAGGACACTGGCGGCGCAGACGGCATCAAAGATCTGTTGTGAGTCCGCGGGTGCTTTGCCTATTATCAAATGTTAATAAAAACAGAAAATCAAATGTACACATGCACACCCTTCATCTACATACAGTAAAATTCCATACATAGTAATGAAAAAGTTTTCTGAACTTGCTGCAGCAACAACAACAGATAAACCAACATCCCTTTTTCAAGTTTCTTGTCATACTTCTACCGAAGAAACCAAATTTACAAAAATTTTGTCACCCTGACGTTTTCATTTAAGTGAGTGTGTGTTCATTACCGGTACATGATACCAAACTGATGTATTACATGCACGGGAGATTTCGCTTTATTGCGCTCTCATACACCGTAAATTTTAAAACGCATAAATTACAAGAAACATAGATTTTGAAATTCATTTTAGAATTTAAAAAATTCTGGAGCTCTGGTTCGGAGTAAAAACGACCGTGATCCTCGTATTCGATCGTTCACATGCAAATTTTTGAGAAGATCGCATCGCATACTCATGATGCATTTGAACGCTTTAGAACTTTATTCTACTCATATCAGGTTCTCATAACCGGTTTTTACACCAATTTTTACAAAAAATTAAGAGGTATTTTAGGGTGCGCGAAACGAAAGTTCCCGGGAATTCATACGAACGCAGTGCATTATGCCGGCGTAGTTGAACAAGAATATGCGCTATATTAATTTGAAGTGCGACTATCAAAACTGCTCATGCAGCACTGTATTTTCCCAAGGTGCGTCCAAAACTAGACGCCTGACCAGACCAGCCGAACGAACAGAAATTACAGGAATTTGTATTATTGTTCCTACGTAGAAATTAAAACCGCACGAGAACGGAACCGATAACCATGCGTGCCCGCTGGTCAGGACTATAGCAGAGTAATTGAGCAGTCAAAGGAACCGAACCGCGCAAAGGGTCACACTATCCACTGACCGAACCTACGAAATAACGGGAACCGCACGTAACCGCCGGTGAAATCTGTTGATCAACAGATTTCACTTATGATTTAAATTCACTCACGGTTCACTCATGAGTCATGAGTGAACAGAAGTTATCTGTACAGGACCTCCTATTCCCGCTAGTACTGGCTTGGACCAGATATGAATGGACGCTATTGTCCAAGGTCAACCATTTATCGCCTCCCTTTGATCATTACTACACTGATCGGAACATGCTAAATTCGCCAGCATTTACAGCTTTTTTTACATTTTGGCTTTCTTGACAAAGCTAAAGCGGTAGCATTCCATATCCAAAGCGTGCAAACTTACTTTACGGAGATAATATATAGCAGATTCACAGTGCAGGTAAAATTACTGCTAAAATTGTTCAGCATGCTCCTAAAGGGTTCACATCCACTTTGTTTTCAAAAAGTACCCGCCGTGAGACCAGCTAATTGGAAGCCCCGAAAACTTCTGATCAGAATAACCGGAAACCAAAACCCTTCAAAGTTTACATCGAGTCAAAATACATCTATCTCACTGGATGCCATACAATACAGATACACCATTCGCACCGATCGCCCAACTAGTAATGCAATACTACTGTTGAACGGAGCGGCGGTTGCACAACAGCCAACATGCAAAGTAAAAAACGTAACCTACGGCTACGAAGAATCCGGAATGAACTGTTCAGTAATCAGTAGTCAAAATTTTCAAGCAGAATGGGAAGTTATCGTTTTGCCGGACGTGCCATAAAATTGATTCTGGCAATCGAGTGCTAGTCAGAGCTCTCGCAACAACACCATTGACACTTTCTAGTGGTCAGAGCAATCGATCGAAAGTTATTTACCGCTGCCAATACCACTAACGGAAACTACGGAGTAACCTAATGAACAACACAAGCAAAAAACGGCACATGCGATTAGACTTACCGTTAGAATGTTTCGACAAGACTGTTTCCCGCTTCGCTTCGGTCTTTTAATGCAAGCCAGCAGCGGTGCACTTTATTTGCTAGTTATTCTGAAACGGCCGAATTTCAACATGAATTTACTTAACCTACAGGAGTACCAATATTCCAGGGATCGGTGGTGGCGGTGGCGCCTTGGTGGCGCGCACCAGTGTCCCATTTTTGTACTGTAGCAAAGCTGGATACGGTGCTGTATCGTAACGAGATACGCTTTAGAAAGGGGACGAGGCCTTAGGCTGTTTTTGTTACCGTTAAACGGAAATAATGGGATCTGTTCCTAAAAATTCTGTTCCTGCTAACACCGTTCTATCTTTATACCTACATCTCAGTGAGCGGAACCGTTACCACTGTGCGCCGTTTGGCCTTCTGTTCAGTATTACTATTATTAAAAGATTTTCAATATTCCCAGAATAATCAAAATGATAGCCAATGTCATGGATCAGAATGCAGATGCCGTGTAATTACAGAGTAACAGAGCAGTTAGCAAATTAGCGCCGCTCTTCGATTATTAGTCGTGCTATTACTATTAATTTTCCGTCTCGTGATTATTAAATGCAAAATCTTACAACAAAAACACATTAAAATGAAAACTCTTAACAAATCAAAGCTAGTAAATTCACTGTAATGTATCGTTCTGTGTCTGTTTTCATATAATAAATTCATTCCTATCAAAGTTTGGACAATATGCCAAACGATATTTTGACCTATGGCTAGATTTTGAATTGTACTAAAATTATTTTCCTGGAAATTGATCGTAGACCACAAGAGCATCCGAGGCGAAGCCGAGGATGACTCTTGTATATCAAATATTGAGCGCCGAGCGCAGCCTTGTTAAAATATTACTCGTCGCTTGAAACGGAATCCAGTTCGGCCGACGGCCGACGCGCTATGCCCGAGTACTGCACTGACAGCAGTGAAACTGCAGTGTGAAACTTCAAAACTTAGGCAAAAAAATCGCAGATCTCGCTGCATCAAGCCAAACCGTACCTTTTGGCTTGCCCGCCTATTGAACAAGGGTTCCCGAGTGGCAATGCGAGTGGGCTTACTATGTTGACATTCGTTTTCCTTAGATCCTAGTTGCGGAAAATTTGGTAGTAATGGACTTAAGTCATGAGCGTTCGAAGTGCCATAAAACTATAAAGTCGAAAGCAAGCGGTATACTCCAAGTCTCCAACTGAAACTGATGGGAACGCTCCTACTGGAGCAACTGGAGGCCCGAACTGACGAACTGAACCGGTTCATTTCATCAGTTTGACTGGAGCTCCGCCCCTCCAGTTGAAGTACAATGTACGACAAAGAGGTTGAACCGATCAGTCGGTCCGCGGTTCAAAATAACCTCGCAAGCGTCCAAGTTTTAGTGGTGGCGTGTCGTTGCGAGGTTATTTTGAACCGCGGACCGACTGATCGGTTCAACCTCTTTTTGTCGTACATTGTATCTACTGTAGACTTTATTTACAGGGTGCCATCTTGGCGAGAATCGTCAATTTGACGATTCTCGCCAGGATGGCACCCTGTGGCGGTTGGCAGCCGTGCGCCTAAGGTGCGCCGGGAAGTCATCGTATGGCCCATAACAACAAGTTCTTATCCTGGCACTCTTTGAACAGCGCGCGTTACGCGCTGTTTATGCACTCAAAGATGTCCTTTAAACGCATGGCCAAAGTCCCTTCTCCGATCTTCTTCGCATTGGCTTCGATTCTCTTTGGCTTCCGGAGATTGTACCGCGCTGTGATATCCGTGAAGTCAATCATGTCGACCAAGTACTGCGGCGGACGGTACGCTTATGCTAAACATATCTATATGCATAACTAAGCATATGCTGCAAATGCAACCCCTCGTTCGCTGGATGGCTCGCTGTATACGAAAAATACGAGTATACATAGTTGTGGACCTGTGGTTTCCATTCTTGTCTTTTACGCTGGACGAGAGGCCGGAGAGCGTACAGGTATACCTCGAAACAAGACCTATGTTAGGCGCTAAACTTCAAAGCACTGTAGTCAGTCAGCGTATTCACCGCAAAGCAGCTTGTTTCCGTTGCCCTACCCCTAACAGTTCTGATTGGTGGCTGCCTTTTCTGATTGCATGATACCACACCGGACTGCAGCGCCGCATTGCAGGAGAACCTCTCTTAAAAATTAAAATACACATCTTTATAACATTCAACCTGTAAGTAAGGAACCGAACGGGATTCGCAACTTCGCATGCGATAACATTTATAACATTCGTATCTTTATTTAGATACGCTTTCCACGGAACCGAATGCAGTTTTATCAGTGTAGAGGACCTCTGAATGACATTCTGCTAAACGTGTCAGTTATAACTGTAAGTCAGAGTTATTCAAGTATCAACTTTTATTAGCGATTCGTGCTGGGAAATGAATACAAGAGTATCAGTTAACAAAAAAAGCATAACATCATTTCCGTTCCGCCAAATGAAAGGCAAAGTAAACATCTTCCTTCTCTACCACGTCGCTAAATGTACCGAGAACAGACACTGCATTTCCTCTCTGAATCTCAATACCAATTCTTAAACTCTCCTGAGCGGGGGTTGCCTGTACTGTCGATGATCTTTCTCGACTGCTCTTAGAAGAACTTCTTCGTCAGTGGTCCAAATGTACCTGTAGTTTCGAACGCCAGCGGCTGTGCGATGTAAAGGTCTGCCAGCCCGCTATATTTTTCTAACTTCCGGTTTTCCCGTATTTCCGCTGCACAACCCGGCACTCTGGACGTCTGTGCGATGTACGTCTGCGCAAATGTGTCCGCCACGGTTACATCCGACACCAGCGGCTTTCCGTTTTTCCAAGGAAAAGTTGTCACACCGTCGGGCCGCTTTCCATCGCTCTATCCAAGCCCGCCGGCTCGAGTGACGATTGCACTTTTGCCGAACTCAACACCCGTTTGGTCGCTTCATTCAAAACTGCGTGGACACCGTGTCTTCCTTTCGCTAACTTGCATACCAGCTCGTGGTGTCCTAGACTGTTCTGCTAAACTTGCTTGGGTTAACAAATACAGGTGCATACAGGTGCATACGGTATTAAGCCGGAAACATCGCAAAATAATAACGATAAACGCTAACGTTGTTGTGCAAATGGTAATTACTTATGTACAAGCACATCTTAACAGAATATCTATATTATTCTTATTTTATCAGTCTTGAAGTACTCCTAAGCAAACTCTGTAAACAGAATACAATTAATTCAGGTTTTATAATGTGCTACAGCTGATACTAGGAGTGCAGATCAGATTATATACTCTAATCTGCCCACTTGCTAGTGGCTACTGCCTTTAATTTTGCTTTATAAGATACTCGAAGTACTGCTACGCTTTCTCCACCGCCCCAAACTATACAGGTGGGGCAATTTCCCTTTACAAAATGCATCCCGGAATACAATGCGAAATTGAAAAAAAATTGTTTTATGCCGTTAGCGGTGTGTATCGTGACTCGTGAGATCGCCAATATTATGTCCTGATTGCAAAGCTGATGGCCCTGCACTGAATAAACAGTACATTTGATATTTATATAGATATAAGTACTGTATGAACTGCGAGTAGTGAAGTAGCACGTAACTGTACGTTTAGATAATGGCAGAGATTTTGCTCTTGCGTAAACTAGCGGTGGTTGTCAACCACATTATTGGCAATTTATTGCACGAGCGCGAGCGCCAGTACGACTGGGTAATGGACTAATGAACGGGTTTTGTGCCTTTGTGGAATAGGAAAAATGTTCGACAGACAAATGTTTTGCCCTTGACAAAGGTTTAATTGCAGCACCTTGCGCTTCGCGCTCGGTGCAAATAAGCCGTGCACGGCGAGCAAGCCTCAGTCGCGTAAAAATCGTGGCGTCACGGGCACGGGCCGGAAGCCGTTTGATTGGTAAACCAAAATTCTATTTAAAAAAAGGTCCGAAATGTCGAAATCCGAAATGTCTGTATACCAAAGGCGGTATGCCGTAATGGTCAGATAATTATTACTAGTGGTGGTTGTTAACCACATCCTTGCACCGAGCGCGAGCGCCGGTCCGCTGGGAATGTGAAACTATGAATCGACATGGCGCGCGAACCCAGTTCTGATGGCGCTCTTCGGGAATGGTGTAACCAGCCGCTGGTTACCAGCGTATATGTAATATAAGCTCGCTGGTGCAAGTTTTGCGCTGGCCTGTTCCAGACTATTGTTACGATCCCGAGATCTACTGTCATTCTGGGAAACTACATTGAGGAAAACACTATAGAACACTACATTTAGGAAAACATTCAAAAAAGATTTCGCTGTGGATAAAAACAAATGGTTTTTATCGAAATTCTGACCAGAAAATTTCGTGCTGAAGTATTAACGACACCAAGTATTATTGCGCGCTTCCAATACCATTAGAAAACGATGTTAATGACATCCTTGAAACAGCGCGTAGGCTATGAATATACCACTGCCAATGGAAATGAAAATTTGTAGAATTGGAAAAGCGTGACCGACGCTTTTCGTGGGCGACAGACAAACTCTGCTACGGGAAGCGTATACTCTGCTATGGAATGCTATGAATGCGTGCATCGCTTGACGAAGGCATAGAGTTGCACCTCGCGCTTCGCGCTCGGTGCAGATAAAAAAAAGTGCTACGAAACTCGCATTTCAGTTTGCGTGCTAGACCGCTTGTATAAAAAGCCCAAAGATATACTTACACAACCGCATCCACAGTGGCTATATGTAGACCATAATTATGCGTAAACCAGTATCGCAACAGTCTTCGAAGTTACTTTATTCAATTTGGCGATACAATAACAATCACAAGTTTCCATAAAAGTGAAAGAATTGTACTGAGTACACAGCCTCAGCCGACTACGGAAATAGGCGGCCTAATCACACAGAAGGTTTCGCCTAAGTTGGCCGATGCTGGTGCTGTTCCCATGGCAGAGGCCGCGTTCCCGCGTTGGATGTCAAGGCTGATCCGTTGGCGCAGAAACTCCGTCGCCCGCACCTCGCCTGTCTCCTGTTGTATCATCTTCCCGACTTCGGTGACCAAACGAGAGGCGTCCGGTCCGAGTGTTTCGACGCCAAATGCACGGAACAGGTAATCTCGGGTGAGTTCTCGATACTTCGCCTGCTCTGCGCGCGCCGCGGCTGCTCCCGCTTGCTTCGATGTTGCCGCGATGTGCGACAAGGCTACCGTGCACACACATGTGGCGTCCCAGGTCAACATCTTTCCTCTTTCCCATGGGACCAAAGTCACTCCGTCGGGGCGCTTGCCATTGGTGAGGCAAGTACCAGGTGGTTCCAGTTCCGTTTCATTACCGGCGGAAGCAAATGCGCGCTTTAAAATGACACTGATGCAGCTGTGCCTGGGCTTCCGGCCCCGACTTTTTTTACAACTCAGGCCATGGCATCCTCGCGCATCGGCCCATTCACCACAATCGCAACGGTGTGGAATAGTGACTGGTACGCCGAGACGCAGGCCGACAGCAATTCTGAGTGTGGTGTCGTTTAGGAAGTTACCGACGGAGGCTGCTGGAAGCGCTTCCAGCCATGCGCCGTTATCCCTAGTGCTCACACCTCGAAGACGGGCCTCGCTTGACATGTCTGACTGGGCTGCCGCCAGGAGGGTTTCCACCGTGCCGTGGATGATCGGTTCATCCCAAATCTTCTGGTGTTTGTTGTGTGTCGTATCTTACGGAGTGTTTGACTGATTAGCGTCCTGCTTTCGTATCAGCATTTTGCCAAGATTCATTTCTGTTTCCCATCGTACAACTCGTTGTGTAATTGTTGTTCATTTGTCCACTCCTATAAACGGCACTGCTCCGCTGCTCTAAGACAATAAATTTACCATATTTAGTCCAACATGAACTCGCCGGCGAAGCGTCGTCCATATTTCATCTACAGTATAATCTATAAATATCTACGTTTCTGTAAAAAAACGTTAATTACCTACCCTCTTTGTTTATGTTCCAAGCGTTTCACGCAGAGTTTCAAATCAAAGTCACGAAAATGAAATGCGCTTCAATTATGACACTGGACGTCGCGACTGGTTATGCAAATCCTGCGGGAACACTGGCAAACAGGGATTAAAATATCAGAAATTTATTAATACACACTTCCCTCACACCCCCACGGGGGCTGCCCCTCGCACTACGGGGGGATGGGGTTTTGTGACATTCTTGCGAAGTATACAGATACAGCTTAGGACGAAATGGTCGCA